AACGTACAAGAATAACAAGGGGCAAATCGTCGATATGCAATTTGGCTGGGACATATTCAAATCATTGTTAAAGAAAGCTTTAGGCCCTGGATACAAAGAACAATACTTCAGGTTGATGAAAGCCAGCTGTAAACCACTTGCGGAGCAAGCATCCTTGACGCTGATGAATAAGTACAAGATTAAAAACAAACCGTTGCCTCGTTTTTGGAAGGACGTTAGCACCGACATGCAGCTTATTACTTTACAAGAGTTTGAGCAGGCAGCGCAACCATACCTTCCTCTGGCCATGTGCGTAGACCACTGGGGGGCGCGTCTATTTATCCGAAAGTTCTGGCTGAAGGGTGACGATGACTCCACGGATCATAAGTAACACACTATCAAAAAAAGCTGGCTGTTTATGTCAACTATAACTTCATTGTCAATAGAGCAGAACCCGGCATCATCATCAGCAACAACAACGACATCATCATCATCACCAGAAGTAGAAGCAGCAGTAGCTTCACCATTGCCATCACTATCATCATCGTCGTCATCGTCAGTAGAGGCAGCAGCAGCACCATCATCTTCGTCATCAGTAACAGCAGCAGCAGCAGCACAAGTCGTCACAGGGAATGCTAGTATCACGGTTGGGCAACAGTAAGAATAAAAAAATCTTGTACTTACATCACATTACACGTTTATAACTCTGTAATTTAATAGAGCTGAGCGTCGTCGTCAACCCTTGCTTCCGTTGCCGGATGTTGCTCATACGGATGATGAGGAAGAACAGCAGCAACCGAGACCAACAGCAAAGAGACAAAGAAGAACAGCATCAGGTAGGCAGTGTATGTATGTACTCTTCAAGTTACCTTAAACGTATTTATAACTTCGTTCTTCGTTCTTAATGATTCTTCATTGAATAGTGGCTCATGATACTGAGAACGAAGGACGGCGCAGACCACGCAAAACTGGCAAGAAAAAATAATTTTGGTGTAAGTATTGTTATCGTGATCTGCTTTTGCGTGTTTTCTGCTCGTATCGCTAAAATAAACAATTCCTTTATTAACAAGGTCGTCTATCCGCAAAACTTCTTTTTAATTACGATAAAGTCTGTACTACTACACAATTTTTGTTCCTCTCTTCTTCCGTCATAGTCTTTGCATCGCCATCGTTCTTTTATTATTTGTTTCCCTATGAATATTCCCATAACAGATTTTTGTTGTCCTAAAAGAAAGAATAAAACGCTATATCCTATATCTATAAAAAAGCAATTGAATAGTATGTTTGGTCCAATGATAATCGGGAGTTACTTTCTGTCGTTGTACGGCTCGTCCAGTGAGAAGCCTGTTTTTGGAGAAATGCTGTTGTATCTACCCAATGAAACGCTAGTGTTACTCTGTCAGACGTTGAAGGTGTGTGTAAAAACGTACAAAACCAGCACAGTTGTGTGCAATGAGTGTGCAAAAGGATACATATCCTGCACAAAGCTGTGTGCAAAAAATGTCCAAAAAACTACGTAGACGCACATTCTTACACATCGCTCAAATTCCGCACATTTTTGCACAAATCCTGCACACTTTTTTCCTATGGTGGTAGAAGACTCGGGCATGGTTTAATTTTTAGCAAAGACGATTTTACAGGTGAAAAAGGGTAAGGGACATACACTACATAAAAAAAAGGCTTTTATTTGTTGCTACTCTTGAACCATCTCCGAATGAACCTACACGATGATCATAGCCTTTTATAGCTGGTAAAGAACCTAATTAGCACCCAGTTAAAAATACAGTATCCATTGCGGTAAGTGGCGAAAGGGCGAAGTGGTTTTCGATATACCCACCGTTGTCAGCATCATATTATGCAACTAATCTGCCAGGCTAAATTACTGTAAAGACGAAGATGCATGTGGCTGTTGGACAACCTAGGTCCCACAACCACAGTAGAACAATTCGTCTGGGTTGCGCATCTGTGACGAACCCGTTTGGCTGAGTTGCGCATCTGTGACAGACCCGTCTGGCTGGGTTACGCAACTTTGACTGAACCATCCGTGTGGGTTGCAGATCCGTCTGTCTACATCGCGTGCATCCATTGTGCAAACTAATTAATATTATGGCTACTATCTATTTCTCTCTTCCACATAGTTGAATGAGCATAATGCATTATTTTTATTTTTATTTATCAAACATAATAGATAATAACGTAATAATAGGTTTTGTACGATAATACAAGGCACTATATTTCATATCTCACGAGGAAGTAAAGAGTCAGCGTTAAAAGTAATCTGCAAAGCAACTTTCAAAATTTTAGTTCGTACCCTTGTTTGTTGACTTGAATGATCAATGAAGCTTGAAATGAGAAGGTTAAGTTGCCCGACACTCTTCTCAAGATTTAAGTAAATGCATCTGTATAGCTTTTTCCAACTGCAAATAAATATATACAGCTTTAAAATATATCTAAAGAATATATGAATAACAATACTTTCTCTACAGTAAAGCCGTTCCCGTTCATTGCATACTCAGTATTATCAAGCTATAATTGCTAAACATTTTTCTTATTAGATAGCTTATTCAAGTACTGCTAAAAATACGACCATCTCTTCTTCTTTATAAGTATTCACCAGACCCAGACAAAGATAAACAATGTAAGTGATCATTTCTGATTGTATCATTGATGGAGTTATCTATTATATTCAACGTAAGCCAGGTGCCTAGCAACCAAGCCAGATGGGTCTGTTATGGATGCACAAACCAGGCGGATGGTTCTGCTGTGGTTGCGCAACCCAGCCAGACGGGTCTGTCACAGATGCGCAACTCAGACGGATGGTTCTGCTGTAGTTGCATAACGCAAACAGATGGATCTGTTATAGTTGCATTTAGATAAACGAGTCAGACACATTGATGCAGCTGTGTATGAGTAAATGCAACAACTTGTTTCTAGGGCTCTAAATTTGACCAATGTATCGCGTTAAGGCAGAAACGGTTGGTCAAGGTGCTGGTTTTATTCCTGACAGGTATTGCTAAACGGGTGTGGGGCTGGGCCCATTCCCAATATGATAGTATATAATAATATTTATTGATAGTAAAGACGATAGTGTATACTGTACAGTGACTGATCTTCTCAAATGGCCTATATAGGCAATTAAAGCATTGGCAAGTTCTATGTTTTCTTCACGTTAAAAAAAATGAAGAAACTGTGTGTATCTCGGTTGTGAAATAATCTTATCGGTACAGAATGAGATACACAGTTTAAAACGGTCGAACCGTTGGGTCACAGTTCAGGATACAGATCTCTTCTGGAAAGGTGTTATCTGTCGCTACTTCGCAACTGTGGGCCAAAGATACTGGCATTAACGGGTCGAGCGCCCAGTTATCCCAACTGAACTATTTAAGGTGATTAAAGCATTAATGCCCATAATTTTGATCAGTATTGTTTATTCGATTTCGTTTAAACATGAGTACAGGAGTTTTACGAGTTTAGCGTCGTCTTTTATTTTACACAGTTCTCGTTCTTGTTGGGAGTGATCTCACGTACAGACAATACAGGCAACAGCTGCTCTTTTTACTTCCAAGTGCCAGGTAAGGTCCATATAAGAAAGACCATCGTTTTTCCATCAGCTTGGTTGTGCTCTAACTTTTTTTCTCTTCCAGTAGAGAAAATGGAACGAACTGTTGCTGTAACATTTCTTGTACAGAAATCGGGAGGCACCAGTTGGTCTTTCATAAAAGGCAAATTATAAAGGATCTATAATTAGCACTATATAGTTCGGAAACTGGCCAGTACTGTTAGATTCATCTTCGAACAAGTTGAGAAGGTATAGTAGCTTATATAAGAGTCACAAATCCCGATAACGAGGAAGGAAGATATTAGTAAAAGTGGATAAAACTGATGGATCTGCTTAATTATAAGTTAAAATAGAAAGGATAAGTGTGGGAAGTCAACAACTAGGAATTATTACTTGTGAAAATCATAGAAGATAAACCCTTTCGTTAAGATAAAAAAGGTAACGTTAAATGAAAAAGATACTAAAGAACTAAACTGTTTACCTATTTATAAAGTACATACAGTAATACAGTACATAGTGACTATAATCTTACGAGGAAAACCCAAACTGATTGCATCTTGCTAATTATTGTTGCAGCAGTGTGTGTCAATCAGATTATAGCAGTGCTTGTGCATGGAGCAGCGTTTGCTCGTAAAGCAGTTCACAAATCTTTTAAGTAAAGATCGGAATCTATTACAATGATTATCGTAAACAGGTTTGAGCTTACCTCAATAGATGACAATAGGAGATAGTTCATTTGTATTGTATGATAAACAAATAATTGAGTTATTCGATAGTGGGGGCAGCAGCATGATGGTGGTAAGTTATAGTGTGACGTTTGAGTGTGAGAGCAAAGTATGTATGTACTTTATAAATCAAGCGTACGAACCTTTCTACATAAATCGTTGACTCTATGTACCGTCAGCATAGACAGCTAGTAATAATCTTTTGCTTCTAGGCGCAACCAGCGAAAATACTTAAATCTTCTATAGAGGCGCCTTGAGCTCGTCTTTACGAAGTTGCTGTTTTGCTTATTATGCATGTACAAGCTTAAACCCTAAAGCAATATACAGCCGCCCAAAATAAACAAAGAAATACAGGAGCAACAAGAGCGTGTTTTTGAAGACGTCAGTAGTTTTATAGTAGTCGCAGCAAGGAAATGAAGCCGCTTTAAATCCCCATAGGACAAGCAGAAATATATCGATGTCTTATAACAATGAGAGATTTGAGGTTGTACCATAACCATAGATAGCTATGATACCCCGGTCTCTTTGCTCGTTTTACTTATCATATAGTAATATAAACCCACAAAAATAGATAGGACGTATATAGCCTCAGATATCCTTTATGAAGAAGATGCAAGTACAATTGTGGTATTAAAGTATGTCACTCGAGACATATACAAACTAAAAATAATAACTCATATTCCACTAGGTTAAGTTTTTCGCTAGCTGCTATTATATCATTGCTTACCGCTTAATTATATATTTTAACCTACCAGAGAAACGCCATACATTGGAGTCTAAGTATTACCGTGATACCATACTCTCACAAAAACCTTCATGGCGTCTACGTAAAACCAATAGACAAACCAACCTATTGATCCGGATTGTCAGTCGTAAATATGTAGTATATATATTAAGCGATCTTAAAAGGATTTTCCTTATTTACTGCTGCTGCTGTTGTTGCTGTCTTGGTGCTAGCACGAATCGAATGTTGTTCAAACATCCAGCAAGCTCAAATTTCGCATGTCGGGACAAACGAGAAGGATGATCGCGCGGAATATCCGGCCATCCTTCCATGACAATATCCTCATACATCCGTTCATCCTTCCAGGGCATATTGGCATTGTCATCGATATGAACGCCGTAAAATTGCTGTACGGCTTGCCCTAAGGTTTAACAAGATGATAGATACATTATTAAACGTCTCCTGGTATTGTTTATACGATAAAACTTACTATATCGACCAAAAATGGTATCCCGCATATCTTTCTCGTTACGATGCTGATTTTTTTTGGAGATAGATCTATCAGCAGCTGCAACAAGAGATGGCGCAGGCACACTGTGATTCGTGGCAGTGGTAGTGGTGGTAGACGGAATAATAGTGGTGGTGGCAGTAGTAGTCGAAGAAGAAGTTGGTGTAGCGAAAGACGGAACAGAGGCAACTTTCGTATCAATGGCATTGTGTGCTATTTGCGCTGATAAGCTAAAGCATAAGTACTGAATTGTGGCAGTTTAAGTCATACAGTCTTCGGAGTACCTCGGTTATAAGTGATCATTTCATGTTGGAAATCGTCAATGAACGACCGACTGGTAAGTTCGACTTCACCATGCTGCATCAGCTTATAGAAATGGCCTCCGCCAACTAAACGTTTCAATTAGATGGTTTCCTTCACATATCATTAAGAAGTTGTATTACCAGAGCCATAGCCATCCCTATAAGGCTTGATGACGCCGTCCGTTTTGCTTGGTGCAAGAAAGCAAATGCTTTCTACACCACATTCATCCCTCAGCATGGTGAGATTTTTCTCAAGAGCAGGTATGAGGCGATGGTACCTGTCTCGCATGGTCTTCTGCGTACCAATCATCTCCTCATTCAACTTTTGTGCCTTGTCCTCATACGGTTTCCGGGCATCTTCATCCATCTCCCTCCAAATTGCCCCTCTGCGCGCCTGGATGTTTCCGATTGATCTTTTGTTAACTTTCAATTCTGCTTTTTCTAAAACATAGTTTCACACGTCATAAAAGGGTGTTCAGCGTTCTTAGTTGTACGTAAGAGATAGAAGATAATAAACTAACCATCAGAATCAAAAGGGCGTTTCTGAAAGACGTTGAAGCCAGAAAACCCGCCAGTATTTTTGCGAATGAATGGTGGTTTCAAGTGCTTCAGAGCGTCTACAGGCGCGTTGGACCTCTCGGCAATACGAGCAAGGCGTTCCTGATACTCCTTCTCCATAGCCTTGTTCAAAGCGCGGACTTCACCCATCATCGTAGCTTCTCTGTTACTTTCGGTGGCTTCAGTAGTAAGTGCAACGGCCGCAGAAAAAATATCACTGGAGCAAGGGGTGTCCATCAAATGAAATGCCTTCAAACGATCAATTTCGTTCAAAAGCGCGTTCAGTTGAACAGCCACCTCTTCGTGTTCGCAAATGATTGACTGAATGTTCTCGTCTTCTGCAATCCACTTTGCTTCCTCGTCACTCCTCGCTCCTTCTTCTTGCATAAGTGCTTCTGTAGCTTTCTCATATTTTTCAATGAGTGTTTGGTCGTTGCGATGTAGCATGGTTTTTTTGATTTGGGATTAGACTATGATTTTGAAAAATATGAGTAATGATTCCTTGTTTATTCAGAACCCGAAGGCTTGCGGTTGATTTGCGGTTACTTGCGGTTAATTTGCGGTTTTAATCACGACCTGAAGCTCGGCAACCGCAACACCCAATTTTCGACTGTTAAGGTCGGGCGGGGGTGGTATTCTTAGCTGTGCTTGGATACTAAATATATAATTATTTATAGTCATCAAACAATACCTTTTGAATGCAGCCGAAACTGGCAAAAGTTTGACTCTCCAGAACTTTGTAAATCAAAACACAACACTCATTTTGTCTCAAACAATCCTTGGTGACGATTTTCAATCAGACTGGACGACCAGGTTTGCCTTCGTAGCCAAAGAACTGGATCTGATTGTTGTATGTTTTATTAGTGTGGTACATGGATATGTTCCTTTTGTTTGAAAGACTTCTGACTGAATAGTGTATACTTTTAAAGAAATGTAGTAAACCAGACTGGCCAAAAATTTATGAAGGTCTTGTACACTGCGTCACCAATCAAGCAACACGTCGATCCCATAATCAAACTGCTATACCTGAAAATGAACCCCAACTATCAGCTGCCGGTCTATCTGGATCTGTCCCAAGTGGTTCAGCTACCGGTAATGGATCTACCCCACGTGACTCAGCTGCCCCTGCGACATCACGCAATTAATCTACTCCACGTTCTATACCTGCTAGTTCGTCTTCTCTGTCTGTCAAGCATCGCCAATGGGTTCAAAACATAGAGGAATAAACATTAACACGATGTTAATAAATTTTCTTTAAATTTTTTCTTAACTGACAATTTTTTTTATTCTCGGAGTTTGAAATCGTGCATACTGTTAAATTTTATTTAAAAAAAAAACTGAATTTTTTTTTAATATAAAAATAAATACCTCCAATATTACTTGGCATAAAAAATTCAAATAGTTATATTAAATACTGAGCTTTTTATTAATAAAAATAGTATGATTTGTTCTATTAAAGATTTAATGGAGCAAGTTATGCATAATTATTTTGAAGATGAAATGTTAGTTAAAGATATTGAAAGTAAGAAGATGATTATGAAAAAAAAATTAATGAAGAAATTAATAAAGTTAAAGATAATTATTTTTGGTATGTTAATACAAGCGATAATGTGTGCACTTACATATATAAAAGAGGTAAGAAAAATGGCCATATGTGTCATAGAAAAATTAATACAGTGGTCCCCCGCTTTTTGCAGCCCCACTTTTTGCAGATCCTCAATTTTTGCAGATTTTTTTGGAGCATACCCGCTCATCACTTAGTAAAATTGCAGTTTCCTCACTTTTTGCATTTTGCAGGCCAAAAATGGGGACCTGCAATTTTCCGCTATTAACTCGAGAGCCTGGGACACAGAGTCTTGAACCAGTGACATCTACATGTAATGTTGATAGATAGCGTCCTTTTGCTCGTCAGTAAGCTTTGGGTATTTTGCTTTTACCATAGTGGTGTGGATGTGTCGCTAGTGCAGTATATAAACATCAAGAATGAGATGACAGCCTTTTATATAAAAGTTGATTTTTAATAAGTAGCCTCAGTACAACACCGATATCTTTTAATTGGTTTACTATCATTGACACTTGATTAACATAATAGACTCAGTCTGTGTAACATCTCATACTCATCCTCACTTTTTGCAGTTCCCCACTTTTTGCAGTTTTTTCCACTAAAAACCGCTACTGCAAAAAGCGGGGGACCACTGTACTAATCTTAATAGAGATAAACCTAAACCTGATTACCTTTGTACTATACATAGTAAACTTCATGTTCCAAAGAAAAAAAACAAAAAATCTACAAAAAAAATAGAAAATCCTAATTTACCATGCATAATTGTTAATGATGGTGATTTTATACATAAAACTAATAACAAAAGAATAAAAAAAAAGAAAATCTAGAAAAATATATATATGCAACAGTGGAAGTTTTAACCTAGCAAATGTACTTAAAGGATTATTACAATAATAGGAACCGACGTTATCTACTATACATACTCAAATAATATATCTTACATAAAATAAAATAACTACACATAGTTATGATATTTTATTAGGAAGGGTAGAGTATCGAGTTATCTAAGTTAATTTATTAACTTTCATATAGTTATTTAACATATCGGTTTCATTAAAATCTTTCATTGATATCCAGCTATTTTGGGATTCATTATAACCTTTCCATTTAATTAGGAATATATAGGAGTCATTTTCAAATTTATGATTTATTATGGATTCTATTTCATAAGAAATATTAGAAGTTGAATTATTTCTAATTTTATTTATATCCATTAATGTTCCTTTGCCTTTACCTTTTCTTTTTCTTTTTTTCTCATTGAATTAAGGTACATCTTCTTCGCTGGAAACATCTTTATCATTATCATTTTCATCACTGTATTCATTATCAATAATCATATCAGTATTATCTATACTTAAATTATTTAAAAACTGTTCCTGTAATTTAACCATTTCATCTAATCTATTTTTTGCCTTAGATGAATTGCTAATAACTATATCTATTAATTTAGCTTCGTATGGAAATTCAAAATTATCTAATTCCCATAATTTTATGATGTGCTTGTGTATTAATATTAAACTTTTCACTAAATATTTTTATATTTTTTAATAAATAAGCAACACGAAATTGAAGATTATAAAACTTTATGTTGTCCATCTTAACAATAGATTTATTATTATTAAATCTATAAAATTTATTACCTATTGCAGCAAATTGGTCTTCTATTTTTGAACGGAAGCTACCAAAAACATCATTATAATGCCTTTCTTCTGCTGTTAAATCTACATTCTTTTCTTTGCGTATAGGATAAACAAAATTATTTAAAGATAAATCATATCCTTTTTCTGCACCAAGTTCTATAAGCTGATTAACAAATAAAGTATAACCACCATCTGTTGCCAATACATCTTGTTTAGATATTTTCTTATATAATTTCATGTTCAAAAACATACTTCTGTCAGAACTATCAGAACAATAATCGCTTTTGGAAGCATATAAAATCATATCGTTAATATTGCTAACAATTTGTGTACGAACTCCATTTTTTTTAAATTTATATGACCATAATCTTTCATGTTTTATATCAGTATTAACATAGTTAATTCTTAAATCATGACCATCTATTATAAAAGTTATGTGTTTAAAAAGTGGTGGATTATATTTATAAGAAGATAAAATTCTTAAAGTTAAAGAAGAAAACATATTCTCCATAGAATCATTAACATTTTTATTTAACCTTTTATAGTTATCTTCATCCATCCAAAACTTTTTATAGTATTTGTGAAATGATGTTTGCGGGATAAACTTATTAATTTCAATACCAGAAACACTAGAAACTAAATGATATAATAAAAATAAACCTTTTTCAACTTCAAAATAAGGGCCAGGATATTCACAGCTAGTATATAAAACAACCAAAAAGAAAAAAATAGCTATATGACCAAGTTTATTTACTATAATCTTTTTAATATCATCAATACCTTTAATATGTTTTAATTCTGTACGATGCTTGTAATTATAATTAATAATTGGCCAGTTATATTCCAAAAATTCCCACTTATTAATAATAATTTTGTTAACTTCATTATTAATCTTTTCATCTATTTGTTGGTTATCCATTGTAATATATTTTTATATTTAATTAAAATTCAATTTTTTTTATATTCAATTTTAAAAATATGATAATTTTATAAACATGAGGAATTTTTGTGAACCTTAAATATTTTGTTGACCTTAGTTTAGATGAAAAACTTCAACTAGTAAACATCCTCCACATACGAAAATCTTAAAACGAATCAAAAGTGGTAGATAACCAGTAGTACGACGTCTGAATCTGGATAAGTACAGAGGGTAGTAGTAGAAGATAAGATGAAGATGCTAGCTTTAAAATACTCCCATCACCAGTAAGTTCACTGCAGTATTTTTTTAGGGAAAGAAGGAGTCTAGAAGTAGTCATGCTAACCAATATTCTCATTTTGTATTCAGCCCCGCTCATTCAATGATCTTAAGCACCAAAGACGATGCTTGGAAAGATTACTTTTCGCCCCAAGAACTCCATCAAATCAACACGCTGAACCCTATCGAACTTCCATCGCTACCTGCTTCCCTCAAGGAATACTTTTTGTCGTATCAAAGAAAGGTAAAGGTCATATTGAGCATGTGTAGTAGTAATTTTTTCGTAAGTATGTGTCAGTGAGTAATTCTACGGCTGTTTGATCATATAGAAAACATTGGATCAGCTTTTGGAGCATCGCAAACGACACGACTTCAATCCAAGAACCCAACCTGACTTGTATTGGGCTCAGAAGTCGATTATCCATGCAACAGATCTTTTTTTGTACCAGCAATTACCTGCGACCTATGATACTGAAAGTGATCTCATACATAAAAAATGGGGGTTTGTGCAGTCCTGCTTTTATGAATCGAGATTCCGTGTCTAAAGATAAAATTTCAACACAAATCATTATGATGGCACAATTTCAAATGTGTGGCAACATAGACATTAATGTGTTTATAGTTATATATAGTGGAGAAAAGTCCAGCATTAGTTCCTCAATAAGAAAAAATTCAAACCGATCTACTAATGAAGAAGGTCAACTCAACAGGAAAGTGGTTGGCACAAAAGTTGACCTTATCATCAAGCAAGGAAACTTAGAATATGGTTGCATGGAAGCTGGTTGTTCAGACGATCCATTGAACACCAAAGGCGTAGACGAGGGTAGATTGAAACTTCCAAGGACTTTGAAGGATATTTTGTGTCGTTTGACGAAGGAGGCACCGGGAAAAATGAACGATATCAAGGTTGCAGGTTTGGTCATTTCTGGTAAATATATTATTTAGTAGTCATACTGTGTTTTCTTTGAGTTGTCGCATTATAAAGTTGATGTATTGAACTAAATTGCTTTTGAATAGGCATCAACATCACGTTGTACATCGAAGACTGTCCTGCTGGTTCAGTGACAAGGTTAAAAAGTATTGGTCCTTACGAGTTTCGCGGATCTGTCGAAAAATTCGCAAAGAAATTCATTCCGCTCCTTGCTCTGGTTGTTTGGCAAACCAAAGTTATCATGAAAAATATGCTACAAATTATAAATGCCGGTGAAGAAATCATTTTTCCATCGATCGACGGCCCAGAACCCCCACAAATTCCACCTTGCATGCCATCTCCAAAACTTGGCACAAAAAGAAAACACAACCAAGTCGACTATCTAAATAATTAATCTTACACTACCGAACCTGCCTTGCATCATCATCCTACTGCAGTTATAAAAAATACCCTCTTGCCAACCAACCACTTTACACATAATCAAACATCACCATTTTCACAATCTGCACTCTCATATGATACTCAAAGTAATTACATACATACAGACCACATATTTACACACATCAAAACAGTCATACATACACGCATTCAAAATTTCACATATACACGCACATAATTTGGTCAAGACGAAATTTGTAATAAACACAATATATTACCCCCTCTCATTTTTTTCATGACTCTTGTGTTATTCAGGAACAAAACAAACATATACAGTATTATACTCAGCACAATTCATTGAAAAGTGAAAGAGAGAGAGAGAGAGAGATGAAAAAGGAGTGGTATACATATTGTTTTTAAATAATAATGTTGAGGTAAATGAAGACCATTAAATTTTTTGATGAACATGGCCTATAATACCTTTACGCAATATGAGATGGATCACGGTGTCGATCGATCGTCACAAAGAATCCTTGCTGGAGCTTTTGAACAAGCGTATCAAAAGAACTGGAGATGATGAAGCCAAACTTTAAGGATTCATGTATGTTACTAGAGGATGCTGATTATGATATCCAAATATTACTTGAATAAGAGAGGGATAGAAATTATAGGGGGTAGATTTAAGGGGGGCCGCTGTAGAACCATCAGCGTAATTGATATCTTTCATAAAAGTGGCGAATAAGTTCCCCGATGAAGATGATGCTGTCGCTGTTGATGATCTTCTGTGTTGTCTTCTTCAGGTTGTGCAATTGTAGGTGCCCGTTGAGTACATTGGTAGCGGTTGTTGTTGCATTTGTCGATGGTATTATTGATCGACTTGTCGTGTTGCTGTTGCTGTTGTTGCCAAACAAGGATGCAGATGTTGGATCGGGAACTTAGATAGGGAAGCTAAATGGCGCTCGATTGAAGCGTGGTGTCAATGACCAATGAGAAGCAAGTGTCACCGGATACCGAATCTCTAAAGAATACATGATTACTGTTGTGACAAGTCGGTGCCTAGGGTTCACATACCTTTCAACGAATACCAACCATTGATCACAAACGATACCCTTATGCAAATACCTAGGTGTGTTATGAATTTTTTGTTGCTGCTGCTTTTGTAATGAGGTGTGGTGTATATGTGAGAAACACATGCGAAGCATGGTTTTCCTTGACTATAATAAACAACGTTGACAAAGGTCGAAATATTTTAATTTGATGAGGTTCCTCTATATATTATGAACAAGTAGCCTTTTTTTTAATCTTTATGATTAATATTTTACCTTGACAGACAGAATACGAATGTCTAACACCGTCGATTTATGACTCACAGAAAATACAAAGGAACCTCGAGCCTGAGGTTGCTGAGGCACGTTTGCAGTGATGGGCACCTGGAACTTCCATCAACAGGTTGTGGTTGAACATTTTGTGTACATGTATGACACTCTTACTATGAATGACAATGAATACAATAACATCTCGAGTTGAAAGATAAGAAAATAATAATTGAGTAAACTAGAATAACGTATAAAATCTGCTGTCAACACCAAACTTACGTATTGGCATCAAATTGCTTTGAGCAGTTGTTGCAAGTATGTAGGTGGACAAGTAGGTTGTACAAAGTAAATCAATCGCCGCTTGATAAATTTGCGCAGCGGCCTTGTTTATAAAGTCACACTTTGTTTGCTTAAAAGTTCTCCGTTTCCTTTCCCTTGAACACTTTAGTTAATTCCACGTCCTGAGTTTTCTCCTGACAATTTTCTAACAGCATACAAGCAAAATGAACAACATAATCACAAATCGATTAGCCAATCGTCTCGGTCCGCTTTCCGTCTTGCCTGTCGAGATCTTGATTTCAATCTTTGCGCTGCTTTCGACCAGCGATCGTCTCAAGGCGCGCGCTGTATGCACAGCGTGGAACGAATGGATCATGAATACACCTCTGGTTTGGGCATCGACCGAGGTTACCCGAAGCAACTCTAAAACTATTTGTGGTGTGCTGCCCATTGTTGCGGGTCACATTGAAAAGATCGTTGTCCTTTGGGACGCAAACAGCTTTTTGACGCCAATGGCGCAAGGTCTTTTCAAAAACCTAAAATCGTTTGAGATGCTTGGTATGAATTGCAAAGTGATCCGAGCTCTTATCCTGTTGATACATCGATTATGGCTGCTTACAAATAGGTTATATCGATACAACTTGGGTTACTATTAATATTTGCTAGGCATCAAGACTCCCAATGTAAACTATGTAGAAGAGGAGCTGAGTCTGAGCGCACTTCGAGCAGTCAGAAATACGTTGACCGAGGTCTACTTGGACTTTAAGCTCACTCCGGAGCCACCCACCTACTTTGACATATGTCAGGCGTGTCCAAATCTCAAGAAAATTGGCTATTACGTCAACCATTTCAAGTGGCCGAGAAGTTTCTACAACCAGAACTATATCCTCAACACAGACAATGACATAACGTTTGATAAGATTGTGGAAGCAGACATTGGCGCAAACAGAGTCGCTCTTACGTCAGTCGACGTCGAAACGGTTCTGAAGCAATGCCCAAACCTGAAAAACCTCAGCGTCACCAGATTTCCGTATCAACGATTCATCGGTATCATTGCTAGCAACGGCATGCACCTGGAACGGATCACATTCAACCGTCGTCAAAAATGCACATATCATCAAGACAACCGCTTCCCTGTGACGTTTCCCAAAACGCTGCCATATCAACCTGGAAAGCTGCATAGCCTGTGCCTGATGGAGGACGACTTTTCAAAACCGATGCCATGGGAAAGCTTGCTACCGATTCTCGAACAAGCAGCATCTACGCTTCACCACCTGAGCTGCTCGCTCAAGATGCATAATACCAAATTCACTCGCATTTTCGGTGCCAACCCTCGCCCAATCGCTTTTCCAAACCTATATTCTGTCAAGTTATGTGTCGGGGACACAAAGTCGCAAAAGTATGCTGCCTCCTTGTTGACCAACGCACCAAAGCTTGCCGCAATCGCCATTCGTAACTACTCTCATGGCAAAACGGACGACGGCATCCTGGATGCCTTGTTTGACGTCAAGAGTCTGAAATGGCTCGAGCTTCTTGAGGAATCCAAAAACAAGCAACTCAGTAACAGAAGACTGTGCAACCTGATAAAGAAGCATGCGGACCTGGGTGATGACGCTCCTCTGCAATATGTTTCGTTTGACGGCCAGTTTCTTAACCGTGCGGTTTTGGAAGAGCTGGCAAAAGTGACGTCGCTGCGCGGTGTGGATCTAGGATTCAGCGATGTACCTCTCGGAGAATTCCTGTCAGCCATGGCCAAAGAGCATCCACACTTTCGCGAAATTCATCTCACCAGGATGAGCTCAGTAACAAACTTTGATCTTGCACTACTCACCCAGATTCGAGATCTGACACGGATTCATCTGCTTGGTTGCAAGAGCGTCGATGGGACGGGTTTGTACAGGCTGCTTACAAGTTCATCTTTGCAAGAGTTGGTAATCAGTAAAGAAACAAGTCGAAGAGAAAGGTTTGATGCGATTGCGAGAGAAAAGCTTGCTCGATTCATGATTGATTCGCATTACGACGACTCCTGGTTTTGAGGAATACCATAGACATCCATTGTCTCTTTCTTGAACCTCTTATTGTTTTTTTTTCTTTTATATCTGTAGTAACATTTCATTCATACCTTTATGTTAGCTATTATCAATAAAATACACTTTTTCCAGGATAGCTCGTTATCCAATATAAAAGTGACTGAGGCTATGTTTATGTTACGCTAGAAGATACCGAAGACTGACATTTTGCATAAACGAGCGGAGACAGGTGCTACACTGAACATGCAAGTCTATTTATCTTTGTCTGCATATACAAAGAAGTAATCGTCCTTGTGGAATCTCAAAATGCTGTTGTTCCATTTCTACGAGATACAGTATTCTTTGCTCTTGTTCAGAGTGTAATGCATCATTTCACAAGAGTTTCTGATGATATTTGTATGGAATTTTTTTATATAAAGACTATGTGAATGAAGGGCTAATTAACCATCAGAAGCATGTCTGTCGTCGACGATAGGTGCGTTTGAGATGTATCTCACTACTGTAAGTAACAGTTGCCTCTTTAAGAGAAAGCACAAGCATGCCTTGCACGGGAAAACCATTTGGAAAATAATATATATAGTGACCATAGATTGATATTTAGAAAAAATGACCCTACTGCTTATCATCGTCTCGTTGTACATAGGTACGTGCTGCATCTTTTTATAGTATAGGAAGTTGGCATAAAATATTGATAGACACTCGCCGTATGCACCATTAAGAACGCACGAGAATGGAGATGCTGTCTTGCCGGCTTTATAGTCGTTTTAAGAAAAGGCTTATATTGGTAGACTAGGCATTGCTGCTAGGTAACCAACAGAGCCGTTATGAAATGCCTCAATTACCATAGAAACAGGAAGCGGAGATGTTTCTTTAACCGGGTGGGAACAGAAATGTTGGCAAATGTGTCAAAAAGCATATCGGACTTTTCACACTCCCCCTACGCTTTCTGGTAACTTTTTACAAATACACAAAACATAATACACAATGTTCAGAGGAATTGCACGACACACGAGCCAACATGCCCGGTTATTGAACACGGTTGCAGTACACCGTAGCAGCATCGCTTCCGCTACCATGCGATCCATGTCGACACAACGAAAAAGCCAGGATCCATACCCCGATCTAGGCATCCGACATGCCCCACAAATGGAGATCGACACACCCTATCCCAACCTGCCACCGATCCCACGACCCAACGAACCGTTGGAAAAGAAACGAGCACGCCTGGTATATCAATCGCGCAAACGGGGTATTCTGGAAACAGACTTGCTACTTTCGACGTTTGCCAAACAGTATCTTCCCGAGTTCTCGATGGAGCTGTTGGAAAAGTACGACAAGTTATTGGATGAGCCGGATTGGGATATCTTTTACTGGGCTACGGACAAAAAGGCCGTTCCGGACTATCTGCAGCAGAACGAGGTCCTGGACATGATCCGTGAACATGCCAAAAACGAAAACAAAGTAGTTCTTAGAATGCCAGATTTGGAAAACGGTCAATAAAGGGCTGCATTCGATATGACTCATCGTCGTCCTATATGACACGCGTATCTTTTCCACACACAGCTTTGTAAAATATGTACTCTCTGGATAATAGACCCCAGCATTGGTTTGGATACAGAAAAGGAATTTCGAGGGGGAGGTTTATTGTTTGTTGCTTGTTTGTTAATAAGGAAACAAGGAAGGGGCCAAGTTAAGCGGGGGGTGAGGAGAGAAAGAGAGAGAGAGAGGGCGGAATGCGAGGGTATGTATACACAGTATACCGCAGCAGCAGCAGCAGCAGGCATGTCCACACGGGTGCGAAACAGTCCATGGCTTGAGCTGTATTTCTCGGCCCGATACACCAATTATGTAGCAAGCCGATGTCCCGGAAACACAATCTCATCTCGCTTACTTTTATTGAATGCCAGCAGGACGATAAAAAAACGTACGTGTAGCTTTGTGACATTCCCACTTTATCCTTTCTTTTTATTCCACTTTGCAAACAACCTTCTACCCCCGATCTTCGTTGCCACACCGTTCAAATACCATATCTCTCAAAACGTCAAATGATCCCCACCATACAGGACAACAGCAACCCACAAGCATCTGCAGGTGCTACCGCTTTATCCGAAAACAAGCCCGTGATCGCATTCATCGGCGCCGGCAATATGGCCGAAGCTGTCATCGGTGGCCTCTATGCAAGCGGCCACCCATCGACACACCTGCGGTTCTCAGAGCCGTTTGACGCACGACGTGAATACATGGAGTCCAAGTTCCCCCAATGTATGAGCACAACGGACAATAACAAGGTGATTGACGGCGCGGACGTGGTGATTTTGGCAGTGAAACCCCAAGTACTGCGTCAAGTGGTGTCGGATCTCAAGTTTACGGACACCAATGTGCTCATCATTTCGATCGCAGCAGGCATCAAGACGGAGCATATCTTGCGATGGTTGGAGACGCCACAGCCGGTGGTGCGATGCATGCCAAATACCCCAGCATTGATCGGCGAGGGTGCAGTAGGATTATACGCGACGGAAAGTGTCAATGATGCACAACGTGACACAACAGTGGGGATCATGAGTGCAGTTGCCAAGCGGGTGATGTGGGTCGACAAGGAGGCGGCTATCGATACCATCACCGCCATGAGTGGTAGTGGTCCTGCGTACTACTTTTTGTTCATGGAAGCTATGAGTAAGTTTGAGTGCGGGCTATTCATTATGGATGGGAGCTAATTTGTGGTTGCGGGTATATATTAGCCAACGCAGGCGTTGCTGCTGGATTGACGCCGGAGGAGGCCAATGATCTGACGGTACAGACGTGCTTGGGAGCAGCAAAGATGGCACAGCAGTCTGAGGATGATCTGGCAACGTTACGGAAAAAGGTGACGTCGCCCAACGGCACAACCGAAGCAGCACTCAAAACGATGGAAGCAGCCAACATCCGCCAGATCATCCATGACGGCGTGTTCTCAGCTGAACGGCGTTCTCGGGAAATTGCCGATGAGATGGGCAGAGATCAGTAAATAATAACTCTTGCATAGACCAGACGACTCCAATCATTTCATAGCATAGACCCTACCCTTCCGCACACACTTTCATTGCTTCCCTTTGTTTGTAAAAAAAAAAATTCCGTTGTTTTCATTTTATATTTCTTTTAGTTCCTTTGTACAGAAAACAGATTTGGCTGGATTTGGATATAAGTTTGAAGGGGATGGGGGAGAGATAGAAGGGCTAGAAAAGTGGGAAAATATATGGGGAAAAGAGCAGCAGCATTTCATTCATGGAAGTGTGTTGTGTGATGGACGGTTGGAAGGGGTGGTGTGAATCCCAAAAAGAAGGGGGGGAAGAGTGAGTAGAGGCCCGGTGAGGGGAGGGGGGAGGCAGGCGAGGGGTCTACTACTACTACTACTACTACTACTACTACTCAGCAGCACGCGATTGATTGCTTTGGCTGAGAGCAGCAGTGCATAGCTCGGTGAGACGCTGGAGATGGTGGAGTTTGGCAGCATCGTCGTCTTCAGCGGATTCAGGTGATGAGGTCGTAGCAGGCGAGGTGGATGTGCTGGGCACAGGTGTGCTGGACCGCTGTCCTTTGCCGTCCTGTGCTTCTTTCTTGATGGCAGACGAAGCAGGAGCAGTGGCACTGTCTGCAGCATCCTTGTCTTCCTGCTCTCCCTCTCCAGCTTCATTGCGGCCACCGTCATTCTCGCCGTCGTTGTCGTCATCGTCATCTTCCCGTTTGACATGCCCGTCTTGCTGTTGGTGCTCACTGCTGTTGTCCCGATGATGATGATGCTGGTGATGGTGATGGTGGTCACTATTCGCTGCTGGCAAGGGCACGGGGTAGCCCATGGAATGGTATATGGCAACATACGGGTTGGACATCATCTGATCCTTGTTGTGGTAGGCTGCAGCATACTGGCCATAGGCTGCTGCTGCTGCTGTTGCTGCATCATACGGCTGTGCATACTGGTTCAGGTTGCTCGGATAGCCATAGGGCACGTTTGGCGGGCGCATTGCTTCGTACTGGCTTGCGGCTGCTGTTCCTGACGCCGCCCGTTCTTGGTCATCGTGCTCCTTCTCGTCGTTGCTGCCGTCTTGCTTGCTGCTTTTGTGAGGTCGAGACCCGCTGGCTTCTTCCTCTTCTATAATGACAAGGCCATTCCCCCCACCCCCCATTGAATAAAAACAAAAAGAGAAGGTTTCTTCAGTCAGTCACTTGTCGCTCTCCCCTTTCCATAGTTCGTCAAGAAAGAAAGAAAACTTGTTTTTCTAGTGTGAATCTGTAAATTATTTACCTTTTGTTCTTCTCTTGTAAGGGCCACGCTTGATCCCCTTCTTGCGCTCCTTCCGCACTGAATTCACACAGGTTTCTGTAATTCCATACTTGATACAGCGAGGACAAGGTCGCGCATCGTCACACTTTTTGCATGCCTTTTGGCAGTTGGCTATTATGTACAGATTTGGGGGGATTTACTTTACATTCGAACCCAGTTATCTAGCCACTGCTGTTCAACTTACTGCAAGCATTCTTGACCTGCTTTCGTTTGGGATGCAATTGAGTCAATGCACTTTCACGTGAGGAGACTGGATGCTGCTGCATGGTGTGGATGCCATTGGCACCGTTCATGAGCGATGTTACGGCAGAAGTCATTGCAGCGTCAATCACTTGTGCACCGCTGGTCGCACCACCCTCGCTGGCTGTAGTAGTAGTCGTCGTGGTAGTAGACGAGTAGAATTGCATTGGCGGCTGTTGCATAATATTTTGGTAGAGTAATCTCAGCGGAGGGGCGGCAGGGAGGGAGGAGGTTCAAGAACGATTAAAAAAAATAACTCTAAAAGAAGAGAGAGAGAGAGAGAGAGGTATGGAAAGAAAAAGAAAGAAAAAAAAAAGATAAGCCATCCCGTATGTGTTTATGAAAATATAAACAATTTCCATAGAGAAAAAAGTTTTTTTTTTCTGCACCATAGCCTTTGGAGAAAATATCCCTTCATCTCTCACCAACTATCTTAACCCATGAATCCCTTTCACCCAATCTCTCTTTTTTGTTGCATAAACGAGTGAAAGGTGAATAAAAAACAAAAAGCCAGACAAAACCGCGAACGCGCACCGCGTCGCTATTCCACCAACCTCTTTTAAAAGCGGCGCTTGGAAAGCTGACTTTTCTTTGCTTTACTGGTTGGAAAGGGAAACGGGGGAAAGAGCAATAGTGTCCGCACAGTAGCAGTGTGTGTATGTTTTGGAGTAAGAGAAAGAGAAAAAAAGCCCTTCAGAGAAAAGAAGAAAAGAAACAGAAAATACTTACGTGTTTTCTTTGGGTTTGCTTAATAGCAAAAGGGAAAAAAAGCAAAGCAAAGAAAAAAGGGTGCGGGCGTCTACGAAACATAACGCCGCGGAGTTTACATGGAAATGGCGAACTCCGCCCAACCTTGTTCGGAGTTTTTGTGAAAAAAAGGGCAAGTGCGAATGCCCAGTGTGCCCCAATTAGGGACATTGTTAGATCCTAGTTCTAGAGCGTCAAGCGACTCTGGATGCCATGTGTGTTTTTAACTCTAGGTTTGTCTTACTATCAATTGTGCTAAATAAGACTAGAAAACGAATCATTGACAGAGCCAGCCAGCAAAAAGCCGTCGACGACGACGACGACGACGATGGTGATCATGCAAAAGCAAATTGATGCAACGTAGTCCGACTTGGCTTACCATATATAGTTCCCAGCCCTTTCGATCTGTCAAGTGAGCTCTTCTCTCCTTCTCTCTTTATTACATGTGCATGTCGACCCGCCCAAATTTATATATAATAGGGTTATACAGTATGTACATTCTTTCGAGTGTGGTACAGTGGTCATCTGACTTTTGCTGCTTACTGATCAACCCTACTGGCCACCCATCATAACTGTATGGTGTGGTCTAGTACACATGTTTGTCGCTTCTACACTGTAGTTGTTTTTAGAGTAACAATTGCAACAAGAGACAAAGGGACATGCTCATTGTCCTCTTGTCGTTGTCGTTTGCAATATCAACACCGACTGTAAAAGATTTCTTTAATGTAGCTACAACAGCCATGCACACGTGGTAATATTTATTCGCGTGAAATAATCTTCCGCGTATTTTCGTTCCCATTGTTTTCTTGCTCTAGCTTGTACTCCATAAACGACCATTGCCCTCTTGGATAATAGAGTGGCTTTCCTTTTTCCGAGACAGCATCTTCGTTAACGAGAATATGCCGAATGCTGGATCCTGGTGTGTCATACATAGCATCGAGTAGAAGGTTTTCCTATAAATGGAGTTTTAACACATAAGCTAGCCATATCCACATAGTACGAGCTTGGTCATTTCTTATACCATGATGCGTCGTAGACCGCGAGCACCAGTTTGCTTTTGCACAGCATGTCGAGCGATGATGGATAATGCTTGGTTTGTAAACCGGATTTCCGCCTACAGTAAAAAAAAAGAAAAGAAAGAATCAACCACTGTTGTCTCATATATATATACATTATGGAAAAAAAAAAGAAACTTGTATTATGTACCTGATACAAATGGAAGAGGTCCTGATACTGCTTTACCAAAGCGTTCTTGGGCTCTGTCAGTACCCGCACAAGGTCATCTTCGGACAATTGATTGACACTGGCAACAACGGGTAATCTTCCTACAAATTCAGGCAGGAACCCAAATTTCATGATATCGTGGGGTTCAACATGATCCAACGTTGTTTTATATGCAGTAGTAGTAGTGATAATGCCTTCACCAAATCCTGTCTAATAAAAAGTATATAACGTTAATCATAGTGAGGAATACATTAGAAAGGCAGCCAATAACTTACACTAGAAGCTTTGTTCAAGCGTTGCTTAATATGCTCTTCCAATCCAACAAATGCACCGCTCAAAATAAAAAGAATGTTGCTCGTATCGACGTTATAAGAATCACCTGGACCACCACCTGGAGCTGTCTTTAAAGCAGAAGAAGAAGAAGAAGAAGAAGCTGAAGGAGGATTGACCGGTTGACCCATATACGTTCCTCCACTAAGATTGGATGATGTCGGCACGCCCTTATTGGTCACTTTGACAGTGGTTCCTTCTAGCATACGCAAAAGAGCTTGCTGCACGCCTTCACCACCGACATCTCTTGAAGAGGACCTTGTGCCTTCGGGTCCACCCGTTCGTGCCAACTTGTCAATTTCATCAATAAACACAATTCCCGTTTCTGCTTTGTCAATATCATAGTCGCAGCTCTATATATACATGTGTGTGTGGTGAGTATGTCAAATCCCTGCCTAAAGTCTTTTTTTTATATCCTGGGATGATGGTTATACCTGAAGCAGTCGCTCTATAACCGATTCAACATCGTCACCAACATAGCCAGCCTGTGTAAATGACGTAGCATCCGACATTGAAAAGGGAACTTGGAGGATATTTGCCAATGTTTTGGCCAGTAATGTTTTTCCTATCGAATTTGCGTTTTTTACTATTATGCTGCCATAACAGCAGGCAGGTTATCACAAGGAAATCGCCACCCTTTCAATTTTACCTGATCCTGTCGGCCCAATAAGTAACACATTGCTCTTTTCCAGCAACGTCGTATCCATTTCGTTTTCTGCCATGGAATTGGCTGCTGCTGCTGCCGCTGATGATGATGAAGAGAGCAGGTCCTGCTGCTCTTTCTCTTCCTGGTCACCAATTACAACTGGAGATGGTTCCTCTTCTTGTTCATGATGATGAAAGATATGTGGATGATCGTCATCGACTCCCGTTGCTACTGTGGATGATGGTTGCCGGTTTCCTCCTCCTGCTGCTTCTTCTCGTTTACGTGCCGCTTGGGCTCGTGCCATATTCGCTTGAACTCGAGTATAATGGTTGTACACGGCTACCGATAAGGTCTTTTTTGCCCTTTCCTGTCCAATTACATACTCGTCCAGAACTTTTGTTATCTACCCAACATACAGGGTGTTTGTGTTATTGTTTTTTTTCGTCTGTGTACAGTTACTGTTTTTTTTTTGTCTATTGTGCCGTTCAAAGCAAGGGTTCAGCTACGGTATGTTTGCTCACCACGAACAAACTTACTATTCGAGGATTAAGAGTGTCTAAAGTCAAATGACGTTTGGTGACTGGTGATAAGAGCACTCGAAACGAATGTCGGTTAGACAATGTCGTGCATGAGCGTATGAATAACATGGCGTATTTCCGAGAAAGTGAGGCTTTCTCTTTTCTGTCAGGAGCAAAGCAACAGTAGTATGATAGTGCAAAACTCCTGCAGGTTTTTATATCTTGCGAAAAATTCGCACTAAAGTTACTATATCTCGGTAAATCGCGACATGTACGCGTGCGGGGCAACATTGGAAAATAGCTTCCGCATCTGTCACTATTCAATGTACTACATATGAGTCATGCCAACTACACTGAATTGAAGCGATATCGCTGGTTGTCTTGGTACTGCTCCTTCCATCATCTTTTTTTTCGATTTAGAGTGGACGTATATAGGTTCTCCGTTTGGGACTATAGAGAAGGAAAATGAAGGGGAAGGGGCGGAAGGTCCGGGGAGGAAAAAGACAAAAAGTATATATAGTGGGAGGGGGAGTGAGAGAGAGAGAGTATAGTACATAATAAAAAGTGCGTCTCATTCCTTTTTATTTCACGGTAGATCGCACATAGAATAGATTATATGCGGCTCGCGTCTAATACGATTCACATTGATGTGAGCAATCTTCTTGCTGTATATGTGACATTCGCACAAACAATGAACTTTCTTTTTCTTACCACAACTTTGTTTTCTTCACACATGGAGAATCGCGTATCATCAAAGTAATGCCAATCGCCTTGGTATCCGTCACGAACAGCAGCGGTATCTAATCAAGTTACTGTAAGTTAGTATTCTACGATGGCACCTCTAGCGCTCTAGAGATAGTGAGTAGATACAAGCCGCAAACAATAATACGTACAGTGACCACCTGTTAACGATCCATAATGATTCTGATAAAACACACAGGTATATTTCAGCTTTAGCTCTCAATGCTCGATCCTCTATACAAGCCAAACCTTGATAACTTACAGATACACCATATAAATCATATTTAAATGAGGGTCGTTCAGTATTCGGTGGGATCATCGAGCTTGGTACATATTTAGAAAGATCTAGGTTTCTACAGATAATCGAACTCATTTCAGCATTGGCCCAATGTTTGATCTATCACATCAAGAAAGTAAAATAGTTTCTTTTTCTCCTCCCTTTTTACCTTGTTGGACAATCCACCATAGTCTCCAGCTTGTTACGGAAAGGTCCCTCAAATGAAAACCGTTTTAAATGAATCAGTAGAACTACGGGCATCCGGGATAATGTCAAGCTCTTGGTGGATCGCCGTGGCTTTTTGCATCGTGGACAATTCCTGATATAATGACACAAACGGGAGGATCTAAATGTTTAGATATGACTGGAATCCAACTCAAGAACTTTAAAGGACAGTAAACGTTACCATGCGTCGTCGTTATCCAAGGTTTCTTCCTTGACAAAAGCATCCAGACACTGATAGAGGTTTACAGAAGATGTCGAGGATTTTGTTGGTATAGGAAGCGATAATGACATGAACGTGTTGTACGTAGTAGATGTCTGGAATAAAAATATAGGATTTGCCAAACAGCGATTAGAACCAGACGAAAAATCAATCACACCAACATAGGTTACGATCCTACCTGTTTACACGTTAAGCACGTGAGACGACTCCTGTATTGACCTTGGAACAAGCTGACAATGATACTTTCATTCCGTTCCAGATATTTGCTCCATGCAATACCACTTGCTTGCCAATCCGGTAACAGTTCAAACCGTTTTTCTTCTGCCGGATCTTCCGGTTTCGGACGAGGTCGTTCCAGTACTACGTTCACATCTTCATGAAGGCCGTCCAGCAGAAACATGAGAAATTCTTGTGAATCTTGTTGCTCTGTACCAGCAAATTGTGGTGCGAAACGAACAAGCGCTTGCTATTCATGTGTTATGTTGTGTATATGTATCAGTCAGTCAGTCAGTAGGGTAAAACGAGAAGCAAAAAGAAACTTACGCGGAACGTCACTGGTGAAATGAAGTTGTAGTTTCCACTCCACATGACTCGAATCAAATCCGCCAGACTTTGTACTAAAACACCACCGGTTCCCAATGGATTGCTTTTGTTGACGTGCTGCTTATACATGCCAGCTATTTCAAGATATTACACATGAGTCGCTTTATCTCCCTCAAGGTCCCCCCCCCTTTTTTTTTTCCCCTACCACACAAACATACTTAGCAGATACCGCGCAAGAGGTGTGGTACCACTCAGACACTGAATAATCGAGCTCATGAAACAAGTGTTGCCCAGATTCTTCAATCCAGTCTTGCCGATTTGAACAGTGCTCAACTGAGACATGGTATTTTCGGTCGGGATACGAGCATAACGACTATCAATGACGGGATGTTCTTGGGCAGCATGTTTCAAACTTTCTGGCTTGGAAGGCAAGGGTGGAGCAGATGGACCAGCAGATGAGGGTCGTGGATGATGGTGCGGAGAATAAAGTGGTCCTCCTGCATCTCGTGCTGGCGTGCGTGGAGGAGGATGTGCTACTTGTCCTGGTGGTGGCGGTGGTGGTGGTAAAGGACGGGTGGGCTTTGCAGGAATTCTAGGTGGTACATCGTAATTGTTGGTGGCTGTCTCGGTGAAACCATGGAAAGGATTGTCGATAAATGTTCTTCGTCGTTGAAGACTCGTGCCTGCGCTGTTGTTTTGTGGCATAGTAGCAATAGCGGCAGCAGAAGAGACATTGGGTTTGATGTCTGGGTATCTAGCCATGACGGATTCTTCAGTGGGTGTTGGTGGTTGTTGGTTTTGATTGGCATTGTCATACGGTGGGGCGATAGGCATTGTTGCGGGTGGTAGCTCTACGCCTCCGGCTGTAGGTGTTGAAATCGAGTTGGCGAAAATACCTTGCAGTGGAGGCTTTGGTCCACTTGCCCGTGTCATGGATTGAAGTTCGTTATCATATTGCTTTCCGTTGAACTATAGTTTTGTTGTGGTTATAAAGGGGGGCATTATTCAGTTGACATATATTTCCACATAGGAATTGTCTCTCCTTTTCTTTTTGTTCAACTTACCCAATCGAATGGTGTATAGTGCAGACGCTCCCTATGTCCAGGCCCTCTTCCTACCACATTTTCAAGCCAGTGCCGTCTTCGACTAATCTCTTTAGGCTGTTCATTTTCCTTTCCATCCTGTGGCTGTTGTCGTTGTTGTTCATGCTTCGACTGCTGTTGCTGTTGCTGCTGGTTCCGATTAGGGTCCACGTAACTATACACGCCGCGGTAGCCAATCACTTGTTCCCAAGCAGCAAATCCACCTGCCAACAGCATAGGCACCCGTTGCAATATTTTGTTGAACTCATTTTCGTAGATAGCAGCAGTGAGATTACGTAGCGGTTCAGTTGCATCGTCCAATCCGCGGGTATCTTGGTCGTAATATACAATGAGATCAAATTTGTTTCTTTGATCAAACAACATTTGCTCTGCCTCGGCGTTCAAAACCAATGATTGTTGAATCTTTTGAGATGTGACCCTATACAACCCAAACACACGAGTAGCAAAGAAACAAAAAAATTGATTAGGCAACTTGGTCAAATATATCACTAAACAATAATAATTTACCCTCGACGAAGTGATAAAGGTTCAATCTGACATATCCATGGATGCCTGATACACCCTTCCTTGTACATGGACTGAGGTCGTACGTCGAGCAAAAGGATACTGGGTCGATTTTCTATTCGTTGGATCCATTTGGCAAGAACTGCCGGTTCCACTGTATTGGTAGGTGGAAACGCAAATGTACTTCGTGGAGGTAGTTGAAGCTGCTTAATCGCACTACTTTCAAAGTTACTGCTGCTGCTGCCAGGACTACCATTCATACCGGCAGTAGAGCTGCTTGTTGAAGATGCGAGCATATTACTTCCATGGATGGGTGGCAACGGCGGTGGCGGTGTATTGGGTGCCGATGACGATGCTGTTGTAGTTGTGGATGGTAAGGACGACATCATGGTTGTGGGTGCAGATGGTTTTCTTCTTGTCAAGTGATCGGGCACTGCTGGTGGTGAAGGCGATGGTTCTGGCATGGCCATGCGTCGACCTGCTTGTGGTGCATGCGTTGGCACAGACGGTAGATCATCCAGCGGCGATACTTCTTCCTTATTGCTTTCCGGCCACGCTGAATCCAAGGCTGATACTGGAGGAAATCGTTCCATTGCGTCACTACCGCCAGTATTGTTGCTAAACATAATCGGTTGTTGCTTTTCTAATTCTTCTTTGATCGACTCGAGTGAGTTGAGTATATCCGGAGCTCGCTGTATATAATAGAGGTATATGGGTTATAAATAAATCTGTAGGTGTTTTTTGGTACCACCGATCCATCATGCTTATGTAGCTTCAGAAACCCGGAAAATAAAAGTTGTATGTTGTAATATCATACCTTTGACATTGCTGCATAAAGGGGATTCGACTTGATTTCATTGACTCCGGGATGTTTTCCAATAATGTCGACCAGAATGCTATATCGTAACGTATTATACAAATAAGCAGCTACGTTAAGGTACAGTTTTACGCCACCTCCAACCCCTTTTCTCCCCTACTTTAAACTTTCTGCGCGCAATTTAAAAAAAAAGAAAGCTTCTTACTCGCAACCCTTCAGGTAATGAATATACGCGCTTTCGAGATCGTTTAAGCGTCGGGTCCTGTCACCCTAAAGATAATATATCTGTTTAGTTCCATGCCAGAAAGCTGATGTGTTTTGGCAAGGTGTTTTGTTGCCTTTTACCCCGCCAAGGCACAATGCCAAGACTCGTTTTACCTCGTCAAATAAACGCTTTACTGACAATAGCCATTGCTTTGCTGTATATTTGTTGGCATCGGCTTTATTGATAGCAGCACGTCGATGCAATTCTGCAAGAGATACGGGTGGTCGTGGGTGCCCGTTACTAATGTAAGGTGCTCGACTCATTGAGGGTACAATAAAAAGGAGGGTAAGTAATATTTGTCCGTCTTATCAGAAAAACTGTCGTGTGTGCGTGTGTGTATGTGTGGCGGGAGAAGAAAGAAAAAAGGTAAAAGTAAAAGGCAAGGCAGGTGGCATAGTAGCCCTCCCTCTGACACCCAATGAAATTTGAACCTGTAAGTTCAATGCTGTACTACCACCCACCAACTACGGACAACGGAGGATCATCATGCTGCGGGTCCGAAGACGAAAGATGACTGTCAGGGGCGGGTCAAGTATGCTTTGCTATTAAAAATAAGTGCTTTCCATTTATTCATTCGATTTTAGTATTTTGACAATGTGTTATCATAAGAATCCGCTGAAAAAGCGTACTAGAACGACGTTTCAGTCTAATCAATTAATGTGTTCAAAGCACTATATAATGAGTGACGTTCCTTGTATTTTAGCTATAGATACTTTTGCCTAGGGAACGGATAAGTTCGGTAACCATGGCTGCAGCTAAGCGGGGTTGCATACGTTGCTACACAACCATTCTTTGTTTAGATTGACGGGAATTGCCTCCAAGAAGCATCAAACACCCATTACACCGGGTCATGTATTGTGCATTTGTCGTGTACCCCCATCCGCACTCGGAGCTAGCAGCTTAAATATGAAGAATAACAGTTTGTTGTGTTTGCTTTCTTTCCCTTTTCTTCATCCTTTTTACTTCTTTCTCCATCTTTATGCTACCGAGAAAAAGTCTGAGGCTGGCAAAGCGTCCAGCGGCTTCTTATTATACAAAGAGTGAGACGCAAAACAAGACGTCCGTCCCTGCCAAAAAGTACGGTTCTTGTTTCCGCTTTGTCTTTCATTGGCTGTAGAGTAAGTTATATCTTTTTAACAATATTTCCTCTTTTTAGAAGGAAACGCGCAGCAAAGCAACAGCAGCCCACCAAGCACAAGGTATCTTATACTCATCGCGTCTGTGATAACATACAATGAACTCATTGGTTGAATTGCTGATTAATCTCTTTTTAGGCTGGAGTGGTAACAACAACTGCCAGCAGCACCAGCAATAAAAATAAGGTATACAGAATGAAGGGTAATTCGAAACCCTTCATTGCTTTCCAGGGTGAATGAGTCAAAGAGTGGGCTAGTATTTGTTTATGTGCGTGTGCGACGCGTTATTCTTGGTGTTTATTTCTTTTCTGACACGAAAAGTTCTCGTTTTGCGTGCGCAGCATGCGTTTACACCCGAGAATACAGGTGTCGAGGCTCCGCCCGCCGCAGCGCCTAGTCTTGCCGATCCCATCGATGCAGTCAATCAAGTGGTAGACCGCTCTTTTGATGTGCATGAAGCTTTTGCTCACTTGAAAAAAGTTGACAAAGGCTTGGCCAAAGCGATCACCGAGAAAGATATTGCTGCATATGTGGCTCGAGTCCAACAGACCGATTCATCCAATCCGTTTAGGTAATACTTGCCCTTTCTTCCTGGTTCATATTACTTGAAAAAACACTTACTACCATGATCGCTTATATACTCTCTTCATATACAAATAGAGATTTAGCATCATCTATTATTTATCAGCAGCTTAGTGGCAAAGTAGCCGCGGTCATCCGCACACGATTTGTAAGTATGTTTGCAGAAGAACACAAAGTCAAGGTTCCCAAGGCAGTTACAGGCGATTTCAAGTGGTTTCCAACTGCAGAAATGGTGCTTGCCAAGACACCAGAAGAACTCAAGACTGTAGGCCTTTCGCTTCGCAAGTCGCAGTACATTCTTGATCTTGCGCAAAAGTTCAAGGATAACGATATCACGACCTACAGACTGCATAGAATGTCCGATGACGAAATACGTGAGCTGCTGATCCAAGTGAAGGGTATTGGTCCTGTAAAGTATCAGTTAAAGACACAAGATAATGATTGCTGTTGTTGTTGCTGCTATGGATTGGACTACTCAACATATGCTATTTTGCTACTGTCAATATATAGTGGACGGTGGATATGTACCTGATGATGGATCTGGGTCATTCGGATATCCTCCCGACAACCGATCTTGGTAAGAAAGAACTCGATTAAGCTCGATTGTAATATGTGAAAACAAAATCATTTAAACCTCTTCTTATTTATCTGGAATTAAGGAATTCGGAAGGGGATAGCGAAACACTTTAATTTGAAAAATAATCTGCCTTCCCCAGATGAAATGGAAAGACTCACAAAGCATTGGCGCGTATGTAATTCGGTTTCCTACATATTCTGTTACGAGGCTGATAAATGAGTTTAATCCTTACTTACTTGTTAATGCTTTAACCTGTGTAAAAACGTCATATAGCCCTACAGAAGTGTTGCTTGCTGGTTGATGTGGCGCCTTTTGGATATCAAGACTGCCGCAGATTAAAAAAGCTATATATATATATATATATATGTGTGTCACTTTGTTCCGTTTGAAGTTTCCTGTATGCAATCTTTTATTATTGGGCTCGTGTATATACATGGTATATTATATTATATTGTTACAAATTCTACTGTATTGCACATAAACGTATTGTAGCTTCGGTAATGTCTCTCTTGCAGACAACCTACTGTGCAATATATTTGGCTATGAAGTGTTTCATCAATTGTTTGTTAATAATGGCAAAGGGCACGCCTCGCTTGAGCGTCGGTTGATACCGCAAGGCGTAATTATCAACAGGGCGAAATCGAACCTCCACCCAAAAAAAAACATTGCGCGGCTTTTATGATCGATGAGATGCTGGTGCATGAAACGGGAAGCACCGCATTAAAAAATGTAAATGATAGTTGCCATGGCTTTCCTGCCCATTATATGACATTTCGTTTCCAGTGGTTGTTGGCGATATTCCATGATTATCCTCATTATATTTAAAACGATTCAACTCAAGTTTGTATGTTGACCAACGTCGGCAGATCACGTTGCGATTTCTTTATTCCCACTGCTCGTCTTGTCCTGTGATTATCTATTTGATGGTATGCTACTATTCACACGATTCCCCAAAACATCATAATCCATGAGCTCCCGGACTGTTGGGAAGATTTCGTTGAAATCTTGCCATTATGTATTTCTGTCAAAACGACGATCCCAATCGGAGGGACAGATATGTAGTCATTTCGGCGCTCATTCTCAGTCGTCGTCGTCCACGGTATACAGTGCCTTTAAATGTGACTCAGTAACCAAATACTTCATTTGACATGTTGTAAAGCTGACATGAGCTTGGTTAACAATTTCGTATACAGTACTAACCGGATCAGTGGCTCAAAATATGATGAAATGTAGAATTACCAGAAACGTAACCTTGAAGCGTTCATTATACGGCGAGCCCTACATAGTTCGAAATAAACGCATGTAATCCACGAGCAAACACATACTTTTCCTGTCAACTTTAATCATTATGCCACCTTGCTACCAATCAATGCACCAGTCGTAAATGTAATTACTGCTGGAAAAGTCTTGTAGTGAAGAAGCTGCTCGTCCCCAGCACACTTTCCTGTTTTCTCCACCCTCTTTCTAAAGTTGATATTTTGTGGCATCTATGGACAAGACATGGTGAAAATTAAGCGGATCGTAGCTTCTACCAAAAGGGACCATATGTTGGGCTTTGTGGGACGTAATGTACAGCCGATGGTGCTACTAACGTATCTTGGAGAGCAACTGCAAAAGAGCAGGATATAGTATGGATTTTATTCTCGGGCTTTATTAAAACATCACTATCTCGGCAACGATAAAAAGTCTGCAAAAACAGAAGGTCAGAGACACAATGTGAATTTTGCTGTTGAAATAGGCAACAGTAGGGAAATTTTCGCTACTACGTCTCTCTTTCTTTGACTACATAACGAAGGCAATGAACGCGTACGCACAGACCCACGTCAATGACAAGCATAATGGACGTAAATCAGCAGGAAGCAAAGGCAGACTAGGAATGAGGAAATCAGGAAAGGCGCAACACAGATCTTACTTTTTGGATAGTGACGAAGCGATGCATATGTCAAACTTTTAAACGTTCCAACAGCTTTTTCTTAAACGAACACTATGTAGAATGAAAGCGCACTGTGACGCAACGATTTGACCAATTTACTTGGTACTCGAAGTGCACAAAGGGATGGCAAGTGAACAAGATAATCAATGGAGCAACAAATTCCGCGCAAAAGGATCAAGAGATGTAAAAAGTCATCGTTTATAGTGTTAATCTTCTGACCGTCCCAATTGATCTTGAACGTTGCTAGAACCGCACAAAATCGAACGGACCGATCAGCAGCAATGAAAAAAAAAGAAGGATGAGTCAACTTCACTAGCGGCAGTGGATACTTAACTATGAGCGGGTCAACGCATCTGCAGCAGCACATACTTGAGATGAGGATGGAACTTTTGCAGCAGCAGCATAAACTGAGATGAAGGGTGATACCTTACCAGCAGCAGTATAAATTCGAGATGGAGGGAAGAGGTTACACGGCGTAGTTCAAAGAACTGTTGGCGGATGGCGAAAATGGTTGACGAGCACAGAATAAAAAAAAATGCAACGGGTAATTTTTATACTAGTGCAGCGATGGGGTCCAGTGTGTTGTATCTATGCCCGCACACGCACAACATTATGCGCCAACATACAGTCAAAAGGTACTAATAAAATGGAATAGTCTGTGGACTACGCTATACTGTTTACCTTAATGGGTGAAGGAATGGAAACTGGCCGCTGCTTGGAGGATCGTGTTCTGATGTTTACTAAAGCTTGATCAGGAACAACTGATGCCGTAGAATCTGTTAAGTTGTTTACCTTGTCAGACAATTCTATATTGCCATTTTATTGCTCACAGAAAAGCATTTCTTCCGTGAATCTACATGCTCATTCACATTCGTGTCTTTGTTTTCGCTTGACACGGTGCCGTGCACGGCCCACTCACAACCAAGCGGCGACAGCATCGGAGGTACAGCTGCCATAGTGAGAGACACGTACCAGTACCGCCGAAGCACGCTTGTCTACTTGACCATCAGGTACCACTCCTCCTTTCATTTCCTTTGGTGCTGTATGTTTGTTATATCATAGTAGGCGACCCACAAGTTGATACGCAACCCGTTATCTGGGCCAATGAGAATTCACGGGGATTTGAAGTCCCGAACGAGAAAAATGTCTATATAAAGCGAGCAATTTCGCCTTTCTTTTTTCTCTTCTCTTCAGTTCGTTTTGGTACAGCTTTGATCTGTAGTACAGATGCACTGCTCTGTGCCATGATCGGGTCATTGCTTGTGCTGGCTATTGTCATAATTCTTCTGATGATTGGCAGATTCAGTGGTCCGCGCCCTGAAGAAAATTTGCAATATATACCAGTGGGAATGTGGTCATATACTCCGGCAGCCGATCGTGAACCTTCGGGTGCATGTGATGCCAACGGTATATGTTGGGATAATTGAAACGAACTTTTTTTTTATTATTTATTACACACAAATAAGAAAATGATAAACAAAATAAAAAATATATTTTTCTTTTTCGCACTTTCCGCATAAACGTTTTATTCGCCTTTTTTTTATGTGCACGACTGGTTCCTTTTTCTTTTTTCGCGAACAAAATACTAAATACTCCCCCCTCCATTCAATCACAGCTCCGTGCCAAACAAAGCGGGGAACAGTGACAGTGGCTCTGTATCGTAGCTGGCAGTAACACGATCACAACGCGCTTTATCATACTTTGGCACTCTTTTTCACTCTGTGTTCGCCTAAATTGCCAAAGCAATTGTCAAGAAGAAAAACTGTTACCGAGGACCCTCCTTTAGAACGAGATTATTTTATAAGAGACAATGTCAGAGCATACGTCAACAGACATGTATAATTGCCAGATCTGTAAATTGGAATGGTTTTTTTTTTCAGCTGTTCGTCTCTCTCACTCTTCCTGCACGTAGCTTATCACAACACGATTTTCTTATGATTTTGGTTTTCACCTGGATCGAAAAACCTGGACTGACCATTTGTGATGCGCCTGCTTTCAAAGCGTGATTCTTGGACCTAACGTCACTTCCAAGAGGCGACAAGAAGGCGATAAAACTCGCGCAATAAGCGCGCAAATAGTTCTTATGTTAAACGCGTTGTAAGCTCTTTGGTCTGCTCAAATTTGTTTCCTTTGAGTAGATCGTTGATGGCGCCTGTATCATAAATGTAGTTTGATGTTGGTGAGTAGTTCTTATATTTAATGTGGTACGAAACCATTTGATGCTCACAGATGCAACAGTAATGCGGAACTACCCATGGCTCTTCCCGACAACAGTCAGAAACCGCCCCCCGACAGGGGCACCACTATAAACGATTCCATTCACGCTACAAGTCCAGATGCATCACAAATGTCATGGGCCCATGTTGTTCAAAACAAACGTGTATCATTGATGCACTCCAATGATCTTCTTAACAACCAGGATGGTTGGACAGTTCGTCCTTCTCGAGTATGGCGTGTTGGCCGCAACGAGGGCTGCGTCTTCTTCGATGTCAGCAGCAGACCAGAGGCACTACGCTCTGTCCTGCTCCTCGCTGCAAAGCAATTTCCCGGAAATACTGGCGCTACCACCCATCCTGAAGGCGCCAAACGAGTTCTTATTGAGATGTGTTTCGACGAAAACGAGTCGTTGCAGCGTGCGTTGACGACTGGCTTGACCTTCACCAAGGATCGTGTGCGAATCCAAGCCACCTTGGCCCTGCCCAACGACGGCGCTCAAAATCGCATTAAACGTGTCCGCTTGTCCCACCTACCCTTTGTTCGTGCTGACAAGCTGTGCGACGGCATCAAAAGTAGCTTCCTTCCTTATGGAAGAGTTTTGGACTGCGGCGCTTTCAAGGAAGGCGACTCCAATCTATTCATGGGTCGTGGTTACGCCATTCTCGACTGTCAACCGATAGACGGCCAGCCTCCCTTCAGTGACCTAGAGCATATCATCGGATGGCAAGGCACGTCCAAACTTGGATTTTATGCCACGTGGAGTGATATGCCATTGCATTGCACATGGTGTCACGAGGGCGGTCATCACCGCCGTGATTGTACAAAACTGCGCAACCAGACTACCACTTGCTTTGACTGTGGCCGACTCGGCCATATTGCTCGTGTTTGCCCTTACAAGAGTGAAGGCAAGGGTAAGGATGCCCAACCCAACAAAAAGTCACGCAAAACTCCTTTGCTCAAAGGTAGCAAGAAGGAAGGCAAGCAACCGGCAGCATCTGGCACCCACAACAACGCTGACAGCCTTCCACCGTCTGATGAGCAGCAATCGCACCCCCCAGAAACTACGACGAACGCCGCCACGAACAGCGACGAGCAGACGACGAAATACGACGAGCAGACGCACTCCGACGCGCAGAGAACGAGCAGCGACGACAAGATCGACACCAACGACAAAACGGGCACCAACGAAAAGACGACGAGCGACGAGCAGACGACGAGCGACGATGTAACGACGACGAGTAACGACGTCCCCACAACGGATAACGACGTGCCGATGCAGGTGGAAAACCAGCCCGACCACACCGAGAACAGCATTGCGCCACTAAGTGCCACCACACTGTCTGCTACACAAGCACGACCCGCGATTGGTCAGGAAACATCATCTGACGAAGTCGATGGTGATATCGCCATGAGCGCTGCCGTCACGGCCATCATATCCGCACACGCCGTCCAAGGCGTTGAAAGCCCTACCACTGCTTCGGCCGCCGACGACGGTCAAGATCTACAGGCTTACTTCCAGGCTTTGCCCATATCCTTGACTGCCCGTAACTCCATCAAGAATATGTCGTCCACCAAACGTGGCGCAGTCCGCAAAGCTTGCGATGATAAACTCAAAACACCTATCTCCGCCAATCTGATCCACAAACCTCGACGATCGACACGTGATCTGAAACATAGCCAGAAAGTACGCGACAACATTGCCATCGGGCAATCTATCACTGGGAGCGATGGCTCCAACCCCACATTTGACACCCAATGAGTAAGAGTTTCAATCTGAAATTCTGCTCCCTGAACTGCAACGGTCTACGCAAATCGAATAAACCGCTTGTACGTTCATCACTCATACGCCACCTAAAAACCCAACAACCCCACCTCATCGCTATTCAAGAAAGCCACGCTTCAGACGACAATATCAAACAAATGCTTCATACCCAATTTTGCGCACACGAATCACTTTGGACACAACACTGTGGTCTTGTCGCACTATCACCCGACATTCACCTCGAACTGCGCTCCGTATCGTCTGACGATCGAGCCATGCTCATCAACATCCGTCACAAATCCAATATCTTCGACCCTTTCCATGTATTGGTCCTATATGCTCCTGCCACCAGCAGTAGCGACCGTAAGGCCTTTTACATCACACTCCTCGACAATCCAGCCTTTTGCCTCACGGACCATTTCTTCTGTGAGCGACTACTTATTGCTGGCGATTTTAACTACGACATCACTCGCCCACATTTTCTGCGCAACGCCCCTTCTGGCTGGCACGCCCTCCTCGAAGAAGTTTTCTTTGACTGCATCACCGACCGTACCACCACTCTCCCAGTTCCCACCTTTCGGCGCGGCACCACTACCCACTCGACCATCGACTATATTTATGGTGGATCACTGTTTCGTAACAAGATCTATCATGCCGAGGTTTCATATTTACACTCGGAGTGGACCGATCACGCTTTACTTGCCATGAATATTCGCTTTGTTTCTCAAACTCACGGTAAAGGCTGTTGGCGGGCCAATCCCTCCATCACATACGACAAAGAATTTCGTCGCTCCTTGGCCTCGACACTCTCTTCACTGCATCCCCATCTAATGGATCTGCCCTCTCCCCAAGAGCAATGGGAGCACGTAAAAGAGGTGGTCACCAGGCACATTCGGTCCTACTGCCGAACACAAGCTCATTGGCGCAAAGAGCAGTTGCGCGCTTTGCAGTCCAAGCGTAATCGCTTTCTCCGTACCCGTCCGTCTCTGGCTCTCCGCGCACAGCTCTTGCCACGCCTCGAAAGCCAGATCGCCACTCTACAGCAAGCATTAGTCGATTCTTCCGCACTACGTGCTGGTCAACGTTGGCGCGAGCATGGTGAAAAGTCTGCGGGATACCTCAAACGCACGATCGAACAACGCCAAGCATCTCGCCACATTTCACAGTTACAGCATCCTGTTACCGGCACCATACATTTGGACGTCAACGGCATGCAAGACGCAGCAACTACCTTTTACCAATCATTGTACTCCGCAGACGATATTTCAGACGACTCTCTCGAGTACCTTTTGCAACGTATACCAGGCTCTTGTCGCTTGTCACCCCAAAGCGCCACGGACCTTCTTCATGAGTTTACCATTGAGGATCTCCAAAGTGCCGCCAAACGTGCTCCTAAACAAAGCAGCCCCGGACCCGACGGATTACCCTATTCCATCTGGTACCTTGTTTTCCGGCATCCGCTGTACGCCACTTTAGCATGTCAGGTCTACAACGCTGCCTTGCGGCAGAGTGTCTACCCACGCTCCTGGCAAGAAACATGCGTTACTCTCTTGCCCAAAACTGGCGGTGATCTGTCTTCACTTCGGCTTTGGCGCCCCATCAGTTTGATCAATTGTGATGCCAAGATTTGTACCCGGCTTTTGAACGCTCGTATGGTCACCACTGCATCACTCCTCATCACTCCACATCAAACTGGCTTTCTACCTGGTCGATTCATTGCTGACAATGGTCTGCTGGTCAAGTTGATGATGGAACAAGCAACGCTCCGCCCGGATGATACCACAATCGGCCTTCTTCTTGACCAAGAAAAGGCCTATGACCGCATCCATCCTCGATATTTGTCCAGAGTTCTGTGCCACTTCGGTTTTCCGCCTCGACTTGTTAACAGCATCTGCGACCTCTTTTTTCAGACGCATATCCGGATCAACATCAACGGCCATCTCAGCACGCCCATCCAGCAGCGACGCGGCCTCAGGCAAGGTGACCCGCTCTCGCCTATTTTGTTTAATCTGGCGATTGAGCCTTTATTACGTGCTATCCTTGAGGATCGCGCCTTTCTGGGTGTCCCCCCTGCGATTGGCGTCCCTGGCCCACACTACTCACCACCACCACCTCCGCTCAAGGTTCTGGCGTACGCGGACGATGTTTTTGTCTTTTTGCGAACACCAGCGGATTTAGATCGACTACACGTACACTTAATGCATTATCAGCTCGCGTCCAATGCAAAACTCAATGCCCACAAGACCCAGGCGATCTCTCTATCTGGCCTTCCACAACCCACCTGGTCTACTAGTCTCGCCCACTATGGCTTCCCAACGTGCCATGACCGCTCTTGGCCCGAGGCTGTTACCTACCTGGGATATCCGCTTTGCTCCTCGAACCATCAGCTTCATCTTTTTTTGGAACGGTTATTGGTGTCCATTCGCTCTGGTTGCCAGCTCCACCAACAACGACAATTGTCCGTCCGCGGTCGCGCGACTGTCCTAAACACGCTTATTCTGGCTCGTCTGTGGCATGTTCTCCGCCTTACGGGGGCGCCCAAGGCATTCTTTTGGAACAAACTGCGTACAATTATATCAAGTTTTGCCATGCATCGTACGTTCCCAAAAGTTGCGTATGACCGTTTGTGCGGCTTACGCAAACATGGTGGGATACAGCTCTTGGACCCTGCCATACAGCAACATGCTTTGCAGCTTCGTTGGCTTCGTCCTTTTCTGGCGTATCCATACAGCAATGATCCGGTACCTAGCTTGGCTATCCCATACTTGGTTTACAACATGCTCGCTTTGAATCCGTCACTCCCAGACCACCGCTTGATCCTGGCATTTCCGTCCGCGCGTCCTGGGTATCTCAAGTCTTCTCCGTCTTCATTCTCGTCTATCTTCCTTCAAGCATTCGACCGCATGGATTTCGACTCTTCGACTATACAACTTCCACCAGTCGTAGCGCTATGCCTGCCCACCACAGCCATTTGGACTGCAGCACCGGATCAAGACAATGCCTCGCTTCTCAGCTCACCCACTCTCAACACCATGGTTGCAAACGATGTTTATGTCTTTGACAACGCTCTGGGCTACCTTCGGCCACGTATGCCAACAGATGGCAACATTACTCATCCCCGAGTCCTTCGCCGCTTCATTACCGCCGTTATCGATGGAAGCATCCAGTTGAAACCGTTCTTTGCTCGTCTCTGTCTGCCTGGCGACCATGCCCTCGGTGGTCACGACAACACTTTCGGCACCATGGATGGCTTCCCTTTGTGGCAAGCGCTCAGCTCCGCCCTCGACCAACTCACCAACACTCGGTGCTATCGTCAACAATGCCAGCAATCAACCACTCTTCTGCTCCGTAACACCAGCAACAACCTATCGCCCAGTCAATGGGCTACCTTTTGGGCCACCCCCATGTTCCATCCGGTCCGCAACATATGGTTCCGCACCCTGCACCGCACCTTACCGACTGCCCAACGCCTACACTATCTCGTTCCCGGGTTTATACCTTCTTCCATTTGTCAGCTCTGCAACTCTGAGCTCGACACAATACCGCATTTTCTCATCACCTGCCCACCGCGCTGGCGGGTATGGACGCAAGTTTGGAGCGTTCTCTTTTACGCCGAACCAACAGCGCTGGGCCTTTCACAGTTCATCACCGAACTCAACTGGTCCCTTGCCCCTCCCTCCACACTCCCCCACTACATCTCCGCCGTCCAGAGTACGCTTCTTGCTCTTTGGCGCGCATACTGGCGGTTGGTTTTCGACCGCATCCCCTTTGACCCGGCCATCGTTGCCCAGTCTGCCCTCCATCTCTACCACCAACTACATCCTCAGATTTCTGTGGATGATTAATGTCTCATATATTTTAATTTGTCCTTTTGTTTTTTCACTATTCTTGTTGCTCCCTTTATGCGTTTCATTTTGGCACGCCACTTCCTTGAACGTGTGACCAACCAATAAAATTCAGCCTCCACCCGGCTCATACAAAAAAAAAAAAAAAATGCGGAACTATCACTCACCAATGTAAAGTTTTTTAGCGGTGCAAAATACACAGTGGTAAAATCATATGTGTTACAGGCGTGTGTATTAGGCTACAAATAGCTTTCGCAAAGCATATGTGTGTGTTGTTAATGTTTGTTGTACTATATATAAAGAGCAAGGGAGTACGCAAGTAAAGGTTTGAAAAGTAGGATGGATGGGAGGATACTATCGTGCGTTTCTGGTTGTTTATCAAAGAAGGTGGGGTGAGGGAAAATGTTACGTGGGGTGGTATGTAGTAATGATAATACAGCGAGTCGGAGAGAATAAAGTGTATGCAAGTTTGAATGACTATTATGTTCAGTTCAGTTGAAACGCGTATCGTGTCATTGTTTCCATTCGATCACTTGAGAAATGAAGAGAGAGCATGATAAACTGAGCTGCAAGTTGCGGATCTGCCAATCTCATACTTTCAAAGGCTTCCTGTGTCAGTTTCCAAAGAACTGAATCTTGCTCTGCAATAAGTGACCGCGTACGATGAGGACCACCTGTGAAGAGGCCAAGTTCTCCCACTACAGTGCCTGGTAAAATAGATTCTACAACGACATAGTCGTCTTTGGCGACAGGCATCAAACTTCGTAACGATCCCTGCTCAAGTACAATGAGGCAGTCTGCAGGGTCGCCATCTTTCCATAGACATTGGCCACGCAGACAATTCTCTTTTCTAAGATAGCTACCAAGCTTGTGATAAAATTCCACGGGTATGTCGTCGTGCGTCAGCTCACTAAGTGCCTGGACCATTAATAGCGTTGGCTGTGACAAATTGGAGTACATTTGGGGTACGCCCGTGTCTGTTACAATATTATTCCGGTTGCTTTTGTGAGTCACCCCTTTTCTACAACGAAAACAAAAGACACCCCAGTCGTAGCGAGAAGAGAGAACACACACCTGGAATGAGTTGTTGGATAGCTTTGGTCACCATTTTGTGGCGTGGAGAAGCATCAGAAATCATATCAATATGTGTCTCTTCGCTATCAGCAGTATTTGTGTCCTTGATTGGTACTGCTAGAAACAGCAAGCATAATAAATCAGTAACCTTATTAAGATTAAACAAGAGAGAGATAATTTATAGTCTTTACCTGGGATCCGATGATGTGGCACGCGCGCAAAATACGCACGCAGTAGTGTATTCTCGCACCATTCCAATGCATCGTTGAGATACTCAAAACACTTCAAGTCACCATCGTCGAGCTCGTCCGCCCACATACCGGCCTTCATCAGTGCCTTGGCCTGATCTGAATCACGTGCAATGTTACAGAGGATCATGTAGACTTCTCTGTTCTTGAGCAGACGCCGTATACGAACGAACGCTTCAGCAGCACTGAAGTCAATACCTTGGACCAACTGCAAATCGAGGATCAAGAAACGAACAGGGCTCCTTTCCCATGCGCGCTCATCCAGCATATCTCGAATAGCACGTTCAACTTGATTGATGGTACCAAAAAACATGTATCCTTGCAACTTGATGACTTGAATCTGTCCACCAACATGTTTTAAGAATTTTTGCTGACGATAAAGTCTTCTGACCGTGGATCGTAGTTCTTGGCCCGTGTGCATGGATCGGATTGCATCGCAGAGTCGAGCATTTTGCACCACGAAAAAGATACATGCCATGACGATACCGACGAGGATGCCTTCAACGAAACCCCAAATGGCCATGAAAAAGATGATCATGCAGATTGTTATGTATTCGAGATAGTGCACGCTGCCCCATGTATCATACAGTGCTTCCTTCAACAGATCCAACCCGAGATGAAAAATCAAGCTTCCGACAACAAGCGTGGGAACATAGCCAACGATCCAAGGACCCACCATCCACAGTGCCATGGTTGCTCCAGCAAGCATCAAACCAGCTAATCGGCTGTCACCACCAGATCGAATAAACAAAAGACTGTTTGTGTATACAAGATAATCTATTGGAACAAAGTAAAGATTTGGATATAGTCTAATTATCAGAAAAATACATGTTTTCCTGGCGAATTGGAAGGATAGTGATGGTTTGTTCGATAATGATCGCAGACATACAGAACAGAAAATTACTTACTCTGTACAGAACCGAAGCAGCCGGATATCGCATTGGACATGCCATGAGCGATTAGTTCACGATTGACATTGACGTCATCCCTGTTGGTGGACACGCCAAGTGCAGGTACGTTGATTGGAACATGGAGAACACCTATTTTGTTCAACAATGATGTAATACCGCATTACTATTAGCAAAGCGAACAACACTGACTGATCGAACATTTCGTGTGGCACCAAAAATCACGTCAATTGAGGACCCCTATTGAGGGAACTTACCAAAAAATGTTAGCGCCAACATAGCAGGAACTGTCTTGGCAATAGCTTGCCAATCGACCATCGCAAAGTTAAAGTTGGTGTAAAAATGCCAAAACGGTAAATCGCTTTTTACCAGCGGGAAAATCCATCCAGCGTCGCGCACTTGATTTACATCGAGACGTGCAATCGCTAACACGAAGTAAAAGGCAATTGGAAGCACCATATAATACGCAGGTACGACCAATGCATTGTTGTATCGTTGTTGTATCAATCGTAACACGAGTGCTGCACCCAAAGCGGCCGACCAAAGCATCAAGGTATGTGAATCAAGAAACACTTTTCGAAACATAGGAATGGTATAATCAAAGTTCTCGTCCAATCGACCAGCCACTTCGATGCCAGTGATCACCAAAAACCATCCCACGCCACCGATGGTCCCGACCAGGATGTGCCGCGGAAAGAATCCGATGAGGGATCCCAAGTTGAAAGCACCTAGCAAGAAAAATGCGACGCCCGTCATTATGCTACTAATAGCAAAAGCAACCATGGTGGATGCAATAATTTCCTGCTTATGCTCTTCTCCAACATAAAGGACGATTCGTTCGGCCATGATGTGCAGGAAGGGAACCACTATAGCAAATAGTCGCAAAATAAAATAAAAAAATGTGAGATTATGATACTTTTCTGCTTACGCACTTTTATTAAAAGGCTATACGCTGATAGATTATCAACCCAAAGTGTTTAGATTCGTCCTCCAGTTTATTACCTTCAATCATCATACTACGTAGTTACACGTTGTAGCGAGAATATGATTTCACGATGCAGGCAGGAAAAAAGCATATAAATCAAACATGTAAGCATGTCATCATTTGCCCCCCTCTCTCTCTCGTGCACACAAGGAAATTGTCTTGTTTGAGATCATTGTCATACTACCTTCCATTGCCTCCGGGAAAGATACTTCCGCCGCATGAATACACAATCTGTGCAATTATGCAACTGAACAGTGTGTGAGTACGGTTTCCTAATTAGTCTAGTCCACGTGACAGATCCGATCAAATACCTGACAAAAAACATCGAGATGCCATCCGGACCGAAGGATGCGAAAATCGGATTGTTGAGCGGAAACGTAATCATGCCTAATTACCGTTAAAACCGCATTCTACGATTAGAAAAGCATGATTTTTCTACGACTACTGCTGCTGGTACGATATCCGTTAAAGAGGCATAAAAACCGTGGATCTTTTCACACATTTTTACCATATGAAATTGCGTCCAAAAGATTGAGTAATAATCCCAGAATGACAGCTGGTATACATTCTAGCGGTCTCTTGATCAAGTACATCACGAGCGCCATGCCACTCTGCTTGTCGTCATTTGCACTACGTAATGAGGAGAAAGCAGCACGTAACCGTCGATGTAGCCACGATGAAGATGAACGTTGCTGCTGTGTTCGATAGTGGTGCTGTTGCTGCTGCTGATAATGCGTGGTATGGTGTGAGGGGTATTGTGTACTATATCCGTTTGAATCAACGGCGCTTATAGAATGATATTGTGTGGACGTTGTACGACCAGTATCGACATGCTCAAGTAATGGTCTCGACTCTTCGTCTTGTTGTTGTTGTTGTAGCTGCTGCTGCTGTTGTTGCTGCTGGTAGTGCTTTGTAGGTGGCGAGCCATTGTTACGACTACCATTTTGGTGTTTCAACAAAGCTGACAGATTGCTGACTTTGGAGGTTACCGCAGGTACTACTGGTTCTGCTTCAGAGGGAGCAGCAGAGCCGTCGCCTCGTCTTACTCGATTTTGGGTATCCTCTGTCATGTAAAGATCGCCTAAAGCAACTGACTGGGCACGAATTGAATCGATTGAAGCAGAGTATCGAGTGTCCGTATCTATGTATGAAAACAATCCGCGTAAATCAGAGTTAGAGAAAGTTACGTGTGTATAACAGTCTCTTAGAGTAGCCAAGAAAAAAAAAATTGGACGGGTTGTACGAGGATCATAATTAACATGAGACGAAAAGTAAGAACGAGAAGGAAGGTCATGCGTGGTGGTGGTGGAATGACGAGACATTGTTGGCGAGACGATGTCTCTTGGTGAAGAAGAGGCGCATTGCTGTTCTTCGGGGATGGGCGGCAAAGATTCCGCGTCGATGGAATGCCGTCTGTCCATCTAAGCAAGCAATGTTTCTCTCGAAAAAAGAATTTTTTTTAAGCGAAAGACCCGTCTATTCCTCGAAGTGTAAGGTCGTTTGCTTTATATGAAACAGATTAGTGATAAGATAACAAAAGCGTCTCGAAACATAACTCTTCTCCCAAACTCCTTTTGTAAAAAGGCCGGAGCCGGAAATTTGACATTGACGGATATGGTCCTTCCTCGTTTGTGGAAAATCATGACGTATCGCATATAGATTTTTGGTGTCCGTTGCTCATCCGAATTGAATTATGAGAATCACACTACCTTAAAGGAAATTATATCAAAATATTGATTGATTGTGAAAAGAAAAACTTCTTTGCAAGAATAAACTTCGAACAGGGTACGTGTTTTCATGCAAGAAAGTGATGACGATCGTTTTGGTTTCGAGATATGGATAAATGGAGTTTGAAGGCGAGTTATTACACTTCAAGGGCTTCATTGTTTGTTGGACGTGTGCGACACAACGCTAAATATGTCACAGATCTCTCTCTCTTATGCTGCAGCAACGTTTACGCATCTCATGTCTGACAAAAAACAAACTCAGCGTTGTTGGAAACCATGTGAGTATGCGAGATGCGTAACCGAAAAGTTAAACGTATAGAACACATAGCCTTAGCGAGAAGGGAAAGAAAAGGGATGTTTCAGCATCCACTGTGTGTGTATGATCCGCTTTAGAAGTTTCACGGTAAGCATTCCGATATTGAACCAAACAAAACCACCTCTCGCGAACATCATCTGTTTAGAAATTAAAACATTATGATTGATGATTTGCGACTAACGCCACTAGCTAGCTGCTCAGGTATGTAATCTATAATCTATCAAAGAACGAGAATAATAACTTAATGACGAACAGTCATAATAGCAGCAGTAACCGAAAATCAATAGTGCGCTTGACTTTTGCTGCTGCCATCATACTGTCACCAGTAAAGCAATGCTACTCAGCCAGTATTATTTGTTTACATACACATTTATAGTACTAACATGGTGTAGCAGCCTTTTGTCTAAGTCGTACATTTATAAACACCCAAACAAAGTTATAGAACTGGTGTCACATACCGTACAGAATTTCAGTGGGCTTAATAACAATCACAAGGAACGCAGTTTATGCTACATTGTATCATATCTCAGATCGGTCGTTTTGCTCTTATACAACGACCAATGTCGCTGTCAAAAAAATTAGCTTGTGTATGTTATAGGTTTATACCTTTATATTCGTACATGTGAACAGCAGCGATAATCTTTCCTTCCTCTTTCTTGAATGTCTTGCTGGATGCATCCTAAGCCAACATCTCCTACAAACATTTGTGACGCGTTGATGCAGGATCTCATGTCAACTATATTAACGAACTTCGTGGGTGTGAACAGCAACGGCAATTAAGCTGTATATGGACATAATCGCCCGTACCAATAGAGCTGCTAGCCCATTTCTTGCCAATATCTCTACTACTGTTATATAGTGACTATGTGCATATATTCATTTTTGGCCAATAATACTGATTTCGAATGCAGTGTACAGCTCACCTGGAGTTAGTATATAAGTCTAGGGGAGCAATATGTAAGCGCACCATCTAATTATTGCTGTCTTTTCTATATACCAGTAATGATAGATGATGGATTTCAAGTGAGACTCGTGATATCAAACTGCTAAGATTACCTAACGCATGTATTCATTATTCTGTAAGCTATTATGGTCAATTTACAGTATGATAATACTATTGCAATTATAAAAATTGGGGCACACGATGAGCTCGAATGATCTATAAAAATGTCCTCATGTACATTACGTTTTCTTTTGCTATTTGAAAAATGTTGCCTGCCAGCGGCTTGATACGGGGCATGAATCTTTCCAAATTGTGTGCGCTGTAGATATCATGGACAAAATAGAGTTCAATCCACCTGTCTTTAATTCGGAGTTAAGCGTCGTGGCGTACGTTAATGTGTAATCAACCAGACTAAACCCCCCACGCACTAGCACCTCCCACTCCTCCGACTCCCTTTGTAGCGACAAAAGGCCGTAACAACAACCTCAATTAGCTACTACAACAACAAGCATACAACACCATGCCATCTGGTGCCAATAAGAAACGCAATCAACTAGACGATATCTTGTCTGACAAGGTATCGGTTATGGAAACCGAGGAAGTCTCGAACGAAGATCCCGCGTTATTCGTCGAAGAAGAAGCACATCCCGGATTTTGTGTGGAATGCAAGGATCAGGCTGTAAGTATAAAGGCACAGTTAACTAGATCTCGACTTGTTATGTTTTGTTGCTACAGTAAATATTGTAGATCGGGAGATCGCGGATCGAGATCAACGCCATCAAGGGCAATCGTGCTTTTTCTATTTAAAGCTTCTTGTTTTGTGTGTATACAATTGCTGATCCTTCTTTGTTTTCTAGGCGATAGTCTTTTGTGAAAACTGTAACGAGCCCTTTTGTGAAGTTTGCTTTGGTAATGACTTTGTAATACGTCTTTTTCTTTCTCTGCAAATGTTATATTCAAAGCAAAGAAGTGTTAATGTGTCTATTCCGTGCGTTATATGTATAGGCATGATCCATCGAACGGGCAAGCGTGCAAAACATATCAGTAAACCGTATACCGCAGAAATTAATCAGCAGAATGATGTTGATGCGATGGAAGAAGATGAGGAAACATTGGTAGAGAAGGATGAGGTTAGTAATTCAGTTTATGCGTCTGTGGGAATAAGTCGAGATTTGACGTTATAACAGCTGATTTTCACTTCTTATATGTACATGTAGCAACAGATTAAATCAAATTTGAAGCATACACCAACCACGAGCAGCGCAGATTTCGATGTTGGAAAATGGATGGAAAATAGGTAAGGACATAAAAAAGGTGAAAGGAAATTCCCTGTGGTAGCCATGATAAATGTATATATGGCGAGTATCATATCTTACATCTGGATGTATCTGTTTAGAGCAAAGTATATCCCACTGCGGTTACATTTGGAGGAAAGAAAGCTGTTGCGATTGTGAGTTGAAAGATGCTTTTACGTTAACAAAGGAAGCAGGGATCAGGGATAAACAACGCTAACAGAACAACATCCACGACGACAACAGACTAGAGGCTGCACTAAATGTCAGCGAATATACAGGTAATGTGTGAAAACGTTGTTATGCATGTAATGATATATTCAAGCTATTTCAAAAATAACTTTAATTATTTTACGTATGAAATAGATCATATCGATAACGAATCCCATACGAGTAAAGCAAAACGCATTGTCAGCCAAATCAAAGAGTTGTGTGCAGCGCTGACTGGTTTGGTTCTGGCGTGTGACTATAAGCGAGGACAAGAACTCTTTGCTGAACGTACATTTGATGAAAATGAAGAGTTCTTCCAACGAATCTTTGAGATTGGTCGCCGGTGAGTGTCTGCTAGCTAGCTACTAGAAAAACTGGTTATATGCATGCATGATATGTATAACGAAATAGAAATATCAAAGGATGTTACTCACCCTTTAAGGATATAATGATAGGCACAAGATCATGAACCCTGAAAAAATGCGGTCAGCATATGGCAAACTAATGTATATGCTATCGGTAAGTTATGATGAAATGCAGATGCTAAATAGCCAGAGCTGTCCGTTGCATTATGTTTATTTCATGCAAGTGATAATGATTTATATGGATTCTGTGCTACTGTGGGGCTTTTTAGGATTCAATGATTCCAGAAGTGCAAGATATGCTTGGATTTAGCTGTGTCGCCCCTATCCGTACCGTATACGAATTCCTCAAAGAACGGCGCGGACTTGGTGTTCTCCGCGAAGACATCATATTACTAGCAACACGAGAAATTATTCCTGAAGGAAAGAGTCGTACGCAGATCCAAGCTGAAATTAGACGCAAGGAAAAGTCCATTGAGCAGTTGAGTCGAAAATATCAATCAAAGTATCTGTCCTCGGATGAAATACGTCACTGTTTATACAGTATCGGTGATAACAATGCCTATCTACGAGAAAATCGGTAAGTGATCGGAGTGGTGTGCATTAATGGCGATTCATTAGAGAGAGTGTCCAATCGAGAAAAAAGTACACGCAATATTACTATAGACCAACAATTGCTATACGTGCTAATACATGCTAATACATGTTTGTGTTACGTAGTGACCCGTGTGAAAAGATGATACGTTATCTAGAAGAATATTTTCATCCAAATGAAGCAGAAGATGAATATTCGTTGTCGATCGCAGCAGGTGCTCAAGGTCATCGCTTAAGTCACGATCACGAAACACAATATATCTATGTCAACCAAACACTAAAGCTGTGGCGGGAAATTCTGAACGAGATGTTTATGCTCTGGACGCTGGCCGATCAGGACATGCTAAGCACATCCAATCCTTACCGACTCTCACAGACAGGCCAGGGTTTGCATCGCATACAACCGTGTCCTGCAGTTTCCAGGGAGATGCATAGGACATTATTCAAGGCACAAAAGAAAGCTGGTACATGGATCGGGAGCAGTGTGATCCATTTGGGGGACAAAAACGTGCCTAATGCCTTAATATTCATCGACAAGGTAAGCATAGTATTGTCTGACGGGTTTATTTATAAAAAATTGTGTTATGGGATTTATACGCTACTACTCCAGGGAGTAGTTGTATTCATCAAATTGCATTCAACTGTCATTTGTTATTGTTCTTGTTTGGGCTGACCAAGTTTCTACTTATATCATCCACTTGCACATCTTCTCAATATATGCATCACACGCATAGTACAATCAAGTTTCCCGGATCCTTAGCCCGATCTGTCTGACACTCGATAAATTGGACGAGCTGACAAACCACGAGGGCGGTAAAAAGTTCCTTGAGCGAAAGTTTGGCGGGGTCCCCCAGTGCAGAAAGGCAATCCTTGGTAATAAGGGTGAAAAATATGTTTATGTGATCTAGGGTGAACGGCTAATACGTGACACAGGCTTGTGTGTGCTAACAACTCCCTAATATTGTTTCTTAGCTGACTTCTTCCGAGGTGCGTTTGATGGATCTGGCGCTGATAACTTTTACGATGCTGGAAGCTGTATTGATGGTCGCTTAACATCCGCTTGGAACTGTAAGAGTTTTTTTTATATCACAGCATATATGTATTGCTTGCTGCTTCTGCTCCCTCTGTTGGGATAAAATTGCCCCCTAACGATGTTTTTCTATCAAAAAAAATGTACAGGGTGCTCACAAATCGAGCAAAAGCCTTATTTTCCGGTGTTCTTGTTGACGGTAAGTTACTGGAAAAGGCTTTTCTCTTTGTTCGTCCTATAAGGAGCATTCGAATTCACATGTTATATTATGTAGGGATTTGTTGGATTTGATGGTGGAGGCTGGAGCTAAGACACATACGCGCTCACGAAGACCCATACACTCGAACACATAGTGCATACATTGTCCGGGAACACTTGGATGGCTAGCACACACACACAAAAAGTACTCCAAATGATACTATTTTAGAATTGCTCTATATAGAAACAACTCCATACATTGACAAAAAAAGAATCCTCACATAATACATATGACCGTGCGACTGCATATAAGGAGGGAAGGGAAACACTTGTTAGGAGTTGAGTAAAAAGAAAGAGACTATGACAATGGCGATCACAGATAGCATGCATGAGAGATATAAACAGAAAGAAACAGAGAGAGTGTGTGTATGTGTGTGTGGGTGGGTGGGTGCGAGAAAGAAAGACAGGGCATTGACATTGGAGGAAAGGATTGGGGGGTTTTGCTTTTACTGTGAAGGAGGCGACAGCAACACGTGTCGTCAGCGCTACCGTTTTCTCAAAAGTAATAACAGTTACATGTTGCAAGAAAATAATGAATTACAAGTACCACATACTCGCAAGTATGTAACTCCTTGTTTGTGTACAGTTCCGGAAACGGTCAGTGTTGCACATTAAATGATAGATATGTGTACATACATAGCTAGCATGATAGATCGCTACGTTTGCTCGTTTTAAGCCCGAAATTTTATTTTTTGTCTTTGTGCTACACGCATGCACGAAATGTGGCGAACGTAGCAAATAATAATCGTACTCTAAGCTAGTAACTACATGTATCAATTACAGGCATTGAATGGAGCAAATAGGATTGGCCAAGGATCTCACTGCTACTGCTACTACTAGTAGCTCATCCCGTGAAGGATACCCTGCGGCCACCCGCAATGACTTTTCAGTGTGATGATGATGATGATGTTCATGATGATGTATGTGCGTGTGTATGTACAGCTCTTCCTTTTCCACACAGTTGCATCCTGATATATCTCCTCCTTTGTCTTCCCGCTGTACATGCATAAGCATTCTACTCCTTCAGTCGTTCTTTTTACCAATGCGTCTAATATTACGACGAGCACAAGCGAGGCAAATTACAAAGTGGAATAGCTTCTTGCTTATCCAATGAATGATATAAGCGCATAATCAGCGTAAGATGTTCGATCAATCAAGAGAGCCAACAAACAGTCAGAACTTTATTCAATCGTAAAGTCGAACAAGCTTTATTCTTTTTGCAATGTAAATGAATTCTACTATGCAGCATCACAGTGAATTACGCACTTACTTGCAGTACGTAACAGCATTGGCAAGCTTACCCTTGTCGCGGGTCTATCAGGATTAATGATCGTCCAATTTATTAGTATTACGCAAATGAGCGGCCACATCACACACGACAACGTGCTATGTGCATCATCCAATCCTCTTTATCTCGGCTTCGCATAAAGCAGGCTTATACTGTTGGTATATAGTTTTGAAAATAAAATATAAAAACTTGAACAAATTATACATAGGAGGATTATAAACGCTGTTGTGATATGACGGAGTGATCAGCGCAGGAAGCTCCTTGAAAACGATGGGGTATTATTTTGGGGGGGGGTGGGGGTTTAACACAGTACCAGCAGTAGCACACTTTGAAAGAAGCATCAACCAGCATTATTGAGCAGCAGCAGAAGCATCTACTAGCATAGCAAAAGAGTGACTAGGCAAAGAAAGTACAACCTACACAGAAAACGCAACAGCCAATAGAATCTTTATTGCTTCTCCCTATCCTGTGCAATCGTATACAGTACGAACGTTCTTCAGGGATTGCTATAAACTATATATAAATAATATGTCTGCGCTTCATACATCTCGTTATTTTTTACTCTCTCAATTTAATCTTTTCACACTAAACAAGAGAGGCGTCAGCTCTGAAAGCTTCGAATAACACGCATATTTATTTGTGTTTTCACTCTTTTAATTTTGTTCGCTTCGATCTTTCCTTTCCAACTCTTCACACTTTCACAATCAATTTTTGACATTTCACAACTGCGCAAAGTTTACATTCAAGCAAGAAAAAGGTCGGTATATAGCCAGCAACGCATGTCATTCTCCAGATTTTCAATTACGCAGTAGTAAAGTTCTGACTTTATACATGCTGTAGAATATGCTGGCCAACTCTTATCTTCCGATTCCTTGTGGAGACGGGTAAGTTGTCAAGTAGATGTTGATCGCTAAAATTTTAGGTGATGATCATCTGTCTAACTGACTATTTGCAGTTCCTTTCATGTACCTACATATGCAAACGATACTACTAGCTTCGCTATGCAGAGCACCAGAAGTAGACAACAATTACAGCAACAACAGACATTTGGTGGTCGCTTGGAATCTTCATTATCCAACCATCCTCCACCGACCGCGACGCTGTCACCAATATCGTTTCTCAGCAACAGCGGAAACTATCCCGCTCGAGCCACCTCTAATGCTGCTGCACCTGGTGTGCCATATCCTATCGACACAGCAACAATTCACCAACCAGTGAATGCTTCAACAACAACAGCAACAACGCCATCTCACCCATCACCTTACTCTTCTATCCAGCCGCCTTCGTCTTCCTTCTTCTCAGGAGGCATGGCTCCTTCTCCTCCAATAAGTTGTCCGTCTCCGGTCAGGTAAATAATTAATGGTTGCTTTTCGGCACCTCCTTCCCGATTTAAAATCGTGTGGGGGCACATACTGGTGTAACCCATGCGTACACAAAAGAAAATATAATTGACAAACGTGTGTTGTTATGCGTATCTTTATAGTCTCCGATACGATGTTATCTTGGAAGGTATACATCATATAGCCCTGGATTTTTAATTCCACATAATCAAATTTGCTAAAGGCACTAATTTACCTAACACTATGGATCGCCGCCTGGCATCATTATTTATCAATTGTTAGCTCCTCCGGCAGCAGCTCAGCGATCAGAAGAAACACAGCTCACATACTTGAACAAAGGTTAGATATTATTTATGTCGACGATGCACATAATGAAATTTATACTATGCTGGCGATACTTAAGCATTGCAACAATCATAACATTTCCAGGCCAATATTATTGCATAACGCTTGCCGATAACGACGGATATGATGGTATCCATACAAGTACCTTGGCGATCATGTTCCATGATGAGTCGCATCGTCGCATAGCACTGAATTACTGGAGATTCTGGTTGGGACAGCAGCGAGAGCCAGATACAGCACGGGCATTGGAAATCAGTAAGTCATCACACCACCGCAATACTTCTTTTCATTTTCCTGTGATTTTCCTCCTTTCTATACTTGTACGAATAGCCAAGGTCTTTGAAGGATATATACGATTTGAGATGTAATCCTGAAATTGTAATGTCTCCTTTGTTTCAGATGCTGGCAGGTGCTCCGGTATCCATAACGTCCAATGTGATTACTTTGATCGCATTACCTTCAATTGGCATGGAAAACGTGGAGCCAAAGTCTATGTCCGCTTCAACTGTCTTTCAACAGACTTTTCACGTATCAAGGGCGTTAAGGGTATTCCCCTGCGCTTGTACATGGAGACTCAAGGCACATCTGCTGCTGCTGCTGTTGCAAATGAACATTCTCTGCAGCAGCATTCGTCATCATTGGTGGAAGCTACATACTGCAGGATCAAACTCTTTCGAGATAAGGTTTGTTTCTGCTAAAGCCCTTTCTTTACAAAGCCCCATCATCACGTTCTTCTAAATTCTTAAATGGCTGCCCGTGTTGGGTTACTAACACCTCTGTTTTTCTTTCAGGGCGCTGAGCGCAAGAATAAGGATGATCAACGCCACATCGAAAAACAGCTTGAAAAAGTACAAGGTATGTAGTAGCATTTTTATTGTTAGAATAAAGGAAAGGGAACTCCATCCTTCTGTATTCTTCTTTAAGAGAGCTTGTCAAGTTGACATTTTAGAATCTAGGAAACCCAGGGGAAGCGCACCCTCTTTTAGGTGCCCTGCGAAGGGAGATCAGATATACAGCCTTCTCGGACATTGCAGAGGAGCTGTCACCACCTGTCATGTCTACAGTTGCGCTCGAATATTCCAATAATAGTACCGCAACTACTTCTACTTCTACTTCTGCAGAGCGATTCAAATCATGCAAGCCCTCAATCAGTTTCTTGCACTCATCGTCTTCCTCTTGTTCTGCGTCGCCCCCGTCCTCCGCGAGCATTTCTCCTGCGATTACCACCCCGACGTCTCCTTCCCGTGGAGTCAAGCGTTCCAACCAAGACTATTTCTGTCAACAGCCGAATGTGTCTACCCGAGCTTATGCTGGATCATCCTCGATATCGTCCTCTAGTACCTATCCATCGCAGCAGAATTCAATGTATGATGGCAATAACAACCCTTTAACAGTCGATGGACTGGACTCTACCTATGTTCCCATTCGACGTCGACGCCATGCTGGTACGTAAAAGCAACTACCTCTCACAGCTTTATACAGCCTTCTGACATTACAATTTAACATTAGTCCTCTCCTTGTTTGCACGCGGTCCGAACGACGAGTACTACAGAGCTATTTATCTTGATGATCTTTCTGTCCAGGACCTGATCGAGAAGCTGTCAAGTAAATTAAATGTGCCAGTGCCGGTCAAAAATGTCATACGGCATGTTTCCAAAACAGACAGCTATAGCAACAAGCACGGGGCCTCTAATTCTTATTATCACAATACTGCCTGTGACAGTACTAACAGTAACACCATTGTTGTTCGTGTTGACGATGCAGTGGTTCGTGATATCCCAGAGCAACAAGATATGGAAGTCGAAATCAAGTTCAACGACGACGGATTTGCGACGCTAGTATTATGTTACTAAAAGAAACCATCTCTCTCTCTTACGCTTATTATGACTGTGTACATCAAACAATAATTCAACCGAGCCATTGCAACTTTCATCGCTCTTACCCACCCCGGACAAACTCATCAGTTATCTCTAACCCCCTCCCCTACTCCAATCCCAAACATTCCATTTTTTCTTCTCCTTCTCTCCCCGACAGCAAACAGTAATGATACTTTCGGGCTAGTAGGATGAAGTAATGCACAATGTACAAAAAAATTCTCTACTGTATAGTCGTTTCAAACCATTATCTATTTCTGCCCCTTCCAAACTCGCATTACCATCATCATCACACACACGCATATAGTATTCGCTTTCCTCATTTTACTATTTAGTATCCACACCCTTTTCTTTAAGCCTCAACAACCTAATTTTTTGAAAAAGTCATAATATCATATGTCGCCATATTTAAGGACTACGAGTAAAATGACATTAGTAGGAGCTTATGCTTGGCTCAAAACGTATCCTTGATAAAAACATGTTTGCTGCGGCTATTCTTCTTACCTGAAAAGCGCTCCCCTGGCTGGCTTTGTGTTACAGTGAAGCACCCTATTCAAGTAACTTATTAAAAATCAGTACCCGCATGTACTACTGCAAACATAACAACAAATAAAAGAGTTGTGGCCCTACAAATCAGGCAAACTTAGTCGGGAGTTTTTTCTATTCTTCGACGTGATTGCCTCTCTCTTTCTCTTTTTTGGCCCCTTTTCTTTTTCTTTCTTTGGGGCTACAGGACAAGAAAATGGATAGCAGTGATATCGATTACCTGTAAGCTGCCGACTGATTACAAACTGCCTCGACCTTCATAAGAAACTGACTTCTGTATTGTTTACGCTGTACATGGCTTTCGATTTCTAAAAGTACATTGCTAAAATGTATATCCCCGTTAGTGATTCTTTTACTTGGTGTTCTGTACATCGGGTATAAACGCCGTTACGATCCCGAAACAGTTGCTTCACATCTGCCACCCTGCAGGACAACAGCGACGAAACATCTGTCAACAACAGCAATAACAACATCGACAGACACCCAACACATGAATTACCACAAAAACCTACAAATGATGTTGAGCGGGATACCGGTGCTTGGCTGGATTTATCATTTGCTATCTCTTCAAGAGCTATTCGAGTCCATACGATGCGTAACATATTTTATCGCCTGGGTATTGAAGCAAAAGGAAAAAAGTACCAATAAAGGATAGCATATGCCAAGTCCCGAAACAATTGTTACTAACCAAATTGAGGTGCTGTGGTCGTTGTTCCTTTTACACCAGGTGCTTATTGTGTTGACGATCGCTGTCTCGCCTCCATATTACGCGTATAGTGCAAGACATTATATATACTTCTTTGTATACGCTTACGGTTACTTGTCAGCAGATACTGGATATCACCTCTATCATATCGGTCTTGAAAACAGTATATGGGAAAATGTGCACTTTGGGTTGTGCTTGATTCTATTTGTTATTGCTGGAACTACTCCGCAACCAGTTCACCCCTTGAACCTGAACGAATGTGTTTGCATTAAGGTATGTATCAATGTCTTGTGCAACCGGACGCAACAGAACTTTATGTAGTTTTCTATTTTCATTTAGGGTCACAAGACACGGCATACTCCAGAAGCCTCCGCAAGCCTGTTCTCTTGGGCTGTGTTTCAATGGGTAAGGCATGGCTGCTCCAATCAGATATATCATGCGACATCACACACGCATAGATACGCTTGTTTTTCCGTTCGGCTAGTGATACTGACCGTATTACCAGATTAATCCACTAGTTCGATATGGATTCTCAAATCAGATTACTCGCGAAGACCTATATCCACTCACCTTCCAACATCGTGCAAAAATTGCATACGAAGATTACACATCAGCGTCGAAACGAGGAATACGAGCACTATATCGTCTATACAAAGCCAACGAGCGATCTATTTGGCTACAGATTATATTCTCAAATGCGGCTGTTCTACTATCCTATTTAAATCCATACTTTCAACAAAAGTTCCTGGAATATATCGAGAAAAAAGATTCACCAATTCGCGTTGCGTATGGATACGTATTGATGATGTTCTTGGCAGCTCTCGTACAAACACTTTGCAATAGTATCCAGTTGTGGGCAGGTCGACGATGGAATGTCAGAACGCTGTGCATGCTAGACGCCGATATTTATGCCAAGGCGTTGAGGCGCAAAGACACACATCCTGCACCGGCATCACAGAAGCAGGATGATGATAAAGAATACAAAACGAATAACAGCAGCAAAGGAGAAGATAATAACGATGGAGCTGGCAAGATTACAAACCTGATGAGCCTAGATGCAAACCACATAGCAGAATTACCGGCGTACATATTTGTAAGCGAAGAAACGCAAGGACTGGATTCTATCAAAATTTGTTTATATTCATTTGAAAGGCAGGTCTATTGACATACATCATTTATAATAGATGTTCTACAATGCACCAGTTGAGATCATCATTGCGATGGTGTACCTTTACCATCTACTCGGAACAGCGGCGATCGTGGGACTAGCTGTTCTGATTCTTTTCTTCCCAATGACATATGTTTTGGTCAACAAAATCCGAAAAGCTTATATGAATATATCCAATGCAGAGGATCGTAGGAACAATTTACTGAACGAGTTCTTACAAGGAATCCGCATCATTAAATATGCAGCATGGGAAACGAATTGGCAAGCAAAGATTATGCGTGCAAGAGAAGTCGAACTGGAACAAATTCGGCAGACAAATATACTTGAGGTTATTATGAATGTAGGCTATTTGACGGTACCAGTGCTAGTGTCAGCCTGCTCATTCGTCTGGTATGTCAAGGTATCTCAACGCGAATTATCGGCAAGGTAAAGATATATACTATTAATAGGATTTTTAAAACTACATTATGTTAATGAAATGTTTTCTTACTTCACGCAATACAAGTGTGGTATTTGTCAGTATCACTTTGTTTGATATGCTGCGAAGCCCTCTTTTGTTGTTGCCGGATGCTTTAGCCTCATTTACCCAAGCATACGTTAGCCTAAAGCGCATTACCACGTATATGGACGATCAAGAAATACAGCTGAATACCGCAGATGACACGTCATCACCTTCAGGACGCGTAGGATTTGAATCTTCAATATTCCAATGGCCCGACAACATCAAAAGAACGTCAGAATCGCAAGCAAACGATCAGCAACCTACCAGAATCAGCAGTAACGAAAACTCGCCTTTACTGGAAGTAACAAACAGTATTACCAAATATGTCGATCCCTCACTGACTGATAAGCAACAAACGTTCCGCCTCGATATACCATCTGCGTTTGATTTTCCTACAGGGCAGCTTAGCCTTATATATGGTCCTACTGGGGCAGGAAAGTCCTCACTTTTAAACGCACTATTGGGAGAAATGGACACGATAAACGGGAAGGCATATTTAGCAATAACCAGATCACCCTTAACAACGGATATCGCTGCTATTCCTACGACAACGACCACACACGACCATTACAGTTTTCGAGTAAACGAAGAAGAAGAAGAAGAAGAAGAACAAACTCTCTACTATGGAGCGATTACAGAAGCTTTTTCCAATTGCGTCGCATATGCTGCACAACAGCCATTTTTACTTCAGGCAACAATACGCGAGAATATTCTGTTTGGTCAGCCCTATGAAGCTGAGCGGTATGAAAAGGTGCTTTGGCAATGCGCACTCGTCAAAGACTTATCGATTCTACCTGACGGCGATTATACCGAAATTGGAGAAAAGGGCATTTCGCTTTCTGGAGGCCAAAAGCAGAGGTACATACACCAGTAATTTCAACCCACTTTTTATGGGATACACAGCTTTTCTTTTTTACTTAACTTGTATTCTTAGAGTGTCACTCGCGCGTGTCGTGTTTTCGTACTCAAGGATTGCGTTACTGGACGATTGCCTTAGCGCTGTCGACTCGCATACTGCACGTCATATTTTTGAGCACTGCATTAGAGGCGATCTTTTACAAGGACGTACGATCATCATGGTGACACACCATATCCAACTGTGTATGCCCGCAGCAAAATTTCTTGTTCGGCTCGAAATGGGTGGCAAGGTCGCTGCGTTTGGCTCTGTCGAAGAGCTACAACAGTCCGACAAATTGATTGAGACGTTTGCTGCCAACAACAGTGCTAGCAATAGCAGTAGCAGCAGCAACTCTATTGTAGAGCAACATCCAAAAACGCATGATGACAACGACGGAGTTGTAGAAGCGACCGATAAAAGCAAATTAGCAGTAGAGCAAACAAAAACAGCCACAACATCTGCCGGTAAACTGATACAAGATGAACACTCAGAAAAAGGCCAAGTCAAGGCCAAAGTTTATTTGACGTATTTGCGCGCCTGTGGAGGTTGGCTATTTTGGATCGCGCTAGCTGTTTTCTTTTCTTCTTCAAGGACTTTGGCTTTTGCAGAAAATTGGTACGGATTTTCAATCGCTGGGAACGCCTAGATGAACACTTATCATTAGAAAAAGACTATTGATTGGAAAAACTAACTAATACTACCACTCTGTTTTTCAGGTGGCTGAGAGTCTGGGCAGCAGCATATTCATCCAAGAGCAGTCGAGAAACGCCTTTGGTAGTCACTTTATATATGTGTCAGCGTCAGGACACCTCTTCTGCTGCCAATGTTGGGCTCCAGACTCACGAATCTATCGCGTCGATAATGAGAACTTCTCCAGGCGATGAAGAAAACGGCGCAGTTGATGTAGATTACTACATTGCTGTTTATCTTTTACTCTGCTTAGCATTTGTTGTCTCGGATGCTCTACGGAATATTTTGCTTTACTGGGGTTCCCTCCGTGGTGCCAAAATTTTATTCGTGGAACTAATCGATCGCATTGCCCACGCTCCTTTACGTTTCTTCGACACGACTCCCTGTGGCAGAATCCTTAATCGCTTTGGAGCTGATATGGCCGTAGTCGATAAGCAAGTGGCAAGAAGAGCCGGGATGCTGTTTGAATGCCTCACAGGAATGGTAGCTTCATCCATCATCATCAGCGTGATAACACCGCAATTTATTTTTGTTGCGCTTGTAACTGGTATGCATACTACTACACTGCTTGCACAAAAAAACAAGATCAGTCCTTGAACCACTATAGTGTCACTCTAATGATAGCAATGGCAATGTTCTGCACCAATTATGTAGCCTGTATATACTTTATGATTGGGCTACACTATCTACGGGCATCACGGGAGCTGAAGCGCTTGAACTCGGTCAATCGGTCTCCTATCTATTCGCTTTTCACAGAAACGCTTTCTGGGGTGACAACGATCCGGGCCTTTGGACAGCAGCATCAATTTTTATCGTCAATGTACGACAAGATTGATACGTATCTTACACCCTACTACCTCCTCTGGATGGTCAATCGCTGGCTGCTTGTACGCATGGATGCCGTTGGCGCACTCATGACGTTGGGTGCCGGTGTACTTATCCTTCAAAATCTCGATTCCATAGATGCTGGAATGGCTGGAATCTCCCTCGTATATGCACGCATGTTTTTAACTAACGTGTTTTGGATGATGCGACAATACACCGAAGTGGAAATCAGCATGAATTCTGTTGAGCGGATACAAGAATATCTCGAAGTAGAACAAGAACCGCGCAACCAGCCAAAACCTCTCAAGCATTGGCCAACCACTTCTGCACTCAAAATAAGCGACCTCCAAATCCGATACGCACCACACCTTGATCCGGTCTTGCATGGTGTATCGTTTGAGGTCAAGGACAAAGAAAAGATCGGGATTGTTGGCAGAACGGGATCCGGAAAATCGACGCTTGCTCTCTCCCTGTTCCGATTTCTGGAGCCATCTAGTGGTCAGATCATATTAGACGGGATTAATATCTCCTCCGTCGACCTTGCTAGTCTGCGATCAAGTTTGACCATGATACCTCAAGACGCAGCGCTATTTTCTGGTATAATCCGATCTAATTTGGATCCCTTCAACGAACACCCTGATGAAGCACTCTGGACTGCTCTAGAGCGAGTTCACATCCGATCAAGAATCCTCGGCCTCAACCAGACTGTTAGCGATGGAGGACAAAACTTCTCGCAAGGTCAGCGGCAGTTGCTATGTATGGCACGAGCGCTTCTTCGATCAAGCAGGCTGATTGTCATGGATGAGGCTACAGCAAGCGTCGATTTTGACATGGATGCCAAGATACAACACACAATTCGACAAGCTTTTGTAGAATCGACACTCATATGTGTCGCACACAGATTACGTACAGTGATCGACTATGATCGAGTTCTCGTTATGGACAATGGTCGAGTGGTCGAATACGATACTCCTTGGAATCTCCTAAATCAAACCCCACCAAGTTATTTCCGTGCAATGTGCGAACAATCAGGCGAACTGGATACACTGATAAATATGGCACGTCAAACCAACGACACTCTGCAACAGATCAAACAGCCGAATATTTTATAATTAAACAGACAAGGGTACACACAACAAACACTGTATACTATTACTTTTATATTTCGAACAAAAACCAAAAATACAAAACGTCTTTTTTATTACAACAATTGAGCACTTGCTTATCAATATTTACTGGCTGCCCATTTCCTTGGCGATCTGCTCGGAACGCTTGATGACATCGCTGATATCGCCCTGCATGTAGAAGGCGGTTTCGGGAAGAGCATCGTGCTTGCCGTCCAAAATTTCCTTGAAGGAGCGGATGGTATCCTGGAGCTTGACGAGACGACCCTCGTAGCCAGTGAAGACCTGGGCGACAGCGAAGGGCTGCGACAAGAAACGCTGGATCTTACGGGCACGCTCGACGACCAACTTGTCTTCTTCGGACAGTTCATCCATACCCAAAATGGCAATGATATCCTGCAACGACTTGTAGTTCTGGAGGATCTGCTGGACACCGGTGGCAACGGCGTAGTGCTCGTCACCAACGATACGGGGATCCAGGATACGCGACTTGGAGTCAAGGGGATCGACAGCGGGGTAGATACCCAATTCGGCAATCGAACGCGACAAGACAGTCGTGGCGTCCAAATGGGCAAAGGTGGTGGCGGGGGCAGGATCGGTCAAATCATCAGCGGGCACGTAGACGGCCTGGACGGAGGTAATGGAACCGTTCTTGGTGGTGGTAATACGCTCTTGCATACCACCCATGTCGGTCGAGAGAGTGGGCTGGTAACCGACAGCGGAGGGGATACGACCCAACAGGGCAGACACCTCAGAACCGGCCTGGGTGAAACGGAAAATGTTGTCAATGAAGAGCAACACATCCTGGCCTTCTTCGTCACGGAAGTATTCGGCAATGGTCAAACCGGTCAAGGCAACACGGGCACGGGCTCCTGGGGGCTCGTTCATCTGACCAAAGACCAAGGCACACTTGGATTCGCCTTCGAGCTTGATGACACCGGTCGAAATCATTTCGTGGTACAGATCATTACCCTCACGCGTACGCTCACCGACACCACAGAAGATGGAGTAACCACCGTGGGCCTTGGCAATGTTGTTGATCAACTCCTGAATCAACACAGTCTTGCCGACACCGGCACCACCGAAAAGACCAATCTTACCACCACGGGCGTAGGGGGCAAGCAAGTCGACGACCTTGATACCGGTCTCCAAGATTTCGGGAGTGGGCGATTGGTCAACGAACTCGGGGGCTTCGGCGTGGATGGGACGCGAGCTCTTGGACTTGATGGGACCACGCTCGTCAATGGGCTCACCAATGACGTTGATGATACGACCCAAGACTTCACTGCCGACAGGGATGGTGATGGGAGCACCAGTGTCAACGACCTTTTGGCCACGGACAAGACCTAGTCATATAAAACCCTCAGTCTTTTTTTTTCTCTCTCTCTCTGTGTGATGTCCTCCTCCCAGCAACCCATGATTAAGATACTGTACCTTCAGTACCGTCCATAGCAATGGTACGGACAGTGTTCTCACCCAAGTGCTGGGCAACTTCGAGAACAAGACGGCCACCAGAATGGTCCTGGACTTCCAAGGCGTTCAAAATGGCGGGAAGGTTCTCCTGCTCGAACTGGACGTCAACAACGGCACCAATGACCGAACTATAAACACGCGAACGTAGCAAAGCATCATCAGCTCCACAATGTCCTCCATTTGTAGTAAGCACTAGACTTATAATATAATATACATTACCGAATCTGACCGGCAGAGGTGGCCTCAGTGGCGTACGAGCGTGCTATAACAATATATATATATATATAAACAATCAGCAATCACATCGTTTTAGAAAATTGAACATTGCAGATGCGATTCACTCACCCTTGACGGCAGCTTGGGTACCAAGGGGCTTAGCAGCAAGACGGGCCATGGGGGCGGCACGGAAGGCGCTAGTGGCGACACGGCCAATAGCACTGGAAATGTACATTTTGGAAAGGGTCGAGAAGTATATACCAGGCGTAAATTTTTTTCACCTCTTAGACTGCAACACCCAATAAGATGTATCGGAATTCATGAAGCGACGGGGACAGCTTGCTGACCCAAAGCTATTTTATTAACCACGATAAAACTCAACATACACATGAGTAGGCATTTACTCTGATAAAACCAAAGCATACTTCCATGGTAGCCATATGGTTGCTATGACAACAATGACGCCCGAGACAGAGACTCACGGCAATTATGGAAACAAGGCACCGTTATCCAGGACACTATATCTAACATAACTTTGCTTTCTTTTACTGTTTTGAGATAATATACGCAAAACTTTATTGAGTTTCCTTCTGATTATGCGCCCGAGCGGTCAGTCTAGAAGAGGGATTGGTTCGGTGATAGTGCTTATCATCGAGCCAAAGAAATGGAATGTAAACAATAAGCGTTAATACGCATAATATATGCTCTTCTACAGCGTATAATGGAAAATTGAAAGTATATAGAACAGAAAGTTTTAACAAAGAGGGTCTGTGAACCAGGGGGAAGGATGGTTGTCCTAGCGGAGGGCAGATACATCTATGAAATTTATGAAGCTTACAAGGAACGGGAGCATCATCACTGCGAGTACTTGAAGTATTAAAGAAATCAATAGCGGATAAAAACTTGCCCGCGTTTTTGCATCAGATGCATCATTGCATGCATCACCTGTCACAACGTATGCCGTACATGTCAAATGCTGGCTTTGCTCTTTGTGTATTATACACACGAACGTGTCACTGGAATGCTAAATCACGTTGAATGTTGATAACAACAACAACAGTCAAGGTCCTTTTCAGGGTGTGATCTGTGGACTTTTCCGTTTTCAGAATAATGTCCCTGCAATACAACAGAGCCACAAGATTGTCACCATGCATGAAAATACAATTTAACAAGTGTGTCTTACTCTACAGTAAGTCCCCGTTAATTAGATCTTCAATACTTGTTACGGTTCTTCAAAATCAGCAATGTAGGTATCTATATATATAACAGATTATTAAACAAGCATTCCAATAATTTGATACACCTTACGTCAACAATTTTTCAGAACACCAATAGAAGTTGTACCGCAACTTAACGTTGCAACTAAAAGGAAGAGAGAGAGCATATGAGTATTACATGTCGAGGTACTTATGAAGGCTTTGACTGATATGATATGTCATCATGATCGACGTGAACAGATGCAGGCAAGGAATGAAGACATCCGCATCGCAGAATACAGAAGTACTTGGTGTTTTACAATCTAAAATTGAAACCGAAACAAGGAGCTCAGTAAAGAGATCCATCTGGAACTACATACAACGCTTAGTGTGAATGTAACTATCATGGCAAACGGTATCATAGATCTCATCCAACAGCTCATGGCTAGCAAAGCAACCCTGCGTATGGCAGTAATATATGCTGACCCGGCCTTGGTACCAAATACGATGCGGTTTTCCGATTTAGATTGACCGTACGATATCCGAAATTACAAGTATATGTCGTTGAGAGACAGAGAGAAAGCTAATACATAGACGCCACTAGCGATGGCGCTAATCGCACACCCGCTTTTCTCTATGGACACCATCTTGATGTCCCTGATGGTGGTGTGCAAACTCAGTGTAAGACCTTACGGAGTGCTTGTAACCCAATCGAGCATTGATGTCATGATGCGAGCCGTACTGTGCTGTCCAAACAAGAAAAGAGAGACTTGACTTTTGTTGCTTCCCGAATAAACACACTTTCTTCCCTCTCTTCTTCTCGTCCACTTCAAGCACTACTTTTCTCATTCCCACTTTTCTTTAAGGGAAAGAACGCCACCAGCAAAGGTAATGACAAGCAGTAGCAGACGCGTGACGAAGGTGACATTCAATAAAGCAAAGCACCAACATCACCAGAACAATGGCCGTAGCGTCAGCAGCAGCAATAGCAACCACAATGAACAGCAGCAGCCGCAACAGTAACGAGAATGAAGTCATCTTGGTTTCGAGGCCCAGCATCAGACACTTTTGTGGAAGGACGACGAGATCAGTAACCGTCTCGTTCTTAACGTGGCTCATGTTTGTCCTCTCTCTCTCTCTCTCTCACACACATGTCTTTACCATGAAATCCCAACTCAAAGTTCAAACGTTTCGAGGTGTTAATAATACTGATAAATTGACTTGTTAAAAGCGTTTGTGGAACATTTCCAAAAAATGAAGTTATCAAAAACAGCAGCAGGACAATCTTACAGACAGCTGCATAATCTGTACAAGCACGCAACGTCATTTAGACAAAGATAAGACTGAAGAGTGCGATCACTGTTCTTCTTGGGTCAGTCATCGTGAAGATGATGCAGATGCACCGTCAGAGTACAAAAACGCGTGGACATAAGCGGCGAGAGTTTGCCAATCTCCTGGATGTCACACGCGTCCGTCCCTTTGAAACGCGCGTAAGAACACAAAGTGTAGTGGGGCTTCTGTAAGGATTTTTTCGACTGCCACTTTAAATTACTGATTGCCGGGATAGATTTCCGAAAGACAATGCCCCCGTCATGCGCCTTATCGATAGCCTAGGCATTGTGTAACCTCAGTGTCGAGTAGAAGAAAAGCGTGTCATTATACTTTAACAAGTGGAGAAACTTTGTGAAAGCCATGTAGAAAGACGAGACTAGTGTGTACGTGTAGCCTGGAGTGTGCACATTGCAAAGGGGAATGTCTGTGGGGTTGCAATCCCAATGCCTCGGGAGATGACAGACCCATTGTTCGGCGTGGTCCAGTGTGCTTGTCGGTGTAACCTGGCATGGTCTGAATGGACAGGTGACGCTGTCAATTTTCTTTTTTTCCTTTTTTGGATCAGCTGACCAAGCGAACCAGATAAGATATGAAAGCACTGCATGGAAATAATTTCTGCTACTTTGCTCCTCTCTCTCTCTCTCTCTCTCTCTTTTCTTTGAATCATGAAAATTGTGACCAAGATTTCGAATGCAAAAAAGTGCACAGTGTCGACGAGCATAACGATGAACCGGGATGGTCGCGTCCAAAAGTTTGTCGTCTCAGCCAGGACTTCCCGTAGCAGCAGAAGCAGCAGCAGCGGCAGCAGCGGCAGTAGTGGCAGTGGCAGTAGCAGCCCACGACAGCAACAACAGAGAGAGAATCGCTCTGATGACGGCCTCACAGAGTTGGCCGAGAAGATTGACGAGTACTTAGCGGGTGACACGAGCTCGTGAGTACTCTTGCTCTTCTTCTTTCTTTTTTTTTCATTTTCTCCATGAGATAGCTTTAAAAATAAATAATATCTTTTAAAATAAAAGGCAGCATCGGGCTGTATAAAACCAAAAGAAACGTTGTCGTCTTTCCGGCTGCTACGCACGCGCGCGTGTGTGTGTTTGAGAAACTTGATAGTCAGACCAAGCATACGAATGGGCCTATGAGAATTATGGGGACCCAGGCAAAGGATATGTATTAGACGCGATAGTCGCTTCCCAGCTGTTGTGGTGTGACTTACGCATTCACTGGTGATGAACAAAGAATGAACAGTTGGAGTGTCCGGTGGATACAAGGGGTGATTGCGTATATACGTTGGTTTGCGATGAATCGTATACATGGAACATCCGGCTCCGTTGCGGCCAGTGGTAGATGCAACAATCGAGTATATATTTCAAACGTCTAGGCCAACCGACAATGTGATAATAGAATTAGTACATGTAATAACAGAAGAGCAGAATCTTTTGAGTACATATCTGACGGCATATTGTCTGGTCTGTCGTCGGCATTTGTAATACCACATCGACCATTAAATTATACGAACGTTCGCAACACCGTCTGTTTCACTGGTCCCCATAACGATTTCAAGACTCCTGGTTGATCCACTTATTATCTATCATGCAGTTCTCATGCTCAAGCGTTGTGGGTCTCACGAGGCAGACATGGACTCGTATTATACCAATCTGAGCAAAGCGAAAACCGATGCTCTTTAGCCAATCAGCCGCACATATGATGATTATATGAATCGTCGCAACGTCGTGGTTCAAAAAGTGTACAATTTCTCCATTTTGATCGCACCGAAGGATTTGTTTTTGGAACCAAGAAGATATTGTTCCCATTAAGGCGCCCAATCCAGGCTCTGATACATATTATACAACGCGAAAGAAAGGGATCGAAACAATCTAGTTTCTTTCAAGGTGGGACCATAGCAAAGACGTGCACAGACATCGTAAACCACCCTTCGTTCCTTTCTCCCTTTTCGAAAGTAGGGAATAAACACCCATGGAAATCTTTTGCATAAGATTGTTGTTGGATAACTTGATCAGACGGCTATATATTCGGGTCAATGTACAGGCCAGTACAGTGGCCGCTCGTTATAGTGATATTCGATATAGTGATATTTCGATATAGTGATGGGTTTATTGGGTCCAACTCAAATTAAGCAGGGAATTATTACTAATTCGCTATTGTGATGTGTGATATCAACCATCAGAAATATCATTATATCGAGCGGACCAATAGTATAATTTTATTTATCAGAAAAGGAAAAAAGATCAGTTTGCTTTGTGCTGGTTAATATCTCAGAGTCTAGTCTATGCATCTTTTTTCTAATAAGCCTATATAACTGAGCGTGCAGGTCGTCTTCAACCACCATTGTTTTTAATAAATCGCTCATATACTGCTTCCTCTCTCCTTTACTATGCAGTGGCTTCAATGCTTCCTTCTCCTCATCTTGTCTTTTCTAGTTATTCTCTTCTTCATCAACATCTACCTGTCTGTATCAGAAACAAGCCCGTGACTTTTACATATGCAGTTACATCAGCCGTTTATGAATGTACCTTAATCTCTATCAATAATCATAGCATCGTTAATGAGGTCGTTGAAGGAAGTTGGTGCATAGGTATCCTCTAATCCTTCATATAGTATCAAATCAATACCATCAACGCCACATGTTTCCTCATGAGTATCCAAAATCCCAGCAGCCAGCACCAAGCTCATCAGATAGAAGCCTTTCAGCTTATTCTCCTACACTAAAATTTTAAGGAGTTGCATACTATCAATTTTGACAGGATGTGATTCTAGAGCTTCTTCTGTAGAGCTCGCCAAATACCCCGGGTAATCTATGTACCGGATATCTTTGACGGAACTAAGTAATAATTCGATATAGTGATGGGGTTTGGGTCTCACCGGGCATATCACTATAACGAGCGGCCACTGTAATTCTGCTCTCGACTAGGATTCTCTCTAAATAGGCGACAGTATAAACGGCTTTTTCGCTGTTCATGAAGTGCATCATGCTGAGTGTGCATACTTTCCACCTGCAACAAATGGTGCTATAAAAAATGTACTATTGATTGCGATGTTGTTGTTGTTGCTGTTGTTGTTGATGTAGCATCCATCATATAAGAGTCGAAATACGTTGTTCTTTCATCATATCTTTGCACAGAAGGTATGAGATTGTAGCGAGCCAAGGTACTCGATCAGGTGGTAAACGTGCAAACAAAAAGATAATGCTCGAGAAAGTTGATGGTGATGATGGCGTCATACTTGCGATTAGAGGTCGTCAAGTAAGCCAGTGAGAACAGATTCATCTCGGTCAGTGAAAATTTGGGGTTAGATGATGTCTTCCATCAAAAGCATTAATACTGCTCGTCAAGCCGACGCGTGATGGTGCTTACACGATCAACGCAAAATTGTCATAGTGACAGGATATAGAAGTAGACCCGCAAGTGTGCCGTAGTACCTGCAAAATGACGGAGCATGGAGGGATCCGTGTTTTAGGCTTTTGTGCCATATGCGAATGCGTATGAGTTTATCTAGAATAGCGCGGACGTTTTTAGGTATCGCTGATGATGATTCTTTTTTTGCTGAACAGTAGAAGCGGTATCGATAGCGGTGTTGGTTAGTAACCGACGTTGTTGATTTTGATGCTGTTGCTGGTAGTTAGAATGGATGATGTCCTTTATGGATGGATTAGGAGAACAATAAAACGAAAAAGCATGTAAATAGTGGTGACGAAACTTGTATTTTCTAATCGAACTGTTATGAATCCGTATAGAGGCCTTACAATGGTGAAAGCGAAGCGATGCACGGCTATACATGAGCAATTCTTCAATACTGCTGGTCGTCGTTTGTAGCTTTGATAATCCAATCTCCATCGTCACTTACTACTGTGTTTCTTGTTGCTGCTGCTGCTGCTGGATCCTCTCGTTTGCATTAATGTTGCTATAATGGTCAATGTTACTACTGCTACAGCTCCTATATTAGTCACGATATCGTTGAATGGCCTTTTCAATGTGTGCAAGTTCTACCTCGAGTTGTTCCATTTGGCTTTGCCACTACTCCAACGATTCATCGACAGATTCGTCGAGCGGTACATTCTCGGTAAAGTAATCGTTGTTATTACAATCCCGATGTTGACTGACATCACAACTACCAACACTGCACGAAATATTGTGTTTTCCATAATGTAGTCAATTATTCGAGTCGACTTGCCAAATACAACCCTTTCCTTCTCTTTTTGCATGCTTTTATTTGGCTCAAGTGACAAAAGAGGATAAGTCCCCCGCCACTTGGTACCGTACTCGACCCATCAAAAAAAAATTTTCTTGGCCCTTCCCTCACGAACATGTACCGCGACATTAAAACGATACCAACACCTTCAGGATGGACACCTGAAATAAAATACATTGACAAACTGATATGGTCACCTGCTATTCCACAAGAATTGCGCCTGAGCTTTGATCCCAAGCCTGCCAAGATGGCTGATCAAGTGCAATCGCCACGATTCCTAAACGATCATGTCAATGTACGAGGCACGTCCTATCCAGGCATAAAAGAGCAGCGACGAAACATAAAAATCAAAAAGATCATGGACAAGAGTCATCCTTGTTGTGGAGCGTATGGGCTATATGCCGCTCAAACGTTACAACCACGCCAATTAATTCTCGATTATCTGGGCGTCGTGGAGTATCAGACATATGACCCAACCTCGGACTATGTTTTACGATTTGGCACGGATCTGTCTATCGATGCTGCAAAGTATGGCAATGAAGCTCGATTTTGTAACGATTTCAGAGGAATTGGCTCGGGACCGAATGTGTGCTTCTTGAACTATATGGATGAAAATACGCGCCAGATCAAGGTTGGGATCTTTGTGGCGGGAAATAGCAAGATTAGAAAAGGCGAAGAGCTGGTACGTATCTCTTCCGAATTGAGACCTTCTATGTATATAATTTGCCTGTATAATGAGATGCTAACGTACAATACGGTTTTCCCTACTTTAGCTTGTTACGTATGGCAAATCATTTTGGACCAACCGAGGGATGAACATGCATGAGAATCATCACTCCAGCAAAAAATAGAACATTACTTATAAATACCCCGCAATTCCATAACTGTAAATATATACATCTGTAACATCTGGAGAGCTCATTATCCTTTCGTTTTAGTGAAGGAAAATGCTTGATTTAACACATTCGTTTTCGGGCATAACACGTAGTAACATCCTGACTAGACTGGCGCCCGTGATGAATTATAAAGTGTAAACATGGCGCTGTTACATGTCAATATAAACGGTAATATGCATGCTTTACATATGATGTAGAGCTTTTGATCATAATACTAGCAATATAAGTTTGGCGGCAAGTGCGTGATAATGGGATTGCGAGAGTAAAATCCCACCAGATTCCGGCAATGTTTACTGCTATGTCTTGTGATCCAGACGCTTGGGTTTTTACCAGCCATGCCCCAAGCCATCCGGAATAGATCTCATGTAAAACCCCAAGCTTAATGCCTTTAATGATGTACTAAAAATTGTCCACCAACCTATATAACCCGTAGCTAATGGCGTTTGGACATTCATTTTAATCGTACACATTGTAAGTTTGGTTGGTGCTGATAGCTGTTCGAGCGTTCTATCTCAATACCACATTCATTCCGTCAAGACGTATCTCCTCAAATTCTGCACGTTGATTCATTTTTTCTATTTGAAAAGGTGCTGGAAACCTTCGTACGTCTCTTGCAATACAGTATGACAGCTCTACCACTTGCAATGTTCAAACACTTGACAAGAAGCGTTGCATTCTAGTATAAATGGCGTTGCCACCAAGGCTGATGTATCGCAACTGAGTCGACGAGAAATCGAGCTAGTTTTATTCCTTTTTCTGGAAGCGACTGGCACAATCTCGTTTCCATAGGATTGTTGACGTTACTGTGTTGGATTTTATCTGGCGCCGAACCATACCCGTCTATGTTCAAACAACTTGAGCCATCCCAGCTCTTTTACAGGTCACCAGAGTGCGGAGAGGAGGATGTGTGTCACCCAGTATCGATTGCCCAACCAGTAGCCTATACATCTACTTTACAAAAATTTAGTTTGAGTTTTTCTAACAGCAAGGTCACGTACTCTTGCGACCATGGATCATTCACTGTGCACTTTAACCGTAACAAGTCAAGCATCTTGATATGTGGTGTTGTCCACTACTTTTTTCAAAGTAAACAATGCTTTTGAACGCATGGTCAGAAAATTTGAACGAGCAATAGAGTGTTTCGAGGTTAACACTTGCTCTCGTCAAGAGTGCAGATACACCTGGTCAGCTTGCTGATGTATGGTTTATTTGCTTTGTACGAGAGATAGCGCGGATAACAGCTTCTTTCATGAAGCGATGTATTTCGATACTGTCGTTGTTGTCGTAGGATATCCGGATCTCCATATATTTTGTATATCGAACACAGCATTTCGAGATGCGGACAGTTATGGCCCATGTTTGGGTTATTGTTGTCGAAGCCGATAACGTGAGGATTTCTGATGCTAGGAGCGTCTTCACTGGGAGAGAAAGCTTTTCGAGACTATCAAAGTGAATATGTACGAAAGCTCCTCGGTCAATGTAAGAGAAATAGCTCGCATAGCGATTTCCAAAGAAAAAGTCGAACAGAAAATGACCATCGTGTTTGTATGGTCGTACATACTTGTTTCTGTTACAACTCTTCTTTTTCGTCAAAAGTTACAAACACCAGCCTGATCAGTTTCAGTCTTATTGACGTTGTGCTTGTTCCCGTTGACAGTCATGTTTCAATGCAAAGCTTGTAGAGCTTTATTTTACACATAACCCATCATATCTATTCATTGTTGACTCATTCAGTACGCATTTTCGGTCCAGATTCTTCTTTTAATGACATGTCCATGCGTCACTGATTATTAACTCGCAGTAATAAGTAATGGCTCAGCATTTAAGCTATACAGCCGCGCTCCTATTATGATCTCCAATGTGCAGAAAATCGGCCATGAGACTGTGTGCATGGCATACGTAACCTACGCTTCCATCTGCTATACGTGTAATTAAGAAGAGCAGGATGCTGATTAGAATACATATGGCTCCCTATAATAGCAGCGCAATGCGCCTTTCAACGCAGCACGCATGATCAAAAACAAACCATTTATTAATAAGGTTAAACTATTTCTTCATGCTGCAAACTTAATGAAGCAAAGGAGGCTCAGGAACCGCACTAAAAAACCAACATTAACACCAAAGCACTAGTATACTAAAGCACCATTACTATCAGCAGCCCACTCGAGATACTGTACATTGCCCTAGATGCAACTTTATACAAGTCCGCGAACCTACAAAGTCTAAAAAGGAAATGGTTCACTGAGCAATCACACTTGCGGGGTGACTTTAGCTAAGACTTCTCTTCCCGTAAGATAACCGTTCAAAACTGTCAACCTGTTTACTCAGGGAAGCCTTACTATATGAGGAAAACGACATCCATGTTCCTCCGCCCCGTATCGCGATGAACGCCCCGCACCTTCTTGCTATTCTTACTTACTATGATACACATTATATACACAACTTTATTTCATTCCCACCCCGTTTGTAGTCATTCTATTACAGACACAGCCCTGTTTTATTTCTTGGCAGGGAAAGGTCAACAAGACGGTAGCAAAACGGAGAGTCTTCCCCATTACTGTGAATATAGTAAGCCATAAACAAATAATGCAGCTAAGCAATACAAAAAAAAGCTCGGTTCCGCGTAACAATTTAGGCAATCTCTTCAATATCCAAATAGCTTTTTGTCATAAGCAGGAGCCATGTGGTGGTGGTGTGGCTTTCAGAACATTATGACGAGAACAGCAGCAAGCGACATAGTGATAGACCTACCCCTTTGTTGTGGAAATCGGAAACTGAAAAAATGCAAACATGGACCTCATGAATCTTTTTGTTTATTAAGCTCTACTTATAACCTGACGAAACTTCTGGAAAAAAAAAAGTAGACAACTGGCTCGGTGCACCAAGTATCGCGCTTACAGGCGTCTCGGAATCCTCGGTGTTTGCTCTACATGGAAAAATCTCTGTACTTGGAAGGAAAGCGATGTTTGGGGGGAGGAGGAGGAGGAATGGAAACAAACAACGACCATTCCAAGCGCTCGGTTTGAGGCACAAACTGTCAATCAGACGATACAAGCTATCGAAACGACGATGAGATAGCTGTACATAGAAGAAGATAACAATGTAATGAGTGGCTAATGCGTGAGTTACACCTCATTTGGCCTGAGTAATTATGAAAGGATCGGTCCGGGGGTTAATAATAAGCTGGATAAGGACAACCCCTCCTGCCCTCATAAAAACATACGCACTTGTCGCTCTGTCTGCTCAAACCGCTCAGCAAAATAATAGATTCTATGATACTAGAGCCCGACCGTTTACCTTTTTCTTATTAAATAGTAGGTATGATACGCGTGTGTGTGTGTGTCTGTGTGTAACATGTACAGGTGTTCGCACTCTGGATCGACTCCCCCCCCCACCAAAAAAAAAAAAAAATTAGGAAAAGATCAAATGACATGAATCGAATGATGTGTTGTTGTGTATGGGGAGACAAAGGCTTGGTAGCATAGTGTCTGTGCCCATCGTGTCTCTCGGTAACACAAAAAGAGTCAGACTGGGAGAAATTATTAGCAGCCGACGACGACGATGACGACGACGCCGCCGTTTACCTTTTTGACTGCTGCTATCTCTCAGGCGAACATGCACATCTATACCAAAAGCCCTGCATGATGCATTGCAGCGGTGCTTATGTAACAAAGCAAGGGAGCTGCATCTCCTGGTGTGCAGGATCAATAGTAGTAGTAGTAGTAGTAGCAGTAGCAAACGCGTGTACTGTACTTTTGAGTTATATGAAGATGGCTAAAGTTATAAAAAAACAAGCAATTTTATTCGTTTTGAGACCGTTGTTGGTTAGACAGAATTACTCGAGCAAGGTATACACACAGACACCGCGAGGGTTACACTGAGTAACGTATCATGATCTAAAAACAAGAGCGACCGGTTGACTTGACAAGTGCGCAACGGGAGGAGAAAAAAATATGTTCACATCTTCTATTTGGGCTTATCCCACTCTCGCCTAGCTACTACGTTACGTCGTGGACTCTACGCGTAGAGAGAAAGAGAGTGTGCATAGAAGCTCGGCATACATGCTTTATTTGGCTATACAGTAATGTGCATGGTTGCATAGCACGAAAAACTGCTGCTGCTGCTGGCTGGCTGACCCGATCACCGCAGTCTTGGGTCTTGTGTGGCTCCTATGTAAACAACTTTTTATAAACAACAAACGGGTGGAGACTTCTATTCGTATTCTTGGGGAGGGGGGTGGACAGGGGCTAGTAATGAAAGATAGAAAGTCTGGACCAGCACACGCTCACACACACAGAGAGAGAGAGGAAGATCCTTTGTAAATAGCAGCTCTTGTCGCGTTCTCCACAAGAATAAAAGAGCGTTACTGCTGTCATTGACATTTTTAAGGTTGCCGCTATGGAGCTTTCCAACCTAACCTTGACAAGGTTACATAGACGAGCCGCAAGCCGGTTATATGGTGGAACGAAAAAAAAAAACTTGTTGTGTCAAAAAAAGGCATTCTTTGTTGGCCATCGCAGCCAGAGCCACAACTCTGTTCGTGTGTTGGGGTGGGGGGAGGGGTTCTTCTCAGCAATAATGGCTTCGAAAGACGATCACCATTGCGTGTCCTTGGGCTGGCTGAAGGCTATGGCTGGACTACATAGACGGCAGCAGAACGAATAAAGGCGTAGCCCACCTTTCTTTCCCTTCTTTTCGCTACCTTTCTTTCCTTCTTTCCCTTCATTTTCTTCCACATCTGCGCCTTGGGGTTTTCTGTCCTTGACACTCCACGTTCCCTTCCCTTTCAACGTAAAAAAAAGGAAAAGAAGAGAAAAAAGAAGAGAGCAAGACAGCAAGGAGGGAGTTACCATATCAAGAGATCCGATCGTCATCATCGGTTGGAAAGGCCATCAGCGGGCCCTCTTTTTTTTTTTATTCTTTTTTAGACAAGAGTTTTGTTTATCGGGGCTCTCTCTTTTTTTTTCTTTTCTTTTTCTTTTTTTAAAACCTTCTTTGCATCCTTTTCTCAACAAACACAGACGCACAGCACAGAACAACGCGCACAGCGATTCCTGAATCGACCCTGTCTAAGCATTTCAAGACGTCAACCACCCTCTGAGAGAACTTGTTGCCAGCCCTCTTCCACTACATACGTACGCCCATGCTTACCTCGGATCCACACCATTCGCCGTATCATCATCCTCCGTCGGTATCACCGCCTGGCCCATTGCCACCACTGCCATTTCACCATCATCCGTCCGCTGCAACTGCCTCACAGCAGCAGCAGCATCATTTCCCACAGCCCCCTCCCGTCTTTGTTGACAAGTAAGCATTGCTCTTTTTCTCTTTTCGATAGCAAGCATTGAAAAACAACAACAACAACAATAATAATAATAATATGAATCGTAACAAACAAAAACATACACACACACACACACACTCACACACACTCACACACAACAAAACGAATCCCCGCTCCGCATTTAAAATGGCTGATTCCAACAACATCATCATCACCTCTGGCATAACTGCTTTGTAGTGTTCCTCCTCCACCAGCCCAGTATCATCGTTATCCTCTCCAGCAGCACCAGCAACACCAGCAGCACCAGCAGCACCAGCAACAACAACAACAACAACAACAACGCTACAGACGAGACGTGCCTATCATTCATCCTTCCCAGCATCACTCGCCCGTCAGTTCATTCGTAAGCTCTTCTCCTGGTCAACAACAGTCAGTACACTCGTCTCCAATCATGCACTCGTATCCAGCTATTACGACGATGGAGCCATCACAGCAGCACCAGCATCACCACAGCCATCATCCTTACGCCTCGCCTCGCTCTCAGGCTTCGTCGTCCATTGCTTCTGTAGTGCCGTCTCCGCCGACAAGCTGTCCATCCTCATCAACCGCTATTGCAAAGTAAGAAGCTGCTTTGTGTGTTTCATTGTGTAACCCACGCATTTCCCACTCTGTGTGCTCTATATCACTTCCTCTTGTATGCTTTGTATTGGCTCGTGCGAAAACTCACTCTATTCTTTTTTTTTTTAATCCATTTACCCCTGCTTTTTTCTTCTTTTCTCTTTCTCTCTCTTATCCTTCTCTCTCTCTCACTCACTCACATTTTTCCACCTTTATGGACGATAGTCTTCGTTATGAGATTATATTGGAAGGTAATTTATAACCTCTAATGACACTGTGTGATCTATCCCCCCCCTTTTCCCCTTGCTATCATACACCCCTTGTTTAGCCATGTGTCATTATTATAAATTGATCGACCTGTTTTTTTTTTCATTCTGTGTAGCACCTACTGCCGCTGCACAAAAGGTGGAAGAGGCTCCGTTAACCTACCTCAACAAAGGTATTGTAACAACAAAACGTCATGATCTTGACGACACGATAGACCTAAACATGTGTGATTACCCACCCCCCCCTCCAATCTCCTATATAGGCCAGTTTTACAATGTCAATCTCAAGGACACCGAGTTGCTTGACGGCAATGTTACAAGCACGATCAAGATCACGTTCCATGACGAGTCTCACCGCAAGGTCGCTAGTAACTACTGGAAGTTTTGGATGAGCCAACAAAAACATGGTCAAGCACGCGCCATTGATATTGGTTAGTTTCGCAGACGGCGTTGACTAACAACAAAGTGTAAACGAATGAGCCAGCGAATGCTGTGTTATTACATGCTAACATGTGAGTGCGTGCTATATATATATATATTAGACACTGGACGATGTAGCGGCATTCATAGCATCGAAACTACCCACTTTGATAGCATCACTTTCCAATGGAACGGTAAAGCTGGCGCGACCGTCAGTATCCGCTTCAACTGCTTGTCCACTGACTTTTCTCGGATCAAGGGCGTCAAGGGTATTCCTTTACGACTTCACATGGAAAGCCGCTTGACTAGCAACGAATCATCGCCTCCTGCATCCGAAGGCTCCTATTGTCGGATCAAACTCTTCCGAGACAAGGTAAATAAACATAAGTGGGAAGGCCTCTCACTGGCAACAATCAGCCAGCGAGCCCGCCCAATAGCATGAAGAAACGAAAAAGTGCTCATCCATAGCAATGCATCTAGGGAGCCGAACGCAAAAACAAAGACGATGCTCGACATATTGAAAAGCAACTCGAAAAGCTACGCGGTAAAAACGGCGAATCGCATCCGTTGTGGCTCGCATTTTCACAGACACAGCCGTACACGGTGTTTTGTGAAATGGCGACATCATCGCCCACTGTTCACCTACAAACAACACCACTGCAGCAAGATCTGGCCTTTGCTCGTCGACTGAGTGACAGCGGTAGCAGTACCCACACAGCCGGTCGACCACCGTCATCCAATTATCCTTACCTGCCACCACCACCACCACCACCGCCGCCGCCTTTGAGTGCTGGTGGTAGCTTGAATGGCAGTGCCACAGCAGGCTTGAAACGGCCCTACCATTCTCACCCGTTAATGACACCGCCGTCTACGGACCCAAGTGTGGCAGCAGCGGCCATGGCAGCTGTAGGCGCACCAGCCATGTCGCCTGGCACGCCCAACCCGTACTTCATGCATCATCATCCGGGCATGCCACCACCGCCTATTTCCCTCGATTATGATCCAACCTATGTCCCGCAACGACGACGCAGAGTGGCGAGTAAGTGTAGTATATCCTTCTTCAGTATTGCACACAACAGTGGACTCATACACGTTTTGCATGTTGTAGAACTCGGCATCTTTGCAAAGTTCACCAACACGGAGGAGGATGGACTCCATCGCGCCGTGTATCTTGACGAGCTCACGGTGGACGATCTCAAAGACAAGCTCAGTGCCAAAATGGACATTGACCCGAATCAGATCACTCAGGTGGTTCGCCAAGTTGCCAAAAAAGAAAACTTGGTCGTACACATGGATGACACCGTTGTTCAGGATATTCCCGAAATGCAGGATTTGACGATCAACACTAAGCAAAACGATGACGGTACTCTCACGCTGATGCTTTGTTATTAGCCAACTCCTTACCTCTTTTACTTTCTTTCTGTTTCCCTTTTCCCCTCGATCCCTTTGCTCTTTGTTTTGCTCTTTTTTTTCCAATTTATACGTCGCACCCCAAACATTGACAACAACACCGACCTCTCCCAAATCAGCTATTCCTTTGGCAACAGCAAGTCACTCAACCACACAGCAAGCACTCACTCGCATCTCTTTCTCTCCTTCTGATATACATACCACCCATATACCTCTTTATCTCTTTTCTCTTGGTTTTGGCAGACCTCCTTGTATAGTCCCTTCTCGCACATTTTCTTTCTACCAGCTAGCTCAATGTTCTACTTCTCCCTTCTTACCCTTACTCGCACATTTCACACAATTGTATCTATGTACCCTGGCACACACACACACACACACACACACACACAACGATGATGATATTGACTTTTAAGAAACAGAAAAAAAATTTAAAGTTCAAACAACAACAATGAACAGGAAACAGCTGTGCTTTTCCAAAAATTGCAAATATGTCTCTATTCGGTACCACTCCGTGTATGCGCTGTGTTTGTCTTGTTTATGTGTTTTATTGAACAAAAGTATACGAGCACATTTGCTCGGGGTTTCTTTATAATGGTCGCTGCATATGCTGTTGCTGTTGCTGGGTTAAATTAGACAAAAAAAAAAGTACATGAACCTTTGGTTTTTTTTTTCAGGTGGGATGGGGAGATGTGTTTTTTGTTTATACAATTGCGAGAGAGAGAGAGAGTGTGTGTATGTCTTTTGCTTTCTGCTGCTTTTTACTGGCTGCCCATTTCCTTGGCGATCTGCTCGGAACGCTTGATGACATCGCTGATATCGCCCTGCATGTAGAAGGCGGTTTCGGGAAGAGCATCGTGCTTGCCGTCCAAGATTTCCTTGAAGGAGCGGATGGTATCCTGGAGCTTGACGAGACGACCCTCGTAGCCAGTGAAGACCTGGGCGACAGCGAAGGGCTGCGACAAGAAACGCTGGATCTTACGCGCACGCTCGACGACCAACTTGTCTTCTTCGGACAATTCATCCATACCCAAAATGGCAATGATGTCCTGCAACGACTTGTAGTTCTGGAGGATCTGCTGGACACCGGTGGCAACGGCGTAGTGCTCGTCACCAACGATACGGGGATCCAGGATACGCGACTTGGAGTCAAGGGGATCGACAGCGGGGTAGATACCCAATTCGGCAATCGAACGCGACAAGACAGTCGTGGCGTCCAAATGGGCAAAGGTGGTGGCGGGGGCAGGATCGGTCAAATCATCAGCGGGCACGTAGACGGCCTGGACGGAGGTAATGGAACCGTTCTTGGTGGTGGTAATACGCTCTTGCATACCACCCATGTCGGTCGAGAGAGTGGGCTGGTAACCGACAGCGGAGGGGATACGACCCAACAGGGCAGACACCTCAGAACCGGCCTGGGTGAAACGGAAAATGTTGTCAATGAAGAGCAACACATCCTGGCCTTCTTCGTCACGGAAGTATTCGGCAATGGTCAAACCGGTCAAGGCAACACGGGCACGGGCTCCTGGGGGCTCGTTCATCTGACCAAAGACCAAGGCACACTTGGATTCGCCTTCAAGCTTGATGACACCGGTCGAAATCATTTCGTGGTACAGATCGTTACCCTCACGCGTACGCTCACCGACACCACAGAAGATGGAGTAACCACCGTGGGCCTTGGCAATGTTGTTGATCAACTCCTGAATCAACACAGTCTTGCCGACACCGGCACCACCGAAAAGACCAATCTTACCACCACGGGCGTAGGGGGCAAGCAAGTCGACGACCTTGATACCGGTCTCCAAGATTTCGGGAGTGGGCGATTGGTCAACGAACTCGGGGGCTTCGGCGTGGATGGGACGCGAGCTCTTGGACTTGATGGGACCACGCTCGTCAATGGGCTCACCAATGACGTTGATGATACGGCCCAAGACTTCACTGCCGACTGGGATGGTGATGGGAGCACCAGTGTCAACGACCTTTTGGCCACGGACAAGACCTAGTCATATAAAACCCATCAGTCTTTTTTTCTCTCTCTCTCTCTCTGTGCGTGATGTCCTCCTCCTAGCAGCCAATGATTAAGATACTGTACCTTCAGTACCGTCCATAGCAATGGTACGGACAGTGTTCTCACCCAGGTGCTGGGCAACTTCGAGAACAAGACGGCCACCAGAATGGTCCTGGACTTCCAAGGCGTTCAAAATGGCGGGAAGGTTCTCCTGCTCGAACTGGACGTCAACAACGGCACCAATGACCGAACTATAAACACGCGAACGTAGCAAAGCATCATCATCAGCTCCACAATGTCCTCCATTTGTAGTAAGCACTAGACATATGATATAATATACATTACCGAATCTGACCGGCAGAGGTGGCCTCAGTGGCGTACGAGCGTGCTATAACAATATATATAAACAATCAGCAATCACATCGTTTTTAAAATTTGAACATTGCAATTGCGATTCACTCACCCTTGACGGCAGCTTGGGTACCAAGGGGCTTAGCAGCAAGACGGGCCATGGGGGCGGCACGGAAGGCGCTAGTGGCGACACGGCCAATAGCACTGGAAATGTACATTTTGGAAAGGGTCGAGAAGTGGAAACACAAATTCGTCCCTCTTGTTTCTCCATAATACAACAACGTATCGGAGATGGAAAAACATGATACAATTACAGGGCTGCCTTGCCGCTTTGCCCCTGTGTCACACGCCACGCGACTGTCAATTTCTTTGGCAACGAAACAACCTGTCAAAGCGTCGGGCAAAAAAATAGCGTCCGTGATTATTGGGTTTCCATGTGATGCGCATTAAACGTATGCACTTGAAAAGAGTGTGTGATTGATAGAATTGAATTTTACAACTATCGGGCTATTACACTAATGTTTGTAGGTGCACTCAAAATGAGCTTATATATCGATGAATATACAACTAAGAACTGCCATCCTTAGTAAACCAACATTGATACTAATATGAGGGTGAGAGTAGTTAATCCTATATAGTAATTTACCTTTTGGAGCCTGTTAAAGTAATAACTGTTGTTAACTTTATACTCTGAACGGATCATAAGCCTCATGATAAAATCGACACCTATTCTTACACTGATGACAAGAAGGTATGGGAAGTTCTTAAATCCACGATCTTTACTCTAATCCTTTAGTCTTCCCCATAACAATATTGCAACAACCCATATTTCTTAAAGAGCTATGTGATAGTGTCGCACTGGATAAAGGATGCTGCTAGCCGTCTGGTTGCTACATATCGACACTTTCAAAAATAAAAATAAAAGCGCGACTACATACCTAGTATGATATGCACATTACAGTATATATCAATGTGAGAATATGCACGTTCATACAGTCCATCAAGTACGTGTAAATAGGACGCGCCTCTGCTGTAGTGGTACAGCAAGCAGTAGCCAACTCACGAGTTGACGTAGATGGCCAACTACCATAGTTTCAATTTTGCAGGTCTCGCCACCTTGCTGGTTTGACGTGTTTTTTTTATTATCAACTGTTTATAGATCTTGGAATTTGTGTGTATGTTTATGATGTGCCCCCTTCTTTTAATTAATAGCAGTTTTGATGTGCTGCAGGAACTGTTGGTACGACATGATATTATCTGTCCTGTCTTCCACGAGATGTGACAAGAACCACATCCGCAAATAGGGATCGCCATCTTCTTTGATAAGATAAAGTGTTGGAAAATAGTTTCCGCGTCGCATTTCGCGTATTTTGCCAATAAGCATGTTGACCTTTTTGTTGATTGGCGTTTCCAATACTGGCATGGTGATCTTGCCACCACGAAGACCATCGTAGGATTTAACGTCGAAAAGATCAGCGCATAGCTGTGGAACAACACCGCGACCCACCCACAAGAAAATGTTTTGGCCATTTTCTAACAAGTAGCAACCATGGAGCTCGAGGTTTTCGACTGTAAGATTCAAGGCTGGTGGGAGCGCTACGCCATTCTCTGAAATTTCGCCGGCCTATAAAGTAATAAGACGTTAGAGCTATCTGCACTTGGATTTGATGGTAAAAAGGAGGTCAAACGGAGGGTGCAGGAGCTGCTGTAGCCAGCTATGGAGAAAACAATACAATACCTCGGGCGGCATGTTGTGCAACGAGTATAAGTTGGGATAAATATAGGGTAATAATAATTGTAGAGGCATCGTTCGAAGAAGATTCATGGCATTCGAACGTAGATCCGTTGGTATTTGTGAGCTTTGACGCAAGCCATCCTAATGAGTAAAAGTACTGAAAATGAGAAATACTAATGTAAATAAGATAATGGGTCATCGCAAGACTTACATGCTTAATCAAACAAAGAGCTAATAATGGCAATAAATTGAGATTACTAGGCCCTGTCAGTTGTGGAGTAGATCCAGGTCCGGAGCCCAATACGTGTGATTTATAAACACTGAATATGTCAGCAACTTTATTGACAATTGCATCCCGAGCATCGTCAAGTTTGGAAGATAATGCACGCTCGACTCCTTCCAATTTGTCAAATATTAATTCATATCCTTCGTTAGTATGCTGATTATAGCGTAGAATAAATGGCTCCAACCCCGTCCACTCCAGGGAAGAGGCAAAAAAAAAAAAAAAAGAACGGATATCGATTATTATTTTTTTTACCTTTGTTGGCAAGATAGTCCGCGATAGCTTGTTGATTTGCATTGGCGTACATTTCGGAAATGGATGTGGTTACCGGTATACACAGTGTAACAACTCTGATACGTCGTTCGCCATGGCAAGTTGTGTGTAGCAATGCCGTCTGAAAACAGACCGTGGGCGTCTTGATATCATCCTCAATGGCCACTTCCACACAGTAAGATTGGTTCCTTGGTACATTGGGCAGTGCCAACAGATCGGTTGAACGGATAAAGAAATTGCCATGGAATGCATTCATGCGAAGACCACGCGATGCTCGGATACGAATAACTGCCTCCAAACCGATTTCTTCACCCAACAGCTCTGAGAATTCGTGTGCAAATTTGAAGGCATCCTCTGTGCGGGCTGCATTGAATCCAGGATAGTAGTATGTTTGACCTCCAGTATAATGAGGCAAGCAGCCTTTTTTTGTAAAAAGTGTTGCATAGAAGGGTTAGTACCTGTGGAAAATCAAGAATCTTGTGAGCATTCTAATAGACGCATACTTAGCGTTGCCACATCCGAGTATTGTCCACCAAAAATGAGCATATCACAAGCGACTTGTGAACGTGAGCAGTCAACTGCGAATGATTTATAGAAAGGCGAAGCAGCATTGAGCAGCGTGGATTCCTATATAAACCCCATCCGACGGTGAGAAACTGAGCTCTTTTGAGGGAAGCATTTGTAATTTCGTTTGGCCCACCCAAAACAAACATACCTTGGGTGTTCCCAGGAGTTTAACATCTTCACGACCTTTAAGGGCCCCCACGCCAGTGTTAGGAAGAGTTGATTGCAAACAAACGATTTTACCACCTTGTGTGCACTAAAAAAGATGGTATTTAGTTTATAAGTGCGTTGCACACTAATTATCCAACTGTACGATATGTTATTTACCATCAATTTGTATGCAGCTTGCAAAGCACTACCCAATGCATTGTTTACGTTGACTGTGTCCTTGAACATTTCTGGCAGCTTTTCCAATAACGCTTTGATCGTTTCCATGTTTTCAGTGAGATTCGCAAGCAAACTGCCAGGATGAGGAATAAAGACGTCGTCGATATCCGAGACGACAAGCATTTGAGCTTCGCCTGTGTCCGAGCTGAGATTGTAGAAATGGAGTGAGCTATCTACAGTTATAATGGCTACGCGTGTCCTGTTTTCCTTGTTTGGGATACGGTCCAGAGAGTCCAAGATCGTTCGCGCTGCCGTCGCAAGCATTCCAGATTGGATTGCCGAGTGTGACACATCAATGACAAAAACATAGGATGGTGCTTGTGGTGGGCGAACCTGTACGTATAACAGTCATGACAGTAAGTGATAGCCCACAATAACAAAAAGTGACAACAACAGCCATTTGATAAGTTTTACCATATATTCCGTAGGTGCCACAAACTCGACAGTGCCATAATTCAATTCAGCACGCTTCCATCGATCCATTGGCTTCTGGTTCACAGCATCGTAATCAAACGCGGCTGGGACTGTTGTGGATAATAAAGTGTGTCAATAATCCCAGTAATATACAACATCGCTCCCATCAACTCTTCTCGCCCCGGAACTGACCATCGTTGAGTAGGAAGCACATGTTGCACTTCCAGCGTTGGCCACCTTCCACAAAGGTAACGTATGGATTGATATATGTTCTGCATCGACGACATCTAGCAATAACACTATCAGAAATGACAGGAACAGGTTCCTGAGAAATGCATATAAAAATTTAGCAAATTGAGCATTATCTAACGTATAGATTAAAACCGCCTCTCGGTTTTAATTTTTGGCCCAGCTATATGTGTAAACTTACTTCTCCTTCGCTCACAGTTCGATATGGTGCTAGCACAAGTGCGAGAGGCAACTTCGACTTTTTCAATAACTGTTCCGTTGCCGGAATAGCATTCAACGTGCTGCATTTATATGATGGATCGCAATTGGCATAAGGCGAGTCCGTCAGCGAAGTCTACTCGAAAGCGTAATCAGTAATTGCTTATGCATATATCACTGTCTTATTATTGGATATACAGCTTACATTCGAAGGTAATCTAACAGCCGGCTGTGGAGACTTCAAATCCGCAATATTTGGTCGTGTACCAGATAACGCGATAGATTGTGGCATCTAATTATTTTTGATGTTTTGATTTAGCTCTCTTTTCTCCTCGTCCCTCCCTCTCAGTTCATGCATAAAGCACAGAAGCTTTTGATAACACTTACAGGAGACGCAGATGCACCCATACTCATATTTCCAAATTGTGCTGTCATGTTGTTCATACCACCACCTTGACTATATCCATAAGGATCTTGTTGTTGCATTGGCTGGGGCTGGGGCTGCTGTTGTTGTTGTTGCTGGCCATAAGCTGGAGATTGTCCGTATGCAGGTGCAGCAGTCGTGCCAATTGCGGGTGAGCCCATTTGTGGCTGCTGCTGCTGCTGCTGCTGCTGTACATAACCAGCGCCAGCACCGCCATAACCACCAGGTTCATCCATGTATGCTTTTGTGATTTGTTGTGGATACATTCTTTTACGTCGATGATGTTCTGCGTGCTGTTGTTGTGTTTGTTGCTGTTGGCCCACAGTGGGTGATCCAGGTGGGCCTGTGGCAATAGATCCAGGACTTTGTAACGGAGGTGTTCCAGGCACTTGTTGCTGCTGGTGGTGGTGTGCAGTCATGGGCGACATGGTTCGATCGATCGGTTGTTGAGTCACAGGGGCTGGCTGTAAAGGTCGTGCGCCTGGTGAGGCGCCGGCAGGTATAGGAGGAGATGGCGCTGGACGACCGGGAGCAAATCCTTGTGTGAACTGTGGATGACCTTGTGGTTGTTGCATTCCGGGTCTTGCTAATGGAGGAGTGCCAACAGCACCACCAGCGGCCAGTGGCGGTTGTGGTCGTTGCTGTTGTGGTTGCCCTGGATGTGCTGGCGGCCTGAACGGCGCGCCTTGCGGATAACCAGGAGGTGGAGGACGGTTAGGATCGCCCATGGGTGGTTTTTGGTTGCCAGGTGGAGGAGGGTACATGGGATTCTGACTTGCCATCGCGTTGAGAGAAAGGAGGAAAAGGAAACACTCACACTACGTGGCAGGCGCGACATGAATTGGTGAGTTACAATTTTTCTGAAAAAGGAAGTGTAACCAAAGAATCCCGTTTGCATGACAAAAACATGACCACGACACGCTGTTTGCTCACATAAAATTACGTGTTTATTACTGATACGCTTGCAAGGTTTGTAGAAGCAGTAACGTGCGAAGCATCTTCAAAGACTGTTGATCCGTCAGTATATCCGCAGAACTATCCTTATACACTGGATGAGGGCCAATAATCGGAGCACACAACGCATTGATGGGAACACATCATCCTTTTGTGCCGGTTACTTTACAGATGTGTTTCTTTACTTGCAACCTGTGCATAGCTTGTTTATAAATAATATATGCGATGGTATATATACAAATGTGAAAGTTGTTGATAAAAGAGCAGTAGTAAAAGAGGGATGTGGAAAAGAAAAGAACAGGAACGATGTGTTGCTACAGCCCACTATGGGTATGGACTTCAGCTCAGCTCTACAAGTCCTCAGTTCATATGGCTGCCTATTCAGGTCGACGAAATAGATCTGTGATCCATTGATTCATCGTTTCTAGACTACGTATCTGCGGTTTGTTTCTTTCCAAATCAGTCCAATCAGTGTAATCGACAGCATCTTCATGTATGTCTTCATCGTCGCGGGTAGTAGAGATGTTGCTGTTATTGGCAGATATTGTTGCCTGGATGACCGTAGATAAACCAGATTTCATTGTTACGTTTGGCGATACTTGCTGCATATCGGATATAGGGGCGGGATGAGTATTCGGTTGGTGCAAACTCGGTTGCTGACTTGGTTGGTGAAGTTGGTGTGAAATAGCAACTTGCGGTCGAGTATCCGATGAATGCAGGTTTGCTTGCTGTGAATTATCTCGTTGTATCTGGGCAACTACTCCACTCGCTTGCACTCTTGTTGGGTTCTCATCTGCGTTGATTGGCTCTAAACTACCTTCTTCTTGACTTGATATAGGGATTTTCTGTAACATAAGTTATCACAAGCGTTTACATTACAGAGGTGTCAAGTACATGTACCTGAATCATAAAAGAAAAGAAGGTGTACGTACCATTTCATTCGCAAGCCACGGGCCACCATCTGTGCAGCTTGATACAGATCTTTTTTGATAAAAGTATCTTTAACTGTTGACTGCATGTAATCAACAATATGATCAGTCCTTATCCTGGTTTGTCCTGCTACTGGAATGTATATGCTAATACGCTACCATTTTTGCACCATCGAGAGTGATGTTTTTTTCAGTCATCAGTTGATGGATTTCCTTTCCCAACGAACTAAATCGAGAAAACTTCTGTGGGGTTTTCAGAACTATTTCCCGTGGATATATAAATGAAATAGTGAAGACGTTTAGTACCATAATAATACAGTAGTACAGAACGGGGTTAGCTATACTTTACACTCTGTGACCCAACTGATTGTTGACACTACTGTAGCCGTGAAATTTTCAGGACAGCTTTCGATCAAGCGCTTAATTCCCTTCAAGTGTAAAAAAGATGATACATAACACGTTTTTAGGTGCATAGTTTAGCTCAATAATTTCATCTTTTTCTTCTTCCACTCCTGCTACCTACCATGAGCTCCATAGGGGAAGGACCTGGATAACACACAAAGTTGCTACCATGTATCATCGAAAAGTGATTGTTGTTCCACACGAAGGCGTATGCATTGACTCTGTCAAGAGGTCTATCTGTGGCACCAAGGTTTATTGGACCAGAAGAAAAAGCCATTGCAACAATATGATGTGGAGGACTTTGGAACTACAAGTCGTTTTTGCCGTGTTAAAACAAACGCATAACTCCCACGATACACTCATACTGTATAACGCTGACTGCCATACATACGCGAAACAAATCATACATACCCCACTGGGGCTCGACGAACCGGTCAGTTCCTCCCTGCTTTTACTAAGCTTTCTCTTCAATTCTTTCTTTAATGTTGTAATGTCGTCCGAAAATCCGTTGCTCGATTGTAGTTGTGACGCTGGTGAAAAACTAGCTCTGTCAGTTTGACCAAACACGAGAAAATTCCAGAAGCAAAATGAGTTACAACAAACCTACCTTTAGAGAGCTTGCTTCTATCGCTTCTTTTCCTTTTGGTATTTTTTGTGCGAGCCATTCTGGTATCAGGAAAAGAAAGCCGACTGCTGTCAAAATTTGGGGAAATTCGGCTTTCAATTGATAAGCTATTGGCCACCACTTTCAGTCTACTTGTACACACGTACACAATGAAGCTATTATCGCTCTACTATCTGCTTCTCTAAGCCCGAGTCAAGATGCAAGAGCATCAGGTTTGAACTATTTTTGAAAGAGAAGGCTTGAATCAATAGCAGCTGTGCTAAGTTGTAGGACTTGGCACCTTGATTGCTTTGTCAAGTGCTTAGCAATTGATATGTATAAGAAGAGGAAGAAGAGCAGCCATGACGATTCAAGATTTTTATGACTTCTAGTCATGAGCTGCAGAATGATAAGCTGTATCACCCGCAGTCCATGAGATTTATACAAAGGTGAACCTTCTTGGTTGTATTCTATCCTTGGGTATTCTTTCCCTATATATCTTTAATCCGCTGAAGATGACATTATATCATTCAATATCTAGTTAAGCGAAGAGCTAACGAAGTAAAAGAGACGCAGTAAGTTCAGTGTGCTCAATACAGTACACACACATCTTAAGAGTCTCCGTCTCCACTAGTACTCCGTGCTGCTAGATGATGTATACCATACCTATTTGTTTTTCTTAGAGTTATCTAAATAATAAAGACATACGGAAAGTTTTACATTTATTGTACAATTTTACTATATTACATGAGACAGTGTATGTGTATGCGTGTTTATCTATGGAGGTGTGGGATGAGGTCTATTTTGTACTTGAAGTACTAGCACCAGTAGCGGATTCGACAGGCGGTAGATCTCTACCTGCCTTTGCCCATTCCTTCAGTATATTTCCTGGTTCACCAAGCACTTCATTTGCTCGAATACGTCGATGGTACTGATGTTCACACTTGACTCCTGATTTGCCAATAACCACTCGACTTTCACCTTGCTCACCTTGCTTGACATAGGCTCGCACCCCATCAATCAGGACAGGCCCATCCGGCTTGAAGTAATTATCACCGGACGTCTGTTGCTTAAAATCATGCACCGTATCATAACACTCGAAACGACCACATGTGTTCAAGAACTGTGATGCACAATTCGAGCAACAGAGCATAAGCAAATTGCACGATGCATGTGAGCAGTTTTGGTATCGACTGCAGTGTTGTCCACAAATGTGACATTTGCCCAACTTTTCCTCTGTGATATCTTCGCCTAATCTTTTGTCAAAAGTAAAGTTTTTGCCGCGGAACAGCGACGGTTTCTCCTCCTTTTGGTCACGGATCCAACGCCCATAGGATGTGATGCCGCCTTCAACAAGATGTACAGTCTTAAATCCGAATGCGGATTGTAAGATAGCGCCGGCTTTGGTGCATCGAATACCGCCAGTGCAATACATGAAGATCTCTTGATCGCGTGGCACGCTTTTACAGATTTCGTTCATGGCGTCGATACTGCCACGGAATGTGTCGACATTGGGTCGAATAGCACCTTCAAAATAACCAATTTCACTGTATACGATATTACATATCATAACTTGTTAGCCTTTCATTCTCTCTCTCTCTCTCTCTCTCCCTTCTTCTATACACTGTACAGAAAAAACCACCTCATCCGTTTACCTTTCATAATGATTTCTCATATCAATCAAGATGGGATCCTTGCCATGCTTCTGTTTATAGTTAGTCAATTTCTCGTGCCATCGAGCGGGGGACAAGTGGGAAGGTCGGTTGGTAAGATCATACGAAGCTGGATCCAATCCATCGGCCACCAACTGCTTGCGGATGCGTACATGGAGCGCACGGAACGCTCGTTCACCTGCTTCAGGCTCTGTGCCGATATTCAAATCCATAAGTTCACCCACGGTCGGCTTGAGTGTCTCTTGACAGTAACGGCGCAGCTTGTGAATATGCGATTCAGGGCAAGACAGTTGGGCATTGATGCCTTCAGTTGAAATGTAGATACGTCCGACAATGCCCCAGTGACCTAAATCGTCCAGCAGTTGTTGGCGAAATGCAAGCAAATCGTCGCTTTTAAGGTCATGGAACTTGTAAAATGCCATAGTTCGATAGTTGCTGTTATTGGTGCTGCTAGACGGAGCGGTGGCAAGAAATCGTCTGCATAAGAGCGGTACAGGGTTGTAGTGTGAGGTCGTTAAAGCAATCATGCTGCCAAGCGATCTTGGTGGCGCATGTCGTGGTCGTAGTATACTGGCTTGTGTCGCAGTTGCTATGGCAGCCTTGTGGCCGCCAGGTCGAATACTATGGCGAAGGGCTGACAAGGAGCGTAAATGTCGAGGCAACATGACGAAACTTTCAAGACAAAAGCTATGTACACTGGGTGCTGTCAAAAAAACCAGCATTTATGTTTTTTTTGTTCCCTTTCTGACCTGACCTGATTCTTGGTAAGCCAATAGGAATCGCTCCGCTGCTCTTTTCTTTTTCTTTACCAGGAAAAGCATGCTATTGACAGGAAAAAAAACGGTTATATTTTACAAAGGATTAGAGAAGAACGATGGTGAGGGGGAGGGAGATATAGTACACAAGAGTTAGAGTGAGCACTCCAGCGAATTAATATGGAAGAAGTAGGTATCAGGCGGATGAATGTGTGGGATGTGTTGTGCGTAAAAAAGGGAATGATGATATGCTATTCTATATTTAAAGCATGTTTCATACGATCATATACTGTAAAACTGACAGCCACCATCGGCACAACCTTGATGTAACCGATGCTCAACCCAACGTAGAAACCCTTGAAGCCCTTGACGCGATAAATATCCTTGACCGTGTCCATAAAGCTGACAAACACTTCCGGGTTCAGTAACCCGCCAACTTGCATACGTCGACGAATCACTTCAAGTGGATAACTGCTTGTTTGTGCCACCAACCCAGCTATGCCACCGCATATCAATTCGGCCGATGTATTCAATGGCGGCTTTTCCACTTTCCGTCGCTGTGCAGGTGTCAGGTCTTTGCTATGTGGATCGAAATCGAGAGGTGCATGTGCCCACAGTGTGACTGATGGATTGAACCGACAAAACTCAGTTACGAGATGATGTGTCCAGAAAGATATGCCTGCATACGGAACCTAAGAAAGTACAATGGAAGTACAAGCCGACGTTAGAGATGTTCACATTGGAGGTTTCTAAGCAACGTTCAGATCACCGCACGTACCATCCCCGCGACTGTGGGTAAGAATCCTCGATAAAAGTTCATCAGCTTCCACGAAAAACCTCCAGTCCGTCCTGCAGCTGGTTCGTTGTAGATGTGGGCGCATGTTGACAAGAGGCCTGGACGCGCCTTGTTGACTTGTTTCACTTCGTATGCCATGCGCACACGCAGTAAATCCAACGGGTATGTAAATAAAACCGAGGTGACGCCAGCCATAGATCCTGCTGTAAACTGGCGTCCTGCAGTTTCTTGGGCTTTAGACGGCATTAATATCTGTAATCACAACGAGGGTCCACTGCAGTTAGTAAAAAAAAAAAAGCACAGCATATAGCGCATAAGGTTGGGAGAAGAAGAAGCTTACTGCACGGAATTGTTCATATGCAACAAATTTGATTGCTGCATATGGGAAAATACGAAGCAACGTGACAGAATGGCCCTGAAACAATCCAACCACGCCCGCATCCTTTACGATATCTCGTCCGGCTTTGAAAACACCCGAAAACGTGCCTTTTTGTTTCGTTCGAAAGAAATAAAAAGCATGAATATTCGTTGGCTCATACAGTATACGTGGGGAAAAAGTAGAGTTGCCCTTCTTACCAGCATATTTATCAAAAACAGGATTCCGTGCTTGAAATAGAATTTTTACACGATCTAACGGTGCGATTACCGTCTTCCCCTGTTTTATTTTGACATTGAAAGAATTTTTTTATCTTTGTCAGCAACAATCGTCCCAAAATAATAACAACGCTTGACATTGGAGCAAAAGAGGGGGAAAAAAAAGTTACCATGCACCCTGCCATTCCGCCGGCAAGTCCTGATCGTAGAACATAATCGAAACTCTGTGTCTTCTCACGGTTGCTAATAGTGTTCTTTGTTGTTGTTGTGGCGGTGGTGGTGGTAACTCGAACAGGTGGTGCGTTCGTCGCAGCGATAGGCTGGGGCGAGGTGGTTTGCATTTAATTAGATATAGTTATTATAGAATATATATCACACAGAGCCGTAAGCTGGGTTGTGCCTCTATTGGTATATGGATAGAGCGAAAGAAAAAGAGTGGGGGAGGTTGTAACGCTGTCTTGTTTCAGAGAAGAGGACGAAGCGGTGGACAAGAAAAGAGAAAGAGCGGAAAGACGAGTGTGGCAGGAAAGCGTGGGTAAAACGTAAACGAAAAAACCATATGAAGAAATGCGGGCGCCAATCAAATCGCTCGGCTGGGACAAAGCCGTCAAGCTGCGCTTGGATTTGGGGTCTTGCTTCTGTTTCCACGTTATGAAACTCGTTTATGTTATCAAACTGCAAAAGCTTATCTATACTGTCACACATGGAGAAACGTTTACCAACAAGGTCTTCTCGTTTTCTCTGCTCACGCTGAGGGCAAGCTACACCGATCACAATTGATAGCAGCTTTTGCATGGCTCAACTGCTTTTGTTCTTGGTTTCTTATCAACAACACCGGCTATTGAGTAATCGCCATTACCAATAGAACGATGAGGATGTGACCTGAGGGATGCGTTGGCAACTGAGCAGTTTGAAAAAGGTCTCAGCCAGCTCCTTGGGTGCCAACATGGTTACGCAGGGTTTCCTAAAACATACTTTTAGGATATAGCGAATTCAGCTTATTCAAAAGCATTCTCTGCTCCGAACCTTACACATACACTCTAGGCTGCATTAAAAAAGCTGGAAGGAGGAGTTACCACTATTACCAGAGGGCTACAATCAAAACTGGCATCATTTTATAAGAACAAGATGTGACTCGGATACCTCTACATACAACAGACTTATTTTCTCTAAGCTTATTAGATGATATTGATGACTTTGTTTGATTCACATGTTAATATAATATATCCAGTGTCCAGCGATGTCTAAAATTCGTGCGCTTATATTATGTAAACAGCAAGCAGAAATTTGTGTTATATACTGCATTTGAGAACAGAAAATTCGTCTTGTACCACTATTAACACCAATGCCGAAATATACTAAAAACTGTAGAAAGATACCTCATCGGGAGCCGGTAAATCGACTGCTCCGAGGTTTAATACTTTGACAGTGAGCTATCACCCAGAAGCTATTTTACGTCTCTTGTTCAACAATGGTCTATATTGAAAATATTTGAAAGGTAGCAAGACGTTGACGTTATCTTTTTGTAGTTGTGGCTCGTCTTTGTTACGGAAGTTGCCATCTGTAAGATCGAAATCAACTAGGCGTGATTAATACTATTAATAGATGAAAATCTTGGTTTTTACTGAATACTATTAATATAATAGGCGAAAAAGGATATGTTATTCATAACTTAATATCAATCGAAATTTATATCTGTACAATTTGTTATTCTTATGTATAATTTTATTATATTATTTTTTTATATAACCTCTGTATGGAATAAATGCAGAACATGCTACATGATTATCTTTATTATCTATTAGTGTTTTTATTCTTTTTGCTGCAAGTGTGTTGGTTAAACAATGATTTGGGAAAAATGACATCTTAGGCATTAACGAAGCTATTTAGTAACGACATTATCATTATAATCGAAACAAAGCCTTACACACGTCTAACCATGTCTTGCAATATCGGTATAGTTATCGATGACCCTGCATAGATATTATTTCGTGTCGTTATACACTTTCATAAGTTACAATACTATCCCATACATATATGTTCAGAGCTTGTCCTCTATATATATTTTACTATGGGACTTACTAATGTGATTGAACGGAAAAAATTGGCGTTAAGATTGATAAGTCGGGTGATGATGATTGACGTTGGGGGATTTACTATATGATCATCAAGGTTGGTAATAATCACTTGCGCTTTCTTCTTCCAAAACGCGACCCACAAATCGCTACCATTTACTGTGACACTCGCTGCATAAGAGTTTTTCTCAACGAATTGAATGCCGTGGTAAACCAGCTGTGGCGTTCCAGCTGTGTCCTGTCCGTTGGGTTGACACGCTTCTAATTGGAGCTTGCTTCAAGCAGGAGCGGGGAACTGAATTTTCTAGGAGAGCAATCAGCTTCTTTTTTCTTTTTCCAATAATAAAAGAAAATGAAGTAAAATTCTGCACTGTAGTCTCGTCTACGAGATTCGCTAAAACATATAGCCGTGATCGCGGGATACCATACCACCCTTGCTACCATGCTATGCACATTTAACAGTGGACAAAGTTCGTAGTGATCAAATTGAAGATACAGTTAGTAAGATCATTTAATGTCTGGTGTTTAGTTTAAAATTACATAATGATAGTTCAACTATAATCAGTCTAGAGAAAGAGATGGAGAACATAGCGAAACATTCAGCGAAATTAGGCAGTTGGGTCGAAACCATATTGATGACATAATACACGGAGCTTATCCTTAAGTGAATCCAAGCTGGTGTATGTGCCCTTGAGATGACGATCCCCGCTCGTAGCATCAAAGGCCGTGCGACCGTGCAATACACGACGGTTAGCAAACATGACTGTTGTAAAGTGAGTAACTAGGATTATTCTCCGTCCCTTTTAACCGTAGGTCACCTTCTGCTCGTTTCTTCACCTCGCTTCATATAGAGAATTCTTATTTACCTAATTGACCAGGCTGAAGAGTAAGCTCATAACGAAGACTATCATCCTGGATTAGATCAGCAAATCGCTGGAATGCGCGATAGTATTGAGTTGCTTCTGTAGGTGACAAGTGATCCATGGGACCCTGGAATTGTGGGGAATAGTTGACGTGCATATCCCAAGCCGCACCGCCCTGTTCCTCACCCGTGACAATAGTGGGTCGACGGTAGTACATGTGATGGCCGTCGTTGATATAGTGGAAAGTAACGGGGGTTTTACAGAGAATCGCATAGTCTTCAGGATGTTGTTCTTTCAAAAGCTCAACAGCACGATAGGAATCCACGAAAATACTGGAGCCACCAGTGACGCTGTTTTTTAAACTGTGCAACAATTGGACACCGGGCGGACAATCCAGATACCTATTTATTGGCGAACCCGATCCATGTTCGTCAGTCCAAATCGATTGATCCCACGCAGCAAATACATGCACACCCTCCCTGTTACTGTAACCTTTAACCTACATCAGATCCATATGGAATCCAAGATACAAGCTAGTGTAAGCGATATTACGCGACTTTGCAATATTCTTGACATCAAAATCGCGACCATAGAATGTTTCCTGGATAGGTCCAATACGTTCTGCAACGGTAGTAACACTCTCATCCTTGACGGGCACATTGTCCAAAAATACCAAGCCGTAATTGTACAATCGCTGAACGACCTCGTGCAAGCCCTGATCTGTATTCATATAGTCGTCATAGCTGACCCATTTCAATTTGTACTGGTCCTTGTGCCACGTCTGAGGACGGATATGGTTGAAACGGAACGCCTCGCTGGATTCACGCGACGCATAGCGCTCAAGAAATTCCATCGGGTATTGACTCACGTGCTGTTCCGCTGCCGTCCCTGTTTCCTGTTGGTGGCGCAGAGGCTTATTCCAAACAATTACGGCCATGTCGCCCTCCAGCTTAACCGACGTGGGTGCAATGTCGAGCGGCACATCGGCAGACGAATGCAACTTCTGTCGGTTGTCAGGGTGCACGCACTCGCTGCACTGGCAGTTGTCGCGGAGCCATAGATAGCTGTAATCACTGCTGGTAGCAGTGGCATTGTTGTTCCATTTCACATGGATTGCATCCTTGTCAGCTTTGGTCGAAAGAACTTTGCCCGAGCTGCTCGTGACATTAACCTGGGTATGCTGTTGCAGCTCGGCACTTGTCGAGTAGGACGAAAATCTCGGAATCCAACGAGGAGACACGTATTTTGACGAAGAAATGCGAGTGGTTGATAGAACACTGCGTCGAACCAGCGATCGTGCAAGGATAGGTGTAGCCATTGGGAATAAGAGTTAGTCAGCTCCTTCCAGTCGGCGACCCCGAAGCAAGTTAATGCCTGTTTGTGCGGGGTGCGGAGCAAGGATATTTTTCGGTCCATCACGCCATATTTCTGTATGTAAAATGTGGGGAACAAGGTTTCGTTGTTGTGATGGTAATAATGGTGATCAAAGTAGAGCATCTTTATCTAGTATTATGTAATAAAATGTACATGCAAGTTATCTGTTCTATCGTCGTCGCTGTTGTTGTGATTGCAACTGCTGGTTTCGTGCATTGCTGAACATGTCTGACAGACTTGGCATATCGGACACCATCTTTTGGGCATCAGCCTGAGACTGGCTCATTTCCTTTAATGCTTCCGGATCTATAGTAGAACCCATATATCAGCTATTGTTCTTCCCTCTCCACCTTCATCCAACATCGATAATGATTAATTGCTATCAAACTTACCCATATTTGCCATTATCTTTGGCAACACAAACATCATCAAAGCGCTGAATCCAATCATCAAGAACATTGGGTTCTTGAACATCGCAAGTACATTGAAACCTTTTCGTTCCTGTAGCAGAACAACATCAGTATTGTTAGTATCGATATATTTTCTTTTACCTTTCTTTCTGATCTTCTCAACATTCAACACCACACACACAACGCATATTACAACTTACAACAAAGTAGGTGGCAGGTGCCTTTGCTCTTAACTCCAAAGGTTGCTCGACTGAGTATCCTCGCGATTCGAAGCTGGTGCCGTATCCAGTATATGCTGCCCGAGTAATACCTTGATCCTTAACAACATCCAAACGCAGCTATAACAGATGTTTATATGTTTAACATTATGCTTATTCAGGTAGCACGCATAATACGTATTTTAGCAATGTTTTACCTTGGGAAACACGTAGTCGATTGCTTGTACTTCCAGTACATAGGATCCAGTATCTACATCAGGACTAAATATACGATCCCACATTAATCAACTACCCAGTTTCAACAGCTTCGTTCTAAGTCTTCTTCCTTCTCCCTCCCCTGACAAAAATCATTCTTATCCTCATCGTGCTTACATTTCAAACTGGCCGTTAGCCGTTACAAGTGCCGAGTAAGCACCGCCATTGAGTGCAACTCGTGTAGTGGGTCGTAATTTTTTAATGTCTAAGCGTGCAAAATTCCAGTTCAATAAACTCTTCTAATTCCTGCAATTGAGTAGTTGTTATGAGAGGAAGAAATAGCAAGATAGTTACCCGGTAGAATAGCGTTAATACCGATCGATCCTGTTACCGTAGCCGATTCAGCGAGTGCCACTAAGCATCTGTTTGTACAGAGCCAAAAAAAAAATGTGAGCATTAATGCAATCAAGACGTAAGAAGAGAAATATTCAAAGATGCGTACGCTGCAATTAGTATAAATACACCAGGTGCTTTCACCATCGCGGTAATGTAAAGTATAATGTAGGAGGAGCAGTGGTTGGAAAAGAAACGCTATTGCTCGCCGCTCGACCTCTGCACGAAAATGTAGGACTTTATCCAATCAAATATAGGGGGCGAAGAAAGGAAATAGTATTTTGCAATCGTTTGACAGTGATACTATCGGAAAGGCGCTGGTTTATATGCAGTAGAGTTTGTTACTGTACTGTTGATGATTAGATGCTCGTGTCGTTACAAAAGAGTGTGGTTTACATAGTAATAAAAGTACATATAATTGTTAAAGTCTACATATTCGAAAACATCGACTGCCGCTACTGATTACTCCTTGACCACCAAGGTTTAGCATTCCGCATCCTCTCTCCATAAAAGTAAAGGTATGGTATACATGTTGCATAGAAAATAAGACTCGTAAGAGCGGCCACCGTACTATTTGTGAGTATGGACATGAATGGAAGTGTTAGAGTATAAATTTGGCTTTTTTTCCCGACATCATTGCAATGACTTACTAAGACCATCCATCACCAAGACCATCACGTACTGATACCGATATAAGCGTAAATAACATGGCCATTATATTACGCGCAAAATTTCCCGTCGCCATCGCTAAAGTTATGTATGATAAAGCTTACTGTCAGCGGACAAAGTTGGACACGGATAGTACTACCAATTAACATTACCTGAAGCTGCGACCGGAAGATATGATTCAACAAGATACGAGTTACTGGTTACATTACCGTACATTGTTCCCAAAGACACTTGAGAATTATTTAAAAATCGTTAAATGTAAGAGCTCTCTTAAAGTAAAAGAATCGTTTTTTGGTATGGCAATAAAGAACTTACTGATCAGGTATCCTACTAAAGGGACAAACCAATGTAACTTTGCATGAACGAACCAGCCATACATGAGTGCGCCGGCAACAATGAATGGAACGCAACACAAGACGGGAAGAAGTCGTTCTTCCACCTTGACTGTCCCATCCACACTTTTTGCTCGCAGCCGAACATAGTACCGGTCAGTCACCTGACCGGCAATTATGGCACCAAGGATGTTTCCAATACCGCCAGTAAGATAAAGTAGGCCCATAGAGCCTTGATCAAAGTTATAAATTTCAGTGTACGTAGGAGACAAAATTGCGACTAGGAAATAGAACCATCCAAAAGAAACAGAAAGGGGTAGGCACGTCAAGATGACATGTGGTCGCAGTAGAAGCATAAGTCCGCGAAGCTGACGATGGTGTATGAAAATCAAGTTGTAGGTTAGCCAAAATTCCAAAAATCACAATCTACGTTTTACCGCCAAGCTTCTCGTTCCAGCATGGATTATCATATAATATAACATATGGGTGTACGTACTGGATCAAATTTCAGATATGCAATTCGTTCTTTCATTGTCTCGGGCTTTACTCTATCGGGTTGATAGAGGGATTCTCTAACGATCAATGCATTTAGGAGTAAAACGACACCTCCAATGATTGTACATATATAAAAAATCCAGCGCCAACCCAAGTATTTCGAGACATAACCACCCACGAGTGGCCCAACGGCAGGACCAGTCACTGTACTACGGTCATGGTATTGGTTCCAATTAGTCTTTAATTTACTTTCTTTCAAAAACCATGGCGAAAGTTACGCTCTTACCCAAGAGTCAGTAAGCTCATTGCCTTGCCTCGTTCATGTGGCAAAAATAAATCCGCGATAGTTCCGCCGCCGACGGTCATTCCTAGCAGACGTGTGGGGATAGTTACAATATATTAGAATGTACGATGGGAAGAATATCGTGAGACATGAATGAAGAAAAAAAACTGATTTGACCAGTATACCTGCTGAAGAAGAAACTCCTTGTAAAGTACGCATGACGAAGAAAAGAGCAAGGTTTTTGGAGACACCACAGACAATTGTAGTCACGGTGTAGATTAACATACTGATAAGGTACACAGGTCTGCAATCCGTTATCACAGTGTAAGCCGGAGTCAATATACATTAGAAATTTTTGCGGTGAGTATACGTGTATATAATGCATCCATATAAAAAGCTTAATTGCAATGTTGATGAAATACCTTCGACCAACGCGCTCACTTAATGGTGACCAGATTAATGGCTATACCGTTAAATTCGAATTCCATTGAGCTTTTTTACCTAGGTACAAAAAATTCAAGTTCGTAGAAACCTTACCGCTAGTGCCATAGCTGCCACGTACAATGCGATGGTTGCATTCATGACCTAGTTTCTACCATCAGTATGTTGTTCATTTTCAAAACCAAGAAACCCTCGCATACATACAGTCAAAGTGGTGCCAAAGTACTCTTGTAGATCTTGGATAGCAGGCATCTATGTACAAGTGTTCGAACAAAGAGGATAATCAGGTGAACTTGCTGCTAGTGTGCAATATTTGCATTTTTCTATAGAATTTTCTAACTGTTTCCTTACGTAAATTGATGATGTAAAGTAACCGAGAAATGCATTGATGAAAACCATTCCAAAGTTACCCCACTTTCTTAATTTGGACCAGTTCTATATTATAAGCCAGTTTTAGTCAATGTGTTAGCATCCAATACATGTTACTGAAGCGTTATGCAACATGTATCTCTTTTACGCTATCTCTTATGCATATAATGTATGGTAAATTATAATTATGCTGATGTGTGATTAAATCGAACCTTTGGATCCTTCGGGTCGTCACCAGCGGCAGCTACTACCGCTTTTTCTGCCGCTGTATCTTGTTCATTTGTCTTTTCACCCAGCTTCAATGTACCTTGCGCTGGTTCTGCTTTTAGGCTTTCTACAATAGATGCACCAGTAGATTGAATGGTCGTTTGATCGTCCATGAGTGAAAAGAGTTACTAAATATCGAGATGGTGTCTGAATCATCATAAATACTGAGCGGAGATTACTCTTTTTAGATATCTTGAGTAACATGGTTGACTTGCGTGTGGAAATGTACAATCCACTGGTGACAAATCAACGGGGAAACGTTGACCGAGTGCAAAACGGCAACTGTGCTTCTTTTTCTTTTTTATTAAGAGGGGTTACCTTCATTGAATTGGTGAAAATATATTGTGCCATCACCCATTATAAATCTTACACTATATCGAAGTGATCCATCTCATCCATTGTTCGTAACAGAGCTAACTAATACATCAAACAACAAAGCGAGGTAAAGATGCGCTGGAGCCATAAAGCGCTGGCGTATAATAAAAGTGCCGCATCTGATGTAACACAGAAGCCTTACCAAAAGTATACACGCTTTCCAATTTTGACAGACGGGAGTAAGGGGGCCACAGCTGTACAAAACAATTTAAACATGTATAATAATAGCGTGCGTGAAGAATAATCTTTTTTCTGTCTGTAACCTTCCTGTACGCTACTGTTGATAGATAAATAGTTTCCTTTTTGTTTTTTACAGGTAAACGAAGAAAGAGACGTAAAGCATCACCGCCTTCCTATTACTTTATAAGTACACGGAGCAGCACTCTTGTCACCAACAGACTTATTGACCGCCGTGGCTTGCCTGTCAAAGTATGCTTTATGGGGCAAATCATCTCAAACTGTCTAATAATGCAAAGCAACAGGGTCTCTGAGGATGAACCGTTGCACAAAAAATGTTGGCTGCTTATATGGGAGATTAAGTTCGACCCCGCTGACTGGCAGACTTTTAGAGAAAATACCAGCTGCTCGCTTTGCTATTTGAATTCAAAATAGTTTTCCTTTCAGAGTTTCTCAACCATTCAATCCTCACGAAAATTGTTGGCGGCACTCTCAAAATAAAATATCACAAACTAGAATTAAACAGATACCGGGGAAAATGTGGAGTCAATTACGTAGATAGATTTTTTATAATAAATGAAAACTTTATGTTATGCTATGGTGATTGCTTCTATTGGACGTACGTACAACGTAGCTATGGAGCGATAAAATTGGAGGATGACGAAAAATGTGGATTTCTGCTATTATCATAAAAACGTAATTTTGTCAGAACCCTTCGTTAAAAGATGTATAGAATTTGTCGTTGTACCAGGGACGCTATCTAGATACAAAACGTATCCCGACTGATCTGGAACGACATCCATGGCATGAAGCTTTAGGCGCGTTATGTAAACACAAGTATGTATGGGTCATGGAAACTTGAGATTAGCTAGATAATTCCAAGCGAAATAGCCCTCAAAGAGTGGCGATCCAAGCGAAGCAACCCTCAAACAGTGGCGATTTAAGCGAAATAGCCCTCAAATGGTGGCGATCCAAGCGAAATAGCCCTCAAATGGTGGCGATCCAAACGAAATAGCCCTCAAACAGTGGCGATCCAAGCGAAATAGCCCTCAAATGGTGGCGATCCAAACGAAATAGCCCTCAAACAGTGGCGATCGAAGCGAAAGAGCCTTCAAACAGTGGCGATCGAAGCGAAATAGCCCTCATACAGTGGTGATCCAAACGAAATAGCCCTCAAATAAGTGGTGATCCAAACGAAATAGCCCTCAAATAAGTGGCCCTGATCGCAGAAAATAAATAGTTGAAGGTACTATGGTGAGCGGCATGGGTCTGGTTTGTCGTTACAACCGCTGCCACTGTTTCGATGAAATCATTTCTCTTCAATGTTTAATAACTGGTGCTGATAACATAGCAAACCTCAGAACGTCGCGTTTAAATCCATAAATGATCGTCTCGAATTGCTGACGGCATTGCTGGAGTAACGTTTGTTAAAGTGTGGTGTGTGACAATGAGTTCGTGGTGTAAGTCGAAGAATGATCTCGTCAGATGAGAGATGAAGTAAGTTTGGAAAACATGCGAAAAAGATCTACAAGAAGATAGGGTCGTCTAGAACTTTGTGAGCAATTTCAATCAAATTATCTGGGTTGACAAGAGTGGTGTGTCTTTGTGAGTCAAAGGCTTGTTTACTGTGCTGAGAATTGCTGGTAGCTCGAAATACTGCCATTAATCCTTTAAGTTGCTGACGATTTGTCGTAGGTGAGCAATCATAATAAGCAATAACGTCAGCCATACGTATACGACAATGTTGTAAGTTCGGAAAGTTCGTATAACGATGCGGAGTGGTAATGGCCATGTAGGTTCAACGGTAGCTGTGTTGACATGTGCGAACCATATCCAGATTTGTAAGAATGTTGTAGGCCAGCCATGCAAGTATACTCTAACGCATGATATCCAGTAGGCTAGATTATCAAAGGACACTCTATAATAATGTCGTGGATTAACAAGTGTTGTATTATACATAGTCAGCAGCGAAGATATGCTCGATTCTAGAAACGCTTCCTCATCTAAACGATAGCAACGACTTCTTTCTAATTCATCGCACAGAATACTCGAGGGTCGGCAGATTATCTGATTCATTTTCATGGCTCCATTAATGCGAGCTGATACTGTATATACTTCGTACTCAAAGTGCACAAAGGGATGGCAAGTGAACAAGATAATCAATGGAGCAACAAATTCCGCGCAAAAGGATCAAGAGATGTAAAAAGTCATCGTTTATAGTGTTAATCTTCTGACCGTCCCAATTGATCTTGAACGTTGCTAGAACCGCACAAAATCGAACGGACCGATTTACTTTATCAGCAGCAATGAAAAAAAAAAGGATGAGTCAACTTCACTAGCGGCAGTGGATACTTATTTACGAGCGGGTCAGCGCATCTGCAGCAGCACATACTTGAGATGAGGATGGAACTTTTGCAGCAGCAGCATAAACTGAGATGAAGGGTGATACCTTACCAGCAGCAGTATAAATTCGAGATGGAGGGAAGAGGTTACACGGCGTAGTTCAAAGAACTGTTGGCGGATGGCGAAAATGGTTGACGAGCACAGAATAAAATAAAAGGCAACGGGTAATTTTTATACTAGTGCAGCGATGGGGTCCAGTGTGTTGTATCTATGCCCGCACACGCACAACATTATGCGCCACACATACAGTCAAAAGGTACTAATAAAATGGAATAGTCTGTGGACTACGCTATACTGTTTACCTTAATGGGTGAAGGAATGGAAACTGGCCGCTGCTGGGAGGATCGTGTTCTGATGTTTACTAGAGCTTGATCAGGAACAACTGATGCCGGAAAATCTATCAAGTTAAATATTTTGGCAGTCATTTCTACATTGCCATTTTGTTGCTCGCCGAAAAGCATTTCTTCCGTGAATCTACTTGCTCATTCGCATTCGTGTCTTTGTCTTTCGCTTGACACGGTGCCGTGCACGGACCCCCTCACAACCAAGCGGCGACAGCATCGGAGGTACAGCTGCCATAGTGAGAGACACGTACCACTACCGCAGAAGCACGCTTTGTCTACTTGACCTTCAAGTATACCACTCCTTTCATTTCCTTTGGTGCTGTATCGCCTGCTATGCCATAGTAGGCAACCCACAAGTTGATACGCAACCCGTTATCTGGGCCAATGAAAATTCACGGGGATTTGAAGTCCCGAACGAGAAAAATGTCTATATAAAGCGAGCAATTTCGCCTTTCTTTTTTCTCTTCTCTTCAGTTCGTTTTGGTACAGCTTTGGTCTGTAGTACAGATGCACTGCTCTGTGCCATGATCGGGTCATTGCTTGTGCTGGCTATTGTCATAATTCTTCTGATGATCGGCAGATTCAGTGGTCCGCGCCCTGAAGAAAATTTGCAATATATACCAGTGGGAATGTGGTCATATACTCCGGCAGCCGATCGTGAACCTTCGGGTGCATGTGATGCCAACGGTATATGTTGGGATAATTGAAACGAACTTTTTTTTTATTATTTATTACACACAAATAAGAAAATGATAAACAAAATAAAAAATATATTTTTCTTTTTCGCAATTTCCGCATAAACGTTTTACCGCTTTTTGCTTCGCCTTTTTTTTATGTGCACGACAAGTTCCTTTTTCTTTTTTCGCGAACAAAATACCAAATACTCCCCCTCCGTCCATCCTTTCACAGCTCCGTGCTAAACAAAGCGGGGAACAGTGACAGTGGCTCTGTATCGTAGTCGACAGTAACACGATCACAACGCGCTTTATCATACTTTGGCACTCTTTTCACTCTCTGTGTTCGCCTAAATTGCCAAAGCAATTGTCAAGAAGAAAAACTGTTACCGAGGACCCTCCTTTAGAAAGAGATTATTTTAAAAGAGACAATGTCAGAGCATACGTCAACAGACTTGTGTAATTTGCCAGATCTGTAAATTGGAATGGTTTTTTTTTTCAGCTGTTCGTCTCTCTCAGTCTTCCTGCACGTAGCTTATATCACAACACGATTTTCTTAGCATTTTGGTTTTCACCTGGATCGAAAAACCTGGACTGACCATTTGTGATGCGCCTGCTTTCAAAGCGTGATTCTTGGACCCAACGTCACTTCCAAGAGGCGACAAGAAGGCGATAAAGCTCGCGCAATAAGCGCGCAAATAGTTCTCATGTTAAACGCGTTGTAAACTCTTTGGTCTGCTCAAATTTGTTCCTTTTGAGTAGTTCGTTGATGACGCCTGTTTCATAAATAGAGTTTGATGTTGGTGAGTAGTTCTTATGTTAATGTGGTACGAAGCCGTTTGATGCTCACAGATGCAACAGTAATGAGGAATATTACTCACCACTGTAACGTTTTTTAGCGGTGCAAAAGAGCAGGAAGGGAAAGAATCAATTGGCATTGCTAAGACTGATAATAATCAGAAATATTTTATATCAACGAAAGGAGCCATCTTGCTCGCTTTATCCGATTTCTTCTTCTTCCAAATGAACCTGCACTTGATGAATATGCGATGCCACTACTGCATTGGTATTATCATTGCCGTCTGGATTCTTCTTGTTGTTTTGCTTCTTGATTGAACCATCATCAGGACAAATATGACACGTCTTTAGAAATCACGCTGATGATACGTATAACACTACATAATCTTTTGGGATACTCCTGCCTCTTTAGCCATTGTACTCCCCTCTGTTTTAAGATATAATCTTGCGTATGTACGAAATGGTCAAGCCTGTTTGCTCTCTTCTACAGCATTAAAACTTATTTCCAATTATAAACGTGTTATGTAATGCAGTTAAAAAAACTTTATGAACAAACTTTAAATAATAGATAGAAGCGTGGGATATTGAGTAGGGTTGATTTACTATATGCGACAAGGATGAATGTAGTATGAGGGAAAGAGAAAAAGCAACAACGTAGGAATAAGGAGAAGAAGAAAGGGAATGAATTACATAGGATGTACTTTTTTTTGGGGGGGAAAGGGTGCGGATGCTAGTGCGAAGTGAATGGGAGTGTGCAAGGTGAAGGAGTTAATGGTTATAGTGTATAGTGGTCTATTCTATCATCAAGGATTCCAATGTGGATTGCTTGACTGCAGGCAAAACCAGCGTGCTCTGCTTGCTAAGAAGTTGATCGTGAATGACGTTCATGGCGGTTACTGCCTTGGCCTCTTCGATGACACACGAGATGTTTATTTCCGAAGCTCCCTGGGAAATCATTTCAATGTTGACGCCAGCCGACGCCAGCGTCGTAAACATCATGCCGGCAATACCAACCATGTTCTTCATCTGTTTGCCAACCAACGACAAGATGGCCATGTTATTCAGGACGTCCACCCGACCGACGGATCGCAGGTCTTCAATCACGCGCAGCATATCCTTTTCATTACTGTCCGCACCCAAGGCCATCGAAACGTGTACTTCGGATGTCGAAATGAGATCGACGACAACACCATATCGATCAAGCGTGGAAAAGATCTTTGCAAAGAAACCGTGGCTGACACTTTTGCGATTGGAGTGAACGTTGAGCACCATCAAACTGTCCTTGATGGTGACTGCAGTAGGATATTTGCGCGACAGGTCGAGATGGTAGCCGTTTTCGGCCAGCACCTTGGGAGAATGAGGGGGTGTCGATGTGCCGTCCTTTGAAACAGAGTCGGTCGGGAAGACGACAGTGCCTTGACCACGTGGATTTTGGACGTTCTTGATGCGGATAGGGATGTGTGCACGGATCACTTGCTCCATGGTGAAAGGGTGGATGACTTCAGAACCATAGTAAGTCAATTCGGATGCTTCTTCAGGAGTGATGATCGAAATCAAGCGGGCGGATTTGACTTTACGCGGGTCAGCAGTGAAGATACCGTCGACTTCTTTCCAGACTTGAAGTTCCTCGGCGCCCAATCCCACAGCGGTCAATGCTGCACACAGATCAGTGTAACCACGACCAATGGTGGTGAGTAAGCTACCAGGGACGATGCCAAAAAAGCCTATGTGATTCGTGTATGCAATTTTTTATTTTCAGCTACTTGTCCCAAACAAAATGGCCGCGACTTTGGTCCTTACCTGTAACAACGGGGACCTTGTTTCCACATTCGCGCACTTTTTCGGCCATGCGCTCGCCCAAGTAGTCATAGAAACGCTGATCCAAAACGTCAAACTCGCGGTCAATGATATTCTCAAAAGAAACAAATGCTGCATCCACATCCTACACGGACGAAGATAATACAACGTTTAGCAAACGGAGCCCACAGATAACATGTTTCGCAGATTGTTCCATTTCCTTCGTTTTTACTCCAACCTCCGCCCCCGTGCATTTGTGCTTATTGTCTAAACGTACCCGATCTTGTAGCACAGCAGCAACAATTCTACAGGATAGCTTTTCACCAACACCAATGATGATATCTCGCGATCGTGGGGAGATCTCATTAATGATCTGAGCTGCTTCCAAGAACGATTTTAACTTTGTGCAATCGCGCTCGATATCCTTCTTCAAAAGCTCACGGATTTCTGGGTCATTGATCATTTCGTCGGCAACGTTCAAGTGGTCTTTTGAAAGGTCATTGATGATGTGTAGATATTCTGTTGATCCAGGTCGCAAAGCTTCGTCTGCTGCACGGATAAGTCGATTCGTCGTACCCGTCTGTTTGCTTTCGCCACTTCGTGCTGAACAAACCACCACCACTTGGTTTTGCTTGACGTATTCCCTAGACGAGATGATGCAACAGTCAGGTATAAGGTCACACAAGCCTCTTTTTTATTTATTTTTTCCCTCTTCAAAACGGAATCGTGCATACTTGATCACTTGATTGGCAATGTTGTCCAGGAATTTACCGACGCTGGTACCGCCGAACTTCTGAACTACCCAAGGCAGCTTGGGGTTGTTGTGGTAGACGGGTTTGGTGAGTGGCATGTATGTTACGTACGGCGGAACAAAGGAAGAAAAAAAAAAAAAAAAAGAGAAATACAAGGGCGGTTTCGGAATAGGTTTGGGACGGCGGCCTTATATATGAAGGGGTGGAGGGGATTGTTTTTTGATGTTGTGAGTCAAGGAAGGTCTGGCAGCCAATAGGGTTTTGGATCAACATGCCCAATTAGATTTTCTCGGATTATCATATCAATCGGATCTAGCGGGAACATTGCTATTATCTTTTGGTTTAGAGGGACGATAAGTAAATTTTTACTTTGCCACACTCCACATATACACCCCCCCTCAGTACCCGACATTGAGCTTCATGTGCGTGCAAATGGGCACCATGCTCCCAATGTGTGTGTGAACAGTGTGTGTTTATCATATTAAAATCATCTGCCTCCTTTTGCTTTCAAACTATTTGCATACGCATTTTTGCCCGTCAGACGAATTCAGCAGCCATCCTTATACAAATTGATTGGCCGATAAGTAATTTTTTAGGCCGGCCTGATGCGAGGACTACTTCCATTCACGCTGGTGTCCTTGTATTCTAGATGAGCAAATGACTTGAGCATGAAAGTCATTTCCTTGCTATACTATTAGCTTAATATGGGAAAGAAAGACGTGTTGGTTATGGTCACCAACTATGTGGTGCTTTTGTACGTATAATTTTCTTGTCAACAGACAAGGCAAAGTACTTTGATGGTGAGTGGATAGCCAAAGCAAGTGGCTTTCAAGCGCTGCATGTACATGTTATCAGACAACGGGCAAGCATTATAATGTCCCTTACTGTTAGTTGACATTACTACTAATGCTGTTGAGAACTTAAAAGCCCTTCTACCTGCTACTTCTACTTTAACTGGCACGACCACAAAAATCAGTTGCGAAGGGAGCAGAAACCACGGCAGTAATTTGCGCCAAGGAGTTATGTCTAACAGCTCTCTCTTGTATCCGTTTAGCACACTGCTGGAAAGATATCCGTGATGTTTTTGGCGTACCAACGTGTCCAACAATGGTGGATATAATCGTCGGTAAAATAATTCTTGAAATGTACCCAACCGTATCTCTAAATGTATTACTTTAGCAGTCATTTAGAGAGCGAGTTAGCGAGACAAGGCACATATGAGGTTCCCCTTTCTTTTCAAATGGTATGGAGAGCTGGATAGGCTGCAATCCTTTGCACTCAGTTCTTCTGCCCGAATTTGAAACCCTGATAATACTTTGAGCTCGATACTGTAAAATCTCATACTTACACTCATTCTATTGAAGCTTGATCAGTGTGTACACTACAGCACAGTTCGGTTACCGGTTTGAGAATCCCAACGAGCTATATATGTTTTTTGAATATGTGCAGATTTTCTGGCTTCCCTTAAAACAGTCAATGCCGGCACTCTTATGGAATCGATTGCCACGGACAGTTAGCAGCAATGTTGCTTCTTCCAACTGACATTGTCTATAACAGCGATACCAAAAATCGCAGTGATAGGCCTACTCAACCACTGGCTATGTGCATTTTAACAAACATCGAGCATTGGGAGCGTCTAGTCTTGTTCACGCGCCATCATGCAAACGATCTATGGAACAGGAGTCCATTGGGTGGATCGACAACGGAAGCCGATCGGCCCGAAATTTGATAACGTAACATCTGACAAACCATTAAGCTTGCTGCTATTGTAGTGCCTGTTGCTGCTGCTGCTGCTGCTGCTGCACTGCACTGCATATGACATAACCTTATGACATGGGTCTTTGCAAATCGAGCACAGATACAAGGTTGTGTGGGTCTTTTTTCTTCTACTGTCTGAACAAAATTCGCTTTACCCTCGATCGTCGGTGGGTCTCATTTTTACAAAATACAATTGACAATGTCACAGAAATGTGAATGCTGCAGAACCATAACGGCCTACATATGCCCTGTTGTGGAGTGCCAAGAATCTTTTGACAACGAGGGCCAGTATGAAAACCACAGACTTGCTCGACATTGGGGGCTAGCTGCTTCTGTTGCTCCAGGTTCGTTGTGTTGTTACCGGGTAGTATAATGTGTGTGGGTGGCAGCAGTAGAAAAAAGAAAAAAGAAGTTTTGGCCGCTGGGCTGATAGGAAAAAGGGAAAACATAATAGAGCGAGCCCACAAGGTTGTCAAGGAGATTGACGCTGCCGAATGTGTACACGAGAAACGTCACGAACGACGGGAAGGCGAGGTCAGAATAAAGCGTATTTCGAAGCAAGGACATTATCAGAACCATTGGAAGCTGGATCTTGTGCCCAACATGCCGGTGAAGAGGCGGATTGTGGTAAAGAGTATCAATCAGCGAGCGACACGGGAGGATGTTGACAATGACGATGACAGCGCCACGGAGCTGTCACCATGATAGCATAGTACTGTTTTTACACCTACTACATAACTATAGTTGTATACTACTTCCCAATCCCCCCATTCCCAGGGAGGCGGAATCATGACGGAGGTCGATCCTCCTTTCAATTCGTGTCACCTTTCATTATCAGCTTGTTTCATAATGTGTAATGACTTTGACCCATCTGTGCACTTGGTTGGGGGTCAATGACCCTAGAGTGTTTTAGCGAGGCTTCTTTTGCCTATTAGCCAGCATACCCAGGCACACACTCTCTTAGGAATGGAAGATGGAAGGAGAGTGGGTGGGGTGCCAAAGCGACAAGGCCAATCCACACAGAAAAAAAATAAATAATTTTATTGTTGGCCTTGCCAGAGGTTTTTCCGACGTTTCTTTTTTTCGATTTTATGACCCAATGAAGTACTTGGCGCATTTCTTTTCCACCTTTAAGCCGATTTGCCGTCTAATAAAAGGCGACCGCATCCCATCTGTTTCTGAATAGGAACAATATGGACACAACGAGTAAACGGAAAAACACACCCCTCAAGCTCTCTTTCGCTTTTTCTTCTTTTTTTTTTTCCTTATTTTTCTTCATGCCCTTTTCCACGACTCCGTAGTCCTTTTTGTCCTTTTGTGAACCATTTTTACTGCATATGTTGATATTGCCTCCCGACCTCGCCAGCCATAACAAAATAAAACAGCAGCAGCAGCAGTAACAAAGCTACATACATACATAACACATACACACCCATTACCACACAGCAATGAGCAGCAGCAGCAGCAGCAGCACCACTACACCACCGGCAGATCAGTCAACATCATCATACCCTCTCGATCCCCTGAATCAGCTAACCAGCGAAAAGCAGCGACTTGCTGCAAGGCGTGAAAACAACGGCGACAGCGACACCCATACCACCACCGACCCGCGTTCCTCGGCGCCGAACAACGCGGACTCACAGCAACAGCAACAACAGCAGCAACAAAGTACGACTGCACCCGATTCAATCCACGAAGATCTGTTCTATGGTGAAAACGGAGGCGAGTCGGCGGCAATATACAGCAAAGAAGCAACGCTATCGAGTAATCGGGAGGAGGATTTGTTTGTAAAAGCCAGCTGGCGTTTAAAGCTGTTAATTTTGTTTTGCATGCTTGCATTGCCCGTGGGCTGTCATTATTTGGAAGCCACCGTGGGTACACTGAAAACGGCACTCAAAGATGTAAGTAGCAAGCAGCAGTTGGTGGATTGGACGAACTCGTCCTTGGCGTGTTGTACCCCTCTGTGTGCGCGCGCGCGAGCACACTCACTCACACACACACACACACACACACACGCGATCGCCGTTTTTCCTACCGTCGTTCACCACGCCCCGCCCCCCCCCCGTTTATCCATCTCAGTAACTTATCGGTATTATAGAACATGCACATCAACAATACCCAGTTCGGTATCCTCGTTTCTGCGGTTACCCTGGTAAACACGGTCCTGCCACTGTTTGCCGGCATTTTCATTGACGATTTGTCCAGCCTTGGATCAATTCGTGGTACAACCCTCGTCAGCATTGTTATTTTCATTGGCAGCATGCTCGTATCTATTGGCAGTGGCCGAAACAGCTTTCCAATCATGGTGGCTGGTCAAGTTGTTTATGGTTTAGGTGGCGGCATGATCGTTACTATGCAAGAAGGTAAACTTTAAAATTTTGCATCATCCACTATTGGGTCAATGTATCCTCGAACACCCCCCCCGCCTCTTTCAACTAAATCATTGTAATAGGCATCTTATCTCGCTGGTTCAGAGATCGAGAATTAGCCATTGTGATTGGTATTTTATTATGTGTTGCACGGTTGACAAAGTGGGCTGCCAAAATGGTCTGCTATCCGATTGTCTATTCGAGCGGTTCCCATTCCTGGCCGATCCATGTGGCGACCATCTTTTGTGCAGCAGGCGTATTGATGAATGTCCTGTACTGGATGGTAATGTGGCATAACGGCTGGGCAACCTTGACGGGCAGAGAAATTGCCCAGCCAAAGCACAAGTATCGCAACCATTTCAATAACAGTAACACGGTAACGCCTGTGCCAAGTCGACGCCTCTCTGTGATATCTCAGGCAGCGGCTACCATGAATACGAATACGCGCCGTCGCAAACCGTCTGGATTTCAATTCTCGTACAAGCTATTTCTGTATGTGCCTGGCACGTTTTGGATGATCCCTTGGATCCAACTGATCATGTCCAGTGTACTGAGCAGCTTTGATGATATCGCGACGTAAGTCCTTACAAAGTAGCATTCCTCATCCCAAAACCACAAGTATCTCACTTTCTATATATAACAGTGAATTTGTTCAGTTTCGCTTCCAGACAACGAGTATCATGGCTGGCGTACGTATATGAATACTTTGAGGGTTGATATCGAGCGTTACAGTTATGGGATCGCCCATTAACCGATTTTTGTTGTGACCTGCATAGTATCAAAGCAGTTTGACTCAAGTTGTTCCAATCGTGGTGGCTCCTATCATGGGCATTGCTGTACATCGTTATGGCCAACGTGTCACTAGCTGTAAGTGGTCTTTCCTTCACCATTTATATATGTGTAATTCAACCAGAGAAAAAGATGAATCTAACCTCTGTTTCATTTTTTTTTCATGCCATGTAGTGCTCTTTGCCACATTGGTACTGATTCTATCCATGGTGTTGCTGGCCCACACATGGATTGTGCCTGCTGCAGGCATGATTATCTTTTCAATAGCACTTGCATTAGGCCCAGTGTCCGTACTGAGCTCCACATCCATGTTGCTACCACACGAGTTGGCCGGCACGGGCATGGGTCTGCACAAATGTGCCAACAATATCGGCACAACGATTGTCGCTGTGATTGTTGGCTATGTTCAAGACCTGACTTACCATGACGGCGACTCGGCAGATGACCACAGGGACCTGCAAAATGAATACAATGGGGTCATGACCATGTATCTCGTCATGGCATGCAGCTCGACGCTGGTCGTCGGGGTCTTTTGGCTGATGGATCACAAGATTCTCAAGGGATGGTTGCAAGCAGATAAGACCGAGCGGGATCGACGACTCGACGTGGCCAAGCATGAACAAGATGAAGAAGACCGTGCTGTTCGATACCCTTATTACGGCGTGGCGCCCGAGGAGCAGGAAAAGCGCAGGAATATGGCACTACAAATGATTGGCAGTCGGATGCGATCCAAAAAGACATATGTTTATGTCACAATCTATACCTTTTGGTTTGTGGCCGCGTGGGTCATTTTCTTTACCTTTGCTCTTATGCCTGTATATCAAAACTACACTATCCATTAATAAAATTGTATATTTTATTTGACCTTTTGTACATTTAAATAAAAACTGTCGTCCCTACTGTATCATAATGCTTTCGAAACAGCTATGTATGTCGCGTTTGCTGATTCAAACAATCCCAATCGAGAATAGAGTCTCAGGCGAACAGATCTTCTCGTAACAGTTTCAACGATTGCATAGCAGCACAGATGGTTCAGTTAGAGACAAGCCTTTTATAGATAAGTCATAACAATGCACATATCATCTAGAAACACGGCTGCCGAGCAAGTAAGTGGCTGGCAATATCTCCTGACTGATTCTTTCCCTTACAGCAATTCTCATACCATAGATAATAAAAGCACAAGCATTAAGTTTCTAACTAGTGCCAGGCATGCATTTTAAAATGTGTGGATGTACTCTAATCGCGTATGCAGAAACTGCGTCAGGACCCTTTTCTTCGCACGTTTGATTATTTAATCATGTCGTTACTTATCACAGCACAGTAGCAGACAGCTGCACCAGGATACTGATAATGATGGCTCAAGCAAGACGTCCGCTATCTATAAATCACTTTAGGGCCATATAAAACAACGCTGCCTCCCGTATACGTCTTTTCTCAACCTTCCTACTAAATCTACGAAACTAAAGGCACTTTTACACAGAAAAAAAAGTCAATAACAAGGACATTGTTTTCTGCTCCTACGTATACCATATAAAATGGCAGAAGCAAAGAAAAAGACGTTGTGTATGTGGAAAGAAGTGCATCTAATCGCGTGATAAGCGTTTGTATTGCTGCAACCAGATAAACCGGCCATCCCGACCATTCCGACAAGACTTCTTTTTGTATAACCTGTATCCTAGTTTGAACCTATTTGGCGCTATATATGACGCCCCGACCCCACAACACTCGTAGCTATACGCAAGACTGTAATGCGCGACGGGGATCACCCACAGCACGAGAGTCCTGTATGCAAGGGTCAACTCGACCATGTTTTTTTGGTTTATAAAACAAGACCAGCACTTGTTGCGATTAAGGGTACGTAGACATCGACAAAGAATAGTAACTCCACTTGACCGCTAACACTTCTTTTCTAACGAGCACTTCTTGTCATACATAAAAGAAGAGATAATGAAAAGCAAAAGCAGCGTCATTGGAACATCCCAAAAAAGGGAACAAGGGCTGGTCACGAGACGCATCATCAGCATCTTCTATCTCGCTTTCCCCTGGCAAGGATTATTATTGATGGGTTCCTGCATAACACAATGTAGAGAATTTCATGGGTGTTTGTGGAACAATGCGTGTGTATGTTTGTGTGTGCGTGTGTGTGTATGTGGGGACGACAGCCGATGACCTCATTGGACTTCTTTCGTTTTTGACACTTTGCTAAACTCACTTGCACAACACCAACAACAATCAGTAACATTGCATCACCTTTGTGAAAGCGACGGTATCAAAGAAACGGTGCTCGCCTGTAAAGGGGGGGATAGCGGAAATTGCCACATACACGTACATAACTTTATGTGTGCTGAGCAGTGAACATTGAAACGCGATGACGGGTATGCATATATATTTTTGCAACTGCGACATCATTACTCCTCTTCCCTCTATGGCTTTACTCTCCCCACCCCCCCAAAAGGAAACAACATCGAGATATATGCCTGACACTCTCTTCCATAAATGTAAGATGCATAGTGGAAAAAGATAAGCAATTCCCGTTTCGGGGAGCAGCATACAGTAACTTAGCAACAAAGTAACCAAGAGACCCCGGTCTCCATGTGGTTAAATGATGCTGATGATGAGGGTTCACGTTTATCATTTCAATGACGACCCAGCAGTGCACATCACGGGCAGACAGAGGGTCGTTGCACACCTCTTGCGAGTATTCCCAAACCAGGAGAAAGTCAGGGGGGGCGGGTATGTTGTTGCTGTTGCTTGATGACGATAAGCCCTTGTTCATATCAAAGGCTTGTGATCATATGAATGATACACCCTCTCTCTCACTTACTTTATCTCTCACAGACTGCTCTAGAAATAGAGTATGAGGCAGCTGTCACTTTCTTTGTTGAAATGATGAAATAGAACCGGTGGATTTTGGGGGATGAAAAGACTCGGCGAGCACACAAGAGGAAGAAGAGTGCGTCATTGCTGTAGCACAAGAAATGGTCAGATTAGGCAATTCCTGCCTTCTTCCCAAAAGGATCAAGGGTGTCTGAACAACAAGACGCTTTATTTATAACCATCACCTCTTACTTTGTTATGTACGTAGTCGGAGAAAAAAGAGCAAAGGAAGATCGCTGTATGTGCTCTTCTTATTAGGGGGGGGTTGCTCTTTTATAATAAAGCCCGGTCTTCGGCTTTCAACCTATTTCGAACACAGTTCTTTCTTTTTCTCTCTTTTTCTTTCGTTTCACACACAAACAATGTCATCTCCATTACCGGTGAATGCCAAAGCATTCTCCGATCGACACAATCAAGAACAATACCAAAATGACAGCGAACGGAATCTTGCCGGTTCGTTTGACCGAGCTTCGTCCATAGCCCGCCTGTCGTCTTCACCCGTCCCACCCAACGTCTTTTACGGCTCGTCTCCAGCGGCATCCATCAAAACCTATGGCAGCACAAACGGCAACGGCGGTGGTGCTGGTGGCGGCGCCGACTTGAGCCGAGTAGGCAGTAGCCACTCACTCTTCCGCCCCTTGTCCAATACAACCACACATACGGATTTGCCAGAGGGCCAAGTTGCCAAAATGGTAAAGCGACACTTGGTCGAGACCTCGCCAGTGCCGTCACGTCACGAAGACGAATACCCGTCGGATGACAACTCGTCCGGCATCACGTCAGTCCATCAGCTTCCTGGTGGATCGATCACCCACGGTATCTACAAGTGGACCGAAAATGTAGAGCACAGTCGATACCAGCGGAAACGAACCCGATCCGTGGTATTGCCGCGCAACGAGCCGTCAGATCCTGCCTTGGCCAACCTCAAGGATCCGGGAGGTTTCCGTCGTCATTTTATTCGTGCACAGCGTCAAGGCCAGGAGCCATCGCCTTGGGCGACCAAGTCGTTTGTTGAGTTTCTGGCATTGTATGGCCATTTTGGTGGTGAAGATCTGAGCGATGACGAGGATGATGATGACGACGAAGAAGAAGAAGGGTTCTTGGAGGGTGCAGATGAGGAGTCTCCGCTGATACCTCAGAGACGTGGCGACGAACCGCAGGGCACGGCAACGCCAGCAAAGGCGGTGTTCTTACTGCTAAAGTCATTTGTCGGCACCGGAGTCATGTTTTTACCCAAAGCGTAAGTTGGGGGGGGGGCAGAGTTGCTGTTGTTGCTTACCTGTTTGCAGCTTTGTTTGTGTGTGGGCTAATGTGGAGAGAGAGAGAGAGGGTATGTGTGTGTGTGTGTGTTGTTTTGATTACTAACCCAAGACTGGCTCCAATCACGTTGTGGGATGATCCGTGCGCCATACATGATAGGTTTTACAATGGAGGCTTGATCTTTTCAACGGTCCTGCTTTCGTCCATTGCGGTCATTTCGCTCTATGCCTTCCTTTTGCTCATTGAGACGCGTAACAAGGTTCCAATGTCATTTGGTGACATTGGTGGCGTCCTCTTTGGCAAGGGCATGCGTCTTCTTGTGCTGTTTGCCATTACACTTTCGCAGGTTCGTTTTTTTACTTTTTACTGGTGAACGGGTGATGACGGGGGGACTGATAGGGCTGATGTGGGGGTGTCAATGATGGGTTGTTATCTCGCTTAGTAACTAAGCGCATGGCAATGTGTTTCAGATTGGCTTTGTGTGTGCATACATGGTCTTTGTTGCACAGAACCTGCAGGCCCTCGTAGAGTCTATCTTCCACTGCGAGGTTAACGTCCCTCTCGCCTATCTCATCCTGGGCCAGATTATCGTGTTTGTGCCCTTGGCCATGATCCGAAAGATCCAAAAGCTGTCTGCCTTTGCCTTGATTGCTGATTTGTTCATTCTCATCGGCCTGGTCTACCTCTACTATTACGATTTCCTTGTCCTGGCTACGCATGGCATTGGCCAAGTCATCTGGACTGTCAACCCGTCTTCCTTCCCCATGTTTATCGGCACCGCTGTGTTTACATACGAGGGCGTTGGCCTTGTGATCCCCATCACCGAATCCATGAAGGATCCGTCAAAGTTCCCCAAAGTGCTTTCATGGACCCTTTTCGGCATCACCCTCCTGTTTCTGTCCATCGGATTCATCTCTTATCTCGCATTCGGTGAAGAGGTCCAGACTGTCATTATGCTCAACCTGCCTGCCACCGGTACGGTCGATACCATTCAAGGCCTCTACGCACTGGCGATCTGCTTGTCCATCCCACTCCAGTTGTTCCCAGCCATCCGTATCATGGAGAATGGTCTGTTTACCCGCTCCGGCAAGAACAACCCTGTGGTCAAGTGGCAAAAGAACGCATTCAGATTCGCCATGGTTTTGGCGTGCGCCGGAATTGCCATTGCTGGCTCGAGCGATCTCGATAAGTTTGTCTCTCTGATCGGTTCCTTTTGCTGTGTTCCGCTCTGTTTCCTGTTCCCACCACTGTTTCATCTCAAGGGCGTGGCCAGTACGTTCCGTCAGAAGTTTATCGATATCACCATCATCGTGTTTGGCGTTGTATCAATGACATACACAACCTTCATCACCGTCTCTCTTTGGTCCACCGGTGATGAAGCTCCACCAGTCTCTAGATGCATTCCTCATGGCAACTAGACTGTATTTTTCCTAACACACACACAAATATACACACATACACTCGCTTGCTCCATCCACAACATTATATCCTCCTATACCATGTTCTGTTCTTTTTTCCTTCTTTTAAATACATATTGAATAAATAGCCTATCTTGTCAATAACTCATATAAAGACTTTTACATATGCCATTACCATATCATAGCAATCTCTATACAATAACATTTGTCTCACTAGAAACGACAAGTATTACAGTGCTCCCTTCAATTTAAAATGTAAATGCAACTGTACTGGATAATAAAGAGACATCGATTTTTTTAATTCTAATGACCACCTTTTTCTTTCGTGTAATTTTATGCTTAAAATGTATACACATGGTAATATAATCATATGGGATTGAAATCACATAGGATTGAAAAAACACATACTTTGACAGACAACTTCAAGACCTTGGATTACCTGTCTGTAATCATTTATGACAGCTGCTGAAGTTGTAAGCGAAATCGCTAGTGGTGGAAATGTTGTTACATTGGAAGGAAAAAGTCAGTGATTATATCAAAATGAGACAGCCCATGCCTGTGGAGTGTAGTTACTCAGAATGCTACGTCCACCGAGAAATATGATCATGCTAAGGTCCATTGCCTTTGGTATTATGGTACGCTTATATTATATTATTCCTCCATTACATGTATCGTAGAAAGATATGTATTGCAGCACTGTTTTGTAAATATGTTTTTGTGTACAGATATATTTCGATTGAAGATTGAAGTACCTTTAAGAAAAACTTTATGCAGGTACTATAGATATCTTTGTTTTATTGATTCATTATTATATACTGAAATTAATCCACCCAGCGTCAAGATAATGCTTCCCTACACTGATGAGGCTGACTTGAAGAATTTCGCAAGCACAGTTGGAGTTATCGTTAGAATGGCGTAAAGAATGCGGAAGCTTTGACACAAAAAACGATTAATATAGTCGCAATCTGGTTTATACTCTTAACCCGATTAATCTTCTTGTCGTGCCTGTGAACTCCCTTTAGCCTTTCACACATTGATCACTTTCCACCACTTTTGTAACGACAATTCAATTATCACTGTTTTCACCGCTGTCTTTGTAATCACATCCATCCATCCATCCATTCACTAACTCTTCACTTGTTTGAGCTAGCACTGTAGCATCATTCTACCACTTCCTTAGACCACCTTTTGAACCTCCTGTACATCATTATTATGAACTACTTTGGAAATTTTGATCACTACTTTGAACCAAACGAGCTATCCTGTAAATTTGTCGAATAAACAATGACCTACGTTGTAATCGATATACACCACACCAACGTGTAGCATAAAATATCCCCCCTTCACCTCCATTTATATTATATACAAGTGTCAGAATGATAGTACATGATGTTGGATTTTAGAGAAAACCTTTTATTTAGCCGTGGCACAATTATAGTGTATCGCCTAGAAGTTCTGTACTTGTAACCGGCAAAATCTTCTTTTGGAATTTTCATAAAGCTATTGATACAAGTAATAAAATAGGCCCTTTCTTTACGCAAATTACTACTTCTCATGACTTTAATTACTGAATTTAAGTGGGTGCAACAAAAGCTATACAAATTGAGTTGAGCACGGGACATATACTCCAGCTTCTTTATCTGTCCTCTTGCCTTCATTTCAATCGTCGATCTGCCATTCTTGTGTTTTCAGCTTCTTTTTCTAGTTCCTGCGCCTCTTTTGGTGAAGCGTAGCGTTGTAAAGGTCCCGGCGTTCACGACACTGGCGGTTATGCCCAGTTTCTCGATAGGTGGGATACCGTCCTCGGCCAGTCCAGAGAAGCACCAGGCTGGTTTCCTTGTAAAATTCTTTAACTTGTTTGCCAGCTACAGTGAGGGTCACAGCGATAGCGGGGTCGTCACCCAACAGCAAATGTCTATTGAGGTTGAGGCCAGACCAACTGTTTTGGCTTTGCTGTAGGACTATGTCATGCTACAGAGGGAAGGATAAGAGCCAGCAAAATATCTAGATAACAAACAATCATTAAACACGTTAAAATTGTCAATATACCTGGCGCACGCGAGCCTCTCGCGTCATTGTCTCCTCAGACGCCTGCTTATTTGTTATGTGAAGCTTCTGTATAGAGTTTCGTGCGCGCAATTTTTGGCCTTCCAAGCTGTATTTGCAGCAGTAGACGCAACAGTAACCCATGGCTCATCATCAGTGATATCGTGTTCCTCGTCGTCCTCCATAAGCCTTTTCGCCTTTCGTCTTTGGTAAACTGCGTGGCGATGCTGCTTAAGGGCGCTGCTGTAGCTGGCCTGGATATCGGTGATTTGTTCGGCTTAGCCATTCAGCCTCGGTAGTCTTGGCCTTCTTTTGTGTTTCTGTGAGCTTTTTTTAGCTTTATAGATAACTGACTGTGATTGTTTTGCTTTATCCCGAAAATCAGTTCACCCAGCGAAGCATTCACGTACATTAACGTCCAGTTCGGCTGAAGACCTCACCAAAAATTTTAAGCCAAGTGGAATGAACTTACCCAGGCGGTTATACTGTCGAATGGACGGCAAGATGAAGAAAAATACGTCCATCATCTGGACAAGTACTTACTACAGTGTAAAGTGAGTCAAATTACGCAGTATCATCATTATTTAATGATGTGTTTAATGCTTACCATCATAAATTCAAGATCTACGATCAAAGACACTAGAGGCGTTGGGGCTCGAAGAAGCAAATTCTGGACCTCTTGTATCAATTGTTTTCCTTTGATACTTCGCTTAAAAAAAAGCATTTACAGATGTAACCAGCTCCGAGCGTAAATTGGGGATGGACGAATCCTGACAACAGATGAACCAGTATGTTATTAATATCATGGGTTCCTAATCAAACTTTCATTAGCAAAGAAATCGCGTTGCGTTGACATTGTAGGACCGCCTAATTCAATGCATCGCCATCACTGGAACCAGTTACCCTTTTGTTGTCATCCGTTTTGACAGGAACCCAAAAAAAAGTGGATTCCATGTATGAATCCTAGTATCTTAAATGCAAATCACTTTTGTTCGATAACGGAAACGACAGAAAATCATATTGCTCTTTTCATTATCCAATTAACGAACTTATATATGCACCTATTAGTGATGCTCATTTTGATGGAGATCAATGTCGTTTTGTTGTCAACTTGTCAGTTAAAATTGTCGGTCTAAATCTTATCAATGTCAAGTTGGGCTCTTGTGCAACTGTCAGCAATCGGGGTTTTAGGGGGGGGGTAACCAAGTACTAAAGCCATCATGATGCAGTGTCATCATCATATATTTCTCCAAGTCTACCCTCGTTGATGCGGACAACAACGACAATCGACGAGAATAAGAGGCAGTGACGATGTATCGTTCTATCAGCTAAAGAGAGGGGCGAGATCGGACTCATAGGTTACAGACATACATTTCACCAAATTTAAATGATTTTTTTTTATCGGACCGACGCCGCCGATCCCGCAAAACGCCTCCTGTGTAGTGCATACACTTTGTACCTATCCTGTTGACAGATCTTGTTGCACAACCTATACCCTTCTTTTTTCCCTTTTCCATCGAGATAAAAATGGATCACGATCCTCCTCCCCACTATTACCGTGAACGATGGCAACGTCAGCTCTCTCAATATCCTGATGTTTTACGGTAAAACTGGCCAAACTCTCTGTTCCTCGTCTTGTCTGTTTGTTTCGCAATCTCGTCATTAACTAATTCATAAAAACCTTTTTCTTTTCTTATTTTCGTTTGGTGATTCAACGGTCGTGGTGCATTCCATTTGCAACATTTAGTTGGAGGGGATCGGTAAAGCTCATTACTGCTACTGCAATCACTTCAGTTGAGCGACGTTTTAAAGTATAAAGTGACTTTATTAGGTCTGGCCTAGCATTCTTCCATTGATTGCATTGACTGGCCTTTACGCATATGCAGTGGCTTACGCGTATCTTTCACTTCAATATACCGGTGTCGCCTTGAGTAATTCTGTAGGCAAGTAGTAGCGCCCGTCTATACACACTGTTTTCAAGGAGGGCACCCTGTTGGGCGTGCCTCTCCTGAATGCAGATAAACCGAAAACATATTTTGTTGCTAACTGTAAAACACACAAATTCATTTTAAAAATAGTTCCTGCGTTGTCAGTCGTATTGGGTCTTCTCTTGGCATTTCGCGCCAACACCTCGTATGCTCGATACTATGAAGGCAGACAACTCTGGGAAACCCTAGTGAGCCGTACGCGTAACCTGGCACGCCTCATATGGACCTCCATTCCAGAGCGAACACAGAACGACCATTCGGAGAAAATGCGGTGCATGAAACTGCTATTGGCGTTTGCGGTTTCAACAAAGCACCACATTCGTAATGAATTGGGATGCGACTACTATGATCTGGACTCACTTCTTCCACCCAACTGGGTGCCTGCAGCTGCTGACGAGGCGTTTTTGGGCGAGCCGTTGTCACCGAGTAGTTATGGAGAAGAACAACGTCAAGTGACGAGTTTGGACAGCGCGGCTGTAGCTGCGGCCTTACAGACGCAAGCAGCCATGTTTTCGTCGGATGAGGATTTGCCTGACGTGGAAGACGCGACTGGGACAGTGGACATGTCCTTACCACTGGAGATCTTGTTCCGAATGGGCTTGTACGTGCAACAAGCCAAGAGCGTAGGCAGGATCGACGGTATCTTTTCAAACAGTATCATTGGGCATCTGAATCAGATGAATGATTGTTTGGCTGGCCTGGAGCGGATCGCGAATACCCCGATTCCCGTGTCTTACCGCATCCATCTGTAAGTTTAAAGAGGGTTTCTCGCGCTGGCTCAGGTTTATTAAAGTTTTTTGGAGCGGATTAGAAAACAATCGTTGGCATTGTACCTAGCAGCCGTTCCGTTTACACTGGTGGCTCAGTTGCGTTGGTGGATGGTGCCCACAGTGATCCTTGCGTCGTTTACGATGTACGGTATTGATGCCATCGGCGCTGAGATCGGTAAGCAGGCGGTCTTGATACTGTAGACAGGAAAGGAACAGAGAAAGAGAACTGAATTGGGCATGGCTTAAATAGAAAACCCTTTTGGATACAACCCGAATGATCTGCCGCTGAATCAGTTTTGCGATGGACTTCGGAAAGAGATTGAATTCATCGTCTATCACTTGCCGTGTGAAACAGAAGACACGCTCAAATAAACACAAATGACGTAGTGGTAGCTTCTCTTCTTTCTTGGAGAACTTTTCCAGTGGTATCATATTCCCAAGCTGTGTAGCACGACCACACGCTTGCTCCTATCCTCCCACGCCAGTTTCCTTTCTTTTTTTCCTTTTGGTGAGTTTAAAGTATGGTGACAGTTGAGATCACTATCACCACCACCATCATCATCATCACCAGAACCATGTCTGATGTGCCTAAACCTTTTAACGCGGATCTGTGCCGTCCCCTTTTCCCCAACCCAGCCCCCATGACACTCATCTTGCACTTGTTACCGAGAAACACAGCATGCACGTAAATGTAAACAAAAGTCAAAGAACGGGGGCTGTCCGTGGGGGTGATTCCGAGCTTATCGCTCGCATGTATGTACATTTTAGGGCAAGATTGGTTTTTTTTTCGTTTTGCAACCCAGTAAATTGGTCGGTCGGTTGCTTGGTTACTTGCTTGGTTACTGCCTTGTGGGGAAGCTTCTCTTTCACTTCTTATTGTTGCGTTTTCGTTGCACGCCTGATTTGTAAAGCTCGACGCCACGCTTTTGGTGTGTTCCTGGTTTATACACATTCCCACACCACACAAGACAAAACGGAAACCCATGTCAATCATCCCCGTCGAAACAGTAGCAGCGAGTCGACCAATGGAGAAAAAGAGAGAGCAAGGACACTAAAAGATTTGAGACAGGCCAAATAAGGTTGTGTGCGGATTTGCAAAAGACCATTGGTTCCTTCGGACGGGGCTACCTCCGCCGGATCCCGATGGTGGGACCCCTCTCTGGCTTTGTGTGTGGAGACAGAGACAGAGACTGAGAGAGAGAGAGAGAGAGACAGAGACAGAGACAGAGAGGGCACTCCTCAATACAGACAAAAGAAATTCCTCTGCTTTTTTCCTTCTTTCGTCCTTTAGCTTTCTTCTTTTTCTCACTTGTTTTTTCTTCTTCTTTCCGCTTTTTTTCTCTTTGCTCTTCTTTAAAACTACTTTTCCTCCACTCCCGCCCATTTTTTCCTATTGAAAAAAGGTTTACATGTGAGTAGCCCGCTCCATTCTGTTCGATTTGAACCCTCTAGACAACTACCATAGGCCCTCCAACAACATCAACAGCAACAATACCGCTTCTCTCATCATTGTATCATCCTAACAACTGGGGCCTTCTTTGTAGGGCAACCATGCCACCACCACCTAGTCCACCCAATCGGAACGTGCTGGTTGATCGCTGCTCTTCGCTGCGTGGGTGCGAGCCATGCAAGCGTAGAAAACGGGTCTGCAACGGACAGCGGCCGTGTGGCAACTGCCAAGAGACCAGCCAGGAATGCGTCTACAGCGTAGTGTCGGACTACTCACGGAGCGTTTTCACGACGAATAGCGCGCGCCGACTAAGTTCGGGCTCAGCCTGTGAGACCTGTCGCCGACGCAAGACAAAGTGCGATGGCGGTAACCCGTGTGCATACTGTGTCAATGCAGGCTTCGAGTGCAACAATAACTCGGAGCGCCGTAAACGGGCTCAAGCACATGCTGCCCAAGCCCAGGCTCAGGCTCAAGCGGCTGCCGCGGCGGCCCATGCTGCTGCTTCTTCTGCTTCTGCTGCACAAGGTGGAGGACCTGCAGCTGTGGCAGCAGCAGCAGCGGCAGCAGCAGCATCGTCACAGGGTCAAGACGGCGATCATCATGCCATGGATCGCATCGAGGACCGCCTTCGTCGTATCGAAAAGCTAATGACAGCATTTACCCCCAGCAGTCCCTTGAGCAGATCATCTTTCACCGCTGGCAGCGGCGAGCAGCAAACTGTGGGCACTGTAGCCTCACGCAAACTGTCATCACCCCATCCGCCACCTCCACCGTCGAGTGCTTCTGGCTCGTCAGTCAGACAGCATCGACATTCCGTCCAAGGCATCAGCGTCGCCAAGGAGCAGGCCGCCTTACGATCCATCCTCAGAGGTAAGACTCTTCTTCGGAAATATATTTCTTGTGTACAACACCAACCTGGAGACGTTTTCAGGTACAGCAGCCGTTACGGCAACGGAAGCAGCAGCAGCTGCAGCAGGCACAGCAGCATCGTCTCCACCGTCGTCCCCGCCACTCTCTCCTAGCAACAAGACATCCATCACGTCATCCATGCTCAACCTGTCCTTGTCGCCTTCCTCTTCGACCTCTTCGAATCAGTCCTCGAGTGAAGGATGTCTGTCGCCAAGCGGAGAATGGAAACAGTCAACGCCGATCCCGAGTTTGATGGGTACCGTATACATTGCTCCCGAACCTCCTTTTTGTGATCTGCCTTTTTTTCCAAGGAAGATTCTCATACGTACTCTTTCTCTATCGTAGATCAACTTTCGAGACGAACATTTGCCCCAGCAGCCATGGACTATATGCAGTTCCCGATCTATCCGCTTTCTTCCACGCCACCCAAGCCTACAGCCTCGCCCGATTATCCCCACCCTCATCACCAGCAGCACCAGCATCAACACAGAGAGTAGTGTGTCTTCGTACTACCATGTAACTATTCCAGACGGCTGCTGCGGACCCTCTTTTCTTTCATTTTCTTCTAATTGCCTTCTTCTCTACTATTATGTCCATAATATCGTTTTGTAAATTTTTGTTTTTCCTTTTTCTTTTTTGTATATCTTTTGACTCACCTGTATTTCAAACAAAAAATGACGCAGCACATGCTCTATGCTATAAAACGTGTCACCCACCACTCACACTATACAGACACAGACACACCTATCACAGAAACCACAATACAAAGCCTGTATCTTTTATGGCGGGAAGGGGGTGTGGGATCTGGCTATCTCACCTTCCGTTCGCTAACATGAACGAGTGACTGCGACTGACTCAGAAATTTACACTTTTTGACATTTTAACAAAAAAAAGAGAAGGGAGCCCAAAACCACCTTGGTGTTTTACACATACAACATGCTCGACATTAATCTTTTACTAGAAGACCGTGGTGGCAATCCTGAAATTATCAAGGAATCGCAACGGAGACGTGGTGGCTCCGTTGAAGTTGTCGACGAAATTATTGCCTTGTACAAAGAATGGGTCAAGAGTAAGTTGCTTTTCCCGTTCACCTTGAACTTGTTGATCCGCGAAACCATGCCCCGGTATAATACTTATCGTGCAGTGAATTAGCTCAATTTTTGAGCGATCAGAAAAACAAGGAAATCAATGCCGTGCAGAAGGAAATTGGCAAAAAGTTCAAAGCCAAGGAAGATGCCAGCGATTTGTTGAAACAAAAGGAAGAGTTGCAAAAGGCCAAAGAAAAGCTGATTGCCGAAGCCAAAGAAGGCGAGACGTCGTGGAAGGACAAGCTGGCAACGTTGGGCAACGTTGTGCACGCGTCGGTCCCGACATCCATGGACGAGGACAACAATGAGGTGATTCGCACATACAACCACAACGACGTCGAACCTGTGAAACGCACGGATATCTTGTCGCATCACGAAGTGTTGGCCCGTTTGGATGGCTACGACCAGGACCGTGGTGCCAAAGTTGCTGGTCACCGTGGCTATTTCTTGACCGGCGTCGGTGTGGATCTGAACTTGGCCATGATCAACTATGGTCTGTCCTTCTTGGCCAGACGCGGCTACAAAAAGTTAATGACGCCCTTTTTCATGAACAAGGATATGATGGCCAAAACCGCCCAATTGAGCCAGTTTGACGAGGAATTGTACAAGGTCTCTGCCGATGGTGACGACAAGTACCTCATTGCTACCTCTGAACAGCCCATTTCTGCTTTCCACTCGAACGAATGGTTTGAAAAGCCCGCCGAGCAGTTGCCCATCAAATACGCAGGCTACTCGACCTGTTTCCGTAAAGAAGCTGGCGCTCACGGCAAGGATACCTGGGGCATCTTCCGTGTCCACCAGTTTGAAAAGATCGAGCAGTTTGTCCTGACCGACCCTGAAAAGTCCTGGGAAATGTTCGATGACATGATCAGCCATTCCGAGGATTTCTTCCAGAGCCTGGGCTTGTCTTACCGTGTCGTCGCTATCGTCTCGGGCGCCTTGAACAATGCTGCTGCCAAAAAGTACGATCTGGAAGCCTGGTTCCCATTCCAGGGTGAATACAAGGAGTTGGTTTCGTGCTCCAACTGTACCGACTACCAGTCTCGCCGTCTCGAGATCCGTTGCGGTGTCAAGAAGATGTCTGACCGTGAAAAGAAGTATGTCCACTGCTTAAACTCGACTTTGTGCGCTACTGAACGTGCCATTTGCGGTCTGTTGGAAACCTGGCAGCGTGAGGATGGTTTGGAGGTCCCACCACCTTTGGTTCCTTACATGGATGGTCGTACCTTCATCCCATATGCCAAGGAACTCAATACCACTCCCAAAAAGGATGCCACCAAGGCTAAGAAGAAATAAATGAAATAAATAAAGTTCTGTATAGTTTGTTTTAATTTTTTATTAATGATATTAATTTCCCTACTTTTCAATGCGGGTCAACATCATGTACAACTGGTTGTGGATTTTGGAAAGTTCCTGTCACCGCATCAATTGCCACAAGTCAGCTATCGCATTTTTCAATATTTCCTCTCAAAGTGCCATGTACTTACATCGGCAACGACACCTTGACCAGGATGCTCATAACTAAACAAACCAAAGAAGTGTGTCAGGATCTTTACAAGGTAACAAACAAGCCCAAATATTTACGGATCATCTTGCCAGTTAGAGCACTGCGGTGACCGATCATCAACGATGCCTTCATTGTATTCTTGATCAATGCAGTTTAGCTTTTCTTGCAAGTTCCGGACGTCGTCCTCTGTATATTTATGCTGAGCAATCTCGTCGCTCTCTTTGGCAACAGCCATAATTTTATGATGGATTTGCTCTTTTTACGAAAGCGTAATATATAACAGTTAAATTCTTTATTTCACCTATGTACACAAGCGATAACGCCGTGTTTCTATCGTGTCTTCTTCAAGTATAGAAAACATATAAATACCAAGATCTTTGCGCATGTTTTCTGAGAATCAAATGGAACAAGGTAGAAAGGCATGCAAATATAAACAGTATTACTTTTTATATGATTGAATAGTTTGTTACAAGGGTATTATGGTATTGCATTGTTGCATCATAGATTAAATCAGTTTTAGTTTGAAACTTTTGTCGTGTACCATGGTTTGGCATTGCGCATTCGTGAGCCATAGATATGTACTGTGGGAATACAAACAACATAGAACACAAGGTTCATTAATGCTGCCAACGTGCTAGAGCAGAGCAAAGGAGCATACTTGGTCAGAATTGTTGTTGCTATCATCACCCGTATCAGGAAAGGGTATACAACTTACTATGACCAGTTATCGCCCAGACCAGCTCGAATCTGCACTGACAATATTGAAAACAGCATGGCAAGTAAATTACGAGTAAAATTACTAACAGACACCACTATGATAGTGTTAGATTCAGCTTTCATTCAGTATATGCACACAGCAAGCGGAATTTACCTGATGCAGACACTTGAAGGTAGGATTCGACCAAATAGGTTGTCCCCGTTGTGATGGTATACATGGATCCCAGGGTAGTTAACATGTATCCGACCAAAGGAGTGAACCAATGCAGATGCGCATGGATGAACCAGCCATACATGAACAGGCCAGCAATCAAAAAGGGGATACCAAAGTACAATGGCACCAATCGACCTTCTGTTGACATCTTATTATGCTTGAGTTGATACGCATAAACTCGATCTGACACAAGACCGGCAATCACACTCCCGCTACAATTGCCCACACCACCAGCCAAATACAACAGGCCAATCGTTCCAGTGTCGAATCCATACACGTCGGAATACGTTGATGGTAGGATGGTGACAAGATAGTAGAACCAACCAAATGCAGTGCTGATTGGCAAACAGACCAGTAGGACCTCCGGTCGCAGTAGTAAGCGAAGGCTGATGAACTATAAACCTCACATGCGAATGATTAGCTTTTTTCAAACATATTAAAAAGTGCCCAATAGTTATATATAAACTTACGGGGTTGAATTTAAGATTCTTGAGTCGACTTTTAGGTTTTTCTTCGTGAGGTCGATAAAGCGTTTCGCGCAGGAATACAATATTTGCGATAAAGATGACGCCACCCAAGATAGTGCAGATATAGAAAATCCAGCGCCAACCGAGGTATTGTGCGACATAGCCACCAATAAGTGGCGAGAATGCAGGTCCGATAATGGTGCTACACACACGAATAAAAAAGAGAAAAGCAAATCAATTGTCTTGTTGCTTCTGGCTGCTTTGCATGCTCAATAAATGGATCAAGTGGGGGGATTACCCTAGCATGAATATGCTCATTGCACGGCCCCGTTCAGCGGGTCTAAACAGATCAGCAACACTGCCGCCACCAACGGCCATACCTGTCAAGATAAGATAGTAATTTTTCTTCAGTGGATCAGGTGAATTAAGCAGCGAGAAATGGTCGATCAACAGATCCAACAAGAAGCTTATTTTACCAGCTGAAGACGCAATGCCTTGCAGTATTCGGAATACAAAGAACAAAGGTAGACTATCAGCAATACCACAGATGATTGTAAATAGGGTATAAAATCCCATGGATGATATGTAAACCCATCTAAAAGTGTTATCGTATATTTCAAGTTAGCTTTCGTATCGTTCGTCATTGCTCCAAAGTTATCTGATCATACCTTCGACCTATACGCTCACTAAACGGTGCCCAGAATAATGGCTAACAAAGGAAAACCAGAAACAATCAGACATGCGGTAAAACTTTTCTAGCCGGTTCTGAACTTACCGCCACACCAATCGCCAAGACAAACAGGGCGATTGTGGCGTTGATCACCTAATGTATCTTTCAGTGTCTCCCCAATCCTTTGATTTTCTCCTTTGCCTCGTATAGCATACCGTCAAGTCCGTGTCAAAGTGAATGCGAAGATCATTGGTCGCTGGCATCTGTGAAAACCATTGAATGAGGAAATCAGTCATTTCACTTCATTTTTATTGCTGTACGGTCTTTTAAGGAACACTGGTTACATACGTAGACGGCAGAAGAAAAGTACCCTGTAAATGCATTAAAAAAGACAACGATAAAATTGATCCATTTTTTCGTATTTGACCAGTTCTACAAAACAAGTGTTATTACTAACTCTATTCAAGGATGTGCAGCAGTAGACGGTACCTTGGGATTGGCCGGATCAGTATCCAAGTCGTCTATTTGCGTACTGCTGCAGTTTGATTTATTCTCCACATCCACAACTTCTTGTATATCCTCTGGATCTTCATCATGCGCTGCCATGTTTTGAATGCTATGAATGGATGATATGTAGTAGTATTACTGATAGTGATGATTAAGGAATAAAAATAATAATGTGGAAAAAAAAAGGGAGAAATAAACTGAAACAGGTTAAATTGGAGCTTCTTTGGCGCGGAGTCACGTCTCCGAACCGTCATTTCGCAAGCGACTGGCAACATTGCATGTATAATTCAATTGTGTAACCCGGAACAAGTGCACTTTTTGTTGCTGCGGCAAGTGCTCTTTTCTCTTTTGTTCTGTATACAGTTCCAGAAATGCTTACCATGTAAAAAAAAACTAGCTAGTTGCGATGTGAAGCGAGGCTGTGTTCTCTATTATATATCAGTTTGGTTGCCCTCCCTGAGTGTATTTTCAAGTGCTGCAAAAGTGACCAAGTTGGTCTTTTCGCGCTAAATGCTCAGTCTATAAAGTTTACCCGGACAACAAGCAAGCATCTTGATACAGAATGGTCTCATTGGCTGTTTGTTTACCTGGTAAAGGTATCTCTCTCAATATGCAGCGCCACATACATTTTTAATATGACTGTTTACATGGCAATTGACGCGTTGATCAAGATATAGCCTTCAAAAAGATCTAAATACACAGTATAAAAGAGCCATTGCAAGCGGAATAAGAAAATTGACGTGATCGCGCAATATCACATATACTTTCATCATCAGGGCATCATTACTATCCAAAGATATAGGTCATATGCAATTTAGGACGTTGTTGCCATATATTTATGAGAGATATAGATATAGCGACCAGCATACATTGATAATACGAAACCAGAGGATGCTCCTTCGTGACCTTAAGACAAAAACACAGGGCTCGTATAGCAAACTTGAGCTTGATGTATATAAAAGATTAAGTAGGGCAACATCAACTACATTCGCTAGTAACCATTAGTTCTTCTGCTAACCATTTCTTCGCCGAGAGAATATCTGACTACAAGCGTTGTATTAATAATTAGCACGTTTCCATAATTCTACTAAATGTGCTGTATTGTCTTTTGTTTGATTGCTTCTCTAATGACTACATGCTTTGCACTGTGGTTTTTAAAAAGATGATGAGACTTTAATGGTGATGGTGGGTTAAGTATTATGAATGTGTCTTATAATGGCTTCTGAAATTTAGCCTGAACAAATATGCGATCCACATTCAACTCGAGCCGCCGGTTTGTTGTCTCTCGATAAATATAACCATTGACAACCGTCTTGAATCCTTCAGCCTCAAATCGACTTGCTAAATCCTCCTCTGAAAAGAAATAGCTCAGAGTACCATCCTGTCGTACATACAAGTTCTGATCCAGCTTCTTATCCGATGCCTTGCTAAACTTGACTTGCGCTTCGTCATAGAGACCATAATCACGGAATAAAATGTAGCCACCAGGCTTCAGGACCCGGTATATATTTCTGATAGCATCTGCCATCTTCTCACCTGGAATGGCCGAGAACACAAATAATGCTGATACCTGTTCATCAAAGGAAGGCTTCATTGTTAGCTTTGTGTAGATGCTTACACTATAGATATCTATACACACGCATATTTAAAATATATATAATATTACCAGGTCAAGACTGTCGGCAGGCACATTGTCAGTAAGTGGATCAACAGTCAAATCGCATACGAAGGCTTGACATCGTTCTTCATCATACTTGTCGTTGTTCTACTATTTCCATGTTATTCAATCCATTTGCGACGGTTGTTTATCAGACAATCATCCCACAGCGCACGTGCAGCACGTTACCTTGACCATTTCAACTGCACGTTTTGAAAAGTCGCATGCATAAATAAATAGGCTGGGATTATCGGCCAGTGCAGGAAAGACAAAGTTGCCAACACCGCAGCCAACTTCCAAGCATCGCACCTGTCAAAAGAAGCAAATGTCTGAGTATATCTCGTTGATCGAACTTTTTTTCTTCTTCTTTTACCTGTTGGTCGCCCTTGCATGCAAGTTCTTCAAACTCACGATCAGTCCAATGACGATCTAAACAAGACCATAAACCAATGAATGAGTTTTCATACGCCTATTGAAACTAGCGTGTGCCTTCTTTGTAAACAACAATACCTTTAAAAAACTTTGTTGTATTTCGCTTATAAAATATATCCCAGTTTTTCGCTGCTTCTTTCTTGTACTTGTTTATCCAAAACGGAGGCACTTCTTTTTTGTCACCAGCAATGGCCTCTTGTGCTCGCTTGACATGATGTTCAAGACGTTTGGGATCCATGGCAACCCGTGCTTCGTCCATGGTTAAAAAAAAAGTTCAAAAAGTTTAAAAGAGAAGAGTAAAAAAAAAAAACTAGTGTAAGCTGGTAAAACAGAGGGCACTCCGCTCATACAAAGCTGCGTTTTCATTCCTTGTATTGCACCCTTTTCTTTTGTTCACACACACTCTTTTAACATGGATTTCCTGCAGGATGCCATCAAATCAGAGATCTCCAAAAAGCGAAAGACAATCAACGCCGTAGGTGCTGATAAGGGTCAGCGCAAAAAATACGTCAGTCGTGCAGAATTGGAACGTCTGAGAGAAGAAGAATACCTTCGTGAAGAAGAAGAGCGAAAGGCAAAAGAAGAAGAGGTATAACTTTTCACGAGATTCACAAACTGTCGATCGATTCTAATTTTGTCTCTTTTGACTGAAAAACAGAGAAAGCGAAAACGATTTGAAGAAGAGGTAAACCTTGCTCGGTTTTATTACGTAATTTAAGGCAAGAATTTGAAAGTTTTCACATACTAAGTCTGATCCTGTAATCTTTCAAAGGAGCAACGACGGGAACGTGAATTGAAGGAATTGAAACCGACTGAAGAAACAGACGAATCAAAAGGAGAGGTATATAGTCGCACGATACAGCAAGTGATGTTGGTTTTATCAAGAGAGAGAAAAAAGGAGTGCTTACATACAGATACACGCTTCGTAACGAATTAATAGGAAATCGAGGTGGAAACATTCAATATCACTCGTGAAGAAGTTATTCGACGTCTACGAGTTAAAGGACAGCCTATTCGACTGTTTGGTGAAACTGACAAGCAATGTAAAATTCGGTTGCGTGCACTTGAACTTATGGAAGAACGTTCAGATGATGTAAGTGCTTAGAGAGTATGGCTACGTTGAGGAAAAGAGGCGATGGAAATTAACGAACGTCTATGTGCGTATACAGGGTGGACGAAATGATTATATGCGTAAATTGGAAGAAATGGAGGAAGGCATGCGTTTAGAAGCCTTGAAAGAAAAGGCTGGTGTACAGGATGAAAAGAAGTTGAGCAAGAAACTGAAAAAGGCCGAGATGGTGGTGGAGCCAATCGAGTTGAACATGCTGCAAAAGGATATCGACAGATTGTACTTGCAAATCTACACATACCTTGTGCACACGATGGATGAGTGGGAAGAATACATGGCCGCTCGTCCCGAGGAAGAAAAGCAAAGCGGCCAGGGCAAAAGAGCCGCTGTCTTGCAAAAGCAGACTGCAGATTACATCAAGCCTTTGCTGCGACAACTCAAAAAGCGGGTAACGACTCTAGTTCACTTCACACTCTTACGAATACGCATGCTACTGCAGAGAGGCTGATGATGCTATGTGGAATAGACTTTAGAACCGGATATTTTGGCACGCGTAGCTGAGATCACACATTACATGCAAAACCGGAGGTACCGAGATGCACAGGATTCTTACTTGCAGCTGTCGATTGGTAATGCGCCTTGGCCCATCGGTGTAACCATGGTTGGTATTCACGAACGTTCTGCTCGTGAAAAGATTTTTGCGTCTCAAGTAGCCCACGTATTGAACGACGAAACATCTCGGAAATGGATTCAGTCTGTCAAACGCCTAATGACATTTGCCCAAAGCAAGTATCCTCCCTACACCCTCAGTCAGATATCTTAAGAGGCAATCATGCCCTTCTCTTTCGCCCCCCCCCTCCTGAAAAATTGTCACCTTGAGTCTAATGTAGTTGTTGCTGTTCTTTCCCCATCATCTTTCATGTCAATTCTTTCCCCAGTCATATACATATTACAATCACACAGAAAAACAGCACAACGTGTGCAACATAACCGTCACTTGCTTTTCTTTTGCTGTGTTTATGTTTAACTACAACATCAGCTCTTGTTGCTGCTGCTGCTGCTTTTATCATGCTCATCATCAACTGTTGATGCTACACTGTCATATTTGGATTTATATATCCACGAATTCCCCATCAATCCTCGTCCCTGTGCTGCTGCCAAACGATAATATTTCGCAGCTTGGTAGACATCCTTTTTCGTGCCATAGCCGTCATAATAGCAACGTCCAACCTCGTTTTGTGCATCTGCATCGCCCAATTGTGCTGCAATTTTAAAGTAATAGAACGCCGTTTCTCGACTACGTGCAGTGCCCCATCCTTGATCAAACGAAACGCCCAGCTCGTAGATGGCAAGCACAAGTTCGCCTTTCCGAGATTGCAGGAGCGCATCCATTTTGGTTTTCCCTTCGCTGCTTTTCTGTAATCCGTCTACGGCGTGTTCAGCTGCCTTTTGAAGGTACTGGAATGCTAGTGTACTATTCGCTCGACACCCCTACATATGGGGAGTTTGTAGGATGTATGTAAATTGTAGAGTAGAAAGTGTTGATCGCAAAGATCAAATGTCAGATATGATGGTCTTTTGTGATAGAACTACATAATGAAGAAAGATCTTGTGTTACCCATCCATGGCGCAAGGAAAGGCCGTACAGTAGCATACCGATCGGTGATCCTTCTTTGGCTGCGATTCTAAACTGATGTGTAGCTTGTTCCAACGCGCCGAGTTCGTGATACTCTATGCCTTTCTGGACATGGTGGTCTATGTCGATCTTTTTCTTTTCTGATGTCGTTGTCGTCATTTCTTGCTGCTGTTGTTGGCTTTCACATCCCACACGGTTGAGTAATCGTTGCTGCTGATACGGCTGTTGTAGTTGCGCCTATGACGTTACAAAGAGAAATATGTCTTGGTCGGTCTAAGAAGCTTTCGTTTTCTCGTCAATCAGAGATGTAAGTCTTACCTGTCCAATTTCTGTTTCTATGACCCTGTTTCGATGTTTATAAGATAAGCAAGTATAGTATCTGGTTAGCTAGACGTATGGTGCCTGCGTTGCAGTGGCCGTTACCTACCAATTCTCTGGTGGTATCCGATATCCTTTGCTTTCATGGTTTTCCTTATTAAATAGCAACGATTGGAAACGCTTTAACATTATTATCAAAAGTAGAGAGTAATATTACTACGGGTATATATTATGTATGACGATACTAAGTAATAGTGGTATAGTTGCGGAAAAAGAAGCATAACGGATTCCAGTCTCTTTGCAGGAGCAGGAGAAAAAGAACAAAAAGTGTGTGATTGTGTGTCTTGTGCATACTACATGGTCTCAAAGAAGAGAGAAAGCGACATAAAAAAAGAGGAGTGAAGAGTTAATTTTTCAGGGGCATGGTGATGAATGGGGTGGATGTTCATCATACTTACATGGTACAGGAAGGGCAATTGACCTCATTATCTCCATTATTACTATTAAGTAAGTACAGCTATTATGTTCTCCTCAGAACAATGTGCGGTACGTGAGAAAGAACTTATTCGGGGTACACTTTGAATAGGGTCCATATTTTCATATTCTTTATGCTCTTGTTTATTTACATACGCTGTCTGCCCTGTGCCCTTCTAATATATATAATAGATGACCTTTCCAACGTGTTTCGGCACAGTGCCAACTGCCAATGTATTAAAAAGCGCTGTCGTAGTTTTAAATGAAAGGGACATTCCCTGTGCTAAGAAACACTCGCCCACACTGGCTTTTTCTGTGTAGCTACAAACGATTTCCGAAGGCTCAAATGTGCGTACAGGTAGATTTCCTTCTAGATAATGATGGCGCAACATGTGCAAGGCTAGCCAGCATTATTAATGGTATTTAAAAGACATATATTTCGATAATGTGGACAGTAGTGTAGTAGCTGTTCTTGACACACATAAAGCTAGTGCGTACATAGAGCGATATTCTATACTCCCTTGCAAGATATAGCTTCTAGCAAACATATCTTTTTACTTCGGCTCATGTATAAATGGCGTCGAAACCGTCTCCCCTAAAACATTCACTTCTTGTAAATAGATTAGCCTTTGTGAAACAATGGAAAACGGAGTGTGGTTGGATCATCCAACGTGGCATTGTTGCAGCAGGTTACATATACTACGTGTGCAACAATAGCAGATCCAACCATTCCATCTCTCGTCATTTGCTCATCAATTACTGTAATAATCAAAGCCTCTCTCATCGTTACTCGCACCCAATCCAAAAATAACTTTTTTTTTCTTGCCTATCAGATTTCCTAATTTATATTTCCCATATGCGAGAAAATGATCAATAGAAAGATTACCCGTGATATGTAGTGCATGTCATCAACAACTAGCGACTATTACGTAAAGAAACATGTTGAACACTTTGAATACCTCTCTTGTTAAAAGGTAAAACATTGATGCCAGGAAAACGGGCTAAAAAAGTAACATTTCATTATTGTCATTGTTGCTGTTTCGTCATATTGAAAGCAAAGAAGGAAACAGGGAGAGAAAAACACGCTATGCATAAGGGGGCTAATTAGAGCCTTTCCTCTATTTCTTTACAGCATTTTAGTGGTTTATTTTATGACACAAACTATACTAAGTGTCTTGATGCACGGTCTCAGCCAAGGTCTCAGCCAAGCGGGGAATAGGAGGAGGGGGGGGGTGCAATCTATTCATGCGGAATCCTTCTTCCGTTTCCCGATGAGCCGACTGTGAAAGTTCTTTCTCTGCTAGAGCAAACAAACCCGTCTTATTGCGAGTGCCAGGTTTTGCTGTCAATAATACAAAACACACAAACAAAAAGACAATGGCAAAGGTATCTTGTGAGTGCCTTTGGTGACAATGTAAACGTGTGTGCTAATGATGGGAGTGAAGAAATCAAGGAAGTCCTGAACGTCGTCTGATAGAAGAAAAGAAGCACTGACCCATTCGAGAAGAAAGCTCTTATATATGTGTGTGCTGTATACTATATATTAGCCGGGGTTGAGCAGTGAGCAGATGGGGGAGAGAGAGAGAAAGGATGATAGGGGCGCTAAAATATGCGAGAAATCTTGGATTGGGGTGCCGCAAGGATAATGCTGGCTCTACCTCATCAATCAAGCACAGTAACAAGCCACTTAGAACTGCAGGTAATTGGCTAGTTTTTGGGTGTGTAAAAAAGCTGTGCAAGATGTTCCTGACATTCTGTATGTTCCGGGCAATCTTTATTTTGGATCCCGCGAAATTCCTTGCTTTCCGTCCTCTCTTTTGTTCTTTTATGATAGCACCACTGACCTTGTTCATTTTACCCTTCTATGGCTGGCTTCTCTCGGTTCATTGGGAGCGTCCGTCGCTTCTTTTTTTCTGTTGGAATATTTTTATATGGGTGCTTCTAACCTTTTATCCAGTTCCTCGTTCTCTTGTCTTCTCTTTTTCTTATTTCTTTCTTTTTCTCCGTTACGTCTACTATACGCCAAGCGGTTATCTCCTGGCCCTTCCTCTACTGCCCCCTTTTGTTGTTACTGATCCAGAGGAAACGCAGCTACGAACGAGCACAGACACCTTCCGAAAAAGACTTTGACATGCCATGAACAAGAAACTCACTGTTATCCTGCTGTTTCTGCATTATCATGCGCTGGCTACTACTGCTGCTGCTTTGGACCAAGGAAGCAACAACGCCTGCAGTTGGCCGTGTCCCAACGAGTCGGATGTCTGTCAACTAGCAAAGCCAGGCCAAATGAGTTGCCAGCCTCTCCATAATCGACAGTACGTGATTCTTATCATTGTTCTCCCTCTTTTTTGTCACTTTTCATTTTGTTGACGCCATCACCCTTTTATATGTGGTTATGATAGATGGATTATACCCTATTCTCAAGGCCAACCTGTATTCTACGTCAAAGATCAGTCATCTCTGTCTGGTTTATATCAATCGTGTGAACTCGCGCCATCATTGTCACCATCAACACTACAACCGACCAGCGAAAGCAACCATAACAGTAATAACCATCACTACAACAACAACGACCGTGACCAAGCATTAGAACCAGGCACTTGTGCACCGGGTCTCTCGTGTATCCAAGGTCAATGCCATCGATCATCCTCGACACCTCCCCATTATTTTGAACGTCGCGAAAATGGGAACACTTTTAGCACGTCCTCACACCATACTACTGCATTCAATGTGATCCACGTTATTGCTGCCGTTGTTGGTATTCTCGGTGCTGCTCTTGTCGGTGTCACGGTGTTTGTCATGTGTCGCCGTCGTCGAAGGAAACAAGCGAAGAAGCGCCATCTTAGTGCTACAAAGCAACAGCTACAGCACACAACATCTACTTCATCGTCTTCGTCGTCTGCGTCATCTTCCCCATCTACTACTACGCCTCCGTCACCCACAACGCACAAGTCAATGCACCGTTTCAATCAGTTCGCCCAAGCATATGAAGACAACAGTAATAGCGAAGTAGGGGTGGCTGTGCCACCACACGTTCATCAATCCAAAACGGGCTACGCTGATCAGGAATTCAGTAGTCCGTCTATGCAACAAATGCACTTACATACTCAACTTTTATATCAAGCTGGCGTGCAGAGAGGTAATCTTCACCAGCACCAACATCCACAGCTCCAGCATCACCACCAACATTCACAACACCAACAACAGTCATCATCCTCAGCATTGTTACCGCCTCCACCTCCCTACCAGCCGTAATCACTCGCAGTTCTATACATAACTATGCATTCATTATATATACTTTATTTTTGATAACCTTAACAAGCCATTCATCCAACAAAAACACACTTACATCCACTTTTCCCTCCATTCTTTTTGTGTACATAAAAAAACTTTCTTGTTTTCTTGTATTTTTTCAGAGATACATTACATTAATACATATTAGTACTACTGCTACTCCACATCCCATCAAATATCATTGTCATTACTATAAAACCCGCACCAACCAGCCATCAACTTTCTCTACTAATGCGTTTTCAAATTCAAACCAGAAATGATCTGCACCGGGGATCATTACAGACTCCACGTGCTTTCCTGCATTCTTGATCCAGTTTTGGTACGACCGCACGCCTGTGAACTGGTCATGGTCACCGTATAAAAGAAGTACTTTGCAATCGCTTGTCGCTGTCAGTAGCAACTGATTGGCTTGCTCTGTGAAAAACGAACTTCGTACGGTAGCAAGCGCCCATTGGACACTTAGGGGATAGCTGATCAATAGATAGGAACAAGGGATAAGATTGTCATGTGGCATGGATGCTGCTATCATGCTTCCGAAAGAGTAGCCCTGAAAAAGAAGGGCATCATTTTAGACACAGTTACTTGAAAAACATTATAGAGTCATTGTAGGAATCTGTTGCTGCTTACGCTTATAAGTAAATGTGAGAGTTTACGTGGTCCTGAAGTTTTTATATACTGTATAACTCCTTCATAATCTCCACGTTCGGGCACACCAGTCCAACTTGTTCGGCCTTTGGAACGTCCGCATCCTCTACGTGATATGAGATTTCACCATAAGCTATTGAAGTTCTTCTTAAGATAGTGTGTCCTCGTATATTGAACTTGCCTAAAGTTAATGCACGCAGTAATAAAACCCTTGCTGGCAAAATACTTATGTAACGCAATAACCACATTGTTATGCATGTTACCGCCTTGTAGTTATAGTAGATTGATGCAATGATCCGCACATTAACGTTGGTTGTTCTCGGCTGAAGTACAATCTTCCTTTTGTTCCTGCATTATTTACCAAGCGGCCCGTAGGGATGGGCTAAAATAACGGCAGGTGCAGTGTCACCGCCATTTCCGCTATTGCCATGGAAAGTGATTTTGGTTTCAATAGGAGTTTTGTCATGACACGACTCGACAAAAACAACTTCTGAAGGCATAACTGAACGAAAGTTAGAGGAGCGGAAACGCGCGTGGGTGCGAGAAATAGTCAAGAGTTAAAAAGAAAATTATTAATACACGAGAGGGAGAAAAATCAAGATAGAAATAATACTACAAAGTATGATTGGAGGAGGTTATTAGTGTGGAGGAAAGATAATCGAATATACTACTCTTGTTGGTACAATTACAAAAAGAAATAAGAAAATAATAATTAGTACGTAATAATAAATAGGAACGAACAAAAGGAGAGCTAAAACCGCTCAGAATCGACATGACGATTTCTAAAGAAAAAATAGGTATCTAATTGATAGATGATTTCTTGACACGGCAAAGACACTCCTTGAAGGTTATCATGCTGATGTTTGTGCTGTTGTTTCAACTTCATGTGACACCAGGTACGACCGTCAAGTAGCCAGTTCATGTACTGGCTTTCACGTAGATCCATATCGACCTTGTTTAGCAGCTTGAATATCATCAGCAAGTCGTGTCGCAACATAGCTAACCGGTCACGGCTCGTATCAAGATCAAACGCAATTTGGCGATAGCGATCCATGCTCCATCGATAGCCTTGTAGACCATTCTCCTGTCCAGCAGTTGTCGTTTCCAAAAACAATCGGAAGCTTTGATATTAGAAAATAAAGTAATAACCATGTTCTGTTAGCACTAGCATCGCAATACCTACAACCGATGAAGCGTCGCACAATACCTTTCTGAGTCGGCATAAGGAGGCTGAAGGTTGGAATAGAGAATACCCTGTTCCTCAAGATCACGAAGATAGACTGCCTTACGATCCACTACAATGGTAGTTGTGTCTGGTGAAACTGGAGCAGCAGCACTGTAAGCCGCCGCTGTCGTATCATTTTTAGCAAGAGCTATGGTAGTCGAATCAGTTGGACGAGGGATAGCAGCAGTGGAAGAAAAAGCCGAGAAACCTTTGGCCCAAATTACTGTTTTCCATAGTCCAAAAACTACCCAGATAAGTGCAATAACCAACAAGAAAACGCGAATAGGAAGGATACGACGTTTTGATTGTTGTACTTGTCGGTCTGCTGATGCCCTTCTGGATCGCTTTCCGCCTGTGCTATTGTTACTCCTGTGGCTGCGGTTGCTTGATCGGCGGGTATGCATTGGAGGCGGTTTCAAGTACGTATTGTTTCGTTCGACTGTCGTCGATGTCTTCTGTTGAGCATTAAGCATCTTGTTGTTGTTGTTGTTGTTGTTGAGACCCGTAGGAGCTTTTGCATCATCAAATTGTAGTTGTTGTGTAGTATTTGACTTTACAGGATGTTGGAGTATGGAGGGTATAGCGCGAGGAGATGTTGAAGCAGTGTGTTGTGATTGCAATTTTTGGTGAGGTTGGTCTTGACGACGCTGTTGGTCATCACTGCTACTGCTACTACTGTCTGCTAGCGCATTGTCTAGTGGCTCCATAACCTCAGCAGGGTATGTCGTCTCACTAGCAGCAGGGACCACGAGACGATCTTCTTGTCTGCCAGTGGATTTGGCATACGTTTGTAGCTCTTGCTGATATCGTTCTTGCTGTTCTTTTCGTTCGGCCTCTACACGCTCAGCCTCGGCATCGGCAGCATCCTCCAAAACGGGTATGAACACCTTGATACTATCTGCCATGCCCTTCATTGCAGCTCGAGTGACAATGGCTAAATAGTATTATAAAAGAAGATCAAATTATTATTTTAGTAAATGAATGTTCCCGACAACTGCATTTGGATATGAAGGCTTTTCATACTGGCATCATTTACCTCTTACAAGCACTCTCTGCACCCATGCAACACCCAAATGAATGGATAGTTTGCATCTCGACTTGTCAATCCATGTGATACAATATCGTACTGTTGGGATAAATGCATCAGCATATGGTAAAGCAGCTGTTCGGGTGGAGATTTGGACAACATAACAGCTGTAAAAATTCGATTAGTTAGCTTGATGGTATATTTCAAATTTAAGCGGTATGAATTATCCATTGTTGGAACCATTACCGATAATCATCTTTTCTGTGCAAAACTTGTGTCTCTACTACTTCTGCTTCGTTCATACGGACTATAAAGTAATTGCACATGTAAGTTTGAGAGAGGGAGAATCGTTTACATCACGAAAGAAAATATGACATTTTAAAATCGCTAAATAATATTTTTCTTTCTTCTTACCAATTGGATTAGATACGGGCATGATGTACTTGAGAGTTCGCTTAGTCTGACCGTCGGCATTATACCAGCAACTCACTCGTAGATCTAGTGGCAGCAAGTTATCAATCAGCACCTTGTTTTAACAAGTCAATAAATACATGAGCCCAAGGTCAAACTTTACCATGGCCTTCCGTTCCAGTTGCTTTTCCTAACCAAACACCGCCATCGGATGGAGAGGCATTTGCTTCATCCGAAAACATGATATTATACAATCGTTTGGCAGATATAGGGAACTCGATTTCTGTCTCCAATCTGTCCAAATGATCATCACATTCACATGCCATCGGTCCACCTGGTGCCTTGATATGCGAAGGAACCTCGTCGGCTGAATAACAATTTGAATAATCGAAATGTTGTCAACTACAAAGGCGCAGGATGATGCAACTTTTTACTATATAGAGCACTTACGATCCGCTGGTGGAGATGGTGGAGGGGGCGGAGGAGGTGGAGATGGAGCTGCTGGTTTCGCTTTGACCGTATTACTGTTCGCTGTTGTTTCTACAGGAAGTAAAGTACCGCCAGAGCTATAACTATTGAGCGAATCGCCCCCACGTTCGTTTGGCGCAACTGTTAATTTGTTTTCTTCGCCAACAATAGGTGGCTCGTTTGGTTTTTTCGATGCAATCACGGGGCGTGTGGATCCAAGTGCTCTGAAAGACAGTCGCTTTCGTTTCTTTTTGGTTTCTGATACAGAGTTAAGCTGATTAACAGAAAGCAGTGAAGAAGATCGATTACGTTGACTTTGCGACATGTGTACAATCTTGGCATGAATGTTACGAAGTTGCATAGGCTATTCATTTGAAAAAGCATAATTTCCGGTTAGACACCCTTCAGGTACTGCTCAATTCTAAACGGATGAAACGGTAGAGAAAGGGTGTGATTTATGCATACCTCGTCACTCTTTGCATTGTTGATAGCAAAGCGCAATTTTTCGGCCAATGTGTTAATTTCTTCGTTGGGGATACTGAAAATGAGAGGGCTGTGTATCGATTTGTTGCTTGGGTCCGATACTAGATCGATCACTAATACTTGGTTCTTGTCCATTTTGACAGAGGGATCCCGCATAACCCGCACATTTTCGATTGATGTCAACTTAATAGCCACCTACAAGATTATACCCCGTCAATAAGTTTTCTTTAATCAGATATCATGAAAAGACACAACATACCGAGTTGACACATGCTATCATGGTGAAACTGTAAAACCATAACGTGCTTTGCGTGACGAATGCCTTTCCACCATATCCATAACCAAATTCAGAAGGTGGTGCAGAGTTCAAAGTAGTGAGTTGCGCAATCAACTCCCTGTCAAATGAATCGACAGATACAGTGTCTTGTTTCTCTTCTGGAGGCTGTAAAGGATCTTGTCTTCGTCGAAGTACGCCAACAAATACTTAGAACAAAGATGTTAATATCAAGGAGCAAAATTATTTCTTCGATTCACAATAGAGGTTTCTTTACCATCCAGAACCACTTCTTCCGGCCTAACACCACCAAACATCTTGCGCAACATTTCATTGTCTTCTTGCAACCCGTAGTTGACCATATCCACATGAAGGCTAGAGGTGCTGTCTTGTGCTAAAGGCCATAGTACGCCCGTCTTGTCGGTTGGCGTCATTGTTCCTGAGCGGACTGATGCCGTTCGTTTATCGGCAATAAGCATCGTGCCCAAAACCGGCCAAGGCACACCCCAAAGTGAATCAGGTACCTGAACACTCTGAATACTCCTTGATCGAGCCGCTTCCCACACAAGCACAGGACTGAGCGACATACATGTCATGAGTGATGTGCCATGGTTGGACAGAGAGTTCGAAACATAGGCGACTGCTGATGGAGAAGCGGACGTTGCTTCAGGTTGAGTTGACGGTAATGAAGTACGAGAGGTAGAGAAGATTAAGCCGCTAATACTGTGCAACTTTGTATTGTCTGGTAAGGTGTTGTACATGGGCGTTGTTGATGTGCTAAGCGTGACAGGAATATCTTTGGGTGTTGTAACTGTTGTGGTCGACTTGGCTTTATAAGATCTCGTCCTACTACTTGGTGACCTTGCAGTTAGCGAGCTCGTGGACGGTGAGGTAGAGCAGTCACTGGAAACTGATGATTGCTGAATGGAATCGACGATCGAAGAATCGTCACGGTACCTGTCGGATGGTTCATCGCCTTCAGGCCGTCGGATCCAGTTCAAACAGGATACCCAGTTGCGCAAATCCTCCGCCGTTTCCGCTTGCAAAAGGTATGTGCCTCTATAAGATAAGGGCATTGTACCGGATTAGTCTTTTGTCATCTATCCACTCCAAAAAATCATGAACGTACTGCGAATGTTTTAGCTGGAAACAAAAACGTCGCTCCCCCTCGTTGACAAGTTTCAATTCGCATGATGCCATGGAGATCTTTTCCTCGACTGTTACCATGGCTCGTCCCGGTTTGAAGCTCACGGTACACCATCCGAAATACTCATTATAGACAAAACACCATCGACGTGCCCAAGTGTGTCGCGAGACACGCAAAAACAGGTAGCCCCACTTGCATGCTGGCGTTGATTTAGTTGCCTTGTTGCTGCTGTTGTTACTGTTGGCAAGATGACCATTGATAGCTAATGGCGATGACGATGGCGTGTAATAGCTTAGTTCCTTGCGAGGTTCAGTGAGCTTCAGGTATTCGGCTTCTAGTCTTTCTCGGACTAATTGCATTTTTCGAAGCTCATATATACAAGTTTGCTGATCCTATTGATTTATGCGTTGTTACTATGACTTTGCCATGTGTGCCACAATAAAAAAGAGAGAAAAAATGTCTTACATCAATCAACCATTGTCGCCAGCCAGTGATACTAGTATGTATGTGATTCCAAATTTGTGCTAGATCTTCAAAACTGTTTTGCGGTTTGGATGTTGATGAAACTCGCTCAACTAAAAGATTTGCCAACAAGCCGCGGAAATTGACCACGCGGACCGTATGTTGACCCGATAACTGAATATATTCTTTACGAGCGTCATGAAGCCGTTCAGCTTCATCGCGTAGCATAACTGGGTCCTTAGTTTTACCGAGTGCCGCATATTTTTGTAATTGACTTTCATATCGATCCAAAGCCTTATCATGTTGTTTCCGAAACTCCTGCATAAACAGTGCTTTCCATTTTAGTACGAGAGAAAGTGCGGACCCTCGGGTAACTATCCTCACATCTTACCTTAAAATCTTTCAAGTACGTTTTGGAAAGTTGGTGTAAGGGTTCGATGTAAGTCGTTTGGATGTCGAGCACCTATTTGAGTACATAGAGGTTATTAATTACCATGGAATTCTGCCCGCCAAAACCTCAGCGCGGTGTGTTCGGCCGGGCATCAACCCCGTGTTTTTTGGTCATTTAATTAGTTTATCGTCGGACAAAGGTTCGCTCCGTCAAAAACGGGCGGCTCATTACCATTTTAGTTTGGCAAGCAATTGTTGATTGTAACGCCACAGAAAACCGATTAAATGCCGGATTGGTCAACGAGGATGCTATTCCGTAGATGATTGTATTTAGCACATATCAATTGAGCCTCTAAACTTTTCAAATACATATATACATTGATAGTTTTTGACTATAAGTAGTAGCTATAAGCATTTCTTATACCTATCAAGCTGTCATCCATATTAGCGGGTGGTTTGACCTTTTCACAGATGGCGGCAGTATCTAAATTGAATTCTGAAAAAAGTAAAAACGAAGGGTATAAGCATGCTAACGTAAGCTGAATCGTCGCGTTTGTGTGTACGTGGAGTCGTAAGTGATTACTGTTTAGTTTATCCAGGTACTGTTTGAACTGCGAGGAGAGTGTCGCCAGCCATTTGTCGAATAAATCGAGTTGTTCATCCCAATGAACCACATTGGCCCTGTATATGGGTGAATCGGTTATAGCATCATGTGCTGTAATTAGTGTTGGAAAGGGAGAGGAATGGTTTGCTGAAAGCATTTAGAAACGATTCATTCGGGGCAAGCAAAAAGAAAGAGGGAGGTTTTACTGCTTTTTCGGTTGTATGTATCATATTCAAGTTTAAAGGCAGCAACAAAGTAGGAACTTGAACTTGGTCACACCTCGATCCATGCGCAGACATTGCCTTTTTCAAATCAACCGATTATACATCTATGCTAGCATCGAATATGTTGTAAAAAGTATGGAATTCTCAAACATCAGGATTTAAAATGTATCGAGTACTGGGTGCTCACATCTGAGGGTTGTAGCTACATTTGTTAGGCTTGCATTCAACGGGGACTGTAGAAGCGTGTAAAATAATCTTGTAAACACGATAATTATCGAATCAATTCTTGCATTAGGTCTCAAGCTTCGTGATCCTCCATTTCCACGTAGCCAAAGATATTTATGCAAACAAACATTACTCAATCTTTGCCTTCACCAGACCCCTCTGGCTCATCTTGGCTGAGCTTATTGATTTCCATCAGTACAATGTCCCCAACTTTTGTAGAAAACTTCTACTGTGTACAGTATGTACACAAATTGAACGCATGCGTTTTTTAAGCTTTTCAATGCTACCAGTAAAAGGTCGGCTGCAGTGTTTTGAAAATGCGCAATTAACTTCAAAATCTCGGCTGGGCAAGATGCCATGCATTATTGTTTACAAAGAATATGGATATCGTCCTATCATGTATGCTTCATGATTCGTCTTGTATGAAACAGATTGGAGGAAAATGTGCGCTATAGCATTTAGGAATATATGATTGCTGATTGATGCCAAAAAGCTGGCTGCAGTAATAGTCTTTGGCTGCATGATAGAGGACCTTCATGAATAGCAGCCTGTTTCCAGGGCTTCCACTTGTTACTTCAGCGGCTTTTTTTTTCAACATTCATTCTCCATTATTAGTACTTCTGGTCGTTGCAAATCGAAAAAATAGAATATGGTGGTATTAACAAGTAGCTTCGACGTTGATAGCTCGTTTTATTGAAGCGCATCAAAAACTGACAAAGATCGTTAAAGACAGCAAAATCAGCGTTGATCTTAGGCGAAAGCACATGACTCAAAGCTCACCAGCATCAATACTTGTATAGCAAGCAAATAGTTTATACTTTGCCCGTTTTCAATCATCTGCACCCCACCTGGTAAAAGAACGAACAAAATAATTCAGTAATCCCGTTATATACACTTAGGAATCTAGTGGTTTCGTCGACTAGTCGACATGATGGTTGTAGTTCTCTGGCTACGCGATGCAAACATTGCAGCGCTGCCTTATAAATACATTTATACTTTGAGGTTAAGTTAATTTTTTCAGCTACAGTATTGACGTGAGTCAGCAGGAAGCAAAGGTAGTCTAGGAACGAGGAGCTCAGGAAGAGCGCAACACAGATCTTTCTTCTTTGGATAGTGACAAGTGATGCGTGTGTCAAACCTCGAACGTTCCAACAGCTTTCCCTTGAAACGAAAACTCCGTAGAGTGAAAGCGCATTGTTACGCAACGATTTGGCCAATTTACTTGGTACTCAAAGTGCACAAAGGAATGGCGGGTGAACAAGGTGATCAATGGAGCAACGAGTTACGCGCAAAAGGGTCAAAAGATGTACAGTAGGAAGTCATCGTTTATGGTGTTATTCTTCTGATCGTCCCAATGGATCTTGAAAGCTGCTAAAAAAAACGTAGAACCCGCACAAAAACAAACGAACCGATTAACTTTATCAGCAGCAATGAAAATCAATGAAGGGTGAGTCAGTTTCACTAGCGGCAGCGTATACTTACCATGAGCGGTCAGCTTATCTGCGGCAGCACACTTGGATAGAGTATGAATTCGGAATGGATGGAGGGAGGTTACACGGCGTAGTTCAGAGAACTGTTGGCGGATGGCGAAAATTATAAAGCAACAGTAGACAAGCACGCTTCACAATAAAAGATAACGATCTTTGATACACTGCAGCGTTGGAGTCAAGTGTGTGTTGTATCTATTCCCGCACACAGCACATGCAATCAAAAGATACTAATCAAATGGAATAGTCTGTGGACTACGCTCTATACTCATGCTGTTTACCTTGTTGGGTGAAGAATAGAAACTGGCTGCTGGGAGGATCGTGTTCTTAATGTTTACTAATGCTGGATCAGGAACAACTGATGCCGTAGAATCTGTTAAGTTGTTTACCTTGTCAATCACTCCTGTATTGCCATTTGATTGCTCACAGAAAAGCATTTCTTCCGTGAATCTACATGCTCATTCACATTCGTGTCTTTGTTTTCGCTTGACACGGTGCCGTGCACGGACTTCTCACAACCAAGCGGCGACAGCATCGGAGGTACAGCAGCCCATGGTGAGAGACACGTACCACTACCGCCGAAGCACGCTTGTCTACTTGACCATCAGGTACCACTCCTCCTTTCATTTCCTTTGGTGCTGTATCTTTTGTTATGCCATAGTAGGCAGCCCACAAGTTGATACGCAACCCGTTATCTGGGCCAATGAGAATTCACGGGGATTTGAAGTCCCGAACGAGAAAAATGTCTATATAAAGCGAGCAATTTCGCCTTTCTTTTTTCTCTTCTCTTCAGTTCGTTTTGGTACGGCTTTGGTCTGTAGTACAGATGCACTGTGTGGTGCCATGATCAGGTCATTGCTTGTGCTGGCTATTGTCATAATTCTTTTGATGATCGGCAGATTCAGTGGTCCGCCCTGAAAGAAAATTTGCAATATATACCAGTGGGAATGTGGTCATATACTCCGGCAGCCGATCGTGAACCTTCGGGTGCATGTGATGCCAACGGTATATGTTGGGATAATTGAAACGAACTTTTTTTTTATTATTTATTACACACAAATAAGAAAATGATAAACAAAATAAAAATATATTTTTCTTTTTCGCACTTTCCGCATAAACGTTTTACCGCTTTTGCCTCGCCTTTTTTTTATGTGCACGACAAGTTCCTTTTTCTTTTTTCGCGAACAAAAAGCTAATTACTCCCCCCTCCATCCATTCACAGCTCCGTGCTAAACAAAGCGGGGAACAGTGACAGTGGCTCTGTATCGTAGCCGAAAGTAACACGATCACAATGCTTTGGCACTCTTTTTCACTTTCTGTGTTCGCCTAAATTGCCAAAGCAATTGTCAAGAAAAAAATTGTTATCGAGGATATGGTCGGTTATTTTATAAGAGGCAACGCCAGAGCATACGCCAGCAGACCTGTATAATTGTCAGATCTGTAAAAAATTGGAATGTTTTTTTTTTCAGCTGTTCGTCTCTCTCACTCTTCCTGCACGTAGCTTATCACAACACAATTTTCTTATCATTTTGGGTTTCACCTGGATCGAAAAGCTTGCACTGATCTTTCCGATGTGCCTGCTTTTAAAGCGTGATTCTTGTAACAGCTCTTTCCCTCCCCTTACACCTTCACTTCTCTCTTCCTTTTCTTATTTAACTTTACTTCGTTACATATTTTCAAGGTATGCGTTACCTATTTGAAAGTGATGATCGCTCACCAAAGATATCAGGGGGACCTGTTGAAGATATGATATATTTGCTCTACCAAAACATGCACGCACCCACACACACAGGGATGCTGTGTTTTCCAGGCCAAGCGATTGGTTACTAATATATGACTTTTGCGGCTCGCAAACAATAAACCCGAGTATTGATTGAAGCCTTTTCCTTCGTATCGAGAAGTCGATGGTTTTAGAAAGAGCCTGTTCTAATGTGTATCTGCGTATCGCTATGATAGCATAGATTTAATGAAGTTATGGTGGTTACAATAGATCAATCTTCAGGGTCCCCCTTTTCCAAATAAAATTCAGGTGAGCTACCTGGTTCGACTTGCTTTTCCTTTGTCGGACATATTATTTCACGAGTCCGGATTATGTTATACAGGCTTTGTTCGATTAAAAGCCTCGTGCCAAATTTCTTTTCGCGCGTCCCCTTTCACATACACGTAATACGACTGATTTGATCTCGATTTTGCCTCCCGAATGATTCAGTACATCTTCTCGTTTATCGGACAGCGGGCTGTGTCGAATGTGTGAAAGTATGTCGCCGCTGGTTATACGCGATCCCCACTTACCAGACAGCCCTGTGGACACTGGTGGGAATCTCGCCTGATGCATGGAACAAAAGGAGCGACGCGATGCTTCAATGTTTGGGACAACAAGTCGAATCAGTATACATCAAATCTCAAGCCACGTATAAAGTACTGGAACGACTTGCTTGGCGAAGATACAGCATTCGCTTCCTTGGTGAAGTAAAACGATACTCTTTTTTTTTGCGTTAAGAGGATCGCGTATTCGGTAGTACTTACTACTGCTTATGCGCAAAAGATATACTAAAGCTTTTTCTTTGTTTTCAATAAAAAAAATAAGACATCAGCAACCATGTGCATAGCAAACAATTACAACCTATTTTCGACAGTAGCACGTTACTGCCAGGATTCATCAGATATTTCTCGCATACGCTAACTGCTCTGACGATTTCATTTCACACTTGCGATATCTCGCTGCCAATGCTACTGGACTTCTTGCCGTCATTAACGCATCTTTCAGTGATGTTTGATGGCCGCACTAACTTATCAGACGCTACTCTTGAACAAGTTGATGGCAGAAGCAGACACAAAAGGCCACCGATACACAACATTATCTTCTTAAGACTGGACGGTGTTCTCAGTTTTAAATACCGGATCCGTCCCTTATTGCAGCGTTGCTCCCACATCAAGTACTTGATATTATCGCCTTACTCACGATTCAACAACGTATCTCCAACCAACATCTATACAGCTTATGAGCTGTGCCCTCTATTACGCTACATTATGTGGGAATGCAGCGAACCAGTCATAGCAGACAGATGGATTTCACTATCAAGAAGCACGAGTGCTTATATTAAGTAACTGAAAGGAAAGCATCGAATGATGGCGAGGAAGGCAGTATGGCTTATGAACTGCTATTCAACGGCAAGGGACACGAGAGGATCATGCCGATAGTAGTAAAATCGCAGCCGATACTAGAACATTTACGTATAGTCGCCTGTGGTCTTTCTGATATTCATTGCTGGGATGTCTTGGCACGCAACCAATTCACACAGCTGACAAGTTTGGGGTTGACGGACATCACTGGTATGTCAAGCGAAGATTGGTCCCAGATTTTGCTCATGCAGCAACAAAATGAGATCTTGGAAGTTGGAAATCGCGCTGGAATAACGCAGTATCTGAACAGCATTATCGCAACCATCGGTACGCTGCAACGGCTCCGTATACTTTCCTTGCGAAATTTCCTTCACATGTTCAGCGAGAATCCTCTTTGCGATCTTACTCCGCTTCGACGTTTGCAACAGCTTGAAAAAAATGCGTCTCACGAACATACCCATCGACAACCAAGGTCTAATGCAGTTGTGCGGACCATCACAGCACCCACTAGTCAGGAGATTAAGCTTGAACCCGCACATCACCGTACAGTAATAGTGTCGACGACTTTCTCACAGAGGCAGGATGGATTGTGTGGGCACAACGACTTGAGGAAACCAAAATACTGAATCTGGAACTGACAGCCGTGAAAGGTGTTACTGGTGCTGTCCTTGAGCATTTTGAACAAGTCGAAAGCTCGGTGCTATTGCGTGTTTCACGGATCTATAGTCTCACCAATGCAGGCATCAATGCTTTTCGTATCATTGAAGGATCTAGTAAAAAGATTGAAGTCGTGGGGTGTTCAGGATTATCTCGGACAGATGATCTTCGTATGCCATACAACATATTTTTAATAATTGAGTACCATTGCGGTGATATTTGCAGTCTGGCTTGTACTTTTATTTATAATGAGTTGATAAACAATATTGGCAGCATGTTTAATTAATCAGTTTTCCAGGTTGGATTGTTGTGATATCTGTATAGTCAAGCATCGATTTGAAATGTTTACATATACACTTACTAGATCCAGGATTGATGGAAAGGCAGCACGATGTGGATCTGGTCGGCAGCGAGTCTGGTGCCCTTTCAAACCTGAGCGAAAGCAAGACTAATTTTTTTTGGTTACCCTATGCTTTCCTTATATATCAGAAATGCTTGTGTACCTCTTTTCGTCACAAAAGGGATCACCTCGCACTCTATATGATATAGTCTCTGTGACAGAAGAGAGAAAAAAAAATGAAGTGAGAATATTCTTTCTTCCGTTGTTGAATAGAAAGACCATCGTCGCCTCCTCCCCTCTCCCTTTATGACAAAAAAAAAGCAGTCTGTATGCTGTATGTATGCGCATACGCGCGTTCCTGTTCATGTCGGGCAGTGGATTTTTAATGCCCGGTATTTGGATTTCACTGGCCAACGTGCTGCTGCAACTATACTCGAACCGCTTTGAGAGTTATACTACGCAGAGGACTTATTGGAGTCAAGTTTACTGACAAAGGTCAATATTTATGGTAAGCGGGAACATTATCATCTTCCACATGCTAGGATATATACGGGATCAAGAACATCTTGAAATATAGCGATTCCCGGAAAGTGTTCCTCATATTTTCTGGGCAAATTCTAACTACAGTACTTTGTCTGTTTAAACTCTATATGTAACAAACTCTAGCAGTTGTTCAGTAAATGAACCCAGTGTCTTAAGCTTGATGCTTACCAAACGAACAACAATACGATAGCAAGCTCAAAACGCCAGAGAAAAGGCAAGCCTGATACAAGACGCTGGGGTGCGCGAATTTTTACGTACTTCCATTTTCGGCGATTGCAGGTAAAGCAGTCGCTCTGGCAGGAAAACCGGTCTCTCTTTTCTGAGCGCGTTCCTTGACTACTTACACTCACTAGTCATACAATCATACTAACACCAATTTTTACGTACATCAACCTTTACGTACCTTTAAAACATAGTGTGGGCTTTCTTGCCCTTCCGTGAAATTTGATTATATATACAAAATCTTCAAAGTAATAACAACAACATGTATGGTCCTTTTAGCGCTCAAGGTACTTAGAAATCATATACAGCAGGTACGTAAAATCGGAAGTATGTAACTCCAAAATGAGGAGTACGTAAAATTTTATAGGTTAAATATACAGCGCGAGAACTGATTTACTGTAAGGTGCGAACAGGGACAAGACAACACAAGGCCAGAAACACCGGACGAGAATGTGCTAGGTGCTTTCGGCAAGAACAGGACAAGACAAGAAGGAAGCCAGAAGGTAGGAAACCAGATAGTGAGGGAAGAAACAAGAACAAGGTATAGGGAGGAAACAAGATAACTGACTGATGTTTTATCGTTCAAAGACTTTGATATAATATATATATGTCTTTACTATAGAATTCAATGATGTGAATAAACGGAAAGATTGGTATTAAGGTCGATAATTCGGATGATGATGATAGATGGGGATTTAATATGTCATCAACGAGGTTGAGGATGATCACTTACTAGAGGTCGAAGAATGTTTATAACATTTATGTACTTCGGTGGCCAAGTACGTAAATTTTTGCATAAAAAGTAAGGTGAAGTACGTAGAAAATTTACAGTAGCCATCGTAGCTGCGACGGTTATACAGAGTCAAAGTATGATAGGCTACATCAATGGTAGCTATTTGTATGATCTACTCAAACGAGGCACAAAAAAGACAAGAAGTACGTAAAATTCCAAATAGGAAGTACGTAAAATTTTATAGTACAAATATACAGCGTCAGAACCGATTTACGTACTTGAGTGGCTAAGTACATAAAAACTTGGAGGCTAAGTACGTAAAAATCCAAAAAAGGAAGGTGAAGTACGTAAAAATTTACAGTACCCAAGACGCTGGAGTGCTACTGTGTGCTGTCAACCAAGATATAAACATCACCCTAGTAAGCTTCCTGGATCCCAACTCCGCTCAATGGATTGGATAGCATTGTAATACCCTGGATGTCTAGATTATATAACTAAAGTCATCCTGGCAATAGCAACATAGAGAGCAAAAGCTAGTTCAGTCTTCCTTACTCTCAAAGAAAGAAAAAAAGAGATGCAAACGAATTATTGAAAAGTAATATGCAAAAGGCAACCATGACTGAATCAACCCACACTTGTGACAAGCATTTACAGTAGCGCTGACTTTCGTAGTGCCATTGGGATCAAAATAATCTGGTCACATCTAGCACACGGTACTCTATTTGATAAAACCGTTGCACGATAACAAACAGTATGATTATATTATGATACTGAGTTGTTTTTTATTGTCAGAGATATCGTAGCAATTTAGTAAGAGGCACATCGTCATGTTTCTCAGATACGCCTTTTCCTGGTATGCATGTAAAGTGCATGCGTTCAGAAGTGCCAAAGAGGGCGCGTACTTTTAGGGGAGATGTTGCGGTAATAGTTGTCGTTTGTTGGTTGGTTATTCGTTCTAAGCTGGTAACTATATGGTCACGATATATTGGACAATGTGCCTTTCCCACCCAATCAAAGCTACGCAATTGCTGCTTGCTTAGTGGCCCGACGATATTATCAATGCATTGCTGGAATTGGATTTCGGATACATTATAGAGCATGAGGTAACATAATTGTACTGGCTTTTGTGCAGCAAAGTTGTACAGTCCCTCGGCTGTCACAGAAAGACAATTGCAGAGTGCAAAGTTTCGTAACAGGGTCTGATTTGCTCCAATAATCGACAAAGCTTCGTTGTCCAAAACCCTTGCACCATCCAAATAAATGTCGATAAGCTCGTTGCGTGTACTTAAAAGCCTCCTCATTGCGCCCAGCGTAAACCGGTCTCCACAATGCGCTGCAACCAAATGAAACTGTCGTAACCGGGTAGCATGGTTGGTGATAGCATTTATCTCGACGTCGGTAATGCTGATATTGTTGAAGACAAGTGATTCGAGCCTAGTGCAGTTGCGGACGATGACTTCAAGATCGATCCCGACATCTGACAAATTTGTGCTCGACACTCCATGGAATCCAAGTTCGCGCAAGTTGCTCAGTGAGTAGAGTTGCTCTGTGACAGCGGATGCGGGACCACCCTTGGCAGCACCGATTAATCTAGGCCGGATTTGTAACGTTTCTAGCGTGTCGCAATTTTTATGTAGAAGATTTACTAGATCCTCGTTGGATCCAAAGTCACGCATTGCCTGAACCAGTAAATTGAGATCGACGAGCCCCTGTTTACTTGCAGGAGTTACCGTTGCTGTTGACGCTGCTGTCATATTGTCAGGTTGTCGAGCGAAAGACATCTGTTCTATGTTTAAGCATGGACCCAGGTCCAAAGTCTTAAGCTTGGGACAATGAAGCTGTATCGAGCGGATTAAGTTTTCGAGCAGGCTGATAAACGAACAGCGGATGGTAATATGCTTTATGGAAGGAAACTGTTGCCAGAACGAATCGGGAAAAAAGTCGAGTAATGTAGTTACGAGGACCAAACGCGTGATATGATAACGGGGCTGTGCCATTGGTACCGTTTCTAGCTTTTCATAAGAGATCACTTGTAGTTCGTTTCTGATGCCATTATCGTATTGCTGCTCAACTGTTATCGTCTCGTCGCTATTATGGACTTGCCGACCTGCGCGTTGTGGTAAAGCCCTGGTACTGGGCGCAATGTTGCTAAATTTAGTCGAATCAAACTCCAAGGTAATCAGTGACGAGCATATGTTAACAATGGCAATCACTATCCACGGCCGGCCGCATTGTGCTACTATCCGCTTGAGACTGTGCTGGTTGCTTTCAAGTGCACGAAAGAGTGCGCATCTTGTTCCATTATGTTCATCAATGTCTACAAGGAACTCTAGTCACATACATCGATCACGTGCATTCATAGCATTAGTATCACTAACTGATTTATTGAACACGTCCAGTACTAGAACAACTAAACAGTAGCAATTTACCAAGTCTTTCAATACGGGAGCATCGTGCCAAGAACTGAAGCACGTGACGCGATACGAGCGCGTTACAGCTCTGACTTATTGAGACCTCACGAACGTAAGTCGGGTCGATACGCGCAAGTTGAAGCTCCAAATTTTCTGTCGTTATACCGCCGACAAAATCAAGCTCGTGCCACATGGCTGCCGTCAGGTTGTTGTATAAATGGCTCCGCCATGTTTGACAAGCCGCTGTGCATTGTAATTTGTCCCGGTAAGATAGCCACTTGAGAATTTTGGCAATTACTTCCTGAGGCAACTTTTTGAATATTCCAGCGTTGTTTCTATCAATCTCAACTTGTAGGTCGGCTAATCGTTGATGCAGTGCTTCGACTTGATTATTTTTTGTTGCTGATTTGTCAATGCTGAGCTTACGTACACCGGTTTTGTATATGCGTAAAGCGTCAGTCAAGCGCCCTTCGGAACTGAGCAATGCTCCGGCGCACAGGTACCCTTCTGGAAACATAGGATTCATATCAATGATCTGGTATGCGTCCATTAGACCGTTGTCAATGTTTCCTTGAATGCCACGAACGATGGCGCGATTAGATAAAATCATGGACATGGCGTGAGTGATGGCTTCCATGGCATCAGTTAAATCTTGCTCGGCATCTCGGAGATTGCTGATCTTGAAAGCCGACTGAGCCTTTTCGTATAGTTTTTGAATGGAACTGCATGGTATTTCACACTCGTTGAAAACCAGTTGAAGGTTTGGTAAAGTCATCGGTATTGGCAATTCTTTTGGGCCTAGAGTACGAATATGAGAGGGGTGCTCCGGTAAAAAAAAGGAGGTTGAATATTGTGTGGCGCGTCATGACGATATGGGTATCAAAACGTTCATATGAACTAAGCCGTATAACATGATTGGTTTGGACTGGTAGGCGTTCATTACATTATTGTGGCACCTGAAATCTATTTCGTTGCTTACATATTCCGCGGATCGTAAATATAACTACGTGTTCTCATATGCACATCATCAATGGATTTGTTTTAGGGGTGGCTACTTAGTAATATCACTTACGTCACGTACTGAGTGCATCCAAAAAAGCAATAATATATGATGAGCCACGTCCAAGCACGATAATCGAGTAACAATATGTTTATTATATCGTGATCACTACGATTTCAAAAGATGAATACTTGCCAACTCCTACCACTTGATTTGAACGGGACTCTGAGAATGCCTGAAACGTTATATCTTCCTGGAGGGTTGCAAGCAAGACCTATACCATTGCAATACCCGCACGCGTACATATTCATGTCAAAGAGGATTACACTGGCGCAGCCGATTTTACTCTTTCCACAACTTGGAACTGTACTCGCTTTTCGCTTGGGTCTTTCTGTCATCCCCTGAGTGTCATCAATCGCCCGCAATGGCAAGTCTATGCGATGCAGTGCTTGCTCCCTTAACAAATCCTTTCGAGCTTATTAAAACTCAATTTGGATGAGAGTAAGAACTTGGGAAACTAAAGCTATGAGCCATTTTTATGATTTTGCATACATACGTAACTCTGGTGACTTAGCCTGGAAGAGAGTCTCTGCATACAAGTATGACGATAGCGGGCCCATCAAATGCCCCGGGTTATTAGACACTCGAAATTACAATAACGCTACTAAATGAAGCTTGGCGTGCTAGCAAGTGATGAGAACCCGTCTGTGCTGTGGATCAAGACTTAGTGAGGCAAACATTGTCTTTTCCGCATTTCTGATCTAGCGATAATGACTCGTTAAGGCCATTTTTAGTGGTTTATAGCATATTACATTATCATTAACATATACGATAGCATCTTGTTTTTGTATTACTTTGCATAACTTTGTTTTTTTCTCATTTAAAAAGAACAATGTCATACCTGCCGCTAAATAAGGAGACTTACGGTCTACATTTCATTGCGTATTACATACAGTACCTAGTGGAGTATTACGAAAGGTCACAAAAGGAAAGAATTGATCTCGCAAATATCACACAGAGTGCGTGCTGACTGGCGAGAAGCGAATATGTAGGTGTTACAGCATAATGATTCGGGCTACTGTGTGCCTCATCGAACAACAAGAAAAGAAAGAGGTTGTAGTAAACATATATTACCGCTCTCACATATTCTAGATATATGCAGCATGTATATCAACACAATAAGGCTTAGACTGTATATCCCAATCTACATAATCACCATAAATCTCTTGCATATGTCTTACGATAAATGGTCGTCTATTTGTTTATAGTTAGCGGTGAAACACATTTTTTTAATTCATTGTCTCTTGACGCACAATACGGGAGAAAACGGCTTTGTAAAGCGTTGTCATATCACACGACTGTCATACATATATAGTAGCGAATGATGAGCGAAGCTTGTTGTGATTAGGGGACATTGTGTACACAACTATCAGGCACTGCCGCTCTATAAGCGATGGGACCAACAACAGTCATCATCTGTTTGCGTCTTGCAGATAGATCTCAATATGTATGATCATGCTCCTACTTATACAAGAGCTTAACATTCGAGTCATCATGAAGAACATGTCTAGCTAAATTTATTCAAAGTGAGTATATCGTTTATCGCACGGCACGACGATGAAAAAACGGCTTTTTTAAGAATGACTGATGTCTCATCCAATCCCGATTGTCCTGCCATATTTGACATACAACAACAACCAAAGCAACACAATAAACAAACAATGCAATAACAGAAAACTTGTTACACATGGGAGGGAACCGGGCCCGCCGATCATTTAGTATATTGCATCGAATCCGGCTTGGAATGTTTAATTTTTCTTTTTGAGGGGATGATAGTGTTGCTTGATTTCATTAAAGAGTTGTTGGTTTTTCGCGTTGGGGGTGAAAGAACTTGTAATATGAAAGAAAAAGAAAAAAGAAATAAAACAGAAAAAATGGTATACAAAAGAACTTCATCATCATCATAGTATCAGTTTACATTACTGCTTTGGCCTTTTGCTCCTCTGTATGTGCCACTGCCAAGTGTTTTGTTACATTGTCATTGGTGCTTGGTGGTTCAGCACTATATTTTGCAATTGTATACAAGGATCTTGTTAATCACTTGATGAAAAGAAATTAAAAGAAAGGCAAATATGCTTACCAAACAGGTGATTGACCTGATTTACTATGGCGTGAAAGGATCCATTCATGGCACAAGGCCTCATCAGGGGTCATTCGTTTTTCAGGATCCCAGTCAAGACACTTTTCAATAAAGTCCAAAAACTGGGCATCATGGCAACGCAGCGCATGAGAAAGAGACTTGGTACCTGGACGGCGTTTCTTTCCTCTTGAGTTGGGTATAATGCGTGGATTGCCACTCGAGTCGAAAAACAGCTTCCTTCGCGAGCTTTGTTCAATCAAGTATCGATTCGGTACACCTAGGATTTCCATAATACAACCCAGCTGCTCTTGTTCATTTTCGCCTGGGAAGAGTGGTAAGCCTGTGTAGAGTTCGGCTAGGATACAGCCTAAGCTCCACATGTCGATCGCTGTATTATAGTTCATGCCAAGGATGACTTCGGGTGATCGATAGAATCGGCTTTGAATATAAGTGTACACTGGACATTTTTGCAAGTTAGTATAGGACTTCTTTATCTCAGCATCATCGTCGTCGGTTTCAAATAGAAAATTGCTGTTACCTCGATCATTTTCAAAACAGCTACTACCGAAATCGATCACCTTTATAGTACTTTTCGCCGGATGTTTGAGAAGAATGTTCTAAAGAAAAAGATTGTTAGTCGTCGCGAAGCAATAATTCACTTGGATGACTGCTTGAATGAAAAGCTTACCTCTGGTTTTAGGTCACAGTGGATTACACCGTGCTCGTAAAGCAGACATAGTGATTGCAATAATTGGACTGTAAACCTACAGTGATTCGTTGAATAGTACAAAAAGGGAAGAAATCGAGTTAGTAATGAAGGCAGCGGCGTCACGTGGAGATGATTAAAAGGGAAACACATTTACCTTTTGATGAGATTGAGGGTGACACCTCTGTAGTTATTGTTCTTTATAAATTCATAGAGATTGATGCTTAGACATTCGCATGCAATGCATAAATGATTACGGAAGACAAAGTAGTCAGTCATCCGGACATTATGGTGTTGGTCTTGTGGATCCTGTAATTCATATAATATATATATATATATATATACTTAGTATAAGCAGATCACAGCTCATCTTATCCTAATAGGTAGTGAGTAGTTAAACGACGCTTACCCAGTCGACAAGGTCCTTTAAGATTTTGACTTCAGTTTGTGCTTGTGCATGAAATCGTTTTTTGTTTCTGATCAGCTTGATGGCGACAGTCATACCGGTCTTGTGGTCAAAACACTTGACAACCTGACCAAACGATCCACGACCCAGGACATCGATTACTTCGTACCGATAAGCCAAATGATCCTTGACAATGATGTTGTAGTCGCCTCGCTCGTCATCATAACCATAGTTGCACGTAGGTTGATCGGGAGTGGCTGGATGTTTTTGTGCCTGATGGCCCACGAAATAAATTTGGCCATACTCTTGGATCTCGTTGCGTTCATAGAGCGACAGATAAGCAGAAAAGTATTTGATGGCTGTCGTTGGACTCTTGGGCCCACGGATGCCGGCTGCTGCAATTTCTGCCATTTCCTTTTCCCACAAGAGTGAGTCGCTAATTCTGTTTGGCGAACGTAACGTGCCACCACCACCGTTACCACCGCTTTCATCATCTGCAACCACACCAGCAGCTCCTCCAAGCATACCGCCATCCATCTCATAGGTTTGGCTGCGTCGCGCACGTCGGTCGCGCATGAAGGGATACTGCATATCAGTGGTATAATTGTCTTTGATCGGCGTGTGTTCCGTGTGTTGTCGAACCATGGCCTGAAGCCGTTCTTGCAGACTCATTGCACGATGTCGTTCTATACAATAGCCATAGATGAATACCGCGTCTCCTCAAATCATTGCCTTTCCCGCCTCCCGCAGTCATTCAGTACTCAAAGTAGATACACTTACGGATGCTAACTTCTTTGTCTACCAACGACTCATGTTCGGTAGCAGAAGCAATGGAATTCTTTCGACTGTTGTTGGTGCTGGCCCCATACATACGGCTGGTCGGCGGTGCCCCCACACTGCTGGTACTTATTTTCCGTGTTCGTGATGGAACGGGGCCGATGGAAGGCGACACGTCTTCGCCACCACTGCCGTAAAGTCCGCTTTTATTATTTACAATGGACAATGACAGCTTGCGTACGCTGGTAGCGCTGGGTCGTCGGGTATGGATCGGCCGCGTTCGGGGCGAGGCAGTTGCTGATGAGATGCCACCACTCATATTATCGCGTGGAGATGCAGGAGTGATGCGTGGTGTTTTGAGCGATGCTCGGCGGTCCATATTCATTGCTGCCAATGGATTACTCTTTTTCGTTCGCGTAGTGGTAATGGTGGTGGCAGTCCCTCCTGCTGTTGATGATGCGGCTTTGTTGGCCGTCGTTGTCGTTGAGAGAGACTCTTCTTCGCTGCTGGTTCCACTAGCGGTGTTGGGTGTGGCAGCAAGGGCGGATGATCGTGAGGGTTTGGGGATGCGAGTGGGCGACGCAGATCGTTGATGCTGTTGTTGATGTTGAAGTTGTTGTTGTTTTGTGGGAATATTCACTCGGATCGGTTCGACCTTCATGGGTGGTAAATTGATAGATTGTACGAGCGGCGGTTCTGCGAGACTACCTGGCAATGTCTATTCAAACAGTGAGTTTTACACCATGCTTACTTTTGATAAACCAGCTGTCGTATAGAAGAAATGACTTACCTTGCCACGCTTTCTGGTAGTAGTGGAACCGTTCTTTGCTTGTCGACCCACTGTCATTGTCGATAGATCCTGATTCTTCTTTCGCCATTCTTTGGCTGCGTTGAGGGAGGGTGAGGTGGGCACACCTGCTTGTAGACTCTCTGTCCGCGAAAGCCTTCGCTGACGTCGCATATTGATTGAGGAATCGTCCATGGCGACGATAGATTTCTTTCTTGTGCGTGTGGAAGCATTTGTTTCGCCAGCAGAGTTACCATGAATCGATCCTCGGCTCATTCGGCGACGTGTGGAGAGTGATGATTTGCGTGCAGCAGCAGCAGCAGCAGCAACAGCAGAAGAAGATTCATTATCATCCCCCGATCCAGGTGTCCCCTGACCCGAGCTGGTGCTGCTCGCACGGCTGCCGGCTTGTGCGTCCTTGCTGGCTCTGGATGCAAGTGCCGATCGTCGTTTGGTCGCCAACATCACCAACGACTCCTCCTTTTCCTCCTGCTGGTGGCTGCTTTGCTGCGAAACATTGGTTGTAGAACGACGTCGCCTGTCTGCGATGGTTGGCTTCATGTAACTGTTTTCTCCAGCTCCTCCTGCTGCTGCAGTGGTAGATGGACCAGCAGTCGACTTCCGTCGTCGATAATCTTCTTTTGCTCCGGTTCGTAAAATTGATCCACTGGATAAAGTTCTGCGTCGTGGTTCCCTTGCGGTCGTAGTCTTATTTTGTTGTGGTTGTTGTTGACACGTCTTTTCCAAATCGCGCATTTTCTCCTTGCCCAAACTTAATCTCCGCTTAACATCGCTAATCAGTTCGGCGCGTGAACGTGCGCCTGATGTTGCTTGTTCATCGGGCGATGTCGATGATGAAGGAGGTGCAGCAGACGACTTGCGACGTTGTTCCACGAGGTTGGGTTTCGATGAGGCACGACGCACATTGGATGCTCTGCTGGTAGCTGCTGCTGTTGTTGTTGTTGTTGGTGACTTTAGGTTGGCATGTGACGCTTTTTCGGAACCAAGGCCGAGTTCCTGACGCGCAAGTTTGCGTTCCACAACGAGGGTATCGCGAAGCGCATCGGCTAACCGAAAAGCGTTGCCGGGTTCCCTTTCCGATTCCAATGTTTTGACAGCCCCTTGCTTTCTAGTCTTTTCATCATCGTCTGTGTCACTGGGTCGTCGCATCACGGACGACTGACGCCTTCGTGTCGTGCCTGCACCGGAGGATCGGACGCTATCGCTGGATTTCTTTGTGCTCAGTGCACGCACGCGAGGTGATGCGGTGGCGTGTACTTTGCTTGCTGGTGTTCCCGTGGCATTAGCAGTAGCGGTAGTAGTGGTATTATGATTGTGATTGCTGTTATTATTATTAGATGATGATGTTATGGCCCCTCCTCTCGTTCGGTTAGCCATTACAACAACTGGTTCATCATTGCGCGTTGATTTCCTGCGGAGGCGAACAGTTGTTTCAAAAGATGATTGGGATGGAGCTGTGCTCTTGCGTCTCGTTGCTGCTGTCGCCGGCGCCGGCGGTGGTTGCTCGTTTTCGACTTGTGCAAATGCTTCATAAATGCCGTTACGAGTGAGCCCGTTATCTTCGTCCTGAAACTGCTGCATTAACTCTTTGATGCTTTTGCGCGTTCCAAGCTGTGGATGGTGGTTATTGTTATTATGCTGAGAATGGTGATCGTCAGTTGTTGTTGTTGTTGTTGCTGTCGCGGGTCCTGTGGCCGTCAACGATGCATTATTGCCGCCGCCCTGCTGAGCGGCAGTTGTTGTTGTGGTGGTAGCAGTGATGGAAGCGCGTGACCTGGAACTGGCAGTGGATTTGGTAAAGCGTCCTCCTCCTTCACCTAACATTTTAGTCTGATTGTCCTGTTTTCTGCTTTGCAACCCATGTCCCTGTTGTTGCATATGTATCCACGACTCGGCAATGTATGGGCCCGTTAACGTCGACGATGACATGAAAATCAAGTGTGCTACATGTGACATTTGTTTTTGTTTGTTACTTCGATTAGAGGTATATCCATGTGAAAAGAAAGCATACATGCATTACATAGCTCTCTTTCACTATAATGATGATGGTTACGGTGCAACTTGACTCACGTTTCTTTTTCCTCTTCTCTTTTGGTAAGTTTTATAGCGCCTTGAATCGTGGAACCGAAGAACTTGCCGAGTTTAATACGAAGGAAAAAAGAGTAAAGGAGAAAAGGGTATAATAGTGATAGTAATTATAACAGAAGAGAAGAAGAAAAGAGCCTCAAGGGGTGGGGGGGGGGGTTAAGGACAGAGAAGGATATACGCTTTTTGTGTTCCCCAAGTTCGTCTGTTCGTTTACGAGGTGGTCCGCGTGTCGACAGAGATGACTCTTTTAATTTTGAGAATTCCTCTACTGATGCAAGAGTTTTTGAGGTTTAATGGAGAAAAGGAAGTAGAGAAGAAAGGGTTTCGTTAAATTTGAAGGAAGGAGGGGGACAATGGCAATCGGTGGTGGTAACAAAGGACGATGCTGATTTGGCTAATTATCTAAATTTTTTACGTTCTTGCGATAGCTCCTGTTAGACCAAAGAAAAGATAGGTGTGTGTTGTAAAGAAAAGAAAAGAGGGTTGAAAAAGAAAAGAGAAGAGAAAGAAAAAGAAGAGTGGGGTACTGCTGTTCGGAAGTGAACGCGGCCGATGGCAGTAGGTTTTTTTTTTTTACAGAAGTAAAAGGAAAAAAGGGGAGTATGTAATGAAAAAAAAAAGGTTTCTCAATAATGAACGCACACACTCACTCACGCCTTTCGTCGTCAGTGGGTAAAGAATCAAAATGAAATCCGAACGCAAAATTGTTCACGTCACTGTGGTACAAAAGGTACCTGTGCATCATCATCGCCATCGGTCATCACCGTCATTCGTTGTATGATATAACCTTCTTTCCATATCTTCATCAACCCGTAATCTTCTTTTTCTCCAGGGGGGATCAAAAGCCGTGGTAGACGAGCCACACATACACATTTGCAAGTGTGAGAGGGAGAGAGGATCGATGTAAAAAAAAGGCGTTTCATGCACATTTTTTTCAACGAAAGAGCGCGGGTTGATTCAAAAGGTACATATGTAATCTCATCACATCACACGGTCTACTCCAATTGCATATTTTTACACAACCGCCGCATATTGTCATGTATGAAATAGGAGGATGGGGGGTGTTGCGGGTGGGGAGGAAGGGGTGTGCATTTTCATTAATGAGAAACAACAGCTACTGCTACCTTCATCTACGAGGATTCTCTTGACAAATGTGCTAATAATATACGATTCTACTACCAATCCGTAATTAACTAATTCGTCGCTATAGTGATAGAATGATTTGTTTGTGTTGCTATGGTACGTATGATACCTTTTGTTGCCATGGCACCTTGTTTGTTTCGAGCGTACATACTCAGTAAATAACACTCAGGCATGCTTTTTGCACATGGTTATGGCCATGTAGCACAAAACCCATGGTCCATGTATGAAATGGGCACAGATTTCTACAGCAAGAATTATCCTGGACTGCATATTTCAACACGCTGTATTTTTGTATACATTTATCATGACCACTGTCGTTGTTGTTGCTCTGTTGACCAACTTTTCATCACTTGGCAAGCTTACGATAAACAATAAAGATCAAGATGATGGTACCAAACATAACATAACAACAACAACAGCAAATAAAATATGCATATATCTGGCACATCTTGTCTGTCCATTAGGGCAACGTAGTAGAGTATCAACCCTTTCCACAAACACACACACACACACTTTCTCTCTTTCTCTCTCTCTTTCCCCCCTTAAATGAGCATCGCTCAAACTACTACGGCAATTCAACAACGTGGTAAACTTTATTCATGTACATAATCATTATCTTTCCTTTTGAATTTTGGTGTATGATTTATCGGTAAGACTAGTGCCAAGAGTAAAAGGGTGCTTGTTTTTCTTCTAATGCTTCTTTGCTTGTGTGTTTGGAGCTTCCCATCTGCTGCATTCCAAATAAAGTAGTCTTGTCACGGGTGAGATGTCTGAGCTACATTTATTTTAGTTCAATCAACAGCCTGTGCTTTATCGTTATAGTATACATCAAGCGTACAAGGTTGAAAAAGCCATGCTTATGTTTTTGTGCATGATGAAAGCATATGTTCTACTTACAGCTGCTGTCTGCTGAAGAACGACGACGCCCACGTAAAAAATACAATTATCTTTAGCTAGGAAGCACATCTATAATAATAGCGAGCAGATTGCTATTTTTGATGAAAAATGATATAAATGTTCTCTGCCGTAATCGAACACAACGGATTCATTCAAATCTGGAAATCGTATGTACGTAGCCATCATAATTCCACGCAAAACTAAACGACAAATCCGCGCAGCTCGCTCACCTACCGCAGCAAAGAGTCATGACGCTGTACATTAGATATATCGTCTGTATGAAGGTGTATGTTAAATACAAAGGAAAAAATTCTCAGTCGTAGTCACCTCATGCACTACTGGTGGCGGGTAACAAGAACTAGAATGTTATTTACATCTAGCTCCTTCTTGGTTCTATCCTGTTCTCTCGAGTCGGTTGTAACTAGCGATCTATCATCGAACAATGAAAATTTCAAAGGGAGTGTTTAGAAAGCATATGCGGATTGATTAATCTTTTTCACTACCGATATATGTCGTATTGTCATAACAACAGTTGCTCCGCCGATTCCTGCTGCCGCTGCTGCTGCTGCTGACAATGGAATGCAAATGCACTGACAAGTTGCAACTTACTTCATTGTTATTTTTATTCTAAAGCCGATCATCATCCCAAAGATAAAGTCCTCATCCAGCGCCACTTATGATGTAAATTTTGCATGTTTCATACAGGTACACTAACACCTCCCCCCCCCAAAAAAAAAATAAACACCTTTTCATCCACGTGTACATGGACATACAGCTCTCCTGATTATAGCAGATCACAAAACCGCAAACGATCGAATGTTGTATCATGGAAAGGCTAATCCCACGCTCATCCTCATACTTTCCAGGTTTCCAATTTGTTTAAATCAGTAACAGTAAGCGTGCAATAGAGCCAGTAACAACAAACTGTGCAAAATTGAAGGTTGCACACACACGTTACAAGTACTATTTGAGAGGTTTCGTCCCCTGTATACGGAAACCAATTGCCACAAACGATCCTACCTCTTGACTAGCATTCGCTTTCTTTACATATCATTAATACACATTATTATTACGCACGCTAAAAATAGTAAACGAAGCTGTCATCCCATAGAGGTCTCGTGTACTGTATCATGAAAAATTGATCGATGGTACGCAAGTAAAACTATGACTTTTTTTTCAACGCTGCAACCATGCAGTGGGTCGTTCGTCGGAAGCAGCGGCGGATGAACTTTACAGCGCACAAGTACTTTGTCGTGCATATACCACAAAGTAGTTTCCTAATATAGAGCACGCGCCCCTTTGGTTTGGCATGGCACCCGTCTGATTGGTCGTCAGCTGGCAAAGAGGACACTGTCTCGTTGAGTGCCTCAGTACAGAAATTAACATGGGGAATCTATTAAAAGCTGTGTTTCTGTGGTTAATCTGGATCAATATTTACCATACATTTAGTATAATGCTAGTATCGTAGAAAGGGGAAGCAAATGAATAAATGCAAGTGTTCGAGAACAACGCGACATTTTGCTCTAGTAGAGAGTGCCCTTGAACGCACTGTTTGCTTGTTGCCTCTACCTTATAATAACTAGTTAGTGCGAGCACATTAAAGAAATAGTAAGTTTTAAATTTGCTACGCTTTTGCTGTGGCACTGACACGTCTTATACGGACTCTTGGTTTGTGCGCCCCGAGTTTGCTGGATGACGGGACTGCGAACACACAGATGTTTAGAGTTCTGGCTATTATTTATCCTTATTGTAATGTCACCGAAAACAACAACAACAACAACTTTTACGGTTATACAAAGAGCGTAATGGTAGCAAAGAAAGGTGCTTACAGACGTCAGTGTAACGTCAAGACGACTTCTTTTCTTGCTTCTCTCTCGAATGTAACATGGATTATAGGAGTACTGCCTTATGCAGCAATGACTCCAAAAAAGAGAAACCGTGATAGCTTACATGTCTATATAAGTGATGCATATCAGTCGACCTTCCTTTATCATCAAATCAATTTTTCTTCATCCCCAATTTCTCACTGCTTTGTTACTAATTGTTATTAGCCCCTTTTAATCGCAAAACACACTACATCATTATTAGGCCCAGCAACGAAAGTCATAAGAAGAGTCTGAAGGCGGTATGGCAATGGTCCAGCATGATTTTCAAGTTTCTGGAACAGATTATATATTGCACGCGCTCAAGTAAGCTTTTATCACTTTTTCTTTGGTAAAAGATGTAGAAAAGCACACTTATAGTGTATGAATAGCATATGTATGCCATGTTAATTGAAACTTTTACAGTATACTCAAAGACCCTTGCCGTCCCTTTTCGTTTAAAAATCAATAGGGGGAAGATCATTCTTTAATTAATCTCCCATTCCGTACTCTTACTATGGGACTAAATATACGGGTCGGGCGCGCAGTATTAGGCTTTCATGGTGAAATGTGTAGTATTTTACGCTGCTTTGAAGAAATTGTAAGGAAAGGAAGGGATTATGTAGTGTAAGATGGAGTTGTACTTTGTAAAATACTTAGAGTGATAGCGTCAGATGTGTAGTGTCATAATGACAGCATGATGCATTGACCGGCAGGTGGAGAAGGGTAAAAGTAATAAAAGAATAGGAGGAGAGTAGAAGGAGAGAAAAGTCGCGCTCAGGCCATCTTAATTAATAAGAAAAGCAGTAAGAACTCTAACCTTCGAAGCACCCGCTCTGCTACGAACATCATTCGAGGCACGAATTTACTTAAAGAATGAGGGAAAACGTTTACTGTTCATAGCAAAACCACTACCATTACTACTACTACGTTAAAAGGATGTCTACTATGATATCATTACCAACCAATGCCTTTATTTCCTTAGAGCAAATAAGCTAAGCTTATTAAATTATATCAGAATAGCATCATGAATCCGTTTTTCCTCCTGATATTTCACGCCGCACTTTGGCGTGTCATAGGGATATAAAATGGCCATACGTATTGCAAATTCAACTACCCTCGAATACTGCTGTCAAATATCACAATTCTTGTTTTAATCACGTAGGATATCTTCCCGGCCGCCATAAATAGGATACAGCTTGTTGCTGAAGCAAGGATCCACTGAGAGAACGGCGCGCCAAAAGTGGTATGACGTTAGTTTAAAATCCAGGGTTACACAGTCGTAACACGAAGGAGATCGCTTCGCGTTTACGTATTACTAAATAATGGTGTTTCGAACCCAAAGAAAACCTCTTAAGCTCGTTGATAGAAAATACAGAAAAAGCTGCTGCATTGTTTTCAGGTACTGCTATGGTGAAACAATCGAATGCAATTTGATCAAGACGAGCCCTCTTTTAAGTTTGTTCTATGATACGCGCCAGATAGAAACATCGTTGTGCATGTAAGCATCACAGCAAGTAAGAACAAGTGGTCTCTAGTCGAGTTATACAAGAACGGGCATCCTGTGTACTGCTCTGGCACTAACTTTGGTCCGTGTAACTCTCACCAATTATCATTTTTTTAATGTTTCATTAATTGTTCTGGTCGTACTTTGCACTCTTGCTCTTTTTCTCTCTTTTCTCGTTTTCCCTCCTTCTTGTTACTTGCATACAATACCTTCTATTGCTGCGTTCGTGTGTGTGTGTGTGTGTTCTTGTGTGTGTACCCATAACTTTATATTTAATTCTTATTTTGAAATGGCGGATTCACGCATTTCCAAATTATTGCCCACCGTAACATGCAGCGATTGCGGTAGACCCGTTCACGTACGAGAGTTGGCAGATCATGTTTGCCAATCTGCTCCCCCGCCAATGCCTGCAATGCCCCCTCTTGCTGTGGACACTTGTATGTTACATACGCTGTGAAACATTTGAGATATTCTTAGAAACGATTGCTCTACTGCACTGACTCACATTCATCTCTCTCTCCTATCACCATGCTACTATTGCTATATCACTTGTACTATCACAAAGCTCCAGCGACGATTCAGCGCCCCCGTAAAACTTCCAACAAGAGCATTGATAGCGGGTCACCCACCAGTGGTATGGAAGAAATATTGGTGGTGGGATGATGATGATGCCAATTAATAACAACCGGTTTTAACATGGCTACAGGCTCCAAGTTCAATTTCCACTTTTGGACAGGCAAGGCAAAAGACACAATAAAGAATGCAGCACTCGGCAGCAAAAAAACGGCACCACCTCAGCATCAACATCATCAGCATAACAATAGCCACGTTCATCCGCATGCCTATGATCATGCTATCACGACCATGTCGCCTACGTCGCCCGAGCAGCGCGAGAGGAAGGTTTGTAGCGTGACAGCTAATTACCACATGTGTGTGATAGCAAATACGCTAATAAGCCAGGAAATATCCGTTTATTAGATGTCATTTGGTAGACCAGCTTTTCAAGAAAAGTAAGTCCCCTTTTCTCTTTCAATTAACGCTACTTTATGCTGACCGAATTTGTCCCCCTGGGCTCCAGAACTTGGCTTCCTGAGGACGATGACGTGATCTCGCCCGTGTTCGACTTTACACCACCATTTGCGCATTATAGCCGTAAAAACAGTACATCGCCCGCACCGCCCACTTTGACCAAAATCGATCATACCAGTAATATTGGCAAGCACCCTTCTCATCAGTCACCATCACGATCGACATCCAGTGACGAAACATCGCCAGTGACACCTCGCGCGACAAACGACCTATACACACGCCGGTGTGCTCGCTGCCATAGAGATGTTGTAAAAGAAAGTTCTGTTCCAGTAGGAGATGATGTAAGTTCTTACCAGCTTTTTAGACAATAATCATCAGCCATCAGTTGCTTACATAAACTGTCTCTCGAAATAAAATCGAACAACAGCTGTATCACCCACAATGTTACTCATGCTTCACTTGTCGTAACCGGCTGGATCCGCATCGTCCGCCTCTCGAATATCAAGGCCGCGTATACTGCGACATTGACTATACCATGATGGTTCAACAAAGACCTGCATGCGCCGCTTGCCATCAGCCGATCGCACCCCATGTCCGACCGACCCGTGCTTTGGGCCGCTATTATCATCCAGAACATATCCGATGCTCGCACTGCAACAAGCCCGTGGATCCAAAAATGACTGGTTTGGTCGAACGTAAAGGCAAGATCTTCTGCAGGCCTGATTTCAATCTGCTGTACTTGCCCAAATGCCGAGCGTGCGGACGAGCAGTAGAAAAAGAAGCTGTATCGGCTGCTGATGGCAAACTCAAAGGAAAATGGCATAAACATTGTTTCCAGTGCCATGTAAGCTTTTTGTCTTGTGCTACTCTCAAAACTAAATTCATTTGCTAACAAGTACATCCACATCTATCCTACGTCAGGAATGTCACTGTGCATTCCCAAACAACAGGTTCTATGTGTACAAGAATGCACCTTATTGTAGACGCGATTATCACAAAATGAATAACTCCTTATGCAAAGGATGTGACGATCCGGTTGAAGGCCGGTGTGCACAAACGGCAGAAGGCTGGCGCTTCCATCCCAACTGTTTTACTTGCTACATGTGCCAGTGCCTGATCACCGACGTTTATTACATGTCAGACGGTCGTATCTTTTGCTCAAAAGACCGACAGCATAGATCCGAGAAACGGCATACTTACTTCCAACAATTGTAAATCCTAGCTCCCTTTCCTTCCTCATCCCACCTACTACCGCGGTCCGCCCGCCATATCATAATTTATATATAATCATTCCTATTATTGTAGATAGACAAGCCAACCCCTTTTATTTTTCAAATCACAATTAATTAATATAAAAACAAAGCAAAGAGCAAACTGCGTGTGTATTAAGATGTTTTTCTTGTCGATATTGTATGTCACTGTCTTCTCTTACACTACTTTTTTTTGGGACTGTCTTTTGTTAGGTAAAGCGCACTGCTAATACTAATGTCTTGGTGGTCGTTGACCATGGTAGCCATGAGCACCATGATTGTGACCATGTCGAGGTCGGCGTTGTTGTGCTTCGTTGGCTTGTATCCGCTTGAAGCCGTTAATGAGATCAGCTACCACAGGGTATGATGTGTCCCGAAGACGATAACCATCAGGCAGTAACTTGATAGCCTACAACGAACGTCAAAAGCATTTTGTATCAATGTCATTTTTCTTTTAGAGAGATGGTGGGTCATAAGACAAAGTGAGCTTTACACATACCCATTGTGCAGCAGGTGATTTGGCGTTTAGCTTGAACCCAAGTTCAAAGTATCCCGGACGGTCAGAAAGACAGAAGCCGTACGCTGAAATCCTTGGGTTTGCCATTGTAAGCGACGATAAATGTGATTCTAACAGAACAATACAATGTGAGGAATTATGGCTGATATACACGGGTTTAGCAATTAGATTATATAGACCAAAAACATACTGAGCGCAGTAGCACCGCCAGGTCGATATTTTGGATGTGCAATAAGTTCTTCTGCCTTGGCAGCGATAGCTTCGACATAGGTGACAATTAGCTGATCTAAATCGTCAAAAATGTGTTCGCCAATCTTGTACTGCACTGGTGCAAACACGGACGCGTCCTTGCGCATCTCCACAACATCAATGTGTTGATAGACACCTTCATCCACCTTCCAAGTGATAGCGATATGTTCGGGACCCCGAGATGATGGTCTGATAACAAGGTCGCCGCGCTGGCGGGAAGCAAGATATTCTTCAGCCTCCATATAATTGAACTGGTGGAATAACGGATGGTTGATGACACGTTGCGTCTTGGTCCGCTTTTTGCGCATTGCACGTCGTCGTTCGATTTCTCGCGCTTCTGCTTGTGAATCATAGTAGTGGTCGTTCGGTTGTCGTCGTAATGAGAGATCAGAGTTGGGCTTTGTATCAGATGCTTTGGAGGATAAGGTAACGGCAAACTTGTCTCTGTCGATACCTAGTACTTTGGCATTTATTGTGGATCCATGCTCCAAAACATCAGCTACGCTCATGATGCGATTATCGGATGCTTGGTCAATGTAGATGTATCCGTCTAAGCCTGAATCCAGCTGACAAATTGCCATTTTTCCTCGAAGAGAGTGAATCTTAACCGGTAGGATAAATCCTTCCCGAAGCGTATCGCGGGTTTCGCCAGAAACCATTCTAAACGTTTCATCCATTGTAGGTCGCGTGTATTTCTGTCGTCGGTCATGGTAGGGACCTTGCAGTTCGAGCTTGATGTGCTCCAAAATCTGTCGTTTGGGTGCATTGTATTGTGTTCTTAAAACCACTGCGTAATCATCCAAAATCAGATCATTCAACTTGTTGGGGTATTCTTTGACAACGCGTCTGACAATCATGACTTTGGTTTCATAGTCGTCCATTTCGTCTTCGTCGATTTCTAGTGCATCGCCAGCCATTTTTCTCGCCAAATCGTATTCTTGGGGATGGATTCGCGTGTCGTCTAATATATCGGCATCATCGACGTTTCGTATCCGTAAATAGCTGGCACAATTCATAAAGGTAATGGCGGGTGTCATGCCTCGTGTTACCAGAGCAGACCGGCTCTCTAGCTCGCCCTGTATACATCATTTTTAAGGTTAGTATCTCTTATCTCTCTCTACCCTGTGTATACAACATGTATGAAGGTGATCCTCTTACCTTTGCATCGATCTTTTGTAATATGCTCTGGGCCTTTCGAGGACCAAGACCACAGACATACTTTAATGCTGTGGCAAGATAGGGAGAACTTGCAGTTGCATTAATGTCGATACCCAAATCGTTCACCACATTGATCAAGGCACGTTCCAAAGACGCCAGCAACATCTCTTCTGGCACAAGGTTTTGCAGATCATGGTGTCGCAGGGCTAAAAGATCGCGGTCCAAACCGGTATATTCGAGGATGGGGCATTGCAATCGGCGCGCCAGACTGATGCAGTAGCGCGTGACTTCGGAAAACTCGCCAAATTCATCTCGTGCCCGCTTGGAGTTTTTATATAAACGTGAGGCTTCGTCGTCGACAGCCAATAAATCGATCGTCGGAACGCTGGAATCTGTGTTGTTGATATCGTTGAGCAAAGTTTGCATGCTCTTATAGACGTGACGAGTTTGTGCAGTAAAGCCAGCGACGCCGATGACGTTTGGCTTCTTCGACGAAACAAATTCCACCATCTGTTTCCAGTATTTTTCGTCTCGTAAAGTCGGTACTTCAAGTCTGTCAGCAAGTCGGCCTCGATGGTTGACGAATACTGCCACAACAGGGTCATTTCGCTCGCCGTTGCCAGAGGAAACCGCAATAACACGCGGAATACCGTTCTTGTACCGATCAGCATCGGGACCACGGAACGCACCCACGTTGACTTTGGACATGAGCGATTGATAACTGGCATCACAGACGGCCTCTTGGGCTTCGATGCGTAACTTTTCACGGCTATATTTCTCCATAATCGGAATCAGATGCTCCGATAATGCCATTTGCAGGACGTCTTGTCGTTGTTGGTTCCATTGTTGTGCCGAGTCACTGTATCCATCCGACATGTAATATTCTGCAATTTGGTTAAACCATCCATCGTAGTTTGCAATATTGACATGGACCGACAGTAAACCGTCTTCCTCTCCCTTCATGAGTAATAAATATTCGCCGTTTGTAAAGCTCGAAATTGGTTTGTCATGGACGTATTTAAATGGATGCATAGGATGAAGATCGTCAATTTGATCGAAGCCCTTGTCAGTTGGCTTGACACTAACAACTGCTCTTGCTTCCCAGTCGCGTCGCATTGCTTTTCGGACCTGCGGATCATGCGCAATGTCCTGACTCAGCACACTGCGGGCAGCTGTATGATACCATGGTATATTAGTAAATGGCTGCAATGCACTTCTTCTTCCCCTCTCTGTATCGTAGTACTAACCTCTTAAAACGCGTCCTGAATCGCTGAAGCTAGTGCTAACAAACGTTGCTGCCTCCTCTTCTGGACTAACTAATGCATCTTCTGGGTAGTATCGACGACTTCTTTCAAGATAGTTGGCACCGTACTGCGCTGCTGTGATACCAAAACGCTAACAACGATACCGAAAACATATCAGTACCTCTTTCTTACTTCCGGCCGTCTTTTCACACTATCTATCATTCACACGCGCACACTCTCACTTGTAAAACCGACATCCAAATACAGGCCAGATCATCATACTTACTGGTAGGAACTCTGAGACTTTGTTCCGTAAGCTGATTTCGTACAACGATTTGTTTGCAGGTCGCTTAGGACCCTTAGTCTGCTTTTGCAATGAGTTGACATTATCGGCAAATCTGAGGTTCACGTAATCCGAGATATCGTTCAATTCTTCGATCTTTTCCGCCTTATCGACCAAATTGCTCACATATTCATCGTAAATGGAACATTTTGATAGGTATTCGCGTAAGCCAGCTTTACGGTTGGCGAAGCTGGTGTATTTAAAGTCGAGATCGTAAATCTTCCACAGATCGTCGTGCGTCAAAAGCTCGGTCGTTACACCATCAGGGTCAACTTCGGTGAAATAGTCGCGTCGGTGGTCAGATATGTAAGGAACTTCGAGATACTCGCGTGAGATAAAAGAAACGACGTGCTTGACCGCGTTTAGGAAATGTTCGGTAGGCTGGTCAATGTTTTTCACGCTCGCCAGTTCTCGTGCAACCCATGTGCCTTCAACCTGAATTTCTTCATCGCTAGGTGGGATATCGAATGTCTTGCGTGTACCGGCATAACGCACCTGCATACGCTCGGGAATATCACGCATCCGCACTTCCTCATCTTCCTCTGTAAGCATACGAGCTTTAAGTTCACTTGGTTCAAATACGTCGGCCAGCTTTGGTTCCAATTGCTCTTCCTCGTATTCGGCCGGCTATGTGGTAGCAGCATTAATACTTTTAATTCTTTCTATGTCAAATAACCGGTATTTATCGCGTCAACCATTACCTCTTCTTCGAGAGCCCACTCATAATCAGCGCCGTCACCAAAGATATCATACATATCAGCAAGAACACTACATGGGGTTATACGCGTATATGAGTCAATGTTACTCAAATCAAATAATCAACTGCCAAACTCATCCCGTTTCGCGTTTTTTAGCACAAGTGATAAAAATATAGAAAATCAACTTACTCTTCACTTAACCCTTCTGGCAAAATATCCATCATATCTTTAGCGGCACCTCGCCGAGGTGCTTCACGGTTATACAGATCAGCTCGATCATCTACAAGACCCTCTTCATCATCTTCTTCGGCGATAAAGTCGTCCATGTCATCGTAGACTTGTCGACGTCGATATTGTGTTGCATACTGATCTTCTTCGACTTGTTGTTCGTCCTGAGCTTCTTCGTAAAGTTCTTCGTCAGAAAAAAACTTATCTGCCGCTGTTTCTGAATGTTCAGGTTCCTCTTGACGGCCTCGTTTCAAACGCTTCAGCTTGGGCTACAATGATTGTTGTTATAACAATGATTAACAATTGAACTCTCTGTATTTTCGTAATGCCATCTGCATATATACCTCTCGAGACAATTTCAGACCCGTATTTTCTTCCAATAGGTCCAAATCTTCTTCATCCAACTCTTCTTCAACTAATGAATTTGATCAAGAGTCGCTCGATTAGTAACTTTTGTTGCTTCGGTAAAGGGTAACGGAAAAAGCGAAAGGGGAACGGAGGAATCGTTGCCAATTTGTTCAAAAGAGAAAATATAACACGTTACAATCTTCGATCTTCTTTCTCTTTCTTCGTCGAGCGACTTTTTGTTGTTCAGCATCAGAATCGTGATCTTCTTCATCTTCATCGTCGACAATGAATCCTTCTGCAATCTACGTATGATTAAATCGTCACCCCGTCAAATAAAGTTAACAATGGTTCAGAGGGAAACGTTTTACAAATTGGAGACCCTTTATCAGCTTTGGCACATAGATAGTATGAAAGAGAAAGGGAAAGCAAGCCAACCTGTCGTGCTTCTTCTTCGTCGTCTTCCTCTTCTTCTTCGTCTTCGTCATCGTCTGAATTTCGGCGACCATAAGTAGGTTCACCTTCTTCTTCCGAATTTTCTTCTTCCTCGTCCCGATCTGGTCTGGAATCGTAATAATCGACGCCTTCTTCACTCATTCCAGCAAAATTAATTGACGAGTTTTGGTAAGGTTAAAGAAAAAGGGAAAAAATTATATGAAGGCAAAGGGATAGAGAAAGCGTACGCTTGCGGCGCTTGCAGAAAGCTTAGTGCGGGATTTTGAAAACTCGCGTGACGACGACGCCAAACGGGGGCCCATCCAATCATGTGTCTAAAATGCTTAATAACCAAAGCATGGTTTCCTGGCTACTGTGTATTAAGGCTGGTTTTTCATATCTTTGACCGGGTTAATTCGGTTCTTTAGTGTCGAAACAGGCCGGCGAACTCGCTGTGGATGAGAACAGAGGCTGTAGGATGCAGCAGATGGCTTTTGCACCAACTATCGTTTTACAGCAGCGATAGACTTTAGTATCCAGCCTTTTTTCGGTGAAAAAACAAAGCATATATTGATTGTGAAGCGTGAATGAGATAGACATTGATTATTATGCGCCCAGTCTCTAAGCTGTTTTGGATAATGAATTTTTGCATCCCTTATATTGAATCCTTTAAGAAGTAGAAAAGCATGCAACTCATACAGCAAGGTATACGCAAATGTACACCCCCTGGATCCTCAGGTTGCATTACCTAACACACTGTTGTTACATAGCGATGCCTCGCTTTCTAGCTATCATAGCTTAATCTTACAATATTTCATATCAAAACAAGTGTTTGTTGACCAAAAAGAAAATATTGCAAAAAAGCTGGATGCGAGGCTGTGCTCTTTTTATGTTTGTATAGGAGTGTCCATATAGTGAAAAATAGATTTATACAAAGGAATCTATAGTAGAGCGGGAGCTATTTAGTGCTTAATTCTTTGTGTATGATGTGTAGTAGTAATGTAGTAATAGTAAAATGCGAGGGCTTTAAGGAAAAGGGGGGATTCAATATAGAAAGTTAGGGTGATAGTAGTAAGGCATGTGTAATATATGTATATGGCAAAATGCGTGTATGGTAAGTAAAAGTTAGGAGAGAAAGATAGAAGAAAAGGATTATGTGAAAAGAGAATTTTTGATGTGTGTAAAACTAGTAGTAAAATCTGAGCAGAGAAGAGAGACCCCATCGAACCAGGATGAAGGAATATAGCAGAGGCACACAATGTATAAATATTGCTTTTGTTGTTGATTAAGGGAGAGAGTGTGAGTGTGTGATAGAAGAAAGAAACAGTAAGAAATCTAAGCAGCACAGGTTGGTGTGAGGCTGACTCGGACGGTACGCGATGGATGATCAACAATAAGCGACTCGAATTCGCTTGTTTTGGACGCTTGTGTTTCCGACGACATTTTTTTGCTGATGGAGAAGCTGGAACGGAATGATGAAGCAGAAGTCGACGTCGATAAGCATGGCGTTGTTGTTTCGATACTGCGGCGCGCGCTGGAATTGCCGTTTCGCGAAAAGATACGTTGATAAATGCGAGCAGATCGGCTCTTCTTGCTGGTGGCAGTAGCTCGATCAGTGGTAGCTCCAGCTGTGATCGACGACAACAACAATGAAGAAGGCGAAGGCGAGCACATGGACTTGTCGGTTGAAGATGAAACGCGGTTCGAGAAAAACATCATGCTTGTAAGTTTATGTATAAGTAGCAGTAATAGTAAGTATAATATAGTAGGATGTGTATGCGCTTTTAGAAGGGTTTTTGTTAAAGTAACAACACAAACAAAAATATGTTGAATATGGCCCTCTTTTATATACTCTTTGATAAATGAACCCATGTCTGTGCGGATCCAAAAAGCACACCACTCCGCTATTGCATTACTCCCTCTTTCTTTCTCTCACTCTATATTTATGCTCCTCCTCCTCCTCCCCGCCCATCCCCACTTTTTGTTCTAAAGAAGGAGGAAAGAAAGAGCGTGCTGAAATAAACACGTATCATCCCTTTATTTTTGTAAAAGCGCGAATATACTCCATCGGTTATCCTACTATCATGTCTACGAAGACTAGTAGCAACCTCCCAGTAATTTGTTTAATTACATTAAATGCTGCACAATGATATGTACCATCTTATTTGTTTTCTCAAAGGCAGGACCCTACTACTATATATTACTGGTCCCTTATGATCTATTATTGTCTCTCATTCTTTCACTCCCAGGAATAATAATGATTTGCATGTTTTTCATCTGCACATAGAATGCTACATGTTGCATACGATAACACGTCCTTTTTGTCGAAGCTAATAGTGTTCTTACTCTATTATTAAGCGCTTAGTGAGATCTTCGTCCGCACGTTGCCGAATCTATTTGAAATTATATACATAATAGCACGCCCTTCTTGTTGAACGCCGTGAAGAAAATAAACCGGTCAACCATGTATACTAGAATAAGTCCTACCTTCTTTATACATCTTCTTTCCGTAACCCCCCTTGCCTGTTCCTCTCTCTCCCCACTCCCTTTCTCTCTCTCTCTCTCTCTCTCTGCTTAAATATAGCTTCTTTTTGACCCCGTGATCCATAGTAAATGACTTTTTTTCCCGCGGGAGATATGACAAAACAGGATTTTCGGCCATGATCATAAATACCCGGGATGCGCATCCTCAGACATGTGAACTACATAGTAGTGAGAAAAAGTGGTTGTGACAGTAATTTGTTTTGCAGGCACAAACATAATGTACTCAAAAGGATGGAACGAGTCCTAATCTTTCCTCCTCTTCTCTCTCTATTTCAAACAATATTTAAACCACGTTAAAATGTAATAGATACCACGCCTTTAGGGACACTTATTTTCTTTTTTGCGCTTCCATGGAAAACATTCGTCCTCTTAAATACCCATAGCAGTATACGAACAAAAGATTGTGCGCCATACCAAATACATCAGAAGCACTCGCATAGCCAATACGCGTGAGTGAGTTCAGAGTGATAATAAAGGTTCCATGTTTTTAGGATCCTTCTTCCCCTTGACTGTTCTCTTTCCTTCTCACATATATCCCCCTTTTACTATCTTACTGCAGCTTGTATCTCGCAACAAGTTTTACTGCTATTACAGTAAAAGAGCTATAGCAAAAATTACATCACTGTTATGCAAACTACAACAACAGCTATATGTATACTGCATATTGACGTAACTATAAGATTGGTAATTAGCTTTTTTTTCTCAGCTATCTAAAGCCAAGAAGATTCAACGCCAGTTTCAGTTCAGACGATAGGAGAAATGAAAGAACGGATCGATTCGAAATGTCAAAAGGGACTTGATTGCATTAGTGATTTACTCGTTTGTTGTTACTACACTACTGTTCATGTCTACACATGCTCATGTGTATGCAAACAACAAGTTTGATGGCCGTCCGGATAAGGAGGAGGTGCAATCTCGCTATTACATAGGTATACTGCTCATGCATATACAACAGAGTATACCATTAGTCTTGCTCATACTACACATCATCAATAAGCTCTTGTCTAAGAAGGATCATATGCACACTAGGTATGTCGGCTAAGTATTTATCAACCATATCATTACAGAGCTGATGTATGAGATGTTATACTGCCTCCTCCTGTTTTATCGATCCCACTGCAGCCCCCGACCCCACACTAGCTCCCCACCTCCACGCGCCGTTCCCACTCTCTTAACCAACAAAGTAATATAAATATATTTATATGGTTATATACGCGTATAAGTATATCTAACATCCTTGATAACGATTGCATAGTTTTCTATTCAAAAACTCATGAGTTTCTCCATTCATTAAATCACCTTTCAGTTCGTCACAGTATTAAAAGTGATTCGTATAGACAAAAAACGCAAAGTGATAGCTTGTTCTATCTATCATTGTTTCTTGTCACAAATTCCGTTTTTTCAGCTCTGCGTGTTTATTAGTGTGTAAGGTGATAATTTTGTATACAATATGTTGAGAAAATATATTTAATAGTATCCGCCGTTATAATATCCGTTATTGTAATAGTTGCGTCGCGTCAATCCAGCAGAGAGGCCAACGACAAGGCCAATGATAATGCAACAGCAGATGGTTGTACATAAGCGACGCTTCATTCCTAGGCCTCGATTGTTATGTGGAGCATAAAATCGAGTGACTGGATTGCGTTGTTGATGCTGTGGTTGTTGATCCGGTGGTGGTGGGGCGGGATTATTCTGTTGAGGGGGAGGCTGATAATACTGTTGAGGGCCACCACTATCGTTGCTATAAAAACCTCCTTCTTGCTGTTGATAAGCAGGTGGAGGCTGCGGTGGAGGCGGTCCGCCGCTTTCATTGCCTAGCAGAAGGTATGAAAAATGCAAAACGTTTTAGTGCCGCGTTTGCGCAAGCAGCATGGTGAAATATGTCATCTGCTAGAAAAAGAAATCTCGATATGTTCATTATTACCTCTGCCATAGCCTTTTTCCATATCACTCATCATATTGCCAGACGTGCGTATTTGCTTGTTCAGATCAAAGTTGTTGAAGAAAAGACAAAAAAATTGGGCTGCATGAAGGGCTGCTTAAAATGGAAATCCCATGCAAACATCAAAAATTGTTTCAGCTTACTACACATAAGTGCAAGGGGCGTGTAGTATATAATAACCCCACTACTTTTATAATAACTGGGATTTATGCCATATGAAAATTTGCCAAGTCTGGAAAAAGCAATGAAGACAGTTAGACGAGCTGAGCCGAAGCAACGGCAGCGATGACGAGGACGACCATGGATCGCGTGCCAATACTGTCAAACGTAGAAGTTAAGTGAGCACTCTTATGCTGATCCACCCCGCCATTCAATTTTTACCTTGCAGTAGCGGCACGTGAATCATTGTTATCGTCGTCGTCGTCGTCGCTGTTGTTGTTGTTGTTTTTTCATTTGGAGGGGCGAGCTGTCTCAGTTGCAGTAGCACAATCTCGGCGTATGTCACAATAACGGTAACAGCAGGCTGCTGAGACTGACCGCCGGAATGCTGGGGCAAGTATGGTTTAGGGCATGGGTAAAGCGTTGGCGTGGGTTGTGCGTCAGCACGTTGGGTGGAGGTATACCGGACTCGCCGCCAGAACACCAGCAGCAGGAAAGCTTAGGTGTAGTATTCGAGTGACCTTTTCCTCGTAGTCGTGGTCGAAGTCATCGTCATCATCACCGTCATAGACATACTCCTCCTCCTCCTTCCAGTGACCGCCACCAAAGACTTTATTGGTGATCAAGTTAATGATCAACATCAGAAATATACTAAGCCTAAAGGGTGTGTGCATTTTGGTTAATGCAAGTGTTTTGACTGGATTTTTGCTCGAACCTGTTGCCGTTATAATACGCATGTTTATACAGCATTTCCATGGCAAAGGTTACGACATGATTATATGCCATGGCAACGACCGTTTCTCTAGGGTGAAGCCGTTGATTTTGCGCCGCTAACATTATGGTCAGAGAGAGTAACGAGATGAATGACGTTGTTGTCAGTAGTTATATTAGATGAAAGTGCAAAAAAATAGAAGAGAGAACGTTTTATTGAGTATATGCAAAAAAGAGGGAAGGATATGTAGAAAATCGCAAAGTCAACGAAGGGATGATTGCTTAGTGAGCGATTGTAATGTGCGAAATGCGTGAGTGTGTGTTTGAGCGGAGGTTATGTTTTCAAATGGGACATGGATAAAGATGGAAAGATTTTCTTAGGGAGTAGTGAGGGAATCAACTTGTTTAGATGTGGGATTGCTTGTTTTTGGCGACGGGCAGGCTAAAGTGATCCTGCTGGTTGGGATCCCACATACGAGCAGTGACGTAGTCCATCAGCGCTTGATCAAAGTTGGCACTCGAGTTGGCGAGGCTGATTAACACAGGATCTTGTGCGAGGTTCTCGAGAAGAGCCTGTTTGCAGACAGCAGCGGCAACTTGAGCAGAGACTGTTCGGATGCGGTTCAAGGCTGGATACAGATCTCCATTTTGGGTTTCCTCAGGAAGAAGGGAGATGGAAAGGCCCTTTGCGGCTTCGTACACCATGCTATCCGAGACATGTCGGGCCTTTGCGATGATGGCACCCAAGCCGAGACCAGGGAAAATGTACATGTTGTTGCCTTGTCCGGCATGCTTGAGCTCGCCAGATGCCAACTTGTAAGGAGGGAAAGCAGTACCGGAGGCGAACAGTACATTCTCGCCAGTGTACTGCATAGCCTGCTCGAAAGTGCATTCAGCATTGGTCATGGGGTTCGACAGAGGGAAGACGATGGGCAGTTTGTTGTTTGTGGCCATCTTTTCAACAGCCTCCCTGGTGAATGCTTGGTGTTGGGCCGAAAGACCAATCAGGGCAGTAGGCTTGACATAGTCGATCACGTCGCACAAGGTTTTGAATTGTGCTTCTTGGTTGTCCGAACGAGCGAAATACACCTTGTGCTGTGCAAGCTTGTCACCACGATCCAGTGTTACCAAACCTTTGCTGTCTACAAGATAGAAGACACGCTTGGCTTCCTCCTCGCTAAGACCGTGCTCGCGCATAAAGTATGTAAGAATGTTCTTGGCAACACCAATGGCCGACGATCCTGCACCAAAGAAAACAATGCGGTGATCCTTGGGGTTGGTGCCGACTTTTTCTTCGGCCACCTTGACCGCATTCATGAAGCCTGCCAAGATGACAGAGCCGGTGCCTTGAATGTCATCGTTGAAGCAAAAGGTCTTGTGCTGGTACTTTTCAAGCAATCCAAAGGCCTATTGGATAAAAGAAAATAGCGAAAAGATGTCAGTCTTAGAAAAAATCACGCTGCTTCGTAGAAATGGATATGCTGATAAATACAAGATACATACGTGCTCAGAGGAGAAATCTTCAAATTGAACAAGAATATCGGGGTAGACATCATACAGGCCTTGCATGACTTGATCCATGGCTTCATAGAACTATTAGGTTGATTGATTGTTTCTTCTGTTAGTTTGATCATGCACGGTGGAAATTCGATGCATCTCTGTTGGGGGAATGTAGGGGAATGGTTGATGCTAGGTACATGGGTTAAAAAACAAAAGGAATTACAACATACCTCAGGATCAGCAGGACGCTTTTGTCTCAGGCCAAGATACAATGGATCGTTTAGGTAGCGGTCAGTGTTGGTGCCAAAGTCGAGGACAATGGGCAAGGTCTTGCGAGGATCGATGCCAGCAGCACCGGTGTAGAGCTGAAGCTTTCCGATAGGGATACCAATACCGTTCATGCCAAGATCGCCCAGGCCGAGAATTCTGGAGCCATCGGTAATCACAGTGATATCGGGGGCACCGTCTGCGTTCAGTCTATAATTCCGGAGGATATCCTTAATATACGGCAAGTCGTTGATTGTGAGATATAGACCATCGGGAGCACCTATAACAAGTAATATAACCGTGGAGAGTCAGAAAAATTAAAGTTCGGAGAGGTGATGGTATAATTTTTGACCCGCGGGAACACAAAGTAGCTACTACGCTATGCACTCCACACTCCACTTCCGCTACTGCTACTTACCAGGTGGACCCAAAAATGGATAGATGTTGGAATACTCCACACAGGCTTCACCGACGGTTGGGGTGTAAATAATCGGGGCGATTTCCTAATAATAGCCAAAATAGAAAATGTCAACACACAAGGTTTTCAGGGGGGGGCAAGTCGACGAATGGGGAGATGAAACCGTTCAAGAACGCCCAACAAACAAATTTGCCATTCATATTACTATTAATACGTACTGCTAGCTCGTCACAGACAAGCTTGTAAAACAATCTGGTGTTGCTGTTTCGAAGCTGTGCCATGAAAATGTACTTGTCCAAAGTGGTGCTCTTGGATCTTAATTGCTTCAGTGCGCGCTGTTTCTGCAGATCAAGAGGTTCGACGGCAATGGGGCTGTATCCACGCAGGCCAAGGTGTGCGCGTGCTTCCGCAGGAAGAGCAGTTCCTATAAGTAACGTACACAGGCTGTCAAAACAAAAACTTCATCTACGTTTGATCTGTCCACGAGTATCGATTGCTAATGTCGCTGTATGTTGAGAGAGACGTACCTTGGTTGTAATAAGGAGATGTTGCAAACTGGGCGACTTGCTTGACAGCCTTGGTGGCGCCATTGGTTGAGACGATAGTAGTGTGTTCTTGTTCGATGACAGGCATGGCAGTAGAGTAAAAGCGATAACGAAGAAAAAAGGAACCAGGTTTGAAATGACGGGTATTTAAAGGATTTGGAAGCTTCCCACGCGTCAGGGCACCAACGGAAGATAGTGGCATCATTCAGTTAAGATTACGTAGTATAAGCTTTTAAAAAATCGGTTGTTAAAGTAGTTGAAGTAAGACAGGAAAAGTATGATACCACGAAAATCTTCATGTGCTTTATACCAGTTGCATAGTATGACTCTAGCAAATGAAAATTGAGCAAATAGTTCGACTCATTTGATCTAGACAGGTACATTGAAACTCCTATAACCTGGAGCATGTGCATTCAGACACCCTTTCATGTGCACCCGCATGCAAATCAGCCATGACTCAGAACACCTCTTCTTTATTGTATTGTAAGCCTTGTTGCAACCATTCAAACGTGACAAGGGCACTCTGGAACCTGATCTTCATGCCATCATTGTTACCATTGCTACTGCTATAACTAGGGTGGTCGTTTGATGGTCGGTGCATGGTACGACACTGATTACAGAACGTATTATCCCCCCATTGTTGCCCAACAATGCTAAACTGGATCTGTCCTGCTTCTCCACCTTGGTCCCCATCCAGCCGCTGCTGGTATACACCTGGGCTCCAAACTATGGGGATGTTGAGCGTCTGATCCTCAGCTGTTGGAGGGCACGGCCATTGTGCGCAAATAAGCTTTAGCGATGACGGTGGATTGTGAGTTATGACAAAATGGTCGTTGCTAGTAGTAGCACTGCTGACAACCTCGCCATCCGCGGATGAGGATGGTGCTGCTGGCTCAAACCGCAGATAGCCTCCTTGTGTATCATAGCCGGTGCACCGGAGCCTAGCGATCGCCTCTAGGTTTCGATCGCCATGGCAAAGCGCAGCCATATATCCCGCGGGCGTATAGAAGGCTAGTTCCCATGCTTCTGCCTTGGCACGGGTCTGTATTGCATAGCTACAATAGTCCCAAAAATTTCGATCTCCTGATGCTTGTTGTAACAGTCTGCCGAGGTCTATCAGTCTAACAAACGAAAATACCGATAGGATGATATCAAACGGCCAATGGTGCCGGCCGTCTTCGTGTTCCACGGCTCTAGGTTCTCGGACTGATTCTAGCATGAATATAACGTGTTACTTGTGGGAAAAGGATATGGTATCAAGACAAAGAGCGGGAGAATGAAGAGGAAAAGGGAAAAATAGCAGCAAAGGCGTCATGCTTCAATGACAATGACCAAAAGCATCATCGCCCTGATAGCGATTTTTCTCTTTTGCAAACCCTTGTCGGTGCTGGCTCCTGTAATTTACTATCAGTTGACGAATTATGCATACATACCCTCCAACTTTGCGATGTAACCCCCTTGTCATCATAGTTCGTAAAGATGTTCATGTCTCTCCCCCAATTTTCTTTCGGCATGCCAAACGTTGCCAAGAGGGCAAACCCCAGATTTCATCGCCACCACGGACCAAGCAATAGTGTAACTATCGAAAAGCAGGTGTGCTGAGTCAGACCATCGCACGGCTTCTCAATGGACGAGAACAGACAGCAGCCGCTACATAAACGGAGATATTTCTAAAAACCGCTGGACCCGATTTTTGAGATTGAACACGTGGGTAAAACTTTTGTCCTTCTTTCCTCCAGAGGCAGGGGGCATCAAGCAAGATGTCTGTTTTCTAAAAGAAAATATTTTAAACAGCGGGGGAATCTCCTTTGCTTGAAAGGCATCAATAAATCTTTGAGTCCACTGTTTGCATCAAGGCCATGTCACAAATCGCATAAGCAAGCGCCAATCAAAAGCTGTTAAATCGCGAACCTTATCGGCCACGAACGGGAACAAGCTGTTTCTGTTTGGACTTCCGAGGATCCAAGAGCAGCAACAGCCCCATATGTTGATTAACGCGTTTGCTTTTTTCTGTATTGTTGCATTGCATGATGATACGTGTGATTATCAGTCAAATTCCTGCCTTGTATCCTTCTAAAGGCAACATTCGCGAACTTGCATTCCGGACTTGTTACTTTTGTGCTTTCGTCGGCAGTATATAATGGCGCCCCCCCCTAACTAGCAATGCACTGGCTACCCTCACTCCCCAAAACTCCTTCCTCCTCCAAAAGCCTCCACCCCACACGCCCACGTACTATTGGAGTTAAATTTTCCGGCAGAGAGCGAATTCTGGCCCGAAAAAGCACCCCACATATTGTGCTGTGGCGTTACCTTGCGCTTCCGCTTTGCTACACCAAATATACTCCACACTTGACGTTCCGATGCGCCTGTTTGGATGTACTGGTAAATTGCGGGTAAAACCACGAAAAATATATGTCCTGAGAAATAATACCCACAAATCCGTTCCGTGATGTGTCATTTGTCACCCTTTTCTTCTTCTTGTCGATATGGAATGTGCGTATATCGCATATATCCTCTAATTAGTCGTTTTCGTTAATGTACACTCACGAACAAGCCGGCGTGCTCCGTTCCTCATTGTACGGTCATACTTCATCTGATAAATATCGACAACAACACGAGATGCTAAAACTATATACAACTGTTTGACATGCTCTCGCGGTCGGTTCTGTCCGTTGACACATTATCTAATACAAATTACCTTTACATAATAGGTGCGGACGGGATCCCTAGCAGTTTGGCAGAATTAATAACGAGATCATGAGAGTGATTATAGAAAATATCTCTTTTTGGGTTTCGGAACACCAATGTTACATAAACAGACAGGTTCAATTATCAAGTGTTTTATTTTACCAATCCATCTAAATTGTAGGATGACCGCCAGCATCCTTTCCTTGACAAGAGATATCGACCTGGCATTCCCTCAATCTGCTTTTCACTCGAAAATCCATTCTTACATATACTGTATTATCTGAGAAATTCACGTAAAACGGTGGTCGCCGCCAGCTCCGTAACATCCTTGTATAAGTGTTCTATATACATACTCAATGTCAGATGTTTGAGCTAAACTGTCTATTAATCACTTCGTCTAGTGATAACCCTCTCTTTGTAAATCATATTGTAGTGACAGTGATGAAAGTAACGTTCAGCAATGTCAAATGATGCCCTATCCATCTAGTAAATCAACATGCTTCTTTTGAAATCTATTTTGATTATCGTATGTTAATCAGAATCAGGTCGTCCACTTAGTTTTTTAACAAGTATAGTAATAGTTCATCATTGAGACCAGGTATATTTGACGTTCCAAACACAGCACTGTATAAGATACATACAGACTAGCTCATTCTTTGTCAATGGACTTGTCAACATGCAAAAAGAATATTATACAGACAGTGATCCTATCCAACTACAATGTTCGTTTTTGATCCATAAGTAGTTACATAAATTTTCAAGCACTGTGTGCGTAGTACTAACATTGAGCTACATTTTCGGAGGTCGTCATTTTTGGCTACATAGCATACACATACGCTTCTCCACTGCCGTCAATTACGGTTAGGCTGTATCACTACGGGCAAAGTAAATTTGGCCGTTCCGTTACTCTGGAGATGATGCATATTATAAAGCTATTTAAAAAAGCAGGACATGTACTAATGAAAGTCGCACCCGCTTTTGCTGCTTTTGCTTGTCTGTCTACTTTCGTCAGTTTTGAGGTCGCGAAGCAATTTGACACAGCTATGAAAAAGTTGATACATCCAAACTGTACAAAGTGCTGGATAAATTACGGTATCATATGTAGAGAAATCTACTAAATGCTTCCAAAATAAGCTTCCAGAGAACTAAGTAGTGCCGGATTAGATGTAACAACGGGACAAGCAACTCTAAGTTGACCTGATGTGTCTAATAATCGATAAAGGCAGGTTCAAGAGAGTATCATAGCATCTCTCAAAGCCAAAAATACATTTCTGCCTTCACTGGTTCCAATTACGCATTTCGTGTTCAGCAGTACAAATGACCAGGATTTGGGAAAATCAGGTGTAATATCTCGGAATTAATAAACAAGAAAGAACAAACGGATACCATACTCTCCCGTTCACAGTTTACAGTGAATCTGAAATTAGACACGATGTATTAAATCAAGGAACACTTAATGAGTTCGAGATTTGCTTACTGGCATAGAGAATACTACTTAGCTGTAGTTGATATTTGATGACTGTGTTCAAATCATCGTTCTATTTCATGCATCTTTCTAGTATTGACAACCCCGCCCTTTTAATTTAGCAACAAATCAACTAACGTTCCTAACATGATGCGCAATAAGCTAAAGATGACCAACCTTGTGCTCAAGAGCGAAGACACTACGGCTGTCTGTGATGTTGGGCAGAACGGACACTAGACTGTAAACTTTATCCTCGCAATATCAGCGTTCATGAGCATGATTAGGTATGGTTCTGCGCCCGAACATCGATCTGGCAGCCCGGCCCATGCTTTTTTGTAGGACGATCCTCCATCACCTTCCTATAAGGTTAGCGCTTCCATCGCTGCAATAAGGAAGAAAAAGAATGTATTCATATTGTTTCAAGATAGCATGGTGCCATTCATGTTTGTCCCAATATACAATTATCTCTAAGATGATCACTCCGCCTATCAAGAAGTGCGGTGTTAGACGTGCCAGGCATATGCTCAAATACCGCACACTCATGCAACTTTTGAAAAAAGGCGAAGCGTAAGCGATTTTTCACAACACAGATCTTTACCTATTTTTCCAAGCATTTTAGCCGCTGACTGCTCCTTCCCAACATGTATAATCCAGCATTATGATATATATTTTGGGGGTTTTTTTAAAGACCTGCAAAGTATTTAGTAAGCTGGCTAAGTTCGTTTATAAGAATAATATATCCACCGTAAGAGGTCCGTTCACAAAGATACTTCATCACCGATAATTCATCGGTTCATTTTCAAACGTAATATCCATTGCAAGTGGCAAGGATAACAAAATCAAAGGCTCGGTGCTATATCCTCCAATCACTCAATTTTTCACTTGACCAATTTTCACTTGCATTGATATCTTTTAGAAGAAGGACTTATCTTAAGCATGAACAACTCCAATTTTCAAGCGAACTGTAAACAAGAGCTGTCCCAGTGCTCGTGGAAATTGAATTTGGATCAAATATGGTGATGCTTAAAGATGAGTTACTGTTTATTCTTCAAAATGGATCTGGAGAGTCGTGTAAATTGGCTACTTAACGCGACATTTACTTTGGTGAAGTACTGTATTTGCTATGATGTTTCTTGCTTAATTTTTTTCCTACATCTAGTTATACTGAATTGAAATATACTTATTAGAGAAATTTATCGGTTGTGAGAAATGCTTATAGCTGAGATGCGTGAAAAGCAAATGTTGTCGTACCAAGTATGTATGAACAATAGGGAGCCCTTTCCAATTGACGACATCCAAATCTTTACTGTTGTTGAGCCGAGTACAGACAAGCGGTAACGTGCTTTTATAGTTAAAAGCTTTGAAGACAAGAAGCACTGGTCGCACTTTACAGAAAATATATTAAACGAAAGACTGTGTTCATAGCGATAACACGCTGGTTGATTATTTTGCCTGTATTTAGATAGGAAGTGAGGCTATCTATAGGAGAATACTGTATACATGCCTTAACAATCCCTTCCATCAGCTCTATACCAGGTTGTGAATCACGATGCCGACCCTCGTAACGACCCCGTTCAGGTGACTATTGCTCAAAAGCGCGACGACGAGCTCAAACCTCGCGAGAGCACCCAAAAAACCATTCGTTGCCTCTGGTCTACAAGAATGATCGACCCTGTTCTCTACCTCTCCGTCTTCTCACGAAACCGGCATCGCTTAATCAAGTGCCGTATGCATTGGCTCCCAGCGTACCCGCTCCAAAGATGCCGTTGCGACAGACCATTGGCCAGCCGAGAACACTATGCCGAATGCGAGCATCTTCGTCCCCTGCTTCGAGCTCTTCGATGCTTTCGGACCACTCCCAGACTTGCAATCCGACGATGTACAACCACTAGACTAAATTTTGAGCCATCCACCACGCTCTGATGCCAAACTCTTGTGTGGCAGATGGAAGAGAACCTGGCCGACTCTGGTCCATGTCCTGCGCGAAATAGAGAGCCTCAGCCATCCAGGTGTTGACTATGATGCATCGGATTCAGAACCTGCTCCGCAAGATGCCCTCCTCTAGACATACACATGTATACTCTTTCCTTACAGCATATTTCAAAGTGTCTTCCTTGTCGTTCTCATTATCTGTCCCCTCTTTCTTCTGTAATTTCTTTTATTCTTTTACCTCGTTTCGCATCACTTTCAACAGCAATTTCAAACCCTCTGCAGTGTCTCCTCCACCTTAACTTTTTTCCCATTATACGGGATTTTTTTCGATTGTGGTATCCCTCATTTGTAAATACTCTCCCCCTAACTGTACCGCAAGGAAGCGACCAATTACACAAGGTCACTTAAGTCTTCCATAAAAAATAAAAGAAACTAAATTCGAACTATATACATGCCTTATTACTCAGTATAGTTTATATTGAACCTTTCTCGTTCAATTATTAAGTAACTGCTGTCAACCACTTCAAACCTTCTAAAATTTATTATTAAAAATACGTATCGCCAGTTTTAACAGCTCCAACTCATTTGCCAAAAAGATGTGTACTTTTAAGACCATTTTTTACTGATTCAAGTATAAGTATTTCGTTAGTTATAAAGTTACTGTAGCTTTTAAGAAGGAACCCAAACCAGGGCCGTGTCATAAATTATAGGATTGCTTAAATACACACCACTATTTCAAATAAAAAGCACGATCGATATTGTCTAAGTATGCTAGAGAAGCTTCCAATGGAATTAATAAGAACCATGTATAACATACGACCTTCCGGGCTATTCCTTGTACTGAGATCATCATCATCATTTTACTATTAGAAAACTTATATAGAGATCAATGCTATAAGTTACGATGGATAATCAGCTTTTGCTTAGCAACTATGAATACTCTTCTTTTGGCAACAGCAGTTTCTTCTTTGGAGTCTTGGATGTTTTCTTTATATAATAAAAAGCTGACCACAAACAGACCGCTGAGCCAGTAACAGTAAGTACTTGCTTCTCCGAACTCGAAAATTTTTTTTCTTCTAAGTCGGCCGAACCTGTGTGATCCTCCTCTTTCGCTTTGCGCTTGCTATTGAAAGGTGCGTCGAGTCGTCACTTAAGTTTTCCACGCATTGTTGCCAATCACTTGCCCACACTCCCATATCGACACTATCGCCATTTTCGATCGATAATTGCGTTTATTGATCGTACTTGATCAAACCTTCCCTTTTCCCACTCTCAAACGCTCAATTATGAAATTGGGTGGCTTGTGAATGTGTGGGGACCCAAACCTTTCATCGCGATGCGCGTTTTTGTTATTTTTGTTTCTCACACATAACGACCTTATTTTTACATTCAGAATAATATGAACAACGACAAGCTCGCTAAGCTCCAGTCTCAAGTCCGTATCGGTGGCAAGGGTAAGAAACAATTTAAAAAATATTGCATTGTTCTGCAGTGAAGCTTCCAGGCACATACACGCACTCTGTAGCCATCCCGCTAAGCTATAATTGCTGACGATTTTTTATTATTTCAAAATTTGCAGGTACTCCCCGTCGTAAGGTCAAGAAAGCCACCAAGGCAACTGGTGGTGATGACAGAAAGCTCCAAGGTGCTTTGCAAAAGTTGGGTGTCCAACCCCTTGGTGGCATTGAAGAAGTCAACATGTTCAAGGAAGACGGCAAGGTCATTCACTTTGGTGCCCCCCGTGGTAAGCAGTTGTCTTTTTTTCTTCAAGTTTGAAAAGCACACTTGTCGAAGGCAATTATGCTCATAAACGATACTATCATGTAGTCCAAGCTGCTGTCAACTCCAACACCTTCGCCATCCACGGTCGCTCCGTTGAGAAGGAATTGACTGAATTGGGTAATGTGCTCAGAAGTTTTAGATATTACGAAGGGGCTGCTGTGGAAGAAAGTAGAGTAAGAGTAGGTGACAAAGTGTGGGACAAGTCATAACTAACATTTATCAACAAACAAATGCGAACAATATAACAGTTCCCGGTATCTTGAGCCAATTGGGCCCTGACTCCTTGGCCAGCTTGCGCAAGCTTGCTGAGGCATACCAATCCGCCCAGGGTGGTGCTGCCGGCGGTGACGATGATGATGAGATCCCCGACTTGGTCGAGAGCTTCGACAAGGCCGAGGTTGAGGACAAGAAGGAAGAAAAGGCCGAGGAAAAGGCTGAAGGCGAAGTCAAGGCCTAAAAGCTAGGCTTGTGATCTTGTAATAATCCATGTTTTTCTTTTTTCTCCAAAAAACATAATACATTTTTCATTTTCTATGACAGAGAAAAAAAAGCATTTCATTGATTGCTATTATGCTCATTGTGTCTGTGACTCTGTCAGTGCAAAACGGAGTATGCATGTAGTATGTAGTATGTAGAAAGTATTAGTTGTTAGTGTCTTATTCTGTTCCAAAATTAACATTTTGAATAAGGGGAACGATGAGCAGAACACACATAGAAACACACCCACGCTATATACGAAACTTAAATTAGGTGATTGGGAAAAGACAAAAGAAGAAATTGAAAAGCGAGGTGTCCCCTTGTTTGCCGTTAGCCATTACAATAGAAAGAGGGTATAGGTACCCACATAATAATAACAACAATATATATAAACGCGTGCCCATTGTTCTTGTAAATAAATGGGTATTCCTAGTCAAAAGCTATATAAACCCTCTCAAATTGCCTTGACCTTTTCTGTATCATCCTCCTCCCCCTCCCTTCTCGTCTATAGAGAGAACGCAAAAACTTAAACTGATTTCCTATCACCACTAACTACTACTTTTACTGTAACTACTACCCAGTCCTTTCCTTATCCACTCCATTCCTTCAATACAAAATGTTCCATAACTGTACCTTACTTAACATCTTTTCTCAACGTCCCGGAAACTCGAATATTCCTTCATCATCGTCACCCGCCGATTATCACTACGAACGTCTTGACGAAACCCGCCAATGGTTCTACTGCCTCTACTGCGACGTTGGATTCGGCTCACGCGATCGACACCAATGGCATCTCAAAGTGTGTCCAGCATCAAGAAAGTGTCACGGCAACTATCATACTTTCCACGAGCACCAAGACCGGTTTTCATCCTTAATCCATGTCCAGCACCCTGCCGAAAATTAGACCTGTCCAATCAATAGACATACACACTACAAACCTTGTACAGATGTACACAACATACACACAAACATAATACAGATGCATGCACATATATTAGATTCTTTTTACACTCTTTCAATAGATATGATATTCAGACTTTCCCAATCTGTATTTGCTGGGTCTATTGTTGTTGGTGGTGGTTTATTGTATGATGTGTCTAGTATCTTACTAAGTTCAAATATGATAAAACAGTAATACAGTAATAACTGAATATTACAAAGAGAAACGATTTGGTGCTACTTAGCAACCATTCATTTTTACACAGATATCTCTTATGAAAGGGGAGGGACTGAGAGAGCGGGGTCGAGCGGGAGGCGGTTGTTTTTTTTTTCCTTTTCCTCTTGCGACGGCGGCTATAATAACAGCTTCTTGGTTGGCTATTGTTGTCTGGCGCTTTAATTAGGCTTGTATACACAGCAGAGAAGGGTGGCGAGAATGATATCCAGCACTTGAGAATCGAAACGTGGTCGTAGCAGCGATGCATAGTGTTAAGCTGGTCATGTATCCATGAAGGACAGAGTAGGCGAGTTCGGTGGCGATGGGATGTACGAGGGGGAAGACACAGTAGTCGTGAACTTGCTGCTTGAGTGACTGTAGCGTCCATAGTACGAGAGCAAAGGCGATGATGGTGGAGACAGAGGTGTGAGTGGAATTTGAGGTGTGTGTTGTATACATGTAGCATCTTTGTTTGCGCATTCGGTAGAGCAGTATAACTAGACATAATGAAAGTGATAAACGTTAATGGGACGAAGCTTTGGATTGATTGTTATGCTATGAAACAGTGTACATACGTTTTCTTCAATGCAGTGACGGTCACAGATGATGCACCACGAGAGATCCATAGTTGAAGTAGTTGTAGTAGTAGTAGTAGAAGAGAAAAAGCGAATAGAGCGAGTTAGAGGTGGTGATAAGTAGTTGATGTGGAGAAAGATAAGAGAAGTTGGTGTGGAAAAGACAAAGTTTAAATCGTGTAATTCCTTTTATATATGCCAAAAGTGCGGAAGGGCCACCACCGACCGCTGATCGGAGCCTCAAGAGAAAAGATTACTCACAAACGATATAGTTGCCAAATATGTCAACGTGGGAAGTCGAGTCATTTTTATTCGCTCCGTTCAACCACTCACAGGGGTGGATATGGGTTTTGAGCGTTGTGACATTCTAGTCAACTTATGGTCATTCGAGGTTATTCGATTATATGATCACGTTTCTGGAATCTACGACGACAATTCGGACTCGGTTGTTTATTCTAGCATGGGGCTTTGTCAATCTTTTGTCATAGAAGCTTTCTTACCACGATCTACGATATGACCATCATGATAAAAATTTTCTGAGATTACCCCCGAATCCACGGACCCTTCAATCCCCCTCCTTATTGCAAGAGTCATAATCTTGTTTCCGACGAATCAAATTTCGAGATAGGGAATCTTGACTCACCGGCCCGTGATTGCGCCATATTTCTTCCGTTGACACATAAACTTTTCTCGTTGCGCCGATCCCTCCCATGGAAGAACCAATGTAACGATGGATGGAGGCGCGTGCACGCGGTGTTATCTGGCTCTTCATTTTTCCTCAGTGTCTCTTTCTCTCTCCATCCATTTCTGTACTTGTACCCACTATCAATATTTTACCTGGAAAAGTATTCATATTTTACATGTTTAAGCACAGTAATATAAAAGAGATTAAACAGAATAGGAAAATGATAAAGAAAAAGCGTGTTGGTAACGGTAATAGGAGGAGGAGGAGGAGGAGCTGAGGCTAGAGAAAGATGATTGTTGTTGTTGTTGATGCGTTGGGTATATGAAATCCTACACTTCCATCGGTTGTTGTGGTTGTTGCATCTTGCGGGGATTGTTGATCTGTTGCGTATCATACAACTCATACCAATTGAATTTGCTATCCTGTGCATCGGTCCAAAATTCGACGCAGTTTGTCCAACAGCCTTGATCAAACACGTTGCCCCGGCTCATTCCGGGTCGCCGATTGGACCTTTGCTTATGCAACGCTCTAGCACCCGCAAATAATTGCAAGCATGGGCAGAATCCGCTATGCGAATGGCCTTGCGCACCGTGTGCATGAGCGTGTCCGTGTCCATGAGGGTGGTGTCCGCCCTCGGATGGACCGCCAGTACCAGGTCCATCGCTACCAGCCACGCCGCCACCCACAGCCATTTGTGCCATCATACTCGGGTCATTTTGGTTCATGTACGTATATCGGTGCGCATTAGCACTTTCGTTGGTAGTCGTTGCAACAGCAATCTGGTACGTCTGCACACACAGCAAGCAAATTGACCAAGACAGCTGCAAGGATGCCCACATGGCTAGTGCTATTGTCCACGTGTCGTATAAGAAATAGCTGCAGACTGTTTCACCAAGGAAACAGGTCGGGTTCTTCCCACCTAGCAACACTGGCGCTTGTGTTGCATAATCTGTGATACAACATCCGTCAGCTCAACATCTCAAATCGGGACTTTCCGGCCTCTTCCTCCCCAACCTCCACCTTTAATGATCGATCACACTTACATTCGAGTACAAGTGATAAGAACGAGATAATGGCAATCACCATGTTCAATACGAAGATCATAAAGGGTCGGTGGTTTTGAACACCAATGCAATTGAAGATCCACGGGCAATGACTAAATAATACATTGTGGTGATTTATCAATAAGTTTTGTACGTAAAGTTTGGGTAACTTGTCCAGTCACTGTCAATCGAATCACCACGGGCAACCCCGTACTTACTGGTCAAATCGCGCGACACATCGGTTACACACTTTACAATGCTTGGATCGCAAAGGTTTCTTTGCCAAACATGTCATACAAAAGTGGCGTATATCCAGTTTCTGTTCTTCTGCTAATTCAAAGACATTTGATTGCTGTACTTCTCGGGGCAGTTTATTGTTGACAAATCCAGGGTTGGCAACGACAGCTCGGTAGAAAGCTGTCATGGCTATCACAAAGCTCGTTATGAAGATCAGGTTCGCCAAAAGCATATGTGATGTTGCTATGAATAAGTCATTTATACCAGTGTCAATATCACCCTCAGCATCAATCTTTCTTTCCTACCACCGAATGGTTTTCTTTTGCTTACCAGAAATGACAGGCATGAGCCAGGTGACTAAAACCCAAAATGCAGAGGCTTGGAATATGCATGAAAAGTATGGTGTTTTCCATAACGCGTCATGGCTTGGTGCGGGAATCAGGTACTTGATGATACTGACGTGCATACCGACAAACTGTAACAGCGCCAGAGGCAATCCCGCATACCAAGGTACCATGCTGAGTGTTTTTAGTGCAGTGCCAAGGGTAATAAATGGTGCAAAATAGACGATGGTATTGATGGTACGCTATACAGCAAAAAAAGGGACAGTTTGCCTCTGTAAGTCACATGAAGAGTAGAACGTAGCCACGATCCATCCTATCATTGTTCATATCTCTATGACGGCACATACCTTTGACATGGGCCGCCCTATTGAACCCGGATATCTTCCAACCCTTGACTCCATGGTAGGATTACCTTCTGCCATTACATCAAACTCCAACACCGCCCGATTCCATATCCGCTCAAGCTTTTTTTCATGCACAAAGTCCATCACCGACTTGCCCGACTGATCCTTTGCGTTCACATCTGCACCGTACTCGAGCATCTTTCGAACACACATCTTGTTGCCTCGTACAACTGCCCAATGCAGCGGCGTCAGCTTGGAGTTATCCACAACCGACACGCTGGCACCAAACCGCAAGAGTAGATCCGTTGTTAATGCTTCGCCTTGGTAAGCAGCCCACATCAAAGGAGTATGCCCACCAACATTATCCGCTGCATCCACATCCATGCCAAGATAGAGCAGATACATGACAAGAACAGCATGCGACGAGTGAACAGCGAGATGGAGTGCATTGAAACCTTGACCGTCTTTGATGGAAGGATTAGCACCTTCTTTGATCAATCGATGAACTGTCGCCAGTTTGCCGTTCCTATACATGCAAGTCACGAGTTACAGTCTAGTAACATACACGTCTGCACCACACGACACACAACCGTATTAATACTATTTTCTATACATATGTACCTGGTGGCCCAGTGAAGTGGTGTTGCTTGTAAATCACCGCCTGGTTTATCAACAAGGGCACCGCGATCAATCAAGTACTTTGCACAGATATCATGGTTATTAAGCGATGCGTAATGAAGCGGAGTGACGCCTTGCGAGTCAATGTCGTTTGGTGTCGCTTTCTTACTGTCGAGTAAGTATTGCAAAGCTTGAAACGATCCTCGTTGTGCCGCTTCGAAAATGGTCATGGCTACATTTACTTTTATCATTACAATTTACTTCTCTTATTCGTGCCAAAACCTTCTTTGTTTTCTCTTTCTCTCTCTCTCTCTCTCTCTCTCTCTCTCTCTCTCTCTCTCTCTATACCTTCGGGCCCGTCATTGGACAGTTGAGCCGTAGCTTGATCGCCCGACACTGCAGTTACAGGCTGAGTAGGTGAAGGCTGGTTTGGATTTTGAGAAGCATGCTCTCCTTCTTCCTGTTGTTCGGCGAGCAGCGGACGCTTATCCTCGCGATGCTGATCGATGTCGGCGTCCGTCATATATATGTGTATATATATGTATGTGCGTATGTGTAGAGAAAAGGAAAAGAAAGAAAGAGTAAACGATGATACAGCGCCCGCGAATTAGAGTTTGTTGCGGGACAAAAGCAGATAGCTCAAAGACGGTTAAAAGGGTAATGCAAAAACAAAAAAGCCCTCTTTTTTCTACCCTTTTATTTATGGAAGATACACACACACACACACGCATACATGTATAGATGGACAGTAAGCTACGCACCGATATGCCGAATGCGCAGCCATCACTACTACAGCCACGATGTAATGGATGCTTTCATCAGTTATTTTAGAGAAAATACAGATAATCCGGTTTGTTATCTAATCGAAATGACAAAAATTAATGCTGCGAAGAGACAAAATTTTAATTCGTTTCTACGGCGGCAGCTATTTAAGAATCGTTGCTATGCAATGGGTAACACGTTCCAAAAGATGTGTGTGTTTCTCCCACAGAAAGAAAAGAAAAAAAAAAAGGCTCGGCGACAAACATAGCCCGCTTCGCACTCCGAACAACATCCGTATTTAAATTGATGGCTCAGCGTAAAACCAGTGTTTTTTTCTTCTTTATAAACTTTTAATGATGGGGTTCTTTAACTAATGTGCGACGCTTTTGTTCCACATCGAGTCACTCTAAACCTCAAAGAAAAAAATACATGCTTACAAGACAACGGTTGATGACGATAAATCTCTGATTCTTTCGTTCACTAGTAAGCATACACTTGTTTGTATAAGTTTGTAGAACTATGTACTATCATATGCTGTTGAAAATGAAAAAAATTCAAATAAAAAAAAGTGATACGAGGAAACAAGTGGCCAGAACGGCACTCAAAACGCGTATTGCAAGTCCGTAATCCACTCGAGCCCCCCCCCCCTTCTTTCTTCCCCATTTCCCTTTCGCGCAGAGTCAGATCCCTGCTTGTTAACCAACCTTTCTCGCATAATATAAACTACTGCTTGCTCTTAGGTAATAATAACAGTCAACAGCGAGAGTGGATATCGGCTCTTACCCTCTCTCTCTCTTTCTCCTTACTGTGACTCTTTAAAATCCCCCAACCCCCACCCCGCCTTTTGGTTTCGAGTGATAGTGAGTGGTGGTTGGTGGTAATGGTGGCGATGAAGTTAGTGCGTGCGTCTACGTGTTGCTTTATATTACACTCATTTATTCGGGATTCCTTAAAGTTGAGGAGCGCTGACCTGCCTATTTTTTCTTTTTCTCTTCTCTCATTATTATTATTATTATATATATATATATATATATATATATATACGTGTAAATACGACTTATAGTTCACATTGAATCATGAGCAACAACGAAGATACTGCAGTTGCGAAGCAAGATGATGTTAACGGCATCAAGTCATGGGATGAGGATAACGGCTTCATTCCACGTCTTCAAATCGTTGACGAAAATCAAGATTTTACGTATGTACTTTTACCTTTGTTTGTCACGCCAGCAGCAGAGTCATACACGACGACGTACTGACATATTATCACATGCATTTTTCACACCTGGGGTTTTTGTATGCTTGAACCGTTTACTCTCAATCTAGTGAAGAGTTACCGAGTTACATGGGCAAATGGTCACTCGCAGAAGCAGGATTTCAGTATAATGTCGTCGCTGTATTCGGCTCACAAAGCACGGGCAAAAGTAAGTGCGACACTAGTTATTTGCGGAACGGGGGCTCTTTTGGGTGGGGGGGGGGATGAACACAATCAAGGGATGTGAAGAAGGAAAGAGAAAGTGCCACTTTGCTCATACTGTATGCATGCTTTTGGTTGCTAGGTACCTTGTTAAATCGACTGTTTGGTACATCCTTTGATGTGATGGATGAAAAGCAGCGCAGCCAGACGACCAAAGGTATCTGGATGTCCCGTGGTCGAGGAATGCATGTGCTCGTGATGGATGTCGAAGGTACCGATGGCCGTGAACGTGGCGAGGATCAAGATTTCGAGCGTAAATCGGCACTTTTCTCCATGGCAACGAGTGAAGTGATCATTCTGAATTTGTGGGAACATCAAGTGGGCCTCTATCAGGGTGCCAATATGGGCTTGCTCAAGACTGTTTTTGAAGTCAACCTTCAACTGTTCCAGAATCAAAAAGGGTATGTTGGGCACTTTATAACCAATTTCGTTTGGTACCTTACTCTCACATGATACTAAATACACGTACAATGCTTTCAGCAAGGAAAAGACTTTGATCTTGATTGTCATTCGTGATCACGTTGGTTCTACCCCACTGGAAAACTTGGCCACGACACTTCAAGCTGATCTTGAAAAGATTTGGAGCGGGTTATCCAAGGTAAGGAAAATGATCGGCAATGCAAGGGGAATATTTTCCCAGCTATTCAAAAGACTCACAAAGAGGGACATGGCCATTACTGCAATTATAGCCTGAAGGTTTGGAGGACTGCAAGATCCATGATTACTTTGATTTCATGTACACCGGATTGCCCCACAAAGTTCTTCTTCCCGAGAAATTCGACGAAGAAGTTGTCAAGCTTCGAACGCGATTCAATGATCCCAAGGATGCCAATTACGTGTTCCGTCCTCAATACCACAAGCGCATCCCCGCCGACGGATACCATGTCTATGCTTCAAGTATCTGGGACAAGATTCTGTCCAACAAAGACTTGGATTTACCCACCCAACAAGAACTTTTGGCACAATATCGCTGTGATGAGATTTCAAATGTAAATCGGAGTGAGGCCTGATGTTACGATCCCAATATTTTAATGAGAGTTAAGAACGAATCAAGGAAATTGACCCTATATTTCAAATTCATATAGGCTGCATTCGAACGATTTATGGAGCGGATAGCACCTTTTAAAAACCCAATCTTGGAAAAGGCACAGACGGTCCCTGATTTGGGCAAGCAAATGGATGACATCCGCAGCGAGGCCCTGAATTCGTTTGACAAGAACGCTTCACGATACCACCAAGGGGTTTATGAAAAGAAGCGAAAGGATATGTTGGCCAAGCTCAACACACAGCTCAACGTGTTCTTCGTCGGTCAATTGAAGAATTTGCACAAGAAGGCCATCACAATGTTTGAAGAGAACCTCAAGGTAAACTATACATGTCCATGAAAGGAGCCGGTGCCTTTTGAAAAGAAAGATGTTATATACTGATTGTATCTGTGAATATGCACAGGCCGAATTGAAAAAGCCTTCATATAATTTTGCCGAAATCGTAGATGAGTGCCTGAAGGAGGCTAACGATCTTTTTGTATCCGGTGCCAAAGGTATGTATAGTATTTCTTGTCATATGCTCCGATTACTTATACTTTGATTCGCGTTTGTCCCCAATCAGCCATTGTGCTTTCTGATACGGATTGGTCATATGGCCATGAGCATAACCAGCTCGAAGAAGCTTTTGCAAAGGTGTCTGCGCAGGCTCGTGCAGATGAATTCAAGAAGATGAGCAAACAGTTGGCGGTAAGTTTAATATCTATCACGCTCGTCCTTTGACTATGACACATATATTAATTGACATTAATTCCTCCTCAGAAACAAGTTGAAAACGAGCTTTCAGAGCCTGTCTCACTAGCATTGAACAACCCGAAGGAAAAGACTTGGCATGATATCATCCAAGCTTACAAAACAACTGTTGAGCATGGACAAAAGACTTTGGTTGACAAGGCCAAGAGTAAGCTTTAATGTTGTGTGTAGTGTTAGTGAGGAACAGGAAAGGTCTAACTCTTATGGTCGACTTTTAGGCTTCAACTCATCAGACGAGGAACTGCAGGAGTCCATACTAGGCTTGAAGCGCCAGGCATGGCTTGTATTGCGTAAAAAAGTCGATGAGGAACTCGCGGATAATATGCTACTATTGAAATTGCGTTCGAGGTAAAGAAGGATGGAAAGGATGTTGCTATGTGCAGCGTTAACAATACTCAACATATTTTACCGTTGCTTTAAGATTCGAAGAAAAATTCCGCTATGACGAACACGGTCTGCCACGTGTATGGAAACCCGAAGATGACATTGACAGCTACTTCCGCAAGGCACGAGACGATGCTCTTACGCTGATTCCCATATTTGCCAAGATCGACTTGAGCGACGACGAAGGATTTGACATTGAAAACGACGAAGACTTTGATTTCAAACAAACACTTACTATCCTAACGGAGGCCAAGCAGATTGATATCACTAATCGATTCAAGCGGGAGTCGGATGCGTTCTATTTGGAAGCAAAGCGTTCGGTTGTGGCAACCACTGCAAAGATACCCACCTGGCTTTTAGTCGTGATGATTGCATTGGGCTGGAACGAATTCATGACAATTATCAAGAGTCCTATTTATCTCGTTCTCTTCGTCTTTTGCATTACCTTTGGCTATATTATCTATGCATTGAACCTCTGGGGTCCTCTCGAACGTATCCTCACGACAGTGTTTGGAGAAGCAACCAAAATGGCCAAGGAACGCGTGGTAGAAGGAATGGAAAAAGTCAGAGAACAACAACATCAGCTGCAGCAACTTCAAGGCAGCGGCACCAGTGCTGGTGGTGACAATGTGGAAATGAAGTCGTTCAAGGGCGAGTAAATATAAATTTTGAAGGGCTTTTTTTTAAAAAAACTGTTTGATTATATCAGCTATATATATACATATAAAAAATTTTTATACATATCCTTTCCCATATACAAGGCCAAGTTATTTACTCTGAAACACTAATCACGAGACAGCACACTCGTTGTAATGCGTGGTATAGGTTTTAGTAAAACACCCTTCTTTTCAATGAGCTGGTAAGGCATAGGATTGGCACTGTCACTTGCTTCTAAATATGTTATGTCGCAAACCGTCAACTTTGACAAGCCCTCGTAAACTTTAACGTACTCACGCAAAAGCATGTAAAATCATAAAATGTGCATACCGACATTTGGATGGTGCAAGACAAGCCACGGGGACGCTCGGACGACGGTGCGGGTGAAAATTTTTTTTATCATTTTCTTATTAACTACTGAAATGTGGAATGACCACGGTAAGGTTGTTGCCAATTCCGTCATAACTGCAGAGCAGCAGAAGATTACGGCAGGCATAGGAATTTACCGCGTAGATCATCATAGGGTGAGTCCAATCCAACCTTCACCGAGCAGCCCGAAGGAAGCTCAAGGATCCAGCCGAGCTGGTCCTACAATAATCCGCTGTTATTACTGAAAAAGAAATAGCTACGCAAACTAAATGTTATGGCCAACCCCTACGCTCCAACTTCCGAAGAAGTAGAAGCTGTGGATTTAACCTCGCGCACTATAACCGAACAGTGTAATGAAGAAAAAGAAAAACAAGTTTTGCTGGGGAGAGCCCATATTTATACTCAAGAATTGTAACATGTGCCGTTCGACGTTGATTGGCTAGCTGTGAAGTTGTGTCAGCCTTTCGGTGAAAATTTTCCAGTTTCATACACCGCTTCTGCGATGTCAAGCCCAGCAAGTTTACTGTGACTCGGGTCAGCCAACAAACAGAACAGCCGCGCAAAACATGGAAAACAGCACATTAAAGTTTGTCCAAACGTATTATATATAATAATAAAGACTTAAAAATAAGCGAAAAAAAAGCGTGTTTTATTTATTGATATTTTAATGGAAACGGTGTATTTTTGACATGTGTATGTATATGTAGGTGGTTGCGTGAGCGTTTTTTATGTTATGGACCGAGATTTCTGTGTTATTCTCTTTTTCAAAATCTAGAGAGCAGCTTGCTGCTTTGCGATTTCTTCAGCGCGTTCTCGGTTCTTGAGCAACAAATCCTTCTTGCCTTCAATGAGTGCGCTCTGACGGTCGAGAGCTTGGCCGAAAAAGTAACCGACACCACCGAAAGCTGCAGCAGCGGCCAAGTGTGTGGCAGGGTCTAAAAGTTGGGATTTTATAATGGGTAGGACAGACGGCATTGAGTATTCGGATCGTTTATAATGTAATCTATTTTATTGTAAGGAAGATTTTATCCAGGTAAAAGCACATACTGGAAAACAATGGACGCTTTTGAAGACCCAAAGCGTATGTACGGACGAGAACACCGAATGCGGCAAAGCCGGTAACGCTGGTAATGACGCTCATGTTATAATCGTATATAAATCGATTTCGTCGTGAGTTTTCCAAAACCAAGTAAACAGGCCCACAAGTGCCAATCTGAGCGGAGCATAAACTGACTGATGACGTTTGTTCGTTGCTAGGAGAATCTGAATTTGGTAATTTTTGGTTGCTATGGTGATAAATTCGTTACTGTGTGCCTCGTTGCTATGCATCGTATATTTTTAAATTGCCGTAGTGATAACTCCATTGCTTTGCGTCAGTTGTTATTCGTCACATAATTTGGCGTTGCAATGGTACTCTAATCTTTTTGCTGAATCCGATAAAGACGCGGATATAGTATAGGATGATGCATCACAGCATATTGTTGCCTGCTAAATAGTGTAGCCACAAAATGAGTGTATCACAAGTTAAATTGCATAAGCAGCTGTGTTCTGCATAGTAGATGGTCAACCTATTTCAAACAATGTACTCATAACGTTCTCACATATGTCGATACTACATCATTACTGTTACATACATACGGTGCCACGTTTCACTGACCGTCAGCTTATAGCCGCAATCCAGCAATGGTATTATTTCACTGTTCAACAAACATCTTCTCAAACATGATTGCGTCTTATATAATTCTGAACCACAGACGTCTAAGAAATGTCAAGCCTAATCTTAACGGCCCTTGTAAACAGGCTTTCGCTTTTCCTTGAAAGCACGTAGACCTTCTAATCTATCCTCGGTAGGGATCAGCTGTGCATAATAGGCCTGCTCCAACTCGAGACCGGTGTCACTGTATTCAGTTCACTTAGCACATCCAGACAGAAAAAGGGGATAGAAATTACTCACATAAAAAATTGAAAACTACACAACTTACATGTCAACCTGTGCACCCTGATCCACAGCAAGCTTGGCCATCTTGATAGCCAACGGCGCCTGAGGCAAAATGGTTTGTGCGACCTGTAAAGCCTTATCCATTGCACTTTCCTCAGCGACATAGTTGACAACACCTAAGTAAATTAATACGATTTTAAATGATGACATCAGACGCGTTGGCAATATACAAAGCTTCGGTTAATAACAGACTGTGAAAAATTCAAATTGTATATCGAATAAGCTCCTTTATACTCTTCCTATCATTACCATACTCGTATGCTTGCTTGTTACTCAAAACTGATGCAGTGTAAATCAATTCCTTGGCTTTTGAAGGTCCAATTAAACGCGGCAATCGTTGAGTGCCTCCAGCTCTACCATACATACACGCATACATTCATCCAGATTAGATCTTCTTTCTTTTCCTTTAACGCGTTCTAATTTTCATTTTGTTTACCCTGGGATAATTGCCAGTTTAGTTTCAGGAAGACCGATCTTTGCACCAGGACCTGCCACACGCATATCACAAGATAAAGCCATTTCCAATCCACCACCCAGTGCAGCGCCGTCAATTGCTGCGATAGTAGGGATCGGTAAAGTCTGGGAATTTTTATGCAAGAGGACTTAATCGATCTTGACTTTAATAATGTGGCTATTGAAAGGGAAAAAGGACGACATACCTCAAGCTCACGGTAAGCTTGTCTTAAATTGTACAAAAATTGAGTCACTTGAGAAGGGCTCATCGTAGCGCGTTCCTGGAATAAGTATCCGTGTCATTAAGATTCTATCCACAGTATCCCTTCGCCTATGCAAGACTTACTTTAAGATCAGCACCTGCGCAAAACACACGGTCTACCAGACTCTGGATAATCAAAACTCGAGGCTGTTCGCTAAAAGTAGTTGCAGTCGTATTATGCTTTTAAGTTTATTGTCGTGTTCTGTATTACGAAGATTGCAAAGACAGTTTTTGCGAAAACCAACCTGCTGAAGCGCACTTTGGCCAAAGCATCACGGAATTCACCAAGCAATTTAACCGAGAGGGCATTGCGCGCTGCGGGACGATGGAGTTTGAGTACGGCGATTCCGTCATTTTCACCTGTCAAGCGCTCAAGGTATGCGTCTCTTTGGGTAACAGCATCGGCATGTAAGCTACGCAGAAGAATAGTGCCACGCAAAGCTCTCTGAGCGACAGAAGACGTCAAGAGTACACCTGTTGATCGAATAAGCATTTGGTCTACGTAAGTATTGCTATGATAGAAAATAAGACTGGCTAAACAAGCTTGCAGAAGGCGTAGTATGGGATGCAACGCGCCGTATCACTATGCAAGTCAAGCTCAGCGTGGGAAAATCCTTTGTCAATATCGAATACCGCAAGGATCCTGGGCATTCCAGCATGATCGCTCCCGTATTTAAAGCAGATACCTTTCCATGAGCAATCGAGCACCATAATCGTTGGCATAGCCAGTACCTTCGAATTAATGCACCGTATTATCAATAGTAGCTCGCGCATTTGTCTAATAAAATATGTAAAGCCAAAGTCTTGTGTACACTTTTCTTGTTCATCATTTCTTTGTCTGGTGACTATCAGAGACTTTGACAAATAGCGAATTGTTGCTGCTGAACCAAGTTGCTAACTTGGAATTGTTCCATCATTGCTATCCTAGGAACGACAGAGATTTTTTCAATGATTGCGCTGTAAATGGAGAAATTCGCGTATTTGTACTGAGCTGTAATGGAAAGAATATCATCGTGCGATGGCATCAATTATGCCACGATGTAAAGTGGGCAATAATCATGAAAGGGAGTGCAGAAATGATACGTTTCGGAGGTGACATGAGTAAGTTATAAAAAGTTCAATAGGTGACACACTTCTGCGTTCCATATATTACGTACGGAGCATCGATTGCCCGCTTTACCGATGCGGCTACTGCACAAATAAAGAAGCATAGCACACGATATATAAAGCCAGCCAATAACAGTTAGTTCCATCAAATTGTACAAGTTTATTTTTATTTTGCGGTGGACACAAACGCATATTGAAGCGTAAATTAGCTGGATTAACTTTTTCTTGTCATAGGGTTCTCAAAAACGCATAACTGTTGCTGTTGGTTGTCTCATGCACTCATGTACTTATATCGCAACGTGTTTAGTGTAAAGTAAGCGGATGGTGCATTACTGGCCATAGGTGGCGGGTGCTCAAATACCAGGAACGAAGAAGAATTAAGAGAAATCCAGGAAAATAGCCTATTGTACGGGCGCATCTCATTCGTAATATAGCAAGAGCAGAAATGCTTCAGTATGCGTGTCCTCTATCATCAAAGCAGCAGCAATGGTTTGCGAAGAACAAAAGCATGTGTCAAATTTACAGGGCAAATATCCGCTTAATTGAAAGTGGGCCTGAGTACAAGTGAGTAGCGCTGTTTCCGTTCCCCACCACTACCGACAAACCTCTGCCCGGAGAGCAACAGCTTTTGTTTCTGCGCCAGCAAGAGCCTATGCGCTAGAGGAGATGATGGGGTAGAGATCAAGGACGATGGATAGGTAGCGTATACAGTAGTGCCATGTGCAGTGATACAGAAAGATGATATGTCGCGTGTAATACGTACGAGGATGTGCGCGCATCTTGAAAAAAAGGTTCTGTGCTCATTTTCATTTAACTGGAAATTACCACTTATATCGCCAAACAAGGTGCAATGGGGCGATCACTTCCCTCCACCTCGTCCGCTCTTATAATTCCCGCTGGTCATAGAGTTTCGTTCGATTGGGCTTGGTGCATTTCCAGCACTTCTTTGAATCCATGGATTCAGGGGGTTGTATCACTTGGGTCCCAACTTTCCTCCATCAAAGAACAATAGGCTTGGTTTCGTTCGGAGGACAGGGACGAGGAGAATCGGGCGGAAGTGGCCTAGTAACATTAATAGTATAGGCCCACTTCCTTTCTGCTTGGCCCCGTCGTTGCCCACAGGTCATGATGCGAGAGGAAAAGGAAGCGGGCAAGAACAAGACTAGGTGAATTAGGAACGGCAGCACGAGGGGCGGGCTGTCGGAGTAAATGAGTTCGCTGTTGCGGCAGTAGTATTTTTGGCCACACTCAATTTGACTTGTGCCACCGTTTTATATTTATACCACAAAAAAAAAACAAAAACTTGATAACCCTTTCCAACTTCTTTGCTCCAGCTGGCCCATCCTCTTCTTTTCTTCCTTCTTTCTCTCTTTCTCTCCCGCTCTTTAGTCGCTCGCTCCTTTCCTCTCTTTTCTTCACCGTCGCTCATCAATCGTCATGCGTTTGTCAAAGTCTCTTCTCTTGTCCGCCGTTCTCCTCGTTGCGCTTGTGCAGACCACCTTTGCTAGCGTGTATTCGCAGCTTCACTTTATGAAGATCGAGTCGCCCCGAGACGGCCAGGATGTCAAGGCTGGTGATCAATTGGTTGTCAAGTATGTCATGCAACCTCTTATTGATGGTAAGAAGCGCTCACGACTGCCTCCGTCCCTCTCCCACAAAGCTGCCCATCCGATATCCTAATAACATGACTCAATTTGCATATTCAGACCAAACCTCGCCCGGAAAGGCTTTGGCTTTGGATATCAACTTCCATCGCCGCACTGGTAACCAGAAGCAGCAGCAACTTGGCGCTATCCACAAGAAATGGTAAAGTAGTATAACGATTCGTCAATGCAAACATATTGCTACCGACAAAGCCGATAGTTCGTATCGTGTTAATATACACCTGGCCTAACCCATCGTCACCATCACTTTACTTTTAGCCCTGTCGCAGCCAAGCCTAACAAGTACGTTACCTACACCAAGAAGTGGACCGTTCCCGAAGATACCAAGCCTGGATCGTACGCCATTGACTTTGTTGAACAAGTGCAGTTCAGACGCACTCAGATCACTGCCACTGAAACCGTCAAGGTCAACGTCATTGACGATTAATTAATCCGTTGATACGCGTAGAACAAACTCCAACTCTCTTCCATTCCCAACATGCACACACACACACACACACACACAGTGTTTCTGTATTTTCTCTCGTCCCAATCTCTCCTTATACACTCAACATAAACCCAATAACTTGCTTTTTTCCTTCGTTTTTTTGCTTGTATTTCTACAGTAAAAGATAGTTATTTCATTTCGTAATATATACCGGGCTGTTGTGCTTCTTGCTGAATACATGCACACATACCCACTTTGTCACCCACAAGGGAATATAAACAAAAGGAATGGCTGTATACATAACATGTGTGTCGCACGAGCCATCGTGAGTAATCACAGAAACCAAGAACAAAAGTACGACGATGTCGATAACAACAGTGAGTAAAAATTGTATGCAGCCCAATGTACTGGTTATTTTTTAATAATAAATCATATACATTGGTCTAATTACAAAACCCATGAGTAGGTTTTCATATGATTTCCGGTCCCTCCAATCGCGATTCAAAGTGCAAGCCGCGTGTCGGTTTCGTGTATATATAAGAGCGTGGTCGTAGTAGTATCCAAGGTTGTTAATGTTGTTTTAGTAATTCTGTTTTTGGTTATCGTTTTTCAAAAGAAGTCGGTTGGAGCGAGTGTAGGCAGATATCGTTCGCTTTTTTCTCTGGAGTCGACACAGAAATTACTGGCTCTTGCTGGCCTCGAGCTTGGCGTAATAAGCATCGCGACGCTGAACGTTGGGAAGATGGTACAACTGCCACCAAGCAGCACCACCGATACCACCGAGGGCGAAGGAGATGGAAAGGTCCTTGATAAGCAGCTTGCGAAATTTGCCGGTGATGGGAGCAATCATTATTCTTGTTTGAAAAGAGTAGGGAAGGGTTGAAAAAAAAAATATCGTATGTTTGGGATGTGGTGAATGTTTTTTTCATCCGCCGCCACGCCGAGGAGGGGGTTCGCGCTGTCGTCACCATTTGCATCGGAGTTATTCTTCCTCCACTACGTTATTTCAAACGAGTGGTGATACATGTTCTAGCGTGTCTGTGCCACACACTATCCTGCATTTTTTTATTTGATTGGACAGAAATACGCATATGTCGCTCTCCCTCTTCATGGGAAGCGCGAGGCTTTGTTCCGTTTCTTTCTTTCTTTTTCCAGCTTCAAGACATTCACCAACATGGTTGGCAAGATTCTCAACTACGGTTCCTTCAACATTGACCAGACTTTTGCTGTCCCACATATTGTAAAGACGGGCGAGACACTTTCGGCAACTGACTTTAACGCTCGTCCTGGTGGTAAAGGTAGGAAGGCGGTCGCTCTCTGGAAACGGAGCAAGCAAAATTTCCCACACACCCAGACCACATTGATATCCAACTACTATCTTTTATGACATCAAATACGGTGTAGGGGCCAACCAATCAGTCGCTATCGCCAAGGTAATTACAATACCATTAGTTCATTTGTGATATGTTGATTTGTCCATACTGGCGACTGACTATGCAACTTTTTTTTTGTAACAAATTATAGGGCGGTGGTGCTGTCTATCATGGAGGAGTGCTGGGCAACGACGCACGCTGGGTAAAGTTCAATTCATGCCCAAAAGGAACATTAGAATATGTCTTTGGTGACGTTGACCTAACGGTCTTGTTTCTCTGGATAGATCAAAGATTTCATGGAAGAAAACGGTGTCGATATGTCGTTTACCCGCATCTCTGAAACTGAGGTAAGTATATACAACCTATTTCTTCAACAGTCAACTACATATCAAACGAGACCCTGGTACTCACTTTTATATCCAGGGCAACGGTCGTGCATTTATCCAAGTCTGTAGTGAGACTGGTGAAAACTGCATTGTGTTGTATCCAGGCACCAATGCCAAATACACGGCCAAAGAGGCAGGCAAGGTTTTCGATTCATTTGACTCTGAAGACTGGGTTGTGATGCAAAACGAAGTGAGCGAAGGTGGTGCGATCATGAGCCTTGCTGCTGAGAAAGGTAAAGAAATATATAGCGTGTATATACGTGGTTGTAGAGAGTATATGTGAGAGCGGATGTTGTCCAAAAGTATGGATGGATGGCGGGGCAAAGTTATAAAACAGTGAAAGGGACCCGCTCCTTGACGTCATTTTATTTGTCGCTCCGAATTACAAAGGTCTTCCGGTACTGTTCAACCCTGCGCCCCTGACCCGTGGCATCATCGACGAGTTTCCGTTTGACAAGGTTGCGATTCTGATTGTCAATGAACATGAAGCTGCAGACTTATATCGAGAACTGGGCTACGGTGAAGCTCCGAAGATGAAGGAATTGGATATGGCTGGAGAACTGCTGAAAAAGTTCCCTAAAATGCAAGGTGTCGTAGTCACACTCGGTGGAGAAGGTGTAGTGGCCAAGTTCAGAAACGAAGGCGGTCGGATCCGTGATTTCATTGTTCCTAGTCGCAAGGTGGATGTAAAGGACACCACTGGTGCTGGCGATACTTTTGTTGTAAGTGCTTTCAGCAAACCCCAAGAAAGAAGTCCGGGAGGATGCTATCAAAACGGATGATGTACTAAGTACCTGCTGACATAGGGATACTTTCTGGCCGCATTTATTCGTGCAAAGACGGAGGAGTACTTTACTCGGGTGCAGTATGCGCTAGAGGAAGCAAACGTCGCTGCCTCGATCGCAGTTCAGCGATACGGATCCATGAACTCGGTGCCTACCCTTGATGATGTTAATGCTGTATTGAAAAAGTAAATTACAGATATCCTCTTTCTCTCTGTACACATTTGTAAAAATATAGCGCCGCACTCTGTATTCTCTCTCTTTTCTGCTCCGCTCATCCTAATATAATTTATCGTTGCATGTTTGATTTGTGATTGTGGCTGATCTTGTTGTGCTATTTGCTACTAGGTGTGAAGAGCTCATGAGAGTATATAAACAGTACTAGCTCCAGTTACTAAGCAACCCTTATATGTATGAATGAGTGGGACCTATTCTGGTATGGTAAAAGGGTCTGTGCGTGGACAAAAATGGTAACTTCCGATATGTATTGACAGGAACACCTGACTCGTTGTCAAGTCTTTTATGCACGCAACGCACTAGACAATCATCATCGATCTGCAGCATATCATATATCTCACGTTTTTTAAAGTGTGGAGACTCAAATAGTTCTTTTTATAAAAAGCATTATTACTATGATATCGACATAGAATATTATGTGTACGTTTTATATTGTACATGGTACTTGTTCTACTGATGATGAAACATGTAATACGAGGCAGTTCATTTTTTGCAGCGCTTCTGGTCTCTGGAAGTTTAGGAGCCCCTGTTCACCATCTCCTTGTTGCGCAACAAAATACTAAATAAAAAAGATGTCAAAAGAGGAAGAAGGAGAACTGGGACTTTCGGGTGAACACACTCCGGATCTGTAGTCGCATCCACGTACTTATCTTTTGCCATGCTTGCTACGTTGAAGAAAAGTTTTCCTTTGTTGCGCATGATCAACAGTAATACGTAGCACCGAGGTCACGTTAACACATATTCTTGGAAGATATCACAAAACACACGCGCGCAACATGAGTCATGGTCTCTCAAGTGCCTATTTGTAAGATCTTCCAGATTCTGGCTAAGCTACAAGTACGTTTAAAAGTTTGTATTGTATTCAACGTCTCTTATTGAACACTGCGTCTTGGTGGGACATTTTTGCTCAAACAGATATAGGGAGCTTTGTGACTTGAAACCACTGTGTATAGGCACAGGGAAAAGGTTAAGGGGAGGGATCAAGTATCTGCTGGATTTGTAAGCTGTAGGGAGTTATAGAGGTGAGGGATACATATTTTGGCGGGAGTATATATCGTGAAGGCGAATGAGGATAATAAAAAGGATGGTGTTATATATTCCGTGCTTTTTCCTTCTTTTTTGGTCTATTTTCGTTTTTTCTTCTTGTGTTTTTTGTTTTCGTTCTCTATATGATATAGTCTCTGTGACAGAAGAGAGAAAAAAAAAATGAAATGAGAATATTCTTTCTTCCGTTGTTGAATAGAAAGACTATCGTCGCCTCCTCCCCTCTCCCTTTATGACCAAAAAAAAGCAGTCTGTATGCTGTATGTATGCGCATACGCGCGTTCCTGTTAATGTCGGGCAGTGCCCGGTAATTGGATTTCATTGGCCCAACGTGCTGCTGCAACTATACTCGAACCGCTTTGAGAGTTATACTACGCAGAGGACTTATTGGAGTCAAGTTTACTGACAAAGGTCAATATTTATGGTAAGCGGGAACATTATCATCTTCCACATGCTAGGATATATACGGGATCAAGAACATCTTGAAATATAGCGATTCCCGGAAAGTGTTCCTCATATTTTCTGGGCAAATTCTAACTACAGTACTTTGTCTGTTTAAACTCTATATGTAACAAACTCATGAGCAGTTATTCAGTAAATGAACCCAGTGTCTTAAGCTTGATGCTTACCAAACGAACAACAATACGATAGCAAGCTCAAAACGCCAGAGAAAAGGCAAGCCTGATACAAGACGCTGGAGTGCTACTGTGTGCTGTCAACCAAGATATAAACATCACCCTAGTAAGCTTCCTGGATCCCAACTCCGCTCAATGGATTGGATAGCATTGTAATACCCTGCAGATACCAAGGATATTCCTTTGCATCAAGCGACCCAATAGGGACTATATCAATCCCCAACCCACAGCCCATCAAAACACTGGCATATGCTGACGACATTTGTGTTTTTTTACAAGACACGACAGACCTCAGTCGCGTACTCCATCACATGGATGTTTATCAAAAGGCCTCCAATGCAAAATTCAATAAAACAAAAACTCAAGCCATTTCCCTCAGTGGAGCACCGCAGCCGATATGGAATACCAGGCTACAACCCTATGGCATCTCAGCTTGTCACGATAGGACCCAACCAGATCCAGTGGTTTACCTCGGATATCCGCTCTCATCATCCCGCTCGCAACTACAATCTTTCATGGATCGACTCTTGGAAGCTATTAAAAACCACTGTAACCAACATCTACAACGAGGGCTATCCGTACGTGGTCGTGCGACAGCTTTGAATACCCTTATTCTGTCGAAACTATGGCATGTACTAAGGGTCGTCGGTGCGCCGCTCTCCGGATTCCATCAAAAAGTCAAAAGCATAATCGGCAACTTTGTCATGCACCGCATGTTTCCGCGGGTATCCTACCAAACACTCTGCCTACCACGACATCAAGGAGGGATTGGCCTTTTGGACCCCGCCCTACAACAAAATGCCCTCCAGCTGCGGTGGATACAACCGATGCTGGGGGAACATGATATGTTTCCAGAGCATATTTTGTGTCTGATACATCGAATACTGGCCACGCACAAATTTATCGCAGATCACCGGCTGCTTCTGTTCTGTCCCGCCAGCCGCAAGAACCATAATCAAGACGCCGCTTCACCTGTGACTTTGGTCCTTCGAACTATTGACGCCCTTAGTATCTCATGGGATGATATCCACAATCTCAACCCCGCCACGGTCTTACAAGTCCCACTCCTAGCCACCATTTGCCCGTCGCCAACAAACCCGCCACCAAAACGACCAGGTTTCAAGAAATGTATCGTCAACGATTTTTTCCTTTTCGACACCACTCTTGGACATATCCGCGCCAGGGACCGCCAAAAAGGAGACTATATAAAACACCCTACCCTATTGAACCAACTACGCAAAGATGTCACTCAATTCAAATACATCCTCCGCCCTTTCTTTGCTAGGCTCTGCCTTCCCAGAAACCACCCGGATGGAGGTCACCTAGGTGACCCGGGAGCAATCAACTTCCAACCTTTAACAAGAGCGATCAACACCAACCCCGCCATCAAAACAGGGCAACCCAAAATATATCGACGACATTTGACCCGGGCACCCAAAAATGTGACTATACCTGCGAGGAACTGGATCCGCTTTTGGGGAACACCTATGGACCATGCTGCCCGCAATGTCCTGTATCGCATCTACCACAACACTATCCCTACAGCTGAAAGGCTTTTCAATATGAACCAATCCTTTATCTCATCAACAACATGCCGGATCTGTAGATCCCACACCGACACCCTACCTCATTTCCTAATTCTATGCCCAAAAAAGTATCAAGTTTGGCAACGGGTGTGGACTCAACTTTGCTATCACGACCCACGCCCATCGGCTTTCTTACACTTCCTCACGACCGGTGATCCCCCCTACTCTTCTTTCACACATATTCAACTTCTATCCATTGTCGCATATACTTTACTGGCCCTCTGGCGAAGCCATTGGGACCTCATTTTCAATGATTCCCCTTTCATTCCAGCAAAGATTGCATCAATAGCAATCGCAGCCATTCAAAAATATGTTTTCTAATTGTATATATCTCTTGTCTTCCCTTCCTTACAGTTCCGAGGCCGCTGTGCTTTCCCTCTTCTTTTGAACGGCCCACAGCAATAAACTATTTCTGAGGTTTAAACACCTCCATACAAAAAAAAAATACCCTGCAGATGCGGTAACGAATAAACAACAGCATTCAGGATGTCTAGATTATATAATTAAAGTCATCCTGGCAATAGCAACATAGAGAGCAAAAGCTAGTTCAGTCTTCCTTACTCTCAAAGAAAGAAAAAAAGAGATGCAAACGAATTATTGAAAAGTAATATGCAAAAGGCAACCATGACTGAATCAACCCACACTTGTGACAAGCATTTACTGACGTGAGTCAGCAGGAAGCAAAGGTAGTCTAGGAACGAGGAGCTCAGGAAGAGCGCAACACAGATCTTTCTTCTTTGGATAGTGACAAGTGATGCGTGTGTCAAACCTCGAACGTTTCAACAGCTTTCCCTTGAAACGAAAACTCCGTAGAGTGAAAGCGCATTGTTACGCAACGATTTGGCCAATTTACTTGGTACTCAAAGTGCACAAAGGGATGGCGAGCGAACAAGGTGATCAACGGAGCAACGAGTTACGCGCAAAAGGGTCAAAAGATGTACAGTAGGAAGTCATTGCTTATAATGTTACTCTCCTGATCGTCCCAATGGATTTTGAACGCTGCTCAAAAAGAACTTTATCAGCAGCAATGAAAGCCAGTGAAGGGTGAGTCAACTTCACTAGCGGCAGCGTATACTTACCATGAGCGGACAGCTTATCTGCGGCAGCACATACAGGATTTTTCCTAATGATTGGCGGGGCTTTTTTTCCCATCATGGCGGGCCTTTTTTTTCATTTTGGCGTTGGGGGGTGTTTGTGATTGGCGGTGTGATTTTCGTGAATGGCAGGAGGAAAAAAATACAATGGCGGCCGAATTACAGATTGATGGCAGAATAATAGATTCATAAAGGCGGCCGTAATTTCAGGTTGATGGCAGAATAGTAAATTCATACTGGCGCTGTAATTATAACACTGGCGGCATCATTTATAAAAAATGACATTAGATACTAAAGGAGGTTCCTCTCCATTAAATACATCACAAAAGTGGGAAGATGTATGAGACAGTATAATAGGACTGGCAAGTTTCTACTAGATGATTAGCACATTGCCTTTATATATA